CGAGAATCTCAGCGCTCGTATCTCGTTCGAGATCCCATAGTTGACGGATAGCCAGGTTGAGGTCTCCCCGAATGTGAGATGGAGATGATTTCAGCGTCCAATGCATGCCCTCGAGAGGTGAGGTTGTGACGTTGCCAAAATGTCTACATCTGTCGGTAAAACAAGTCCATATCATTTGTCGTCGAAGCCACCATGCTCCTATGAGATATTGAACAATTAGACCCTCCGCCGCGTAAGGATTGATGAGTTGGTACCATCATCGCTTGGCGGCACCCTCCTCATTCGTGCGAATGCAGGAGATCATTTGCCTGGGAACTCCGAGAGCTGGCCGTTTTCTCTTTATATAGCCTCACTGCGTTGTTCATTTGTGAAAACAAGACGACTTGGTCCTGTACTGACGGGCCTCCAATATTGTTTTCGATATGCCATGGACAGAGAAGGTAAGCAGTACCAGGGAGGACCTGTTTTATGCCGCTGGCGAGGATGGGAGCCGCATCCGTGATGAAGATTCTCTGTAACGTCAACTCATTGGATCGACAAACATTTTGAAAGCACTCCAAGACCTGTTGAAAAAGGGGAAGGAGTACTCACCGTCAATAAAGGCCGACCAAATTTCATCTCTCCAAGCGCGATAAGCTTCGAAGATGCACTCGTAAACAAACTTGCCCGACTTGGCCTCGAGACATGTTTCAAAGATCGAGTCCCAAGTTGAGTCTTTACATGCCGAGGCATCCAAAGCCACCATGGTCCAGAAGGAGCTCGACGATTTTCAGAGCCGCGTATTGGACGGCACGGGAGAGCGGCGTCACTTTGTACCTTGTGGCGAACGCGCTGGGATCCGCGTCGTGGTTGAGAAACCATCGGACGACGTCTTCGTCGGCACCGGACTCGATGGCGCGCCTAAAATGGTTCACCACGGGGCCCTCCGTCTTTCTCTCTGTGTATACTCACGCTAGAGACGGTGGATCACAGTAGGCCTCTGGGGTATTGATGTCCCAACCGTTGTCGAGGAGGACCTGAAGAATCGGTACGGATTTGGACTCGGATGCGAGAAAGGCCAGTCCCTTCAATTCATTGCGGGAGGAAGGGCGGCGTGTCAGAAGTCGAGCGAGTTCATCAGTTCGCTCCTCTGCGGCGGCGTCGGCGGCATATCGTGGATGGTCATCAGACATGATTCGGGTACCGTTATGGGATTGTGGCGGGACACGTGGTTGAGAGAAGGTAGAGAGATGTGTCAGATAGGCTTCTGCCCGAAAGCTGTATGTTGGAAATATCCGAGGATGTGAACAACGCCGCAGCGAGATCCTGTTGACTCCCTGCGTTTTTCGGTCATAAAGTATTCCCGTGGCTCGAATTCGGCGAACCCGAGAATTCCGAGGTTCAATTAAAAAAATCTCATCGTTCGGGACAGGAAGCAAAGATTCCAAGTTGCGCAATGATGACTTGATACACTCGGTTCATATTCCTTAACCCCCCCCCTTACCGAGAATTTGAGCAGCGGCGACAGCGCAATCCAGACGGTTTCTTCTGTTTCGGCCATAAAGTAGGAAGTCGGACTAGGCAAAGTCCGCATTTCCGATGTTGATCATCGATATCGAATCAACCAGTAGAGAAGGCAGAAGTGCAAGCAGACTGACATATAGCTTCACGTCCGGAGTCTGTATCTTGAGACTATCTGAGAATTTGAGCAGCGTTGTATCGCGATTCAGCTGATTTGGTGTCTTCTCAGCTATAGGCAGTCGCGCGACACTGAAAATCGGTGAAATCGGCAATTTTCGACAATTCTGTCAACTCCTTCTGCTGATCTATGTAGAAGAGAAAATTGAGAGATGTATCATTGATCGAGCTTTTAATTCTGAAATTTCCGAGAATTTCAACATCAGACCAACGAGTCCAGACGGTTTATTATGCTTTTCTGTGTTTCTCGGTCGCAAGCGTTTCCACGGAGCGAGACATTCAGCGAAGGACGCATTTTCCTCAATTTCGTCGACAATTTGGGTCGACCGGTCAAGGAAAGAACATTCGATCACCTGATACTATACTCTGAAAACTTGCGACGATTCAAAATGCAGGAGCAGCTGAACTCAATGTAAGACTCTTTGATGATTTTCCGTGGTTCTCGGCGATCAGCACAGCCACGTGGCAATGAATTCAGCGAAGCCGACATCTTCATCATTTTCATCAGTTTCGTCGACAACATCGGTCTTGCAGTGTGGGAAACCGGATACGGACAGTGTTCCATGATTGACTACTATATTCCGAGAGTTTCCAACATTTTGAAATTGACGATGTTGCAATGCAGACGGTTTTGGTGCTTGTCGGTGTTTCTCGGTCATGAGCACACCTCGGGGCGAAGAATTCAGCGAGTCCGCATTTCCTTCAGCAATATCGAGTCAGTCAAAACAGAAAAACAGAAATATAAACAGAGCATCGAGGTGGCTCTGATAGACACTTATATCTCTGAAAATTTCACCAAGTTTCAGCCGCGACACAACAAGGTCCAAGTGTTTTTACAACTCTTCGGTCGTAAATCAGTAGGCGGAGATTGGGATTCGGACTCGGCGATTTAACAATTTCGGCCGTTCAATCGACAACTCCGAGTCGACGAATGCAGGAAACCAAGAATATGAGTCGATGGAATGACAGCAACACGTACTGACTCTGTATCTTCAAACTCCCTCGCAATCTCAAGTACAGTGAAAGATGTTCCAGGTGTTTTTGTGTTTCTCGGTCACAAGGAGCCAAGTGGCAATTTGCCGACTTTTTCTGTTCAATCAGGAATATCGAGTTAACCAGTACCGAAAACAAAGATATTAGTTGATACTACGATGGCCCACTGTCGGAACTTTTATCTCTGGAAATTTCCCGGAATTCTGGCCGCGACACAACAAGATCCAGGTGTTTTTGTGTGTTTTATCGGTTATAGTCTGCTTTCTCGGGCATAAAGTGCCAAATGAGAATTCAGCGAGAATAGGGTCGCACAAGAACACCACACAACACGTTGTATCTTGGTGGTGGTGGATTGCTGACTGTGTCAATGTCAAGATCTTGAGAGGTCTGATACAACAGACTGGATTCGGATCCATTTGTCATACGCCCGCAGCAGCACCGCCGTCTTTCGCCCATATCGGGGCCTTGTGATGTTGGAGGAGGCTGGCGCGTGCTGATGTGAAACGACACTTGGTGTCGTGTTGGAGAATGCTAGTGAGAGGCGGGTGCCAAAAAGATTCAAAAAGAATGACAAGTCGACCTTCTTCCAGGTGTACCATCTTCGGTAGGAGTTTTTGCCATCGGTGCGTATTCCCCCTTGTTACTTGTTGGCTGAATGACTGGAGTAAAACTTTGCTCTCTCGGGGACATCGTCCGTTTTTATGGGGCTGCGGGAAGTTTTCGGCATTTTCCATCTGTTACGACCGCCCGATTGAGGTCTGGACATGTCGATGTCATCGTCGATCATCGCCGACACATATTGGTGCATGCCGGGCGAAACCGTGGTCCCCCGACGACGCATTCTTGACAACTGGAGGTTCAGGATCGTGGATGCGAAGTTCTGACTCGTGAGGTTTGTCTTCGACCTCGATGGAGATTGTGAGTGGTCGGCCGGATACGAGATGGTTGAGACGGACCCCGGTGGGTCCTAAGGACTCGGAGGTTCAAGGGTCTGACAAGTCAGTCTCCCCTGTACAAAGAGAGTCAGTCACCTACGCCGCTGACGCCCCAGATGGGTGAAGTTTGCTTGCCTCTGTTCACGCAAAGGCCCAATTGAACGCAGTCGGCGTACGATCGGTGGCCATGGCGAAGCGGTATCTTCGTCATGGAGGATGGGGGATGATGCAGCCTCCTTTGCGTTGTCATCTGACGTATTCGAGGCGGGATGCAGGGCCATGCAAATTTGCAGGATTTTTGATAGATGGAGCGCGGAGAGAGAAGGAAACCTACAGAGGTCGGAAAAGTCCGGAGGGAAGCGACATTCCATCCCTTTTGACAGGCGGGGGTTGGGGCTATGCCTGAGGATCTGCGGTTTTTGCGGCCGAGATTTTGGTTGCAGCGGGAACAAAAATGCAAGCCTTGGCCGAAAGGAGGGGACATATTCGCTGAGCCGGTGACCAAATGAGTCGCAGTCTGCGGCACGCATTCAGTTGCCGGGGTCGAAGCACCACCCACATTCCCGTATAAAACGCATACTTTGGTGGCCAAAAGGCTGAATACTGACACTTTTGTTGATTGTGTCAACTGTCTGTCAGACGCAACAGACTGACTAATCGTCGACAACCCGCGCGATATGAGTGGCCAACCATCTTTTCTCTCGCGGAGGTGTTCTGAATTCGGTGATTTTGGTTTGGGACTCGATGTTCGCAGGGCTTAGGACCACCGCTGGATCGAATTCGGCATCAACTCTACCTCGACACGTGACATGAAGGGTCCGATACGAGTGATTCTCGAGCCCAAGAGCCATCCCAACGGACTCGGCGACGGTCTTCCGTCAAAGATGTCGCACGCAGAGCCCTGTCCCTACTGGGCTCGCCGCCGACTTTCGGTTACCAGGCCCTATTCAGATTGAAGTTGATCAGTCATCGAGTTTGATCAGCAGTCACCCCCGCTTGGGGTCTTTTGGGCGTGGGAGTCGCTCTTTTGGGGATCGCCGGAGGGAAGAAAAGCCAGACACACAGGTGGGAGAACAGGTGTGCCTCGTATGCTGGAGCCTCCCCATCTCCCAAATCAAAATCAGTTCCAACCTTTGCCCTTTCATCTTCCCATCATCATCATGATCATCGCTTGCCCTCGACAAAGATCATAAACTCAGTCAAGGGATTTGAGGTGTTGCCCGTCGAGTTTCCCTGCGCAGGTTAAACCACCGTGAAAGTAGCGTGTCGTTCATCAAGAGAAGGAATTGGTAGATTCAAATCCAATAAACATTTTGGAAAAGGTTTTGGTAAGAAGAAAGAAAGGAGGAAGAAGAAAGAAAAAGGAACAGGTGATGTCAAGGTATAAAAGGTATAAAAGGTATAAAAGGTATAAAAGGTATAAACAATCGACTACAATCCATTTGGTTTGGCCCTTATTGGTGACTTGTACGGTTCTTTTCCCCTTTGACTTGATATCTCGGTTTGCCGTACTGTACTTTTGTGGTAGTGTCAAAGAATACAATTCGAAACGTTGAATGATGGAAAAGTTCGATGTGGCAGTGATCGGTCTTGGTGCATTTGAAAGTGCGACCATGTGGTAGGCAACCCGAAAGGGGGCCAGGGTTATAGGATTTTCATAATTGCCCAAGACTCATCTCCTTCAGGCGCCGCTAAGGGCGGCAGGTATGATGGGGAGAGTCACATAGTTCAGGTGGTCGGGTCCAAAATGAATTCGATTGATGCCTCGGAGAACATCGGCAGGTCTACAAAAATTTGTAGGTTAGTAAATTCTTCAAGGTAAGGCAGAAGGCATAATATAACAGTGACCACACGGTACGGAAGTGACGTACCTATCAACGGGATCTGTATGACCCCAGATCCCTGCACCGGCGGTGTCGCACGAACTGACTTCGAGAACCAACCGCGCTCCCGCATCCACCACGACATTGGTGGGCCACACTTCAACGTCAACGGGATAGACCTCGTCAACGGTGACTGGCTGCACACTCTCGGAAGAACAGTCCCGGTAAGGGAGCCATGGCCGATGAAGAGGATGGTCCGGGTTGATCTTGCGTAGGCTGACGCGCAACCAACCCTTTGCGATCGGGACCGGATCACCGACAGACCCGGTGTAACTGATCTCTTTTCCACTTGCCGACAGGTGGCGCAAGGTTATGAACAGATCGATCTCGCCGGGCACATTTGTGGCAGAAGAGTCCTTGCCCACCGACACGTTCAGGTGGGCAACAATGTGTCCTGTGATTTCCGTTTCGGTACTGAATGGCTCACTTTCAAATGACACGACGGTTCCATCACCAAAACTCGATGCGCCAGATGGCTTATGTTCTGGGGAAGGGGGTGGCGGTGGCTTGGAACCAGTCCCAGGTGCCGACCCAGCGTCTGGAGCGATGCCATATGCCATGTAGTCGACTGTGGCAGGCTGCGGCGTTTGAGGCTTCTCTGGAACGAGCCGTCGTTCGGTGGTCAAGAAGTAGTCCGTATATTGAGTGTTTGACAGTGGCCACTGGCTCTCCTCTCGTCTTTTGAAGGCTTTCTCGCTTTCCGGGTCATTGTAGCCAACATCACCCTTCCTGAGAAGAAGACTGACAGGAGCCACCTTTCCCTTCTCTGACCACCCCACTCGGTCATCGCCTTTCAGGAAGGCGTCCAGGAAGCTGAGTTGGACTTGGACCTCTTCTGGGTAGTAGAATGGAATGTCGTGACGACCCGCGATGAAACGAAGGTATTTGAACTCCGAGCTCGCACGAGTGTAACCCAAAACATTGCCTCGCAGGTGCAGTGAGATCCCGCCGAGATTGCCGACACTGAGTACCGGTACACTGATCGATTCCAGGTCGACTTCGGTGGCTTTGAAGAGTGGGTGGTCTCGATATTTTGCCGCACGCATGACTTCCAGCCCGTCGACTCGGTTGTCCTTCAATTCTTCCTCGCCGAGGTCGCCTTCCACGGTGTCAGGCCCCCAATTTCTCGCGGCTTTGCCGGGTAGTCCGTATTGATTGGAAGCTACCTGACGTGGGTACCACCGATTGTAGAATTCGTTGCTGAGGATGCCACCGTGTCGGGTTGACTCCATGTAGGAGTCGGAAAACCCCTCGTATGGCACCAAAGCGGCGAGTCCTTTGGGGTGTTTGGCGGCGACTTGCCACTGCGACGCAGCATAGTAGCTGATTCCCATCAAGCCGACCTTTCCAGACGACCAGGGTTGCTCGACGGCCCATTCCACGACAGTGTGGAATGCATCAACGGTCGCTGCAGATTTGACATTCAGAATGCCAGGGGATTGGCCCGTGCCAGGCTCGTCAGCGCGGACGACCACATAGCCGTGACGAGTCCAATAACTTGGCGTAGGCGTTTCCCACGCCGAGTGATCGGTCTGGTGTTCTGGATTGATTTCTGCAAAGCTTGCGGGGTGGAAGCTGTGGTTCGATCAGAAGGTCTGCAGATTCAGGGACGAAATCGGAATCCCACACCTTTTGTAAGGCACATCTTTTCCATATGGACCACAAGTTGCTATTACGGGATACCGACCCTCTTCTTTTGGGCGGTACACGTTGCAACGCAGCACACTGCCGGACCTCAAAGGGATACTGACATTCTGTTCGAAGATATAAGGGTAGCTGTCCGCGTCCACCGTTTTGATGTCACGGATAGTGTTGGGCATTTTGACGGTGGTATGTTTGTCGATGTCGATGTTAGGAGATGACTCGATTCACAAGAGACGTATATGGGGACTCTTTGATGGGCATCAACACCATGGTGCCTCGGATCTCGGCCTGCTTTGATGAAGAAGGTGTGATGGTGTCCAGATCCTCGACGTGCCTCGGCTGTGTCAGACTGGTTGATCTCTGGAGTACTCATGTCGAGTGAAAATGCATTCCGCTCAGGTCCTCCACGTTGCAGACGTGGCAAAAACTGCAACTGCACCTAGAAAGTCGGGGGGAAGTTCTTCCGCTGACGGATTTTGTGGGAGTCGGGATACTACCGGGAAATCATTTGGAGCAGGGGCTTTTGAAACTCAAAAACCTGTACTAATACTCAGGCCGTCGTAAACCCGGGCAGGGAGAGGCAAAGAGGAACAAGAACAGGGGGCTGAAAAAGTATTGTGTAATTCCTTGGGTTGTGTAAGGGTGAAGGTGTCAGAGAAGGAGAGCGATGTAAGTAACCATGCTATCCCTTTCTGTAGGGAAGGAGCATCGAGTGCCATTTCCGGAAACTCTAGCGAGGGCCCAACACCGTCGACCTCGGCCGCATGCAAGTCTCAGCTTCTCGAGTCTAAAGAGAGAAAAATTTCCTAGTTCGGCAAGATCTCCTCGAGGAGAGTCTGATACCACGACCCATCTCGATGTCGGGAAATGTTGATCCTTTCGGGAAATGCTGATCCTCTCGGGAAATTGTGGATTCGTGATGAAAGATTGCAAGATCTTACGATACATGGAGTGTGACGACTATGCGTTTGGATTGAAGAATTCAGTACAAAGGAGGGTGTTCTGGGAAGGTATTGAGGTCGCAGTGTAGTGTTCGTGTACGCGCAGGCAGTGAGGCAGTGCTAGAATAGAACTAGTGCAACAAGTAGGCAGCACTGACTAAGTCACATGATTAGGAGCCTGATCATGTGACTAGTGCTAACACTACACTGCGGCCTCAACACCTAGTTTAGACCTCCTTCGTACTGGATGCTATCAATCCAAACGCATAGTTGTGACACCCTTCGCCATCCCATCCTGTCGAGTTCTCGGTCGCCAGGCTCATCACGATCTTTCTTGCGCAAGCGGCTGCACCCATAGAGGCATAGCGCGTCCACGTATTTCGATCCCTCTGCGCATCTTCATCGCAATAATTCGACACACCAAGCACAGACACCTCGTGAAGGACCGGCTTGTACAGCGGGAGACCTGCCGTTTGGCCGTGGTCGAAACAGACGGCACTCGTGGATGCAAACGTCCTCGGAACTGGCCTACATCACGCGGCACGCCACCGGCATCGCCGTTGACCAGGATCACCGATGCGAGGGAAGCTCCGCATCATGTCGACCGCCGCGCTCTCCGTCTGGTATCTGCTTTGGCCCAGCAGGCAGCACATGGCGACCTTGTGTGAGCCGATCTTGCCAAGTTGGTAGGCGTTGTTGTCATGTCGATACTGCGGGAGGGGTGGGTGTTCTTCATCGAGCGAGATGACGCAGCTGGTCAAGGTGTTTCCATTCGCACAAATGTATCCGACAGTAAACTCGTCCCGTGTCGGCATTGTTGTATATCGAAGGCTGAAGAAGAAGAAGAAGAAGAAGAAGAAGAAGAAAGGGAAACAAAAGCTGTGATTGCAGTACTGAAGTAGTTCCCGAATAGGACTAATGCAACAAGTAGGCAGCACTAGTCACATGATCAGGAACCTGGCAATTGAGTGGTGGCTGTTGTACTCTGCACTCATCAGTCAGGTGTATATACTCTCATCGGCTAGTACTCATATGAGAGGGTAAAGTTTTGGTTAGCTGCGTCGCTCAATGGGTCTTGATCCGACCCTCGACGAGTGGGAATGATTTCGCTCCGAATAGATCCGTGAGTTGATAGTCTCCCAGAATGGATGAGGAACCTGTTCGCGTATAATGCATTACCTTGTAACTTTTCATGCGCCGTCGACGCCCAACGACAGCAGGTCGGATCGAGTTCCTTCCCATCACGTTCGAGTGACCCAATACTCGACGGGTGTCCCTTTTGGCGTTTTCATTCATGTCTCGTCACTTCATAAAACTCGATCCCCATTTACGACGCACTCACCCTATCATTAGGCCAGAGAGTCTCCACAATTTGGTAAGATTCTCTCCCGGGATTGTGCTGCGACGCTCTCGGCGCTTCTGTAATCTCTCTGTCGACACACTCGTTCACTCGCAGTCTCCCGCCAGCGTACGCTACTTGGTCGCCATTGCTGCCTGACACTCTGTGCAGGCCTCCACGGATTTCCCTAGGTATCCAATCAATAGAGAAACCAAAAGTTCATCCCACACTCATCGTTCACACTGCAAGGGCGGCAGCGCGATCATACTCGCAAAGCCTACTCGACAGGTCGTATGCATGTCCATCTACTTGCCGCTCCTGACTCTGCAGGCAAAGCAAAGGCACTTGCACCTCTCGCGCACTCATCAGCCAATCACGGCACCCTCGGCAGAATCCCCCTGCATTTCTCTCTACAATATGACATTCGACGGTCCACACGTGAGTGAGATGACAAACCCGAGAAAGTATGTCAGAATAAGGGGGACATTGAAGGGGAAACCGAGACTGAGCTTACTTCTTACCGGGACGTAGTGACCGTCCATGACTGATCCCCTGAACTGATTTCCTAGAGAACCAAAACGCAACAGCCGAGGGCCTCTATGCTTGTCGGTAATGACCAAGAGCATGAACTGAAACTCCGTGGTGTCGTCGATCGGGGATCTTTCCTATGCCGCTCCGGCCGGGTTCCAAGTCGGGTCGTAACTCCGTATCTCGGGACAAGGAAGAAAAGAGTGCAACAAAAATGAATGCCTTCCGACAACTCCAGGCAATCGGGACATGACGCGTTTTCGGTCAACTGCTTTGTACGCCATGGAGATGATGAGTGGACGCCCGGAGACGAGATGATTGAAAAAGAATACTGCAGCAGTGATCAGGTGATTTGGTGGGTGGTGAGGACTTGAAAGGTCCATGGGCCTGATAGGTCAGCCTCACTCGTGACTATGTCAGGTCCGCCGCCAACAAAAGGTACATTCTCCGTCCTCCGATGAAGAAGATACGCCGTATCATTTATCGACATTGCATCGATTTGGGCGGTGAGTGATGAGTTGTTTTGCGGTCGAGGTTTTGGTTGCGGCATGAAGGAAAAGCGTTCCTTGATCGAAGGGGAGAACATCTCCGCTGGGTAAGAGTGTCAAACGTCAAAAGCTCCGGCGTCAGAAACGCCACCCACAAACCCGTATGGATCGCCTTACTGAAACAAGAAGACTGGAGACTGACACTTCTCGTATCAGTTTTTTGCTTGTGTCAGCTGTCTCTCAGATGCAACAGACTGAGTCATCGTCGACACTCTGCGCGATATGATTGGCCAACCGTCTGTCGACATCAAATCTGACAGTTTGTGTTATGTAACAGCAAAGGCGTTCCGATCTGTCAAAAAGAGGGGAAGTCCTTTTGTGTTTCACATGCCTTGATTGCGAGAAAAAAAGGCTTTGTCTGAGCGGTCGATCTTGATTGGCTAGGTGTTTTCCCAGTCCGTCAGGTTCCACGATGGAGCCTGTCGTTGAACTCTCGGCGTTCCTGTTCACTGTCCAAAGACTCGATGGTCTCCTTTATCGCAGTCACAAGGTCGTCTTCTCGTTCGGTAAACTCTTCCGAAGGCACCCAGCCTTCTTCGGCGACCGATATGTTTCTGGTCTTGAGGAGGTCTTGAAATTCATTGTGGCGCCGTCCGTCCTTTTGGTGGTTCGTCAACTCATCGCCCTCGATCTTAATAGGGCATTCCACTGAGTCATCTCCGACACGAAGGAAGTCAGACTAACGGCGCTGAATCCGAAGGAGCGTCTCCCTCGTGATGATGTATTCGCAGCCGACTGGATTGTCACTGTTGTCGCTCCATGAAAACACCTTGGGCACCGGTATTTCCAACTCGGACCGTAGGAACTCGAGCATGGCAACTTCGCTCGCCGTGACGTACCGCGGCGGGACAACCGGGTCAGGGATCTTGACTATCAATCGCTGCTTTCCAACAACCGCGAGCAAGACTTTATTGGAAGCACCTTCCGCGACTTTCTCCCATCGAACGGGGGGTTCCAGCTCTTGATCTTACCACCTTGGCGATGACATGTTCGAGAGCCCCGAGGTCGAATTTCTGTATGTGTCGTTGTCGCTGACGATTTTCGCCCCACAGCCAGCGGCCGGTCGTTGGAAAGAACAGATCTGACGTGGTGGAAGAGTTGAAGTCAGTCTGTCGCAACTTCTGAAAAATGCGTTTTATCGTCATTGCAGATAAGTTTGTTCTCCTTGGAAACGCCATCGGATGGGTGTGACCGAATTGTGTAATTGATCATGGGAAGATTTTTGCAAACGATTGATTTCATCTCAGAACTGCGCTAGCTTGAAAAGGGTCAAGTCTCATCTCCTCACCGCTTTTGTTCTGAACCAGCGAAATCGACGAGACAATATTACAGGAAACCTCCGGCATCGTTGACGGTCCGGGTACGAGAAAGGAATGAGGAACGAGAAAGGAGGCTTGAGAACGTGTTGCGTGTAAAGGGCTTGGATTGTGTAAGGATGAAGGTGTCACAGAAAGAGATCTCTACAACTTTGCTATCTCAGAAAGGGAAGGAGTGCCGAGTGCCATTTTCGGAAACTCTGCCGAGGGCTCAATATCGTTTGTACCCAATATGCTCCAATCTGACTTGAGAGAGACTAATGTATCTCTCTATTCTTTGCGGGGATGTCTAGATAAGCTATTCCGGACTCCGGACTCCGTACAAGATGCGAGCTATTGCAAGATTTCCGGGAGATTCACGCGATCCGGCGTTGACGGATTCGTTTCTATTTATGGAGGTTCACGTAAGACGATGAGTCATGGATTTTCGGTAGTTTTATTTTGGTGCTACTTCGTACAGTAATTTCTCGTTGTCACAACACATTTCTCCGAATAATTTGAAGCGCCTGGCTGGTACGAGTTGTACGACTATGAATAGTTCTCCGTGATGGTCACGTAGCTCTTCGCGGCCGACTCGTACCAGCAGATCTAGAGAGATTACTCGTCCCACATCTCAATCCATGGGGCCCCGGGGTCAATAGACAGTCTTACTGTACGGTCCGCCAGTCTTTCCCACGAGCTTTTCGTTGCGTATGTACTCCTTGGCGTCGGGGGGGACGCGCTGCAGCAGGTTCCGGCACTGCCGATCTTGGTCCTCCGCCACGTACACGTGGTCGTCCTCAGCCTTGCAGGTCCCGGCGAGAGCGACGACCAGAGCCTCCTCCTTGTCTGGAGGGAAGGCCTTCATGGCGAGTCGCCATGGGCTTCCCGGACGGGGCACGAGGTAATCGAACGTGTGAGCGAGGCAGCCTTCTCCCTGGTACGTGCGTCGGTCGATATTCAGGGGGGCTTCGATCGGCTTGCCGTACCGTTTCGTCTCGGGGAAGCAGAACCGGGCGACGGGGGCGTCGATGATTCGCCGCTCGTGGAAGAGCCCGCCGTACCACGCGGTGAGCTCGATGATATCCTTGTCACATTTGGATTCGAGGTTGACGCTGATGGTGTACGGTAAGAGGATGTCGGTGTCGTGGGCGGGCGTGAACTCGAGCTTCCAACCCCGCGCGGGCACTCTCGGTGGGAGGTGGTCGAGTAACGCATCCCAGAGCCACCATAGCAGCGGGGCCGAATTCTCGTGGTAGATGGGTTGCCCGGCGGCATGGAATCTTGTCACTCGACAGGTAAAGTCATCGGCGTACGTTAGGCACGGTAGCCGGAGCAATTTGTGGTCCGCGAAGAGCGCCCGTTTGATGCATGGGCTGCGGAGCGTGTCTGCCATCTTGAATCCAAATCGCCCAACGAGCTGCGACACGTCTTCGGCGGCCTGCTGGATTTGATGCAGCAAGACCGTGAGCTCGGGTGACGACGGCATCCCGGCGGGCTCGGGCAAGGCTAGGCTGCTCGCCTGTGTACCCCGAATACCAGTTCTCGCTGGATCGTTGCTGGTGGGAGTATCGATACCGTCGTCGGTGGTGCTCGGAGTGTTTATGCCATCGTAGGTGCTGCTACCGTCCGTGAGCGTAGCCGTGGTGGCGCCCGTGGCTGTGGATTCCATGAGGTCGCTGGCGTTTGTCGTATCACGGCCATCACCCTCGCCCTGGGATCCCTTGTCATGGTCCACCAGATACGAATAGGGAGTAGACATCGTTGGACTGGATCTTGGAACGAAGGGGTACTGAAGTGTAGTAGCAAGGTGACGGGGAAAATACAGGGAGCAAGTAAAAGACGTATTTATATACGCGAAAACTCGAATCTTTGTTAATGTTCTTTGTTGAAGTTTTCTACTTTAACCCTTACGCCTGCTGCTGCGGCTTGCTGCCTGCGCCTATGTCAGGATCCGGATCATGTGACTAGTGCCGCCTGGTTGTTACAGCCAGCCAGTTACCGCTCGCCGGCAGAACAGCAGTCAGTCAATTGGTGCGAAAAGTAATCCCTCACCAGCTGTACAGTATAGCAGCACCAGCCAGATCTGGTCTGCTTGTCTCATTGCGCAAATATTCAAAATAGTTAGGACTTACAACCACGCGCAGAGACGGGCTGCGCGAGTAAGTGCTGCGAGGCGCAGGCAAGTGTCTGGGACTTGGCACCAGCCTGATTGAGCTGGTGCTGAGTCGAGTGGTGTGCCAATCGCCACCGACGCGTACTCGACCACGGGCGTCACCATCGAGGTGTACAGCTGTCGCGCCATGTTCGGTTGCAGACCTCGCAGCCTCCGCAACGCCTGCGCCGCACCAAGATCCCCCTTCGCTATCCTTGCTGCGTGTTCATGGTATCGAAACTGCCCGTCCATGAGCACCCCCAGGATTTTGACGTGCGGTGATGCCTCCACCACGGCCCCCTCGGATCAGCAGCGGTCCAGCATCTTCGCGATCCTTCGCCGCTGCCTCGACTATGCGTTTGAAATGATAGTATTCAGTACGGAGGAGGGCTAAGATGGTGCTGAGTCCGCAGCGTAGTGTTGGGTGCGCGCAAACCGAGGCAGGCTTCCCGAATAGAACCAATGCGACAAGTAGGCAAGATTAGTCACATTATTAGGATCCTGACAAAAAGCTATTTTTTAATTGTTTCGTTGCATTATTCTGAAACTCTCAAATCTTTTTGAATGTTGTGGTTGGTAAGCCCTGTCCGAATGGTATTTTGGGTGTGTCGGGCGACAATAATGCCAAGGCCTTTTTGGTGTGTTGCGAAATAATAATCCCAAGCGGTAACTATGTGGTGGTTGTAGGTCCAAAATATCTTGGGTTGAGTCGAGTGCTACCCCAAAATATTTTGGCATCAGGGCACAATTATCCTAGATATTTAGATCATTAGGATAATTACCACGATTGACCAATCAGATGAGGGGTACAATGCTAGATGATTAGTCATTCTCAAAGTATCGCCAAGAGTCATTCCGGTACGAGTACGATTCCAGCTGGTACGAGTTTGAACTGTTGAACTTGGATGACTCTTGTACTCTGTACCTTGTCATGAGTAATTAGACAGAACAGAGAACAGACGACATCTCAAAACTCCACGCCAAGTATACTTGCCAAGCACGCAACGCCAAGAGAACTCAGGGGGACCGCACAATTATCGCACGCTTCCCGCAAGGTAACTAGAGCACCTAGATAGGAAGACCTATTTTCATTGTGTTATCACTCTGCCTATTCTATAGGCCGTTCCTAATATACCTCTTCGTACGAGTATCGACTGGTGGGCGGTAACTGGCGAGCAGAGTGAGAGGGATGAGAGGGGAGAGGGGAGGGAAGGGGATTCGTTTGGTCGCAGAAGAATAATAACTTGTGCTGGTGAGGGTTAGTTAACTAACTAATTACGGAGTAGTAACCATAGTAGTAACATTTAACAATCAACCCCTCAAATTATTTGTACAGTATAACAGTGAATAGAGACCTACTGATGAGGGGTAATTAACTGGCTAGCTGGTAACTACAGCAACAACAGTCGACAACTCACCCCTCCAAATTATTGTTAACACACTGCGCCTGCGAGGCATCAACAGCCACGACCAAAAGCCCTTCTCCGTACGGAATTCCATCATTTCAAGCGCATAAGTCGTGACAACAGTCTCAGTCGCTGGGTACGGTGAAGGGGAATCACCAAACTTATTGACCGCAAAAAAAAGTAGATTTGGCGACTGAAGGGGGAAAACGTCTACAGTCCTTTTTCCTTTGGAGGTAACATACTGGTGAGGGGAAATTTATTGCCGAGACGAGAGAGGTGAGGAGTGACTCGTACTCGTAATCGTGCTCGTACCCGTACTCGTATGACAAGGAGTGCTGAGCCTCAAGGAACCGGGAAAAACTCTACGGCGGAGTACTTGCGCAAGTACAACAGAGACCACCTCACGTGACCCCTCGAAGCAGTCCTGGGATGTTTTGGGACTAGCATCGCCAGAAAAAACATCTTTGTCTGACAGAGTTGGAAAATTCATGTTGTCAGACAGATGGTGCACTTTCGCAGGGCTAAGCGAGTGCATTAGCGGCGGATCGGGCCGTGCAGATCTTCCGGAATCGCTAACTGATCCTGTCACTTTTCTGTCTGTCAGTCGACATTTTTCCTTCTGTCTGTCAATTGATGATTTTCAATTGGCTGGCTGGCTGGCAACCGTTGCAGTCACGTGATCCACGGTTGTCCGGTCGGTCTTTCCATGTTGACCTGAGCCCGTGGGAAATGCTGAAAAGGCAGCTTTTACCAAAAGATTTCTGCTTCGTCTTGCCTGTGACACTTCGTGATGGCAACGTCCACGTGATCTCACGTGACCCCTGGCGTCAGCCAAGGGTGCTACAGTAAACCTTAAATGTACGTCTTCAAACATGACAAGGCTGGGCGAGCGTCGATGGAATTCGCGCGACACGTTAAACCACGTGAGCAAAGTCCGCAACCACAAACTTTTAATGTACATCCATCCTCAAACATGCCAAGGCTGGATGAGTGGTAATCGATTCGCGCAGCACGTGACCTCGACGGGTTTCGGCCAGCAACCGTCCGAAGTGAATCATTACGTGACACAGACAGAGGGTGACAGGGTTACTCTGTAGACTTGACCCCTTACTGTCGCACCAGTTCAAAGTGACAGTTGGAAAAAAAACCGGTTACTGAACTCGCGACAACCAAGCCCCCACGCAGGGATCAGGCTGCACCGAAATTGGTGTTGACTCAGCGTCTTACGTGACCACTCCGCGAATTGGAACCGACTCGTTAGCGCGCTGGCGGATCATGTGGAATCTTTTCGGGAATTAGCGTTAGCTCATCCTTTTATTTCACTCCGTACTAGCGGACGTCAAATAGCCCTTCCGGATCATCCCCCTGCGAACAGACCTACTCCCGTTCAGGTCAAGTCTCGTTGGTGAGTTTTGGGAAAATGTTTGGTTCTCCAACCAAAAATGACGACGGCGTCAATAGTCCGTTTGCCCAACGACAACCACCCTGATCGACCCCCGACAGGGGGCTCAATATCCAAAGCGTAGCAGTCAGCGGACACAAATTGCAGGTCTTGTGCAGTAACGTGTTCCCACTCTTCTTTTTTTCAGCCCCAGCAGCTCCAACTGGTGGTGCGATGCGCGTCCTTAGCGTATATATATATACACGGCTCTCCGACACACTAGTTCGTTGAAACGAACACAATGGTCGACCATTGGCGGGCGTTGGGCCAACAGGACGCGACGAGCGTTAGTGACAGCCACCCACCCACGTGGCCGAACTAGGATGCATGAGATGCTTGAGATGCCCCCTCCATCTTGAAATTTGGGGGGCGCGCTGTCACGAGAAGGCGTACGTACCTCGCGCCGAGTTTGGCTTCAGAGAAGCTAGATGGGGGCCAGATCCCGGAGTAGCCGCCTTTATCCACGCTGCAAACAAATGACACCACCTGTCCCTGGCCGATCTCCGATTGGGTGTCCATTCCCAAGGCCTTTGACCAAAGGCCCAGCCCTCCTCCTTCAACATCTCTCTGTGTTTTGGCTTGGCATAACCCCCAACATTTCCGATACCCTACGCTCCGTATGAATACCGGGGACATCACGTCGGAACCCGACTCTCCCTCGATTTTTCCCATACCCTGCACTCGGTACAAACATCAGAATTATCGCGACGGAAGCTCTCCTTCGACCTTTCCCATACCCTACACTCGGTAAAAATGCCAGGATCAGCACAAAGGAGGCTGACTCCTGCTCGCAACCTAATCTCGGGCAGCCTGGCGTGGAACAAGGTCCAGATCAGTGTGCGCGACCTGGAAAACCGGCGGAGCCTGACAAACGCGGGCGCCAAACGTGCCGCCGAGGCAGTCGAGTTGTTCAACGAGGAGCCGGAGACGTCGAAGCGGAAAACGTACCGCGGCTTTCTCCACGTGCTCCTCGACGAATGTGGCCCGCAGGGTGTCTTGTCGTGTGCCATCGGCGTGGGCCAGGCCAACCTGGTCAGCATGAGCCGGGTCGCCCGCCACTGGCTCATGCAGTCCTTCAAGACGAAGCGGAACCAGTGGCCGATCAACAGCCCGATGCTCCAAGCATTCGCGTCGGAATGTGAGTCTTGTGGACCGACCCCGGAATTCTTTTTGTCTCAATGCTGACCGGGTATACCCTCCGTGAGTAGTCTTGAAAGACATCGTGCCCGATCAGGCGCGGCGAGGTCGAAACGACGACGGTCAACCTTCGATCCCCCCCCGACCGAGGCAGATGACCGAGTACGTTTCGAACGATGTGACGGAGGAGGTGTTCCAGAATGCCTCGTTGGGTGGGATCGCACAAGTCTTCGACGAACGGATATGTGCTTCGATCAGACGAGTCACCACCACCCAGGACGGATGCAAGGTCGCCGTGACCATGACGTTTCCGAATTGGGGACTCGTCGGTTGTCTCATGAGTCTCGACATCGGCGGACCGAACGTCGACTGGCTCGCTTCGACTCTGTTCGGGGCAAAGTTGAGATCGGTCAACGGGGTCCTGCAGGTCGTCCACAGAGGGGCCACCCTGATCGTGAGCAATCCCGAAGTGACCCTAAAGGGTGTCCCGGGCGACCCCCCGGATCAGATATTCCTCCCGGCGTGGAGAGGCGCAGTCAGAGGGTCCGACATGTCGATGACGATCTTGAAAGATGGAGCAATTGTCAACGTGGCTCTCACAACGGATATAGCTCTCGAGATACAGCAGAAGTTGTACACATAGAATGCAATTCATGTCACGACTTTGCGCTGGAAATGATGGAATTCAGTGCGAAGAAGGGTTAAATTAGGGTGTGAGACCGCCGCGCAGTCTTTGCGTGCGCGCAGGCCGAGGCACTTCCCGAATAGGACCAGTGCGACAATCAGGGAATACTAGTCACATGATCAGGATCTTGACAACCAAAAATGCATGACTCAGCGTGATACCTGGGCTCTATAGATAGAACGAATCCCTTAGCACTGGACTGTGTAAATCTCCCGAGAATGTTAAGTCATCGTTCTTTGTCACTCTCTGTGTGTCACTTGACAAGTTCGGAGTGGCAGGCTGGAACGCGTAGTAAGTCACGCGATTTATCGCTGCTCGGCCGGTTTGTCATGTTGGCCTGAGCACGTGAGAAATCCTGAAAGGCAGCTTGCCAAGGCTTCAGCCTCATCTTGCCTATTCTACTCCGTACAGTACTTGGTAGTATGGCATGTTCCACGTGGTCGCACGTGACCCTTGGCGTCATCCGTTTGGCCATCTACGCCGCCTAGGCTCACTTCCATGAGCCTCGCTACACCTTGCGGCAACTTTTGGAAGCAACCACGTTCCATTGATTTAATAATATTGGCCCTTTCTTGTTGATTCACATGGATGCCCTCAGCCCCGATGCCGAGATCATAGAGTGGTGCAAACGGGCCAGACCGGACCATCTCCTCAGTAATCCCATCAGTGGCAACAAGGTCCTCAGACTGAACGAGTCCTTGGTCGTCAAGTTTGGATTTCTCCTGAGTGAGGACGAAACCCGCAGTCAGATGAAAGCCTATGAGATTCTCGATCCCGCCATCGTACGGGTCCCGAGGGTGCACCGATACTTCCAAGACTCCGAGAGCCTGGGCTACATCATCATGGACTACATGGAGGGAGAACAAAAGGATGCCGTCAACACCACGGATCAAGTACGAGACATGTCTCGGATCCTCCAGCACCTCGCCTCCCACAAGTCACAAAAGCCCGGTCCGCTCGGTGGGGGGCCTTCGAGCTGCCTCCTGTTCAGAGCTTCGGACGATGCGACGTTCGCCTCGGTGGAAGACCTAGAGGCGTGGTTCAACATGCGGCTCTTCGACCGGGCAGGGCAGGTTTCGTTCCAGCAAATGGAGCTGGTCCTCTGCCATCTGGATCTCTTTCCCCGGAACATCCTCTGGCTTGACGGCCAACCACCGTGTGTGCTCGATTGGGCAACTGCAGGATTTTACCCGCGCCTTTTTGAGCGGTGCTCTCAGCTCTGTACACAACGGCCGAAGCTGAACGAGGTTGTCTTGGACCAACCTGTCTCCAAGTCCGAGGCTCTCCAGGTCGAACTGGTCCTCTAAGCTTCATGGCATGAAGTAAAATATTGCTTGTAAGCTGCGAATCATTACATATTCTCTTCTTAGGAAGCAAACTGACATCAAACTAGCAGGCCGCCACCCCCGGAAGAAATCGTCCTCCCGTGGGTTGATCCATCCGAATTGCTGCCTCGTCGATATCCAACCCCTGCATATCCTCCGGACTGGCCTGGGCAACTCGAGAGTAATGCCTGCTAAACCGGACTGCATCTCGGTTCCTCCAAATATTACTGCATCGTCCTGTCCTCTTCTCGATCATATAGGTACCTCCTGTGGCGACCATGCCAACCAGTACGGGGAACGCGGCTCAGACCGACCCAGCCAAAGTTCTTGTCGCGCCTCAGCTCCGCAGTGTACCAAATATGCTTCTTGGGGGCACGAATGCTTCACAAGCGGACGCCTGAACCACTGCTGCGATAGAGCCACCCCTGACACCTGATGATAAACATCGTCAGCAGTGGCATCGGCTTCTCCACTCAAAGGCCGTCATGCCCGCTGCTCTCCTTGTATTTCTGCATATGATCTAGGCATCCGGCTGACTTGACTTCGAGGCTGGCTTTTGGCCATCGTCTGTCTCTTTCCTCGCCGTTGGCTGTTTATTTGATCCACTCAGAATATACGCGATCTATTCTCTTCAAGCCTCTCCCAACGCGGCCCGACATCCTGGGGTCTTCGTTGCCTCATTGTGGATCGAGGTCTCGTAGGGATTAAGGAAGAAGTTGGACTTGTAAGACCATGCTGGGTGGTACTCGGGGCACTTCTGGGAGTTTGCAGTACCACTCTCAGCCTCGCGAGGGTGACAGTTGATTTGTCCGCGTCAGTGTCGATGTCGTCGATATATTCGCCGAAATTGACCGTAGCTGTAATGTTATCTCGGACAGAACCAGTGGCTTTGTGGGATCCATGAGTTTTTGTGAGGTGGCTCGGCAGGAATGCCACAACAGATGGAAGTTGGGGGGTCTGCAAGGTGGTTCGGAAATAGGAAATGACATTCTGGAAGATAAGACGGACAAAGGCAGGTGAGCTGAGAAGTCAGATTTGGTTGATTTGAGAGGTATCCCGTAAGAGAGATCCTTAAACACAATGGTCAAGGCCGCTTTATGGGGAAGTGGAAGTCGGGATGTCATTGATTCCCGACTGCGACTTTGATTGCGTGAGTTCAGAATCAATGGCGCCCCTCAGACCTCTGGGAAAGTTGTTATTATGCAATACGTAAAAGCATGTAAGCCGATGTAGTAGTCGGAACCAAGTATCTCCGACCCTTCGCGCTACAATCAAGTGTGTGGCTTATCTTATCAGGTGGCTCGGCTCGTGGCTCATGCCGTGGCTAGTGATTAGTTCAACTCCTACAGTATGCTGCAACTCCAAAAAATGTGCTTAGTCATCAGGCTATTGTTATGGCCACTAATCATTTTCTGTCTCCTACAGTACAGTACAGTGGCACTAGTCATATTCGGGAACAGCCTCGACCTGCGCTGAGGCCTCAACACCTAGTTTAGCCCTCCTTCGTACTGAATTCTATCAATTCAGACGCATAGTCGTGGCACCTTTTGAATGGACTTACATGGTTTATATGGAGTAAATATATTCAAAGAAATTTCTGCAGCGTTGTTTTGTTTTCACTCTAGGCGGGAAAATATCAGCTGCACTCAGGGTGTATCTGTAACTCGACCACAACAACAACAACCTTCGAACGCCATTGGTGAAAGATGCTTTTGACACATACAGACCCTTTCAAGACTCACGTTGCGACTCTCGCGACACTACGACGCTTCTGTGGTCTCAATCGACGGCCTCTTTCGCTCGCAACCTCTCGTTTGACATTCGCCGCTCAGTCGCCTCGCCCTCGTTGTTCGACTTCTGTATCCGGGCCTCTACAGCGATCACAAAGTCTTGGGCCAGTCGGGTAACTAGATGTTACTGCGCACTAATCGCTACACTGCGCTCGCAACAACGCTATTATGTTCGCAAAAACTCGTCTCGATTCATTGTCTGTCTACCTGCTACTCTCTTTTCTGTACCAAGAAAAGGCACTCACACCCCACGCGCACTCATCAACCGACCGCAGCAAGCTAGAAAATATCCCTTGTCTTTCTCTCTACAATTATCGGTTTCTCACAGTAACATGTATGCCCAAAAGAGAAGAGGTATTGATCAACTCGATTACATTCTCCAAGCAGAACCCTGACTTTGGAAGTCGGTGGCGTGTATAATAGAGACGAGGGACTTCACAGAGGTCAATGCTCACACTCGACTCCGGTGGTGTAAGGAACACCAGGATTGGCGTGACGATGAATGAGGGGAGAGGGATTTTCAGCAACGAATGCTCATTGAAAAGAGGCTTTGGGAGACACCCAATCTGGATCCTTCGAGCGCCGCAATGAAAGCGGCATGAGGAGATGATGGTGCCTCATCTCAAAGCAAGAGGCCTTTCTATCATGGTTTGGACCTCCATATGGATCGGAGGACCTTGGGATCTCGTCTTCATGGTGCGACATCCTCAATCAGAGGAAAAAGGGTTCTCAGGGAGGTCTTGCACCCAAATACTCGACGAACGGATACCCAGGTGTTGGGAACCAGGGTCGCATCTTTATACAGGACGACGCGCCTACCCACAAGGCCAAAATCACTATGCAATGGTTCGAGAAACATGCCATTTCACGTCTAGGGTGACCCTCGTACTCGACAGATCTCGGCCCCATTAAGAACATCTGGGCGATCCTCAAGAGTAGAATGATTGAGCATTGGGCGTATCTGTGAGACGGTGACAGATCGTAGAAGGATCTAGAGGACCTCGCAACGGCCATCGGACATGAAAGGGACAATATTCCACAGGCGACAATCAATGAATCAGTGAAAAGCGTCGAGAAGAGGATTGAGGCTGTCATCGAGGCGAAGAGTCAATACACACGTCGGTAGAGACCAAAGCACCATGAATGACCTCACACCGCAACACTCGCAACGCTTCTGTGGCCTCTGTCGACATTGTCCTTTGCCCGTGACCCTTTTGTCGACAACTCGCCGCTCAGTCGCTCTCGTTGCCCGACATCTGTACACGGGCTTCCGCGCCATTCACATGGTGTCGGATCGATTGAGGAACCAGATGTTATTGCACACTTGCCGCTCACGCTGCGCGCACGCAACAGCACTGTCATTTTTGCCAAAACTTCTCTGGTTGTATGCATGTATTGGACGGGATACAACCTCTGGGTAATTTGATCGTCAGGGGGTCTACTATGATATATTGTCACCACGACGTCGCTGCGCCGGCCTCGATGGCTAGGAGGCTCGGGAGGCGAATGCTGGGCGTCGATGAGTTGCTTCAAAGAAGCACCTGTGAGATACACCCGTGGAGTATTCTTACAATGAGCCTCGTAATGGATTGTAAAGACAGGTTGGCGGAGTACACCGCACGCGAGGGCCTCTGGGCCGCTCTCTCCATTTGCCACCACACGTATTGCATCAGACCATCATCACAGTTTGCCAGAAAGGACTCTCCCTCCCTCTCTCTACAATACATTCGGAGAAATCTCTCTAGTGTCCAATCAAATGCCGATGATCTTCTCGACTTCGCCGAGAGTGAAATCCACCACAAAACAGTCATGTCTCAGCGCCCTACAGAAAAACACTCTCTTTCCGAAATCACACCTCCTAGCTCATCGTCGCCATCGTCAGCCACTCTAGCAGCAGCGAAGGACAAACGTATAAGCCCAGCATCGCGCGTTGCGTGTGACAGCCTCAATCTCTACTCGAACAAACCCTTGCATCGTACGCTGCCGACATTCCGTACGATGATTGTTGCCGATCAGCTTAGTGTTGGGGACCGTCGGTGGGGCTTGTTCGGCGCAAACATCGACAAAACATCAACCTCAGAGGCTGAGTAGCCCTATCTGGTTGACGACGTGACGGTCTGTGTCTAGCTTTACCCAGAGCACATGACCGACGGTCCACCTCAGTTTCATCCGAGGTGACACATCCGTCAACCATATTCCGGAGTTGTAAACAAAACGCCGAAATTCTGCAAACGCCGCAAGCGATGTACAACCGATTTGCCAGAGTGGGGGTTGCTTTTAATCATCCCACCCTCCTCTGGCATGGTTTGTATGCCAATTTCTATGCTAACCTCGTGGTAGGAACGGACCGTCCACTCGATTTGTGTTCTTCATGTCTCTCGCACATGGTCATAATGCCTCTGCATCTCCAAATCACATCGTCACGTTTCGCCATATCAACTGCGGACTTGGGCGTGCACGAATCATTCGCACACTAGATGTTTCGTACGGCGATGGATGTCAACTGTCTTATATGGCTCGGAGCACTTCTTTCACCGCGGCCTACATTTCCGGGCCTTCCATCATTTGGTACCCGCGAATCCCGAGACACAACTTGCACAAGGCACAGGACTACGTCTGGACTGCGAGCGGGCATGATTGGGCGCTGCGATCCCCCTGTCGGACGACCTGACTCCTTCTGTGTGACGCTGAACGGGTGTGCGAAATGATTGATGGATTTGAGACGGACTTTGGGTTCGTCAAAGTATGGCTTTCATGTCCCGGTGCCGACGGGGTTCCGTACTCTTCAGGTTCCGTTTTTGAGTACCTTGTTTTCCGGTCTTCATTCGAACGACAACATCCACGTCTTTTTGTACGTATTCGATGTCTATCCTTCATTCTACCGTTCAACCCAATTCGTCGTCATTTCCTGTACTCTCGTGACCTCATCATCAACTGACCGCCACACCATTCAGAACCGGAGCGACTGGTCATGTCGGTGGTCAGACTCTCCATGCTATAGCGTCGTCTACTCCATCTTGACAAGTTTCAGTCAAATGTCTCGTCTGGGGCGTGGAAAAAGACAAGACTGAGCTGCGAGCGTCGCAACGTCACCCTTGAAAGGCTCTCTATGTGTAATAAGTATCTCTGAGTACGAGGTTTGCTGCCGTCGAGCTACAGATCCGCCCTGAGTGCACCTGGTGCTTCCCCGTCTACTCCTGTTGTGATGTTTGAGGGAATTATTGACAGATGGGCAGACGCGAGCAGGCAGGCCTTGCAAGGACGAGCAAAAAGCAAAAGAGAGAGCTCCCGATGTCCTGACTCATTCGTGGGCGGTCTTACTGCTTCTCAAGGGACATCAATCATTTCTCGCGACAAGGCTTTGCTGCCAGAGCACTTGGCCCTTCCACGGAATCGAAGGGTAGGAAAAGTATGACGTAAGGCTGGGCAAGGCAGCAGCTTGGTCAGAGACGATTCAAGACAACGCCGGATGTTTGAAGATGATCATTTCATCTCTTGTTCACGCTTTTCCAAGAAGTTGGACAGCCATGTCGCCGATCGATGACGACGGAAGACGCCGAGGAGAAAGAGTCTCGACGTCACCATGTGGTAAGATCCAAGACTGGCATTTTCAAAACCGAGAAATGAAGATGTTCCCGTTTGATTCCAGATTTCAAGACGTCCGGATTCTACATATTGCTTCTAGGTGTCGTCAACGGCTTTGTGCATCTATCGACACTGCGCTAATCACGGAATTGGGAACCAGCACGACACTCTTCGCTTTGCCCATGTTTCAAGATTTCGGAAGTATTCCTTCTGATATGCATCCCCCGCCGAGCTAATGGCGCACACCCTGAAACATTTGGCTATAAGCTTCTATCGAAACTCGGGCGTGCTTAACAAGACCGATTTCTGTACCGTCTGCCGCGAAATTACTGATGTATCAACAACAACAAACACGACTGGACCCACCAAGGGCAGTCAGCGTAACGCCACCAGCGTGTCATCGTTGCAAGAAGGGCAACAGGAAATCATCGGTCTCCTTAGCTCCTTTACCTCACGAGTCAACCACTTGGGATCCACGCCCAAGGCGACGCCAACAACGACAAGGAGAACGACGCCTATGATGGGACTATGAGCCAACCAACACCTCCAGTTCTGAAAGGAGCACCCACGTAACCATCAGAGACGAATTCAAACACACACTTAAACGCACTTGGAGGAGCATAGAATCGGATGCTCAGAAGCACCCGCCGAGCAAGAGGCGCCACATGCCAGAGAGATCAGATTCGGAGATACCAGCAGAAAAATCGCCCACCCAAGGAGAGCGCCAGGACGAAATTAGTACAGACTCCTCGACAGAAAAGACCTCCTCTACGGGCGAGTCCGAATCAGAGTCCACGTCCAATGGCGAATCACATTGAAGGGAGGATAGCAGCAGCCCAGCGGAGTCCGAGTCGGCTTCAACTCCACCAAACCACCAACAGCAATACCAGTCAACCCAAGAGGCGACGCAACCAACTATAGAAACCTCGTCGACCGCAGACACCGACAGGAACTTTTATCTCCTCCCACCCACCTCCCCAATCAGGTCTTCTCCCTCCCCCTCCCCCCCAACGAATTACGTGAGAAGTACTGGAGCCATGGACAGGACGACCACTCCAATGGTGACGACCACGCGACATCGACGCCGCCCCTAAGCCGCCACATAGCACTTCCAGCGCCGTCCCAGTCGTAATCCTAGCCAAGACACCACGAAAGAAAGCACCTCAAAGGCCTAGGTTTTAATGCCAACAAGGAGTCAGATGGAGTCGTGTCATCCTTGCTCAACGACCAGAAAGTCGCAAGATACGATTTGATCGCAGTCCAATAGCCAGCCCTCTTGAATATCAATCCCAACACATCCACAACCCGGCGCAAATCATCTGGCACACAGTCTATCCGACCTAGATAGAAGTGAACAATCAACGCCCACGGGTATACTTCTACGTGAACATGAGTATGCCGATAAAAGACTGGTCGATCAAGTGACACTCAGGGAACTATATCACCCTCGCTTTGATCCAATAGACGTTCCAACAAGGACAAGAGACATCGACAATGCTCGAGATCGACGTTCACAACGTCTACCAAGAGCCTGGCTTAGAATTGGTTCACGTGCTTACTGAACTAGAGAAGGTACAAAACTCAATCCCGCAAGGAACAGACTACCATAAACACCTCGTGATGAGCGATTTCAATACTGACCCCTCTTGATGAAAGTATCACTAATCGACTCGGACGACAAGGCAGACGAAAACACAAGCACATCCTGCCGTTCTGACCTACAACTGCTTCGGAAATTAGAAACCATCGCACACATCAGCCACAACAATACAGCAAGGAGCACTCTAAACCTAGAACTTGCCACACCGGGCCTCGCGTAAGGACTACTATTCCAAAGTCGAGAAGAAGCCTCATCCACAAATCAGCCTACGTGCCCATAGAGATCATTTTCAACATCGAATTGGCTACCAGGAAACCAAGCTGATCCGCACATAAAACGCCACGAACTACGAGATCCTAGACTGAAGCCCTAAAGACTACCTACCTGCACCCAACCAGCCGCTCAACACTGAGACGGACATTGACTACTTTGCCAATCGAGTGGTAGGAGCATTTAGGCCAGCAGTAGATGCAGCAGTACTGATCAAGAGCATACCCAAGTACTCAGTACCAGGGTGGGCACCGGAGCTAAGCAAGTGCATCATAGAGGCTAAGAGGACCAAACGCAAATACGAGACCATCCAATCCGAGGAAGATAGAGCTGCCATCATCATCCAACAAACAAGAAAAAGAGAAAGATCAAGATCAAGATCCGCAACCGTTGGAGAATCAATGACGTCTTATCCGAGGCCTGTGGGAACTTGAAAAAGACTTGGTGACTCGGCAAATGGGCCAAAGAACGCGAGACCCCTAATCGTCCATACACGTCACCTCTAGCTATCGAAGGAAGGCTGGGTCACTACACGACGTTATCTCAGGGCAAAGCTGATATCCTCTGGGACAAATTCTTCCCGTCGGTGCCCACCATAGACAGAACGGACAGATCGCCAAATTGTTGGTTGAACAACTCCCCCAGGGATAGGAGCACATCACCAAAGCCATCGAACATACCGCAGACATGAACCTGGTTGATTCGGGAACTCCTCAGGGCTCGCCACTCTCCGCAGGCTGCTACAATGCCGACCTTGTAGAGGAATGCAACTACCCGGACAATGATATCTCCTGTCTCGCTTGGATCGACGACACAGCAGTTATCGTAATCGACAGAACTTACGAAGACAACAGTCAGCCTCTCGAGACTACATGAGCAGAAGATGGAGCCCTAGGCCAAACGTCACGACATACACTTCAACCTAAAGAAAATCGTCCTTATGCACTTCCGCGCCCCACAGAGGAGACAGGGAAAATGGTCTATGGCACCCAGGGAAGGCTAAGCGCCGGTGCCCATCGGTGGAGCCATAATCAAACTCTCAGAAAGAGCAAAATTTCTAGAGATGGTCCTAGAGCCTCGTCTATACTTCGTGGACCATCTTGACAAGATCATGAGCAAAGTCAGAAAGAGCATGGCGATCCCCAGCATTTTTAGGTACTCCACACGAGGTATCACCGTCGACGAACTCCGCAACGAGTACATGGCAACCATCATCCCTCAGACCCTGTCTGGCAAAACGGCGCGGTACAACCCGGACGCCTACAGACCCTGGCGGAGACAGCCGTTAACCTCGAAGAAGGTTCAACTCAGGGCAGCCAGAATCATCACAGGGACATGGAAACCCGCACCAGCCGACGCACTCGACGTGGAAGCCCACCTAACACCCATCCGCCTAAAACCGAAACAAACCCTCGACCTTACCCTTGTCCGTCTCCCGGCATATCCACAGTACGACGTCATCAGGAGAATCAGGCAGAGAGGAGAGGCAAGGGACTTCGTACACCAGAACTGGGATAGGTGCCCGACGCCACCAGAACTCCTGGAAGGAAAGGCGCTTCGGCCCCATCCACAACAAGCCGCTCACGGCCCCAGAAAGCCTACTTCCTTTCACCAGACCGCCCCACCAAGAAGCGCCAGAGATCGAGATCGTACCCACCCGCGACGAGGCCATAATGAAACACAATATCGGGCACCTGTCAGTAGCAGACCACGCCCTATACACTGACGGGAGTAGTATCAATGGGCTGATAGGTAGCGCCGCCTTATAGCTTCTACACAGGTGCCACTAGACAAGTCATGCTCGGCCCCGACACCGAGTACAATGTGTCTACGCAGGGGAACTATGGGACATTCTCATGGCACTAGAAATTGCCGATATGGACAGCTCAGGCGACAAGAACCGTTGTACGCTTATCTACACAGACAACCAGGCTGCGATCAGGAACCAATCAGACCGAAACATCATCCGGAGAATCTGCAACATCTACCGCATACTGATGAATAAGTAAGGAAAAGGCACCATCTCTCCCTTGTCCGCGTCCGCAAATTATATCCCTGAGATCTTCTCACAAACAAGCACTCGCTCATTGGCATTGTTGGGCTATGGAGACAGGAAGGTGGTTAAACGTACGCCAGTTGTGTGCGTTGCTGGCGACCAAGGCATTTTAGTCTTTCCACCCATCGAGCTCTAGAGAATGAGCAGTGGCTTGGCCTAGATGTTCAACGGCCCCCCCGACCCAGCGGGCGCGCTGTTCACTCTTCCGTCTCACCACCAGGTCGACGGAATCCCCCTGCGCTTCGCCTTTCGCCTGAGAGTGAGGAAGTTGCCTCTGCACTACACGAGTTCAAGCTGGTAAGATGGACACCAAAGCTGACCTCCGGGGACAGGACAGGCACGATCTCATATCGATCTGAGCCCGTCAATCGTCCCTCTCGGATTGAACCGCACCATCTCGGGCTGCTGGGATCTTTTGATCTCGAACATGCACGAGTGCAACCACCGAGCCCGAGTTCGCGGACAGACGAGGCTGTGGAGTCTCACTGGCGGCTCTGCAAATCGGTCCATGGATCAAAGTGTCGCACCATCTCGGGTGGGACTTTGACAGGGTCGTTCGACGTGTCCTTGGCTTGGGACGGCCTTTTGGCGAATCGATTGATTCCCCTTGACGACCGCTGTGGTACATGATTTTCGGATGGCAACACGGAGAACTCCCCCCCGGCTCATCGTCTTCCGTTTTGGTAGTCGGCTCAGGAAGAGATAACCTGCACCACCCACGGAGTACCAAGTGTGCAACGGTTGTGGTGTTGGTTCATCATGATCTGATAGGACCCGCAAAGGAAAAAGGACGAATTTGGCTGCAACACTTTTCTTTTCCTTATTTTTCCCCATTTACCCCCTATTTTTTCTTGTGTCTTTTCTCTATCTTTTCTTTGTGCCAACTGCACCAATACAAGTGCCAAACGTTTTCACAAAGTGTTACTTGTCATTCACATACACGGAACCCCCAAAAACACGCTCGTCTCCCTTAATCGAAGTGAAAATTTGATTGTACAGCCTGCCTGTCGCGTGTGTCCTTTGCCTGGCGATGCCCTGTCCGCCGTCTTTACTGCGTACGAGAGTCCCAATCTTCTTCTGGTCGACTCCGCGTGGAGCCCCTGTCTGACCCGCGCAGCGTGGAGCATTGCGGATCTCATCCCCTGTCGGTCTTCCGTTCATCGGGACTTTCGAACAGTTGTGGCCTTTTGTTCTTTCTTTTTGGCCATCTTCTTTCACTTTGTTACGGTCATGCGCCGGGTTCCACATGGTTGTTTATCGCATTACCCTCTTTTCGAACCAGGACTTCGAGGGATGTCCGATGGAGTAAGCCCAATGACTTATGCCGTAGGCCCGTTCACAGATGCGACTGCGCCTCCGTGGCTGTCGATGTGTCACTGCACCAGATCGGTATCGAGGAAGAGAAAAGAGGGTCGCCGATGAGAGGAGAATCTTGAGGCAAGGGCCATCTATAGTAGGATCCCTGGTCTCGGGTCTCGGATGATCGTCATCGCCTTGGAGCGTCGCGGTGCGGTGCGGTTCCAGCAGAATGCCTCTTCCCATCGCAGAACCATTTTCAGTACGTCAAGCGCATTCATCCTTTGAGGTAGTCTCTCTCTTTGCAGGCCCCATGGTAGGCCCCCTTTGATGTCGAAGGTGATCGAGCTTAGGACCTTTCTCCCTCGCCACGCGGTGAGGATTTGTTTCTTGAGTAGGAGAGGGGCCTTTTCTGTTGACGGTGGTGAGCGGACTGGGGCAGTTCCTGAATAGGCCTAGTGTAGCAAGCAGGGAGCACCAGTCACATGATCAGGATCCTGACAAATACTTACACAAGGGTTTGGGGCTCTGCTGACGTAAAACAGACGCATCTCGATCTTCCCGCTTACGCGAGTGGGCGAAAAACCCCCGGCATTTCTGTACGTACATTTTCCGTGCCATGAAAAGAAAACTTGTATTTAACTAGTGGCTTACTCCCTACGACCCGTGTATCCTACCTCCAGTACCTCGGGTAGCCAGCCCACTCATGGCGTCGGAAACCGCGTCCCAGCCCTCGGGGTACTACCCCTCGTACACCGAAGATCAGATTCGACAATATCTTGACCGGGTGGAATTCCCCGTTGACCACGACCACCCCGGTGCTTCACTTCTTGTTCCGCAGAAACAGCAATACGACTTCTTGGTCAAATTGATTCGTCGACAGATATGTAGCGTGCCGTTCGAGAACCTTGGCCTGCACTATTCCTACCGTCGCGAGATCTCTCTCGATCCGAGCCAGCTCTTCTACAAGATTGTCGTACAGCGCCGAGGCGGATACTGTCTCGAGGTCAATACCTTCTTCGCCCTGGTCCTCCGAGGTTTGGGTTACGAAGTGATTTCGGTCGGAGGGCGGGTCTCCAACCAGATCAAGCCCGACAACAAGGACACACACGTTGAATATGGTGGCTGGTACGTACAGCTAGCCCTTCCGACGACGTGAAATATTCGTTTTTCCTGGAGCCCCATGGCAGTGCCTCATCAGAGCTTTTGGGCTTCTGAAGGTTCATATTTCGATTGATCGTTTCATCGAGTCACAATGGTACATACTCGATGTACTGTAACGTCACCTACTGACTGTTTGTATCATGCACCCACAGGACTCACATGGTCAACATCGTGACCGTAGAGGGCCAAAGGTACGCCGTGGACTGCGCCTTTGGTAATAATGGCCCGACCCGCCCTGTCCCCCTGCGAGATGGCTTCACGTGTCGCAACACCGGGCATGGCGACGGCAACAGTGAGATGCTCCTCCGCCACGAGAGCATCCTGGGTGGTAGTAGCACCTCCGGGCAGCTTCTCTGGGTCTACTACGTGCGCTTCAGGTCTTCGATGCAGTGGATCCCGGCTTACTGCTTCGGTGAGGTCGAGTTTCTCCCCAACGACTTCTCGGTCATGAACTACTACATCAGCAAGAGCCCCGAGTCGTGGTTCACGCGGATCCTGGTCTGCATGAGATTTCTGGAGGAACCAAATGCTACCACTGCCACCACTGGTCCCGCGGATACCGACCGGGTCATCGTCGGTGACGTCACTCTTCGAGACGATACCGTCAAAGAACGGAAACACGGTCGGAGCAGGATCATCGCGAGGTTCTACGGCGAAGCCGACCGCATCGCCGCTCTACAGAGGTACTTTGGCATCGAACTTGACGCGGCAGAGTCCGAGAGCATTACTGGGACGCTCTCTCAACTTCGTTAGACAACCCGAGGGTCTCGAGTGTTGGAGAAATGAAGGGCTGAACGAGAGGAAGAAGAAAAGAGAGATGTGAGACTACAGACGCTGAATTTAAATAACATGCGGAGTTCCTAAACCCAAGACATGTCACGGCTGTCAAAATGGTGTTGTGGCGCCGCAAAGGGCGCATCTCCACGCCAAGGTGTTATCGCTGACGGCCCGGGTCAGGGGAGCAAAGGGAGTACAAGATCGGTGGCTAGGAAGGTCGCAGTGTAATGGCTCGCGTTCTCTAGTGAAAAGACACCGAATACAGTGCACTTCTTCTTGCTCAGTTGATTTGATTGTCTTTTCTATTGATAGAACTGTCAGACTAACTAACCGTGACAGCCTGCGGGCGATAACAACACCTATGTACCTGTTATCTGACCTTCCCCTTGGGATCTCCTTGAACCAATGAACAAGTCCCCTCGGCGCAATAATCACATGATCAGAATCCTGAGACTATTTCAGTTTAGCGTATGTACTCTCCCTCTCTCCTTTCTCCTAAATATCCCTTGCTCAGTTCTTCATTTCCCATCACTTTGAATTGCTCCGTTTGACCGTCAACGCTCCAATCCCCTGGGAGCACACGATTCTCGAATTTTAAGCAATGTATCATGATGGCGAGGCTTGCAGACAAGTCGATGCCATGTGCATTTTCTGGGAGAGGCAGCTGGATTCCCACATAGCACAGTACGCAGACGAGCTGTCAGCACAGGACCGAGCCAAGGCTAGCACTTCGGGCAATGCGCAGTACCGGTGTGTCCCAGAGTAGACGTCCGACACCGATATTACGTGTGAGCCCGAGGCGAGGGACTATAGGATCGTGGCGGTCCTCGCGGACCTGAACCTCCATGATGCCCCGGAGGGTTCCTGGGTTCCGCCGCGAAAGACTTCTTTACCACCCTCGAATCCTTTGCCTATCTCGTCGATGTGTCCCAGGGAGGGAGATTTGAACTTGTACCGATCTGCGCAAAAGAGATTTGAACTTTTCGTGAAAATTGGCACACACTCGGGGAAGGAGTCTCTTCGACGCTCACTATTGTCAGAACCGTGGGTGGGAAGGGCTCTCTTTTTGACACAGGGTTCGGAAAGTGGTTACAGAGAGTGATCTTTTGTGCTTTGAGATGGCACTTTGGAGAATACCTCCAGAAAGTGTTGCTTTTCAGTGTTTTCCTGTGCTTGCGCATGGCAGTACCACGCCCAATTCTCGGTTTCATGGTCTGTCTGCACCCTCGGCCTGGAATTCTGTCCGGCGATCGATCGTTTCGCCCGACGTCGTGGCTCCGCTGATTAGTGGCAGACACACCGCGTACGACCCTCGGCAGAAGGCGACACTGGTGCTTCGTCGTCAGCGTCGTCCGAGTCACCGGCCCCTCCCATCGTCTCCGCCTTGTGGCTTGCATTGACCACTGTTGTACCGGTCGTCGTGGTCCTGGAGACACGTCGGAGAAACGCATGCAGCTGCTCTTCAAGATTGCCGACTCTTCCATGTACGCGGTCTCAAGGATGGGCGTCACCGGCGCTACAGGAACACTAAACACCAAATGTCCCTCGTTTTCGACGGGCCCAGGGCCTCCGGCGCCGGCGTACTCCGCGGATATTTGTCTCTCACCTTCAGACTCGCTTTCGAGAGTTTGCTTTCTGAAAGCCGAGGATCATCAAATCAAGTTGATCACCTGCAGGATCTAAAACGTCGCGGCCGGGGCTGCACGGGAGATGCAGACTCGGGGGCTTTACGATGTTGGATTTTGGAGACTTGGGAAGATGCCTGCAGGTACTGGGTCAGGAGTACCACCTAGATGGGAATCTTGGTACTTCCCCTCCACGGCTCAATCTCTCGGATCCGCCACAAAGTCTACAAAGTTGATTCCACCGTTTGTGGATGTTGCGAGTCTTGTCGGTGGCTTTTCTGATGAGCTCACCCTGAACCCAACGGATCAACCACCAAAACAAGTTTCTCACGACTTGCCTCCAAGCCGGCTTGTACCATACCTTTCCACCACTATCCTCTTTGATGGTGTATTTGAGGTGAGTTTGTTCCAAGACTCAACCGCATGGGTTCCATCGCCTACGAATTCGCGCGCAAGCGGATTGGCCATCAATCTACGAAACATAAAGATTCCAAGGTCGAGATCTTGGACGAGTCTCCTGGTTTTGATTTACCCGTAGACGCTTTTTTGAGAGAGAGAGATTAGATGCAGAGTGACTCTGCTGCTCTAGCCTAGACTTTCTGGGTAAAGGCCCATGGACTTGACTCCAAGATCATAGACTAATGTTTTGACCTCACTCAGCCAGGAGGGGGGTTTTGTGATGAAAGCGTGTGAGGGATTGCAGAACAGTGTGTGTGCTGTAGGACCTGCAGTGCAATAAATTGATCTCGTAGATTGGACATTGTACCACTCAGTAAATTTTCCCTTGTCATTCTGGCCCAAGCACAAAATAAACCTGCAAGTGTTGTGTACGTACCTTGGGCTACCGGATGTAACCCCCTTGGAGAATGAACACATCGAAGCGAACCAAACAACTCCAGGCACCTTGTGTGATCGAAACCATTGTCAAGTGACGATTCTACTGTTCACTCGAGGAGTATTCTGTTCAAAAACGCAACCGAGTATTGATTGGTACGAACTATGTCCTTTGCCATACAATGCGTCGGCACCAAATTCCCAAAAAAACCCCTGATCCTCTTCAACACTCTCACGGAGTACAATTTTTGCAGACAACAGACAGTATCCCGTCCTCGTTCTCACACTGCAATCCCTCTGATCAAGGCCAAGTCAGTCTCACTCACCCTGAGCTGAGCATGCGGGTGTTGTACTCCAACTTCCTGAGAAAATCAAAAATGTTGCATTCCAATCCTGCCGTCCGTGCACATCATAACGCGCCACCCCTTCTCAACCACCTGCCCAGCGTCTCGTGTCTTCACGTTTGTGCAGCTGCGCCTTTTTTACACCTCTTGCCACAGTGTTTGTCAATGCAGTTTCGACCAGGATGTCTTGCTCGTCTTCCCTTGAGAGAGCCCTCGTCGCCGTCCTCATTGTCACAACTCTGCTGTTCAGTGTCAGCCATGGATACGTCGATTTCGGCGACGCCACCCTCCCCTTCAACGAACCGCTCTTGATCCCGACCCTACGGCCGAACCAGCTCCCCATTGACCATGACCTGCGCTTCGAGATCCTCCCGTCCATGATCACCGCCGTCGCTCCCTCCATTACCGTCGCTCCAAATGGCACAAGAGAGACCGTCTACAGTCTCCACTACCATCACTACTTTTCAAAAACCCGCCAAGGTCGAGGTCTCTTCAAACGTGGCGTCTTTGCAAATGACCCGCCGGTGTCGACGTGTACGCCGTGCGGAGGAGCCGTCTCGAGTTCTGCTCCGTCAGGGACCACCAGTTCTGTCCTTTCTTGCACCACCCATACCTATTTGGTGAGCCCTTGACCTTTTTGCTTGTCTGACCGACGGCTTCTTCTGTTCGACCGACCTGCTGAAATCTCTGCTCGACGAATGGAAGGTTTTGCTTATTTGACCTACCTGATTGGGTTGTCCGTCCGACGAAGACACGGTTTCGCCTGTTTCACTGACATTGAGTTGCCGTTCTTCGAATGCCTTTGACTGACGGTTAGCATTCAGGGAGTCTTTCGATCGCCGGACCCGCAAGCCACAACGCCAGTATGCTTGAACAACAACTATACCGGTGCACTTGAGCCCATTTCGTCCTCGACAACCGGTCTGCCGTGTTGTTTCTCCATACCGGCGTCGTGTTTGGCAAATGGCACCAGTTCGACCTCCTTCACCGCCACGTCTGGTGTCTTCAGGGCAACGTCGACGTCCAGCCGATATGCCAACATGACATCGACCGCAGTGACAATGTCGAGATCTAGTGCGACTCTTGCATCGAGTACCGCAATGTCCTCACCTGCTTCATCTTCTTTGTCTCGTTCATCTTCGTCTTCTCCTTCATCATCCAACTCGGGTGGCCCGATACTGAACAGCGCATCTCGAACGACCACAGTGACCGTCATCAGCGGCACCACCGTTGTCATCACCACATCAGCAGTGTCGTCAATGTCTCGGACGACAAGGAGCCCAGATTCGTCGAGTTCGTCACCCAGTCCATCGACAATGCCATACGTGTCGAGTTCAAGCTTGTTGTCATCGACGTACTCGATTATTGTCATTTCGAGCACCACAATCACATTGACCAGCCCAACCGGCTCCACGAGTGCGAGTGGAATGACGGCGTCCCAGTCTACGTTGACAGTGATCACAGCGAGTTCCACGGCAATCACGACATCGTCAAACTCGGCCTCGCACATCACAACGGTTGTTTCAAACACCATAGACGGCTGCGGCACGGCTTCTGGGAGCGGCATTGTCGGTAAGTTCGGTTCTTACCTCATGAACAGTAAATATCTCGATCTCCATGTTAACTCTCGACAACAGCTGGCACTGGAACTATATATACCGAGGGGATATCAATCGTGACGTCGGGTACCGCGTCTGGTGAGGCTTTCGAAATGTTTCGCTCCGTTGAGATTCCATTGCTGACTCGCTTGGCATATAGGATCTGCGTCCAGTGTTGTCGGATGTGGCTACATCATCGCCACCACAGGCACCTTCATAGGCAGTGCCATCATCACTGGGTGTAAGGATTCTTCATTTCTCCCTCTACCACCTTTTCTCGTGTCTTTCTCAGGGTTTTGCTCCACCACTTTCTCTCGCATCTTTCTCCTTCCCACACGCCCTCTTCTCGCCTCTCTCGCAATCTTGGTATCACATCTTGCCGACTTCATTCTCATTCTCTGGGCGGTGGAACCCGCAAGATTGATCGACTGACCAGGCAAAGCGATTACCTGGGCTGGGAATCGACCCGACGCGAGGGTTAACCCTTTACAACACCTCCACATGTCTCTCTTGTGATTCTGGTCTCACACATGTCCTCGTTCTCATTTATCTCCCATATTGGTACCACACCATCTTGCTTCTCTTTCTACCTTGGTTTTCACCTCTTTGCAAGTGTGACTAGGTATCATACTGACCAAATCTTTCGCTTGCAATAGGTGGATATGGCTCGGGTAGTGGTACCCTCACAGGTACTGGCACCATTTGGCCTGCTCAAGGAATGGGAATGGTTTCGGTCGTCTCATCGGGGATTATCAGTGGAAGCGGAAGCTTCAGGGGCTGTGGGACATTGGTAAGTATTTCTGGTACCATTCGTCGCCTCTCCCCCATGTCCAGCGGGGCTAATCATCACTCTCGTCACGGTAGACTGGCTCCGGCGTGTTCACTGCCACCGAGGGATACACAACCACAATTCTTGCTCCCGTTACCACCACATCGGCCGCTTCTGCCCGCCCTACCCAGACGGTCAGTGTCTTTGTCTCGTACTGCGTAGCCGACTCCAACAGTCAACAAGGGAATATCATCGTCAACATCTTTGGTAACAACAATACGCTCGTTTCTCCAATTCTGGCTTCGAACGGTACCGATCTGGTGAGCATCTCCAACCTCGGTTCCGCGGAAAATGCTCTCTGCAACGTATGTCCCAACAGTGTGGGTATTTGCTGTCCTCCCGGCGTGACGTGCGATGAGGACGACGGCAAATGCCCGCAGCACGCCGTCGAGATGGCCGGCAACACCATCAACGGGTACCTCATCCCGCAGGTGATGAACAGCAGCGCACCCGTCGAGGGTCAGAGGAGGCACATGGCTCGAGTAAGGGTCAAGAGTCGGGAGGAGAAGGAACGAGAGCTGCAGATGGACAGTCGAGGGGTCAGAGAAAAGGAAAAGATGAGGCAAGAGCACCACCACGGCCATAGCCACGGTCAAAGTCATGTGGCCCATGCACACATCCAGGAGGGGGGAAGGAAGATGAAGAAAAAACAATTCTAGACCACGGCCATGCGCTCACCGTGAAGGGGAAAAGAGGATGCAGAGGAAACAAGTCCGGACCGTGGCCACGAGCTCATCCAGGAGGAGAAAAACAATATGAGGAGAGCCACGGCCGTGGAGACGGTGACTTGTGATCTTTTCGGTCTTCGTCCAGACCATCCACGTGCACAGCAAGGGGGGGGGAGAAAGGGCATGTGAGGCAAGAAGTGGTCGCGGAAATGCCGCATTTGTGATCTTTTCAAGATTCGTCCAGACCATGGCCGCACACATGGCTGTCGTATCGTGCCGCTGCAGCTGTGAGTAATTGTTGTCTTGTCAACCCCTAATCGACAGATGTTGAGAGTATCAAGTTTCCCTCATGGTTAACAATGGCCATTGTCCCTGTTAGAACAACATTATCAATAATCGGGGCAGATTCCAAGTCCACAACCCATGTTGGTTTTGTGGTGATTGACGATACAGAGTATGTAATAATGGCAAATCTTGATTTAATCGAGTATCGTTTGCATTGATTGTACGTCGAGCAAATTTGGCTGGTGGTCTGAAAGGTAAGGGACGAGGACCGAGAGGAGGAGAAGAGAGTGTGTGGTATTGTTTCAACCACTCTTGTGCCAAACAACACCTTGGGACTGAAGAGGTTGTCGAATTCTTCGAGCCGTTCTATCAGCTTGTACTGAAGAGAAGTCGCTGAACTTGAGCGGTCTTTCTCTCAAAGTTTTCTAAAAGGATGACTCTGCCATGGCTGTGTACTGGACCGAGCGACTAAGAGAGGGCGCGAAGGAATCTCATAATAGTAACCCGTTTGCTCACACTATGGTGAAGGAGGCTCTTGAATGTCCTTTCGCTGTCACGAAGAGTCCCAAACGGCACCGCCGAAGGTGATCCCACCGAACCGGTCGCTGAAATGGCGCGTTTGTGGTTTTCTCGATGTACGTCCACGTCAAAGGCCTTGCAACGGTCAGCTTGGCATGATTCATGTTCAAACCGTGTGCAAACCCTGTTTCGAAGTATGGTATATCAAAGTCGTACAAGAGATACCTTGTAGCGACAGGTGTGTGCGGATGTCGCCACCTTCACGTCGTCCTCGCACCCAGCCAGACCGAAAATCTCCGGGCTCTTCGACACCGTGTTTGCTTAGGATGAGGATGTTACGAGACAATCGGCCAAACTCGAGAAACATTCCCGGAAGACCCCACGGGTACGTTGTTTTCGTGGTCTTTCTCGTCGATCACTCAATCGACAGCCGCATGCGAGTTTTCAACGGGCAATTTCGGAATGACGACCATGAAGAGGCGCCATATGCTGTGTCTGATATGTTGGATTGAATCTCTTCCAGTTGTGTTCCATTGATCTGATCTCCGAACACCTGCACCACCTGTCCGGTCTTTGGATCTCGTTCCCAAACCTCGCAATTTGTCGCTTCCATTCCGTTCGGTGTGAACACTCCTCCGCGGCTGGGCTTGCTCGAGTGTGGCATGTGTGAATATATATATATATATAGAGAGAGAGAGAGAGAGAGAGAGTAGCTCGGTTCGGCTTACTCGAGTGAAGTGAGATCTCATGATCTTCCCAATGATTCTGTTCTCCATCTGGGCAACTTGAGCTGAAATTGTCTTGGTTGCAGCGTCGAGTTGAAAATCGATCATTTCATCTCGCTCGGTCATTCTGAGATCTGAAAATTCTCCGTGATCTTGCGATGAGATTCCGTTTCCGGCAGGAACTCAATTGGTCCGAAGGGGTAGTGGAGCTCATTGACTGGTACTCGCCACGGCCAAGCCACAGCGTGCTTCCGTCAAGCAGATCGAGTCGTGAGTTTGGATGATGCTCAAGATGATGGATCGTCATGTCGTTAACCTGAGCTGTCTCATTGGGCTTGAAATTAATCCAATTCATTACCTTCCCGTTTGGCTGTTTTCCCAGGTAGACTAGCTCCTCTGCCACCATGCACGATACCCCAAACAAAGATTTCCTCCCTTGAAGAATAGTCCTCTTTCTGAGCTGGGAATCCGAGCCCACGGTCTGTGACGCGAAGGTAGCTGTTTCGGGTGCCAGACATGTTGGCGACGATACGCACTGCCGATTTTCCGGCCTGTTGGCAACCTTCGCCTTGTCCTCGAAACCAAGTATCCAAGAAAGATGTCGTTGTGTCTTTTTCATTCTTCCTGGTGGGAAAAATAAGAAGGGAGACAGTCCGCATCGCTTGCGGGAGGGGAAGAGGCGAGATCCAATCAATCTCCTCGGGAGATGGGGTCGAGTCTTGCATCTCCCTTGTTTCTCATCCCACCGGGGGCAGTTTACACCATGGCAAAGGCATTCCCAACATCCAGCTTGACATAGCTTCGCGAGAGATAAATATATATATTTGTCGATATGTTCCGAGGAGGTATTGGTGAGATGGCCACGAGACATCTCCGCAACCCAGACAGAAGAGATGTGTACCTTCTCATCTCGAAACACATTCAACGGGCGAACTGATTCTTCAAATTCAGTATGACCGTTTGAAGAAGGAGGAGAAGAAGAAGAAGTATCCACGTCACGACAACCACGGAATGCTGACCCTTTCGGACCATTGGGGTGTTCAAGCGGAGGTCGAAGGTGGCAAGAGCGATATGCCTATGGACAGCCATATCTCGAAGGCCGGTCACCTGCTTCGTATTTGCTTTGACGCAACTCAACGCTTGGGATATGATACATGGGGACGTCAACGCCCGGTTGGTACGTGGCCTTTTCATCGAGAGATATTTCCGTGGATATCGTCCACTGGGGTTGGACGATTTTGATGACTGCACGCAGCACTCAACTGACCGTGCTCGTGTTCTGCATCTTCTCAGAGTTGATCATTGTCGCAAATTTCCGAGGATCCAGGACGAATAACGGCGTATTGTGATACGTTCTTTCGGTCTTGTTTCAAAGTTTTCTCCAACTCCCAATGCCGATGGCTCGTCAGCGGTCTTGGGGTTTGTTGGTATTGTTGGTCCCTGTGGCATTCGACCCTGGAAAACAATCCACTTTGTGTCTATGATCATTCGTCCCTTCTGCGTTCTTTGAAGACCATGCCTTCTTCTGTCGTGCAACATTGGCTTGGTATACTTTGAGATCTTGTTCCCGCCTTTTGAAAGGGTGCCTTCGAGAATTGATATCGATTGCCACTGTTTTTAGCCCGTGCCCGTCCTTGCAGCAGCCATCATGTCACAGAAAGACATCCGGTCCGTACCGTTGAAAGGCGGCTGAGATATATATAATATGAAAACGAACGAGGTGGACTCTGCGTTGACACCTTCGGGGCGGGACTTCGTGCCGGTGAGAGTTCCGTCCGTAGACATGTGTTCGGGTTATCGAAGATACCAGGCCCACTTCCTCCATTGTTCATCCTATTGATGTTCAATGTGTTTTGTACTTCATCGTCGACCACAAGTGGAAGACTAGACGTTGAACCCGTAAAGCGCGACTGCCCATGCAGCACTCCAGATTGGATCGTGTAGGGCCTCGAAGAGGGCCTTGGTCTTTGGCTTGAATTGATCACGACAAAGCCCGATTCGAGCAACGATATGAGCGAGATGGTTGTGATGATCCAAACACAGCTGTCGAAAGCCACTCTTCAACCGTGGCGGCGTCGAAGGTCAGTGCTGAACGGGTGTCAATAGTTGACAGAGTCTTCCAAGAGGCGTTCGCACCTTCGCCCTTGGCGATCTCTTTTGTCATTGCTTCAAGCGAGTAAGTGGATGACGCCTTGCAGCCTGGGACATCGAATCCACGTTTTCTTCAGATCACAAACTCTATACACGATTCAAGAAGGGTGTCGACAATTTTCCAAAGTTCATGAGTATCCTGTAGGTTCAGGTATCTTGCGTCATCAGTAGCGGCCGTAGGATTGAAGACTGTGACTGGCTGCCTGCCACCAAAAAATCCTCAACAGAGGTTGCCATTCCGTCATCGTTTTCCACTAGTTCATCGATACATTCTCTGTCCATAACTGTTTCCAGCACAAGATCGCGAAGACAAGGCTCCTGGATAGAGTGGTCCTCGGGGCGAATCCGTTCTGTAATCGTCTGGTACAAAATCTTCCAGAGGCTCTTCGTATCTCTTAAAGTCGATGTTCATGAGTCTTGCGCCATGAATTCCTGTAGTGCCCAATTCTTTCGTGCTTGTCTAGCTTCACGGACTCCTTTCTTGACCTCCGCAATGGCAGAATCGTCCGAGTCATTTTCAGAAAGTTCTGATTCCGGTTCAACTGGCTTTGCCTTTGCTTTGCCGCGTTGTAGAAATGGTTGGAGGTTGTCAAACTGATTCTGGCTCTGCTGTATTCTGACAGAGTTTGGGTCAGCAAGGTCCAAGGCGATAAGAAAGTTGGCGGACTCACTCGTGGTATCATTCTCTTGTCATCATTGGCAATATGATAAGAGTCTTATCGAATATGAGTACCATAAAGGGGATGCCACTGTTGTAGAGAATTCGACTCCCAAGTGGACAGGAGCTTTCGATTTTTTCCTCGAAGTTTTGTCTCTCGACGGACCCGCTCTAGTTTCTCTTCCAATCTCTCCCTCTCTCCTCCGGCACACAAACCTTCAGCTTCTCCTGCAAATGGTGTCTATGCGCTTCATTTACCCAGATATTCTGAGAAATGAGTCGAAGGCAGTCCGTATAGAACCGGAAAGGGTCAACCGAAAAGTATGTTGCCCTGGAAGAGGGAGACATGCCGAGATTTCATCGATATATATGTTTACCGGATCAAGCCTTGGGATGGGAATCTGGTGACGATGTATTCGTACACTCGAAAGGCGTGGGAAAAAGTTGGGATCTTGAGAGGGAAAGAGAGAGGCTTAAGTATGGATCTTTCTGCAGAGTAATAGTCATGTTCCAGAGTTGTGTTTGCCCCTCGTGTGTTGAATTGTTGAGTGACACGGGCTTTTGGTTGTCACTTTGAGACAGTGTCAGTATCAGCGTCAGGTTATGTAGATACCACTACAATACCAGCTCTTCCTATTCCTTGGAGAACACTTTCCCAATGGCCGTTTCGGCAAGGGTCGCTTAGCTTCTCATTGTCTCGGATAGGGGGCGTAAAGCAGAGGCTTCCGCCCGGGATGGGGGGAAAAAGGCTGTGGGATTCACATGTGGCTGTCACCTGTCAGTTGAAAAGAATTTAATACAGAGGGGCAAGAGGGTAATTGTGGCCTTTTTAGGCTGTGCCCGTGATATATAACCTTGGTCATTGAAGCTGTGGAAAACCTCGTTGGCTATCAGAGGGAGGCTTGAATGGGACTGCAGTGCAGAAAGGGGGAACATTTGCTGTAGCGCAACGTAGATTCGCTGTAGGGTTCTCGTTTGGCAGCAGAACAAAAGGCAATGGAAGGAAAAGGTGACGAAGGAGAAACTCTTCTCAACGGGAAAGAATCAGACATCACATGTTTCTTGATTCAGTTGTGGGAATGACTCGTTTGGCTTCGAGGTGTATTTTGAAAATACAAGAAGGAAGGAAAGTAACAAAATGAATGCCTTGCGACAACACAAGGAAACCGTGAGACACGTGTTTCCGCGGGCGTGTGCGGAGGAAGTCGTGGCTGTGACAGAGAAATGGGCGCTTTGCTTTCGGAGGGCAAAGATTTGACATTTGAAGCCACTTTGATTTCTGTATGTCTCGTGTTTCTTCTTTTCCTCTTGACACCTCACCACCGCCACCAGTGGGTTGTTCCAAGAGCCGTGATTGTGGCCAACTACGTACATTAGACCAGTTCGCGTCGTAGTCTTGAACGGTCTCTGCGGCGATCGTCCCGTGCCTAGTTTTCCTCGTCTCTCAATCTCTGCGCCTCATCTTTCTGAGTGGCGAGTTCGAGTTCCTCCTGATCTGCAATTCTTTTGGAGTCTGCAGCCACCATTATTCGCTTCGTCGCCTGCTGCCGGATCATCGGTCTCAAAAGCCTACGTGAGAGGTCCTCGACGTCTGCAGGCTTGATTGTAATGGGCTCGATGGCGGTACCAATTTCAGGGGGTAGTCTGAAGAAAGGGATTGGGAGCTGACGATCCTCTGAGAATGGGATGATTTGATCCCCGAACACCTGCAACACCTGTCCGGTCCGCGGATTCCGTTCCCAAACCTCGCAGAAAACCTTGATGGCCCCCACGCACAAGACATCCTGACAGTAGAGTGGTCCTTGAACCGAACTCATTCTGTAATCTCTTCGCAGAGATTCCTCCCATCTCTTGAAGTCGATGTCCATCAGTCTGGCGCCCTTGAATCTTGGAGTCTCTTCTACTTTGAGTAGAATGACTCTGTGGATATGTCGGTTCCCCATCAAGTACAAATCTCGGACGTGATGAAGACTTTGGAGGGTTTGAGAAACGCCAATCTCCACAACGGTGTGCGAATCGAGGTCTCCTTCGTCATCCGTCCACGCAATATCAATGTCTGGGTCTTTTTCCGAACATTTGTAATCTCCTTCTTCCATGCAGGTCACGTCGGCCCCAATTTGCACATAATGTCGGTCGCGTATTTCGGGAGGCCACGTGGTTGAGCTGAAGATTGCGACTTTTTGGGCCCAGGCCTGAAGACCACGGTGTATTGCACCTGGCATTGGGAAGACAGTGAGGACGGATCTGTAGGCGTCGTACGAAATTCTGAATTTGTGCCTAGAATTATGGTCAGAACACCGAGAAAAAGCATTCCGTCCAGAAATCACCCTCTTTAAGGGGAATAGAGATCAGGCCTCTGCTCGGGACTTACTCTTCTCGGCAAGATTCGACAAAAGGATCCGTAGAGAATTTGAACCAGGACTCCTTGGACAGCTGGTACTCGCGTGGTTTCTCATCTGGGAAACTGCGCGACTGAGAAGTGGTCATATCTCGCAAACAGTTTAGCACTTTGTCGATTTCGTCAGTCTCGTCCGCAAGGTGAGGAACGTCCAGGTCGGAACCATGTTTAGCATTCAAGGAATCATGTGACTTTCTCTCCGTGAGAGTGTCGCGCGACGTGGTATGAGCTGTCGACTTGGCCCTGGAGCCAGCGCCTGCTTCTGAAGTAGCCATCTTGTTCGTTGGCATTGTTTCACACGAAGACGTCGCGGCGCTGGGAATCTTCAAATCACACTTGTCTTTTGTCAGGCACAGACAAGGGTGACTTTGCGACTGCACAACGTAGGACTTGGTGATGTTTTGACTGAATTGGGCCTTGAAGGGAGAATCATTTTCACAGCCAAGGGAGGGTGGGATAGTGGTTTGCGCCAAGTCATGCGAAGACATATCAGTTAACTCATTAGCACCCGAAGTTCAACCGAAACTGACTAGTGACAGTCGCCATTAAACCGTTATTACTGTAGTTAGTTCCCTTTGCGACTAATTTGTAACAGTAGTAGTAGTAGTATTGTAGTAATAGTAGTATTGTAGTAGTAGTAGTACCATGAATTAGCCTGCGTGATCCGTCAAAAGGTTTCCAACAAGAATGCACCATGTTTACCTCGCGGTTGGGACGGTCACGCAGGATGGACCAAAAATCCTGTTCGTTTCTAGGATATCTTGCTTGTGCCGCTGAACCCACACTTGTGTACTCCGTAAGGACCTGGACCAACGTCGGACAAGGCTTGGATGGCTCTTCAGCTGCCCAAATTTTATACTCGGCATAAAAGTGCCATTTTCCTCAACTTGAGAAAAGAAACCCACGGGAAAAAGATGCCATCGTCATGGACTATCGAATAAACAGTACCAAAAACAAAAACAAAAAACAATTCATCTCATGATTGACGCCATCTGTGTCCCTACGTATGGTGGTGGTCATGTTTCATTGAACCCAGAGAGATTGGCTCCTGTTGTATGACCTGAGCACTCGAGCAGGAACCTACGATGTGACCTACTGGAAGCCTTCGAGCGGATGGGAAGACATTATGGGGTCGTCCCAGTAGGACGCTCGACAGCGGTCGTACGTGACGAGATGGTCGCCGCAACCGCATCTTCCCCCCCCCGCAGGTCGTGGTCGACAGGCTGGTCGACGGCATCGGGGCCATTTCTTTGATACGTCCTTTGTCGTGGCCCGCAGCTTTCTGGTTGTGACTTCGAGCCTGCTTGACGGCCAAGAGATCACCAGTGGTTGCGTTCATACCCAGGTATACACGACCATAGGTACCTTTCCCGATCAGCTGACCACGAGCGATCTTGAACGCCGCCCGTCTCTTAGGCATATCTTCGGAAGGCACCTCTTCTTGTGGTATCGGATCCATTGACTGCGCGAGGTTCAACTTTGAGAATTTGTTGTTTGGATAATTGGACAAGACGAAGGCCCCAAAAGCCGATATATTCTCGCACCATCAACGGGCAAGCAGCCTCCGTGAACGACACCGCTTTTGATGGCCTAGAGGGAAATACCGTTTGTGGAAATTTTGAAAGAGAATGGGAACTCGGTCCGAAACTACAAGATCAGATTTTGTTCGTTTTGTTCGTTTTGTTCGTGACAGTTCCACTGGCAGCTTCAGTATCATGCAGTGGATTCATACACAAACAAAGAAGAGTGGGAATCATTTCGTAAAAGTTGTCAAGACTCGAACAATCATGCGGATCAGGTAGGACAGTGGGTAAGAGGTTTCTGTTCGTACCTGGAGCAACAGCATTCCTCTGACGCATTTGTCTTCCTGGATGAGACATGAACGCCGAGCAAAAGTTGCCCTCGTACCGAATCAATGACCGCACGAAGCGTCCTCTCGATCTCCCAGCTGTCCTCCTTGATAGAAACATCGCTGTTTTCCATATCCTGAGTCCGCCCCCGCCATGGGCATCTTGTCGACGGACAATCCCCAACACCGCGGCGTGACTGAAACATTGACTTTGTAGGCGCGATTCTTAGGCGGCCCAGTATGCTCTGTCATTTCAGTGCCTGACAATTGCTGAAAACGTGGTGCGAAAGTGCGGTGAGCCTCGGGTACGTGAAGGCGATGTGGTCCAGGCTGAAAGGACACTTACAATCGTTGTTCGTCTGCTCTGTAACCCGTATGCGGTTCAAATCTTGGGAATGAGTCGTTCGGTGGCTCGGCGGTAATTGATGGATGAAATCTTACTTTCTCGTTACAAGCGTTTCTTCGAGATAGATTACCTATATCCACAATTCTTATTTGTTGTGCCTCGAACCCCATGGCGCCAATGTCGATGCCCAGCACGGATTTGAACAGGGGTGACGAAAATTATTCCTGGATACAGGAGACTGAGGAAAAATCGCAAAGCACACATGGTCGATCTCTTCCATCTTCTCGACGTTCGACACGATAGTCTTTGCAAAAAACGAAGTGTACATCGCAGTCATGGTCTTCCATCTTGTAGCTCGACGAGCAGATGGCTGTCCAGCTTCCATCGTGTTCTCCGTATGGTGAAGCCCATTTCTCTTTTTTTGCTTTCCACCGTCATCGGAGGCTCGTGCGAGGGAAAATGATCGACTACCAGCGACCGAGGCTTGATGCGCCACCTGACGACGAGGGAGGACTGCGTGGAGCCTAGTCGCCAATGATGTCGAAAGTGGTGAAGTTGTACCATTTGACCATGTTGACCATGTCGACCTTTCCGTCGGCGGCTGCCTTGTCCCGGAGGTTTTGGATAAAGAGGTCAATGTAGTGTGTGAGAATGTCTTCTTGGCCCCAGAGCGCTCGCTCGGAAAAGACGTGGGGCAGTGTTCGGCGGTGGCGAGAGTGATCCTCGCCATCAGCTCTGACGATACTGCAGGCTTTGGTGGTCGGGACCCTGTGGAATCTCAAGTCCTTGTCGAATGACCGCCGTCCGCTTTTTCTGGGTCCGAATATTTCTTTCCACGCGGTCGGAGAAGTGAAGGAGGCTTTTGGGTCCACACCGAACGGCCGTGCCGTACTCGTCATGCAGTGCCTTCATCTTGTTGACTGCGGTCCCACGCCAGGTGTGCCAACACCACGGTAGGATGGTGATTGCCCATAGCTTCGCCCTGGGCAACCTAGTCAGGAGGTGAAAGAACAACCTGTAAGCTGTTTGAGCGAGTAAAGCGAGGACCTAAAGTAGAAATCGTGTCAGGATTCCAACATCAAGATAGAGCCGGTGCCTACCGGCGACGGAGTAATTCCACGATGCAACCACAGCGTCTTTGCAATAAACTTGGGAGACTCACCCCGAAAATTGCAAAGCAAGCAAGTAGGAGGCTTCCTTTCTCAACGGTCGAATCCATCGCCACAAAATGATGTCGAGAGCTTGCCATCATCACGAGGAATGGCAATCCCTACACAAGTGAGTCGAGAGGACCTTTCCTCAGATGTCTAAGTGCCTGGATCCTGGGCTTGGTCCCTGAGGGTACTTGCAGCCATGCACAACGAAGCCTGAGGGAACAATAGCAGGATAGAAACGTAGCGCCGCTATTTCCTGTTCTGCAGAGGCCATGAGACCTGCGTGAGATTTTTCGCAGCGACGGTAGAGTTTCCATGGCGCGATACCTGTGGCCTTGGTTACCGAAAAATGGTGGCTTTGTTGGATTGCTCTCAGTCCATTCCCAGACAACATCTCGAAACGTTGAGGGCGGGCGTGTTGTCACGTATGAGTGGTATCAAGCATGTTAAGTTCTAATTACAGGGAGAACCTCCACCTTATCCTCCAATATTACCGCTAAGCCTAACCTGTTAGGTTGGCTGTCATTTCACAATATAACAACACGCAGGCCGCGGCAGTTCCCGAATAGGGATATTCAACAACAACCACCAGGCAGTACTAGTCACGTGATCGGGATTCTGACAGTTACCGACCCTTCGTGTAAGGACTGACCCTAAACAGCATGGCAAGTTTTGCGCACATCCCTCCAGGGCTGTCAACAAACTCAGTGAGATTCAGAGAGCCTCGCACCGTCTGGAGGAGCCATTTGTAATGCGGAGGTGGTGGGTAATAGTGTAGGCGGATGTCTGACAGGAGGCATATGTAGATGTGGGTGGGCACAGGTTGGTGGATCACAGTTATCAGGCTTAACACCCCAACAAGAGCGACAACTCTTGTCCATCTGCTGTTCCGTAGCAAACATGTGCACCACCGTAGTGATTCCCAGCCATAGAAAATCGCCGGAATTGACGAGTCCATGACCATATCTTACCATGTCGCAACGATAAGAACACCACCACAGGGCATATGAAATGGACGCCTCAGATCCAAAAGACATGGATACTAGTCAATCCCAGCAAGATTTAAGTGACCACTTGCGCCAAAATCAGGCTACATCCAATCGTGATTCCCCAGAGCCCTCTCGCCATGAGTTTGTTCATCCGCGCACACAAACACCGACACCTTTTGTTCCTGACAAAGACATTGTTGACAACAATGAGCCACATGGTCTATCCTCCCCTTCTATTTCAGCACTGAACATGAGCTCAACCGTTCTAGTGCGATCTGCACTCAATCCGCCCGTTCCAAACCTACCCACACTCACCCTCTCACCACGAGACGAACCGAACGAGGATGAGAAACATGGCTACTATTATGGAATTCCTTCGCGTCCTCTCTTAGTCGCTCGGTCCAATACACAGCCATGGCAGAGTCATCCTTTTTCATCCTCTTGGCCTTCGGCAAAGACCCTCCAAGCCGTCGAGCGCAGCCATCCCATCGCCGAGGCATGGTGCTCGGGGCTTTTCAGACAAATCATCGAGGTTTTGAAGAATGTTTCATTCACAACTATCGATGTGGTCCGAATTGGTTATCTGCAAGACAAGGAACTGCCTCCGGTGGTGCTCTGGATCGGCGTGCCAAATAACAGTTTGTCCTCACGTGTAGGAAACGAAATCGTCGATGCCTGCGTAAGCTTCACCCTCATCTGTCCAACTCCAGCCCCGTGGAAATTAGACTGACCAAGCTCCGCAGGTTGAAATCTTGCGACGGTACCAGCTTTTCGATGTTCAATGCGAGATCAGAGAGTCGGAATATCGGCAGTCAGCACCGTCGCCCACATGTTCGCCCACATATCTGGCACCCGAAACCGCCACCTTCGCGTCGGGTGGATTCCCGGCCCAGCTGATCGCCTCGCCCGGTCAGTCTATCAATCTCGCGGGTTCCACCGCCCACGGGTCTCTCGGCCCTTACCTCCGAGCTGGCAAAGGCAACCCGGATGCAGAGGGCGTATATGCTATTACCTGCAGGCACGCCGCCCTTCCAGGTACCGACCTCGAGGAAAACTTTGATTGGAAGCGTGCCGGCCAGCCGCTCAAGAACATCCTGCTTCCTTCAGACGCCACCGTTTGTCAAGAGCTAAAGGAGATTAACAGTAGTGAGAGGATACATAAAGTGAAGAGACTCGATATTCGGGAGAAGTTGATGGTCTGTTTGCCCGAGGAGGAGGAGAGGTTGAAACTGAGACTAGAGCGGCTCCACCACGAGACAAACCTTCGAGAAGACCGTCAACAGCTTCTGTCCGCTTGGGCGCCGAAGGAGAATCGCGTGTTCGGCCACGTCGTGACCGCCCCCCCACTTCGGGTTGCGAAATCTAGCGACCCATCAGGCCTTGGATCAATTGTGGACTGGGCTTTGATAAAGGTCCACCTGAAAAAACAATCAGATGGGAAGGTAATGAATTGGATTAATTTCAAGCCCGATGAGACAGCGCAAGTCAACGACATGATGATTCATCATCTTGAGCATCATCCAGAATCACGATTCGATCTGCTTAAAGAAAGCACGCTGTGTCTTAGTCGAGCAGTTCCAGCCAATGAGCTCCATTTCCTCTTTAAACCAATCGAGTTCCTACCAGAAAAGGACTTTCAGCGCATCCTTGTGGGTATGAAGGGCGCACACAGTGGATTAACATGGGGACAAGTCAATGGGGTGAGCTCAATCGTGTCGCACCATGACACCAACAAAGGCACTCAAGAAACACTGTCCATGGAATTGTGTGTTCTTCCCTTTCTCAGAACCAACGACAAGGCCTTTTCTCAATGTGGAGACTCTGGTTCAGCCGTTTTCGATCTCGAGGGCAGGATTGTTGGGATCGTACACGGTGGCTCAGGCTCACTACAGAAAGCATCAAAAGACGTTACATACGTGTCTCTGATGGCAGATATCCAACGGGGACTGAATGAGCGTGGGTACAGCGTTGAGATCGCGTAAGAGGGCAAACTAGGGGGCTACGATTGGGCTTCATTTTCTTTTTTTCCAGGGGAGCTGCGTGCTGGACCACATTTTCTTGCTCTGCGACGAAATGACTCCATGTGTATTCTAGGCCTATTACAAAGATCATAGACTAATGTTATGGCGTTACTCAGCGTTGGCGACTTGGTCATGAACGAGGAGATTACTAGTTGTTTAGACGGCCCAGGGGCCTCCTCCGCGGAGTCCTCCGCCAACCTGTCTTTACAAGTTGAGACCTTTTACTAGGCTCAGACCACTCCTTTTATAGGCCCCTCTAGACGCTCATTTTTTTTGCTCCCTAGGCCTATTTCACAGGCGCTTGCTTGGGGCCACGCACGACGCCTAGCATTCACATTCCCGAGAAAATAGCCTCATAGTCATCGAGGTCAGACTCGACAATACATCATATTGGACCCCCCCTTGGGAATCAAAGTACCTATAGATTGCACTCTGTCTGACAAGGCGTCTTTTACTGTTGAAGGAAAGATGAAACCACGACTCGATGTTGTTCTAGCCTTCCTATAAATTTAGGAGCTCCTTCAAGTATATCGGTTTCGGCTTTGGATGCCTTGACATACGAAAAGTGCCATTTGGATACAACCTTCCCTGAAGAAACACCGAAGCCTTCTTGAGGTTCTTATCAAATTAGTCTATCTTGGTCTTCCCTTTTCATCGCAAAAGGTCCGATCTTAGCAAATCCTAGAATGCTCCTTTGTCTTCATATTCCAGCTCAGAAACGTCAGCTTCATTAATCAGACCTTGCAACGTAGTTCAAAAGTACAAATCTTTTCTTGTGAGCAGCAAAGTGTCTACCTCACCTGTCTGAGGGTACGGGTCTCCCTTTCCTTGAAACTCTCCAAGATATGAATCTTTCTTTCCTTGCGACTTAGCTACTACTAAAGGTACGGTTCTCGCTTTCCTTGTCTAGTCAAATTCCTTGCACACTGCTCTTTCTTGTCCCATCTTGCATGTCGTCGATTTTTTCTTTCTGTCTGATACGCCGTCTCTCTCACTCTTGCGTTTGGTATACATTCACTGCCGCGGGTCCAAAGCGTGAGCTTCATCGCAGTATTCTTTGGGTCTATCAGATTTGTCCATTTTCACAGCTGGCTCCGCAAGCTTCATCCTCAACTCCGCCAACGACTCCGCGGCTCTGCCGCCGCGACTGCAAGATCCACCGGACCTGACCCTCTTCATACTCTCAGAAGATGTCTACCACTGACCATAACGATTCCGACAAACCTAACGACTCAGGCAACCCCATTGATTCCGAGCACCCTGACCAATCCGAGAACCTTGACCCCTCCTCCCTGGATCTACAGAGACAGGGACCTCCTCATGAAGTCAATATTTGTTCCGGTAATTCTGGGCCGGAAATCCCGAAAAACTCTCATGACAAAAACCCTCTTCTCAGTGATGTTGATTTGGATAAAATCAGTGACGGGGACTATCGTGTCGTACGGTCACTGCTGAAGAGTACGAGCAACTGGAATAGGAGAAATATCCACTTCAGTGATCGTGAGTCGGACGAGGTCGATGCCGAGCTACTACCGTGCTTTAAGGAACTGGCAAATCAAGAGTTTTTCCGTGGGCAAACCAGGACCCTTCGGTTGAGTGGTCGTGACTCAGAAGTCGATACCAAAGCCATACGTTTGATCAAAGAACTACAAGATCAAGAGACGTCTCGTGGGAAACCCCCTCGATCGAATGGTCACGACTCCAATGAAGCCGACGCCGGGGTCCGACCCTTCTTTGAGGGGCTGGAGGAACTCGAAAGTCAAAATGCTTCTCGTGGAAGAGTTATATGTATCAGTGATCATAATTCGGGTGATCAAGAGGAGTCTGGCGGGCAAGAGGAAGCTGACCAGCAAGGGGACAAGCCGGAGGAGGCTGACAAGAAGGGGGAAAAGCAAGGGGAGGCTCACAAACAAGGGAGAAAGAGAAAGGAGGTTGACAAGCAAGAGGCAGGTCAAGGACCGGAATGGATGGCGGCACTAGCAAAATGGATTGGTCGGCCATGGTTTCCTCGACCAAGGAGCCAACACAGGAAACGGGATTAGATGGCATGGCACGAACAAAGTGTATCAATACGAACAACCAGGGCCATTCGAAATGCTCCCTCTTATCTTCTTGAACACATTGAGGCGCGGAATGGAACTCTGACCAATCCATCTTTCTCGGATGGGTGCGCTAATCAGTACTGTTGATCTGCATTACACACACCGCCGCCTTATACTTATCACTGATATAACCGATTGATTACAAAATACACACGTCTGAGTAACTTATAATCCCGTCGTTGCTACTGCTCTTATTGGCGACTCGGTGCTCGTCTATTCTCACTATCCTTAAGGATGTCTCTGGACGTCCTGGTATTTTGTCGATTACCATTTGACTCACATTGATACCAAGGAATTACAATTTGGGAATTCTTTCGGTGATAAGTATAGCCTTGTGAGTGATTCAGAGGTGTGTGTGCGTGGTACCATATCGTCCTTGCGTGGTAAGGTGTCAGAGACATGTTGGCATGTGCCTGGGTGTTTTCAAACAACTTTGGCAATTGTACACTTCGGCAACCAGCAATGCATCCTTCAGCCTGTAGCCTGCGCCCTCGATTTACCTGTCGTGTCTTTTAAATCTCGTCTCTGCCGACCTTTCCAGTTTCCGACAACCATCATGGCGACGGGCCTCCTTTGGACATCATCGGTCCGTCACGCGAGATTACTTAGACTCGTCGTCGTCGTCGTCATCGTCAACCGTTCCAACTCCTGATCAACACGATCAAGCCGAGCTGATATTTAAGCACATGGTCTCCGATTGCGAACCTTTGCAGATGTCACCCTCGTCCGAACCGTCCATGAATTAATTGAATCCCAACTTTATATCACCCCCGACATGACCCTCAATCCACCCCCCTCCTCGGCTCCTAGCCATTTACCATGACATCGCGACCATTCTGCATCTCAGTGGAGGCGGGGATCATGCCGATCAAATCATTCGAGAAATGGAAGAAGTGAACATGGAAGAAGATGCGTCCCACCAAGTCTACTTGCTGCAACCAGAGCTACTTCGGCTTAACTCTCAGGCGTGGCCAGTTCTCATAAATTGCAGCACGTACACACATACACACACACCCACACACACACAGAGAGAGAGAGAGAGAGAGAGAGAGAGAGAGACAGGATCATAATTTTACTCGCATAACACTTGGACGGTGCGCACCTAAAAATGCCAACGAGAGCGTGTGTTTAGGGTGTATTCAATCATTCCGAGCTGCGTACGAGAGATCTGACAGGCCCCTTACGAGGGGTACCGTCCTGGGCACCCGAGGTCCGAAACTGGGACTTCTTACACAATCAGTGGGTGCGATCCGTGAACATCCAGAAAGGATGAAAAGTCTGGTGAGATTCAGCTATAGAAATGGCAGAGACGCCCAGGGTCATAGCCATGAAAATGATGTTCCTAGGGCATTCCATGGCCTAGAAATGTACATGCAACAATGGTGTGGTGGTCCAGGCTTTGCCGTTCAGCACCGTCGCCCTTCCCATCTTTGAGCATGGCCGTCTAGTCCGGTGTCTCGGTATCGCTTCAAAGTCTCCAGTACTTCACCGAGGTTCTTCGCTTCCAGTTCTTTCCCCTTGCGATCCTCAGCGTGACCGTCGCTTTCTCCAGCTATTTTCTTAATGACGTCCGCGTCCGTCTCCCTAGGAGGGTCTTTGGAAGCTTTTGCAGAATTCCGGTCTCAACAACCAGGGAATTAAGGTAGCACATGAAGGATACCATGCTCACCTATCAGTGGGCGTCACTGGGTCAGTCATCTCAAGCCTGATAATGTCGTTTATGCAATGGACAATACAGTATTCTTACCTCATAATAAGTCTCCATGCGTTCAATGACGCGAACCGTTGCCTCATTCCTTTCTCCTGGTTGGCGGCGTCCGGTATTGTTCCCGTTAGCATCATCGTCTTCACCGTGATGAAGGAGCTCAGGAGTCTTGGCCACCTCGAAGACAAAGTCAGACTTGACGAGAGGAAGTGCTGTGCGGGCGCCCATTATCGTTGGTAGCAGAATATCATATCCAATTTGAAGAAAGATCTGTATCATGCGGTCCTTGCGGTCATTGCCTTCATGGCTGTCGTCGTCGTCCAAAGAGACTTCGCCGATGTAGTTATTCGTCAAATCTATTAGCCGCGCAGCGACGCCCCTGGCTCTCTCCCGCACCTCTGTTTGCCGAACGTCGACCAAGCTGTCAAAGAAATCCGTCTTGTCTCGTCCATGGCATCCGAGGAGATCCGCCAGTGTGCAGTAGGACTGTTCCTTCAGTTTGTCGAGTTTTGACCGAATGAGTTGCTGTCGTAAATTGTTGAGCATCTCCTCATAAGTGCGGGTAGCACCTAATGTCCGTTTGATGAACACATCTACCGTGTGCCAGACTGCGTGAAGATGCCCTTTCGCAATCTTGCCCCATTTCTCTGATTGAAGCTCGAAGTATCTCGTGTACGCACCCTCGCCGCTTAGCTCGCCTTTCGGCTCCTTTCCATTTCCCAATGGCGCGGATTTGCCAAACCAAGACTCACGAACGTGAACCGGGAAACATCTTCGATGATACTGAGGGTCGTGGGGAGCGACGTCACTGGGATGCCCAGAGCTTGCGGAAGAAACAAGATTCGGAGAATGACCTAGATCTTCTGGTTAGCTGAATGTCGCTGAAAGAACGAGATGAGAGAACAAACCAAGAACTGAAACGAAATGCTCGGAGAAAGAAAACGCGGCAACCACGTACTCGGACGAGAGATGTTCGAAAGCAACAGGCCCCGGAAGAGTACGCTCCATACTGTCGTCCAACACCATCTATTTCGGCAGAGCCGCATTTTCACCAATACAAAATATTCCACGCCATTGACAGGCTTGTCCGCGGTCTTTTCGACTTAAAGAAGAGATCTCGTACCTCCCCTGATAGTGTCAACCAATTCGTTGACGAGGTGCCAGGCACTCTCAATAACTCGGCGCCTTCGCAGCTCGTTGAAGACAAATGCATTGACATTGTTCATCTCTCAGAAGCACGAATAGATGTCAAGGTTAAGGCTGCGCTGGAGGACATATTCAAAGCATTGAAAACTGCTACACGGTCGCATGAATCCGATTTTCCTGATTCACTTCTGAAAGATATGTCTCGCTCTGTCGAACATTCGCCTTCACCGGCGGACTTACTACGGAAACTTCTTGTTCCTCTGCGTTTTCCTACAAAGCTTGTGGCAGAATTTCCGCAGGCTAAATCGGGCTCGAGACAACCACTTTGTGATCCTCACCGACTCTCTCCTCCGAGTTGCAGAGTCATCATACAAAAGATGGGGCTCGATTGCGCTAAACACCGGAAGAGTAGATTCAAAACAGACCCGAATGTACTGGAATCGCAAGAGGAGCATTTTTCGCGATGCTTGGAGGACTCAGATTCTACCAACACAGTGCAGGAGATCTCGCTTTTGTACGATTATACATGTGCCATGTCAAAGGACAAGTATAATTCTGAAACTCTTGCATACCGGGTGTCTCGGCCGTTGAGCCTGACCGCGGGCATTTGCCAACAGGGCCAGGGGCGAGGAGCATCGGCGGGAGAAACGCCGCACCAAAGGGATCATGGACCAACTCCCGACATCAGAGATCAAAGTGCCTAAGAAATCTCGTCCTCCTCCTGAAGACCTTGGCGGCAGGAAGAATAACCGCCCGCGGAGGATGAAACAGATTCGACATGATGCCTTTTTGGCTGAACTGGCCAGTGATGCTGAGAAGGGGGTAATCGCTCGAGAGAGGTGGGAAGGATCTTGATGGCTTGCTCTTTCGATCAAGTCACATATGCTCCAGGCTGCGCTCAAGCTCCTCACGTGCGCCTCAGGGCTCGCCACGCCGTGCTCAGGATTTCACCGCCACAGCTCAGAATGGCTCAAGTCATCGTTCAGGCTAAGTGGCGGGTGGATCAGGTCTCGAGACGGAAATGGATTCTGGAGAGGTCAAGATTCGCCGCTGAGTACTCTGGCGTCCAAGGATGTGGTGGGCGCAACACGGAACCCTCGATAGCGGCGGCTACCATACTATTTCCCTAGGTAGGTAGTAAGTAAGTGAAGAAAGATAAGGTTGTCTTCATCTTCTCCTCCTCCTCTTCCTCCCCTCGAGTGCTGCGCTTCGAGAGGAAAGTCTCGATAAGATTTGGTACAACCACAACCTACCTACCTACCTCATGGTTCCGATGATATATCTAGTGCGTCTGAACCCAAAAAAAGCGACCTTCTTCGGTGGGGTTTTTTGTTTTTTTCGTCAGATCCTTCTCTTCTCTTTTGGCCAACTTCGCGACTCGTAACCAATAGTGCTCCGCACAGAGTAGCAGATCTTCGAATAATGCCCAACTTGCCCCTTGGCAAGGCTGATGCACGTGATAAGGCTGTAAACCAATGTTTATCACGTGACTGGAAGCCTGCACCCTCAATCATAACTTGTCATTCACCACCGCAGGCAGGTCTCAAGTTTGGCCACTTTTCCTATCTACTGTTTCTCATTTGGAACTCCTTGACATTCGTTCCGACGACGACTACTCTTTGCCTCTACTAGAAGTACGCAATAACGGCAGTACACCGATAATTTTTTCCCCCCATCTCGCGACCCGCGCAACCCAACACGGTCTAGAAGACTGCAGGTTTTCTCCACCAACTTTCTCCCTTCTACACATACCACCTCCGCAGATCATGCATAAGCTCAGTTTGAAGGATGCTGCTGCCGCGGCCACGGCTCCTGTTTATGGCCGGTCAAAGCGAGGAGGACCATCACAGCAATCCGGACCACAACAACTACAGCAACAACAGGGCCCTCCTCAGCTCCCCCCGCAAATGTTCACCACTGCAGCGCAGTTGCTAGATCTCACCGACAGTACGTTTTACCTATATATCATCTGTCGCAGCCCTTTTTTGATCGTTTTCTATGGACCAAACGCGAAACGCGAACCTCTTTTTTTGGGATCTGTCCACTGACTTTTGTTCTGTTTGGAACTTGTTACAGAAAAACTCCTTCTCGTCCTCCGCGATGGGCGCAAGCTCTCCGGCATCCTCCGCTCGTGGGATCAATTTGCCAACCTCGTCCTCACAAACACGAACGAACGGTTCTTCGTCACCACCTCCGAAAACCCCAAACCCCGCAACCTCTACTGCGACGTCTCTCGGGGCACCTACGTTGTCCGCGGCGAAAATGTCTTGTTGCTCGGCGAGGTCGACCTGGACAAGGACGAAGAACCCCCCGCCGGGTGGGAAAAGGGCAAGGCCGAGGAGGTGGTTGAACTACACAGGGCGGCCGAGGCCAATAGGAAACACAAGGACAAGATCAGAAGCAGAAAGGGCGGGAATCTCTGGGGTGGAGATATGGAAAACAGCGGCGAGGTTTTGTTTTAAGAGGGACATGCACACACACCCACGCACACCCACACACACACGCGCGCCGAGAAAAGCTTTTAGCACGAGACACGATTTTCGGTCTACGATCAGAACGCAGCCTAGGCTGGGAAATTTTTTCAAAAGAGAGGAGAAGGTTTTGTCTGTTCTAAAATAGAACGGCAACAGCACGCTGAGAAATGTCCAAGGAGGAGGGTCACTCGTGCTTTGGCGTCATGCGAAAATACCCAACAATCACTGCCAAAACAAAGCCGTTTGGGACACAGTGTGGACAACTGGAGCACCAAGCAAGAGAAGAAGAAGCAAGAAAGCAGCACAAGGTCGACGATGAAGAGAAATGAAGGAAACGCCCCGTTTCTCCACACCGACTTGCGTGTGCTTGTTTACCTACCTGTCTCTACTCCTGGTACAAGGGATGAGCCAGGACGAGCTTTTCCTCAATGATGAAAAGAATCAGAGTGGACTCGACATGACGGCCCCCAAGCAAGTCACGACTCATGTCCGATCCCCAGAGGTCTAGAGGGAAGGGAGGGAGGAATTACGCGGCAAGGAGAGATCGAGAGCATGGCACTCAAGCCTGTGACAATGCTTTTCCTTCCTGGCCTCAAAAAGCTTTGTGGAATACTTTCTTCCTCCTGGTCTCGGCCTTCCCTTTTTGTTTTCGAGGCGACTGCGCTGGCTCACTGACTGGGCGCCGCTCCAGATCTCGATACGGCGCCCCTCCATGAGAACAGAAACGCTCGGTGTTACGCCCTGGGGGGGTAGAGATTATTCATACCTTGAGAGAAACCTAGGTATTAAAGAATATTGAGATCGATTGAACGGGGTACAACTCGTACTATGAGCAAAAGTCTAGGTGTTTCTAATTTCTGTACTCGTCTGAGTGCGTAGTGCTCCGTGCAAAGAATTCCCCTTCCGACTCCAGAATATCTATCTCTTTCGAGTTGGATATGCCGAGTACTTCAGTTCGCCCTTCGTTACCTAGGTAAACCCTTTGAAAAGAAGGCTTGACCCAAATTTCCTTACGACGACATCCTCATAGTCCTCAACCTGAATAACGATTCCTTGATCTAAATATCTCTCTCTTCCTCTCTAAACCCTTGAATTTGCATCGGCCGCTGTCCGCAATCAACAACACATGGTCAAGGAAAGATGGGAACGACCAATCGGTGTCCCTGAAGAATGATACAACCATATTAGCCAACAATCTACTTTAGCCAACAGCCTACGTTAGCCAGCGACCTACTTTAGACCAGCAGTTTACTTTAGCCAGCGAATACCGTGTGTCTCATTGTTGGTTTTGATTGGCCGGACGAACACTCTCTTATCCTCGCTTTACTCTACGTTGGTCAGCGGAAGTGATATTGCCAAGGTGCTCCCCCCACTATTCTAGGATCGTAGAAAAGCAGAGTGATTCTAGTGTGGTACATGTGGCACTTGCTGTACTGTACCTAATGCACCTTCGGGCCCCTTTCACCGCGCTAGAAGTACAATTTCGTGTCGTGGTCTTCATCTCAGGTAGGCTACTAATGGAGAAGTTCAGAGTGCCCGGGGCCAGGTGACGCTAGGTGCCCAACTGGCACCTTAGTCAGTCTAACGCTCCGTTGTCGACAGAACAGCAAACCATATCAGAGGAAGACACGAATGTGCGCATTACACGCTCCGACTATGTGCTTCATGCATCCTCTTCCACGTGCTATACCATTCTTGTTGATTTAGGGGTGGCAACAATGCGGCTTCTGGAAGCCGACGAACACGGCAGCTTCATCCTGACCTCGTTTGCGCTATCCTCTCGCATACCTGGGGAAAGGATGAAGATGAGGTCACCTTGAAAGATATCATGGAGCGTCCTCGAATTCTGCCGAGATCAGACAAAGCTGGATAGTCTCCGTTACTTCTGGATTGACACATGATGCAACGAGACGAGGAAAACTCAGTCGAGCTGGGGGAAGCGATTAGCTCCATGGTTCGGTGGTATGACGCAGTGAATTGGTGCCATGTTTATCTTTCGGACGTGCCAGATCCTCTAGATCAGACGTCGACGATGAAGTCATCCATTGCATCTAGCCGGTGGTTCAAGCGAGGTTGGACTCTACAAGAACGTTCAGCGCCATCCTCAGTGCAGCTTTTCTCCCGAAACCACGATTTCTTGGGCATCAAGGCGCCGTGAACTCAAGAGATACATGGCATCACTGGAATGCTGCTGGAGCTCTTCAAGAAAACCCTCTGTCCCGATACGGTGTGGATGAGCGGCTCTCGTGGTCATCAGGCCGCAAAGCAACCATCGAAGAAGATTCTGCATACTTTCTACTGGGTCTCTTCGGTACACACATGCCGTTTATCTATGGAGAGCTAGAGGGCACTGCATTCAGAAGGCTTCAGAGAGAGATTTCACAGTTATCCGAGCCAGATTCTTATCATTCGATGGCTGTTTCTCGGATCAAGTCGCTGGAGGGACACCTTCGCTTCGTCGGTAACGAGTCCGCAGTGGCAAATCACCCTCCTCGCCATGGATTACATTGCCATGGCCATGGTCGTGAGGGTCGACGGAGTCTTCTTGTTCCTACGCTTCCGGAAAAATGCTCGACGATCAACGCCAAAAGGAGCTGCTCGAGAAAACATGACACGGGTCCTTCCACCGAAGCTCGTGAGAAGACCTCTAGAGATTACATCAAGTGGGTCCAGCACATTGGATATAATGTTCCCTCTGACAGGTTATCCCAAGTATATGGTGTGACCAATGCTTAAGGGCCCCCTAGAACGGGCAGGGGCGTTATCACGGACCAAACATGCTTGCTTCCGACCTCAATGAACAAGGAAAATGTTGACTACGTGGTGATCTTCTACTCGAAAGTCTTGGCCAAGTACATGGGAGATGAACGGACATTTCGGACGGACAACAAAACCTACCCCGACGCTGTTTTCGATGTCTGCAAGCAATCAGAGCTTGACTCGAAGGACTCACAGAGTGTCAGAAGTGAACTCTATCAGGTATATGACCATTATAGGCATCGAGGGAAGTAGGCTACCCTGACTGTCAAGCTGCATCATGCTTCCACAGAGAAGGCCATTCTTCAGTATAGGAACGCGCAAGCCAAATTAAACAGCACCATTCACATTATCACTTGTAGTAACGACGAACATCGAAAGTGGGACAGTGACTTGGAATGGGACGCCGACTTCATGAACACTCAATCTAGCAATGTTCGCATTCATGTCGAGCCTGAACAAGAATATCGAAAGTTTTTCGAGCTCTTGTTGCAATTGGGATCCAACGAAAAGGATGGAGAGTTCAGTAAGACCATGAAAGACTGCTTTACAAGGTGCTTGGATTCCCTGCGAGCGAACGTGGACGAAGACCAGTATCGCATTGTGTCAATGCGCAATATCACCCAGAGCTGGAGTGGCCTCAGCAGCCAATGGGAAAAGCTGGACAGACCTCTGACTCCAGAGCGTCTTCGGGACGACTTGATGCTATTCTCGAAGATCGACTGTGCCTTACTGGGCCGAGTCACTGGTGGAAGGTTGCCGTGGTATATTTGCGATATCGATCTTTCTCTATCAACCCCTGGCGAAATGTGATCCGCGTCGCCTCTGAATGAGAGAAAAGAAGAGATCGAAAATAGGAAATTGATTCAGTTGAAATCTTTGTTCGAAAGAAGAAATCCGGGTGGCGAGATTCGTTCAATACGCAGAGTCTTGATTCTTGGTAGATCTGAAGTTGGCAAGACTACACTGTGTAGAACACTCATGGCAGAGGAAGACAATTGGAAGAGTTTCGACATCGTTGTCCGAATTCCGATGCAGAAACTTGCTCAGTCCCGCCACGAAGGTACCACGTTGAGTCAAGCATTGTTCGAAGAAAACTTCAGACAATCTTCCCGGGGCCGCGAATTCGCTGTCCAGTAATTTCGTTCAGCATATCACCATGAAACAGCGAATTCGATGTCAGAATCTCGACACGAGGACATTCCATTTCCATCTCTGGACCTGAGCGTGGGCCTGAGCGTGGGTCTCAGCCTCACCGCTTCATCCTGAGATGCTCCTGCACGTGACTGAACATGGCAGTAAGACTGTGCCTCTCCTCCCTTTTGCCGAAACTCCTTCTGACAGACAAATTCTACAGCTGGCTCAGAAAAATGTGCTGAAAACGGCCTCGCCCTGTGCGCTGATCTGATGCGACCTTTCCTACGTTCGTTGGGACGAAGAAGGCTCAAAAGTGAGCCACCCGCCTTCCAGGGGAATTGGGTAAGGATAGACAGAGTGAAAGAGGTCCAGAGAACGCCGGATTCGCCAGTTACTGTGGTACATGACAAGTTTGTGTGCCTGAGCATGGCGCAGTTCTGCGTAGTCGGGGCTGTGCGCTTACTCCAATGAGCATCGAGGGGAATTCTCTTGGCCGGACCAGGATGAAGGTGAGGCTCATTTCGACTCGATTTTCATCTGTGGCCTCTACCTCTCCTTGACGGACCACACTCGGCGCGATAGGAGTTAAGAACGGCCCTCTTCCAACCTCGATGCCGCCAGCGTGGTGGAAGAATCACCAAGGAACCATTTTTGTGCTGTTACAACTAGCCTTATCTGAGACACCCCATCAGCCTTGTCATGCGCCTTATTGACATCGAGACTCTAAAGCTGGAAGAGTTTTCGGGCCTCGCTATCCTAAATATGCAATCCTGTCACACACGTGGGGTGCGGAAGAGATCTCTTTTCGGCAGTTCCATAACCCGACCGATAGGTCTCGCCAAATGGCAGGTTACAAGAAGATATTGGGATGTGCCGAAGTGATAAAGCCGACCAATTTCAGATACTGCTGGGTCGACACCTGCTGCATCGACAAATCAAGCAGTTCCGAGCTTTCGGAGGCAATCAATTCAATGTATGACTGGTACGATCAGTCCAAGCTCTGTATTATCCATTTGAGCGACGTCGACTCACATGATTCCCGCCTCACTGTGGAGCATCAAATGAAGAAGTCCAGGTGGTTCACCCGGGGATGGACATTACAAGAACTCATTGCATCAAATCCGAGGCATACAATCTTCTACGACAAAAATTGGGCCGAGATTGGGACGAAAGCTGCCATGAGTGAATTGATCGCACGGATTACCGGCGTTCACAGGTCCTGTCTTCTCCACCACGCCTGTCTTTCCGAGTTCAGTGTCGCGTGCAGGATGTCCTGGGCGGCGAAAAGGATGACGACGCGACCTGAAGATGTGGCCTATTGCTTACTTGGGATTTTCCAAATAAACATGCCTCTGATCTACGGCGAGGGCCGGAAAGCATGCCGACGGCTACAAGAAGAAATCATCAAGGAGTCGGATGATCAGACCATATTTGCCTGGCAACTCAGTGAAGGCGATCAGTTCAGGTCGTCGTTGGCCCCTGATGACGGAGAAGTGGGAGTCCTCGCGCAGCACCCTGCAGAGTTTGAGGACAGTGCCCACTTTCAACCGGCGCTGCCGAGGAGTGGCCCTTACAACATCACCAACAAGGGTTTATCCATTCAGTTGCCAATCTTCTCCAGGGCCGACAGGCAATTGATTGCTGTTCTGTCCTGCCACGGTGATTGGGCAAAGAGAAAGGGTGACAAGGACCCCAAGCGAAGGCAGATTGCAATCCCGATAGTCGAGACGGTGAAAGACAGCAACGTGTACGCTAGAATCGGCGGGCTGGGCCTTCACATGATTGATGAGGCTCAGGCGCAGTCGGGGAGGCCTTGTGCAATACATCTAACCAAGGCGGTTCCAGAAACTCGACGATGGCCAGATTTCGATCTTGTTTTGGACTCTGATTCCGACTCCTGACAGACCAACCTGCGACGTATTCGGCGTTGAATTCATTAGATCGCATTACGAAGGACCAAGAGGTTCCGGTTGGTTCGTGACGATAATTCCGAGAGCGACGCGCATGGCTCCCGATAGACACCATACACCTCGCAGTGAGAAGCCCAAGGCAAGAACGCGAAAGGAGTGATGGAAACTGGGATGCGCGTCTGGAGTTAGATGGCGTGGATAACATCGGTCGTTTGTCTCGACCTAGAAATACTGCTTTTCAGACGATCGGAATAGTTCGCGTGCAGATGGATACGCTATAGGCCTGGTGGCACAACGATGCATGTCGCTTTAAACAATCCCGGGAGCGTGCTGCTGCTTCCGTCAAAAGGATGGATCGTAAGAGCAAATGGCCACAATCAAACGGGATGTCCAGCACGAAATGGGAACGAATACTCATGCGCCCTCCCCATATTCGATACACCCTTGGGCCTCCGACTCTATGCAGATCTGTCTTGTGTCGGCCACAGTTACGGCCGAGCCAATGAACCCCCGTCTCCCGGTTCAAGGGATGGTGGAGACGAGGCTATCCGGCAAGACGATAGAATGGAAGGGATGGAACTGTGTGGACATCCCAGCAGAAGAATCCGCTTCGGCATCTCCTGTGTTGGCTGGAGCAGGTAACTGAAATTACTTAGGCTGAAGTGCCATTTCGACATGCGCAAAGGATGGTATCCCCGTGCATCAGATCTGTCCAATCTGTCGCACTGGTTTGGTCAAGGCAGTAGTCCCATACTATGACGAACAGAGACTATGGAGGCTGCAGAGGCTGTGGACGGAGATAGTCTATATAAGCACACTCGTAACACCCGGACCGTTGGAAGCCCTTCGTCGTCAATATCATTAAGCCTCGCGCGCATAGTCTCACCAAGTCTTCGTCGTACCCACCGTTCATATACCTACTGTGCCTGACCTCCAAAGAGAAGCAAGAGCGCCCGAGTGCCTCGCACACCGCTCTCGGCCCCGTGCCTACGCCCACGGATCGTGACACCTGGTCAGGTAAGGCGAAGAGAATTACCAAGAAAGATTAAGCCAGCTAACGAAGGTATATTAGGAGGCATAGAAGAGAGGAGAGGGCGGACGATGAAGAGGGCCGAAAGCCATCGAGATGTAAAAAGGGGCATGGGGCTAGGTCCCAGAACCCTCTCAAGCCAGGTCCACAGACACACATTATGTGAGGCCATCATACTTATAAAGACCTAAATCACTCTCGCAGGGTCAAGAAAGGAATATGCAGTGGTGCCTTTCTTTGGGCCCTCGCTAAAACTTGAGAGTGTGGAGGGGGGACGACCTTTGGGCCACCGCCCCGATGTGATCAGCAAGGTGAGCTGTCCCGGCCGGCGCGAAGTCATGGGGGGATGGGAGATGGACGGGCGTCGAGATTTCGGTGGTGAAACAAGAAGGAATTGGATCGAAGATGATATCCATAGGTGGACGTTGCCCGAAGAGGACTGGACTTTCGCGGCATGGATTCTGATCCCTCAAAAAACACTCCCTGGAACCACGGTGTTGTTCCTCCTAAAATACACACAGTTCTGGGAAGAACCAGAAAACATAATTGTGTTTTCCATGTTCAGAAACCAGCGATCTTTACCTACAATACAGGAAACTAATAAACCTGGCAAGTTCCGGGGACGGCGTACAACCAAAAGAGGGCGAACAATATTCGCATCCGCCTAGGAATCGTCCCCAGAAAGCTATTCGATGAGGCAGTCGATCAAGGAATCCATAAACTGAAGGGAAAATAAATCGACGTGGAGCCCCGACTGGATTTAATATCAAAGGGACATGCGCAGTGAGACCTATACGAGAGTCCTGGACTGGATCGAGAGAGGTGGTCTACCGGCCGGCGCAGACTTCTTTGCAACCAGAGTTTCAAGCTCTCGGGAGTATTTAGAAGCCAAGGGCTTGGGACAGTCTCAATCCAAACGCTACACTTGAATCGTCCAGATGCGGAAAGCGTGCGAATGAGGATGAAAATCCCAACTGGAAATTTGCCACTGACAGACATATTGTCGACGCAGCATGATCTTCCAGAAGCGTTCCTTGTCGAGCTGCCTTCCGAGAGACGTTTAGAAAGGCTCAGGAAGAGGCGAATGTTCCGCAATGGGCGCTCATCAAGAGTGTTGGTAGTACGAGTACGGAGTAGGTAATTGACCGACGGTGAGCCACAAATCCGTGTTGCCTAGGTGTTGATGAAGTCCCCAGAGCCATTTCAACGGAAAGGCACAGATTGTTGGCGCCGTGGACCTCTCACAGGTACTCGGGCGGGATGTTTCGCGATTGAATTTGAGCGGATAGCCTACTAGAAGAGTTGGATATCCGACGACACTTCTCGATGGACGGAGTACGAGTGGCAGCTTTGACCCGGAAAGCGGCCCATTGAGGGCATTATATTGTTCGAAGCAACAATAACCGAACGAGAGAGCTCAGAACAACGCCCATTTGAATGTATGGAACAGAGAACTGGGACCAAGGGGCTAGGTTAGGGGCCCCTGCGAAGCCGCATACGGTCACACTCGTTGAACCAAGTTGGGTACTTCAAAGAACACATCATTCGTATCACTGCCCGGTGTCTCAAGGTAGGAGGAAGTACTCTTGCCCCTTCCTGCAAAGGGATTGTTGTGCGTGCGTTTGCTGAAACTATCGACATGTTTTGTTTTGGGTGCATTGTACACTAGTGGTACTCGTAAGTGTGAGCCCATTCAGCTCTCTGACTTGACTGTTCACGCCGTTATTAAATACAGACAACTCATTTATCAGTATGCCTGGTGGTCCGCCAGAACGCACCGCACCCTTTTTTGTTTACACAGCAATTGATGCGGCTTACTGAACTCCATATCAATACAGTCCCTCAGGACGATCATGAGCCTGCACACTCTCGTCGTAGCCTGATCCCCCTCATCACGCTTTGTTTGTACTTTGGGTATGTTCCATCTCATTCTAGCCACTGACTCGCTCCACCAGGTAGAACGACGTTGGGCTCTTCGTTGATCATGCTCTCCGTATCACCCACTTGTTTTCGCTCCGAGATTTCTCGATTTCGTGATCGCGAGCGCATCGCGGCAATGCGCCCGTTGCTCATGCTCGACAAGGATGAGCTTCTTGATGATCCGTTCAACGCCAATCCTTGAGGCCCGCTGTTGCCCCTCATGACTGCTGATTGTTATTGTAGAGGTTCCGAGGAAGAGGAAAGACGGTTGAGGTGGAGATAGACATCGGTACCGTATCTGGACTGGGTCAGCGGCAAGGAACACACACAGGGAACCCAAAGGAACTCACCCTTCCATGGAAATCAATTTCAAATCCCCTCCAAAGTATCGCGCATACAAGCGCGAAATCGGCAACCCGTATCCGAACCCAGCCATCGGTGCCTTGAAGTCACTAGCATTGAAGCCCGGATCCAGTTCGGGGGTGGTGTCCACGGTGGTGTACATGTAGGTCCAGACCAATGGAATGGCCGATCGGGGAATGCCACCTCCTTCATCGCTGATTTTGATGGTGATATCTTCCTTTCCTTCGGCAACAATGACCTTGGTCACAGGGAACTCCTCCTTGTCTGCCCCATGGGTCTCGACGACGGCTCTCAGAGAGTTCTTGAGAGTCTCGAACAGCATGTGGGACAGATGGCCAGGGACGTACATGAAATTGAGGTTGGGGTTGCAAAACAATTGGACCTTGGGTGCATCAAACAATCCATAGTGGTCTTCGCACACAAACCGAGCATTCTCAATCGCCTCTTCCGCAAGCTCTTTGACATTGGTCTTGGTGCATATTATACCAACATAGTTGGGATGTCGATGAGACTGCTGCTCGGTCAGAGCAATGTGTTGGCCGATGAGCATCCGGATGCCAATGCGGGACATGTAGAAGCGATCGAGAAAGGATTGAATCGACGAGTCGATTTGCATTCGCTGCTGTTTTCTCTTCCATTCGTTGATGCCCTGCGCCACGGTTGTGACGACGGGATCGTGTCTTCGCTTGATCATCTCGAGGGTACGAGCGAACTTGCGATTGTATTCGGCGAGGACAGGAGGCCATTCCTTTCCGTCGTCTGTAGCAGCATAGTATCTTCTAGAGTTTAACGAGCTCTTTCCATTGCCGTTCTCTTCGTATCGCAGGCTGGGGTTTCGAGTGGTGGTGGGAAGTCTATTGCTCGCTTTTTTGGGAGGATTGAGGAGTCGATTGCGTGTATCGGAGTCTAGTTCGGGTCGCGGCATGCTCGTGATCTCTTCAAAGGACTGGGCGTACCAGTCTCGGACCTTTTGTATAGATGTCATTTCATTGAGACCATCAGGCAGCTTGTCCAACTCTTCAACCCGGTGTGCCAGACGGACGGGGAGCTCTTCGGAGAGGAACTGGGAGGCTCGAAAGAGGGTTCCTGCGAGACAGAATTAGTCAAAGGAATCAAAAAGTCAGGTAGCGTGACCTCCTACCAGTTGAGGGTTTCTCGCCGAACTGCACCATCTGTCGAAGACTGACGCCGGTGGGCGGGAAGCTGGCATAATGGGAGATTGTGGACACCAGCTTTTCAGATGGCTTCCACGACATCTTGCGGCAAGGTTTAGGCCTTGCGGCCTGGGAACTTGGAGGTGGACAACTTGAAATGGAAGAAATGTGGTGGTGACTCAAAAACACGAGTTCACGAAAGCAGGTGTGTGTGAGTCCGATGTTCTCCGAATCTGGATTTCGCAGGCGTCGAGCCGAGGTGCGGCGTGGTCGATGCTCGAGCCAGTGGACGAGAGAGAGAGAGAGACGAAGCACGCGAAAGTGCAGAAGGGAGAGAGTTTCGCAGGAGAAGGGAAAGAAGACAAAAAGTGAAGGCGCGCGGAAGAGACTGCGAAGACACAGATGACTCGTATGAGCGACAACGTGAGTTACTCGTCCGGAGTATTGATGGATTGATGATTGATTTGTCTCTTCCACTGGCCTCGGGTTGTGGGGGAAAGAGGGCGAAAGGGCGAGAGGGCGAGAAGGCTCGCTAGCACCCACTAATAAAAGCCCACTTACCTACTCCGTATGTACCTAGGTAGACTCTGCTCTACCTGCACTTTGAACAAGGCACATGATTATCAGCTGCAACGATAATAATAATAATAATTGATCCCCTGGTCCGAGGCTTCGGGCCTTCTGGCCATTTGCTCTCGCCAGCATCATCACGTCGAGTCTTTGCTCTCCATTTTTGCAGTACTCTTCACTTACCTAGTTAATTTCGCTCATGCTGGTTTTCAACTATCATGCACCAATAATTATTATTATTTCATGGAACACATCAATACAAGCGCGCTCGGCGAAGTAGTGGTTCAATCATTATTCTCAGCATCCCTCGTGTGTTGAATTTCCGGACTTGTACAGTAGAGTTTTCTCTTCTTCCCGCTGATGGATTCCGTGACTTTCCGCATTCAGCCTTGCGATTCCGGGAATTTTCGGCCAAGGCTGGTAGTGTAGGCCGATATTCACCTAGTCACGTGCCTACCACGACAATACCTCCACTACACCATAGGATCGCTCTTTGATGGTCTATCAGATAACGAGCGGCAGGAAATCATCTTTCTAGATTTGATTGCTAATGTGGTACCACGAGTACATTGTGTCTTTGAGTACAACGAAACTCTCCCTGATTACGACGATCTTGTTGCGCTAGAATGTGCAGTAAAGGTTACTGGACGAAGGGTCTTCTAGACTACACCTTCATCCTGGAGAGATGTTCTGATATCGGTGTCCCTTACATTCTCATTACTAGGGATGCTGTGCTGGCCGATGATAGACGGTGCCTACAGACTGAGTAAGCTTTACAATCCTTGAAGTTTTAGCAGACAGATTAGGCACTACGACTTTTCTTTGCGGAACAATTTTTAGGCTGGCAGTCAGAAAGAGCGTCAGCTTATTTGTCTTCGTCTGTCGCCATTACCAGTACCACGTTGGCCTCAGTAATCCTACTGAGGTCTATCGTCTCAATGCTGCAAAGGAGGTGGTCTTGACAAGCATTGTTACTATTTTGTGTTACTGTCTGTGCGGCAGTAATTGCTCTGTGCTTCGCAGCCGGCAGCTTGAGTGTCTTCCCTCTGAAGAGTGGTATCATGCCGATGGGCAATGGTTGCTGTTGGTAGAGCCTGGTGTTCCTACTCGAGATTGTTTCACGGTTAGCTGACTGGTTTCGAAGTGTAGAAGATGGCCATGCAGACCACCGGATTGAGGAGTTTGCAGAGCACACAAACTTGCGTCATTCGCCTTCGTTGCCAGTGAGTTCCAGCACAGTGGTGGAGAGGCTTCGCACGAGGCAGATCTATCCCAAGACGTCCGACACGGCATGAGCTTTGCACAACGAGTGTGAAAGTATGGCTTTGAGGTGCAGTAGCCAAATGCGCAGCTGGTCATGCTGTCGAAGAGACTTCTCGAAGCGCCCGGAAAACCGGTTGACGAAGAGTACTGTGTCTGCGGACTCGGCTGGCCAGGCTGTATCATCCACTGACCTCGACAATCAAGAAGATGTGGGCATTGCGGTCAAGTCAAGCGGCCTTTTCAGGCCCCCTTGTTCACTTTGGGCTTCACTTTGGGCTTCGTGTTGAGAATCGATTCTGATCCCCATTACTTCCACCTTTGTCCCTCACATACTAAATCACAACATAGTTTGAGTGGTTGAATACTCCAGAGCACAAGATTCTGACAAGACCAAGAACTGATTCGATCGGTGGTCAAAGTTCCAGAAATGCCTACTTGGCAGAGTATTCAGGAATACACAAGATGGAGGAGCAAATGCCACAACACTCAGCGGCGAGTCTTGACTTCTCCAAAGTCCGTTTCCGTTTCCGTTTCCGTTTCCAGACCTGAGCATCTCGCCAGTTGACCTGAGCCCTGACTAAGCTATTCCGAGCTCTGGCTGTGCGATCTTGAGTAAGGCTTAGTGTGTCCTGAGGCGTACACTGAGCAGCGTGAGAACAGCCTGAATCTGACACGGAACCCATAACTTGGACCCCTAGGGTTCCTAGTTTCCGGTGTTTCACATGCGACGCCAAGCCCCCCTTATAAGTTGTTCTCCATTGAAGGCTTATGCTTCTCAGTGACCTTCACAAACAGAACGAGGACAACTATGCCGACAATCGCCTTCCACCAAAAGACAATCGATCAATTAAACGTCCAGTCCGAGAATTTTTGTTCAGGGTTGTTCCACGGCTAATATCTGTACCGGTTTTGTTGTAGTGTCTCTTTTCTCTGCGTGTCAGCACAATAACAACAAGTGGTGTTATGCCGGCAAAACTTCAACTCTCTGACAAGCAAGTCTCTTATTCGGATGTGAAGGACGACGAATCGAACATATTGCATAAACTCACGGCGTGGGATCGACGGTGCAAATTTTTCAATCACCTATATCGAAATCAGACCGTTATCCATGCAATCACTGCGCATCATCTTGGATTGAATGTCCAGCTATGCAAGGTAGCAGAGCCAGAAGAATGGATCTACGGCAGCTTCAATGTGTGTATTCCGGTCTCCATCTCCAGCTGGAAAGGACAACCAACGGAACGGGTCATTATTCGATTTCCACTACCATATAAGGTGGGCGGCCCAGAAAATGCGGACGAAAAGCTTCGTTGCGAAGCTGGTACCTACATCTGGCTTCGGGAAAACTGTCCATCCGTCCCGATCCCTCGCCTACATGGATTCGGACTCTCGACAGGTCAGAGAGTAAGAGCAAGACAATCAGAGTCGGGTTTCATACCTTGCTAACACCTAGTCAGTTTACAGCTATCGAGAACTTACCTCTCCTTCTCCAACTGGCTCACCATTTCTATCGCCGACTGCTTAATTGGCTGAAATTCCCCGTCCCTTCGAGATACGTTCGTCATGGAGAAGCAGACTTTGACTCCTTGAGCTCTGGCTATCTTCTGATCGATTACATAGAGAAAACCGAGGGCCAAATGCTGTCGTGCACATGGAACGAGAGGCATGAAGAGAAGGGGCTACGTAGGAACCTCTTTCGAAACCTGTCCCGGATCCTATTGAACATGGCTCAAGTGCCACTTCCGCGCATTGGTTCCTTCACCGTGGACAATGACGGAGTCTTACACTTGGCCAACAGGCCACTGTCGCTAGTAACCCATCAGCTGGAAAATGAGCAGATCCCGGTGGATATTCCTCGTCATCTAACCTACACTTCCACGGACTCTTATGTGTTAGATACGCTAAACTGTTTACATGATAGCCGGTTACGCCATCAACCAAATGGTGTTAGCGACACTGGAGACTGTATCTACCAGATGTCGGCTTTGGCTGCCATGAAAGCCACTTCGTCACTCTTTCTACGACGCGACCTCCGCCATGGACCTTTTGTTTTCAGCCTGACCGACCTACATCAGAGTAACATTTTTGTTGATGATGACTGGAATATCACATGCCTTGTTGATCTTGAATGGGCCTTCTCCTGTCCCGTCGAGATGATCCTCCCTCCTCGTTGGCTAGCGAACCAGGAAATCGACGAGATGGACGAGAAAATATACGATCCCGTTCGTCGCGAGTTCTTGGATGTTTTGGAGGAAACTGAGCAGGAGCTTTCCATCCAATTCCGCGACAGACTCTCCGTCATCATGAGACAAGCATGGGAAATGGGGACTTTCTGGTACACTTTGGCTCTTCACAGTCCAATGGGGCTTGTTCGAGTATTCTACGATCACATCCAGCCGATACTCGCCAATGGGCACGAAGAGAACGACGCGTTTTACACAATTATGATGGAATATTGGACCATCGAGACGACTCCATTCATTAATAAGAAACTGGCAGATGAGGAGGACTATGATAAGCAGCTCCGTCAAGCGTTCGAGGACCAAGTGGAGCCCCGTTGAGGCAGCTTCATTTTCCTGTTTGCCCTTGAGGATGACCTTGGTTCTGGGCCGTCCCTTCCTTTTTTGCCGCCTCTCCGGCATTTCGAGCCGCCTTGTCGAGAGATTCCAACCCCTTCTTATTTCTCTTTGCTTTGACGGTATCTGAAGACGAGGAAAACTGGTTCATCGCTTTAGGCGGGACTTTGGCAGCGATGTTCCCTTCTTCAGAGCACCATCGGAGGAGTCTGAGCGTTGATCGGCCATTTCTCTTGATGGACGTTTGAATATATTGACTACTTCTCGGTTAGCAAGCAGCCCAAACACCGATGAGACCTGTCTCTCACATTTTTGGATACAATGTTTTACAAAGTTCGAACACTCTATCGCCTCGTTCGAAAGAAAATTACCTTGGAAATTATTAATGGCAGTAAGAATCTTTATACCAAACTGTATGCCCACCTTCTGACAATCTATTCCAAATTGTGGGTCTCTTCTTCATGCAAGATCGACTTCTACAATCCAATACTGCAGACTCCCTCACACGCCAGGTAAAAGATATTGAAACGACTGCTGCAGCAGTTTAGCAGAATCAGGCATCGGCCCAACAAGTTTCGGGTATGGAGACGACAAGACTCAATGAGAAGAGGCGCTGAAGTGGCCACGAAGAAGAATAGGGTCATGCACAGTTCGTTGGTGTGGTGATGAAGAATTGCTGCTCATACAAGCTGCTACGGATGGGTTGACATGGTATTTGGCCTGGAGTTATCGATGTTATGCGTTCATATTCTAAATTCTTTTTGGTAGGCCGGTTGATTGGAGTATTGGAACACCTTCTTGAGAGACTCTCAAGGCGACGCGAATCAGCCATCCTCATCAAAATCATCGAAGGGGAAATGGTTCCTGATCCCATCTTTCTCTGCAGGATCCGCAGCCGCAACCATCCGCTCCTTGATATCTTGGGCCAGTTCTCTGGTAGCCGTGAAATCCTCGTTGGGCACCCAACCATACACGTCGACCCTGAGTGTTTCCCTCATTTGATCCATCATGGTGTCCATCTCTTGCTGCCGGCCGAGGAGTTCTGTGATGGACTGGGTGGATTCCTCAGAGAACTGGATGGGCGGGGTCTCACATGTGGTTGAGCCGGAAGAAACAACATCTTGCCAATGCTGGATCGCATTGATCAGTTCGGCTTGAAGAGTGATCGAGTCGCCCTCCCACGGCGTTCCTGCGTGTTTGTACAGGCGTTGGTGCAAGACCACTCCGCTGTTGAAGATGGCTTCGTAATGCTCTTCATTATATCGCAGAGTCAGTGCTGCGTATAGAAAGTGGGTGAGTCGCTTGATGTGTACTTGCTTCACGGCCACCTGCTCTTCCGGGTTCAGCGCATCAAAATCCGGTGAAAGTTCGCGGGCTGGCTGGATCATGCGCTCCGACTCAGGGTCTCCGTAGTTCTGGAAATGCTCGGGTATACCGGCAGATAGACATAGCGGGAGAGCAGTTGCATGCTGCCAATCGATGAGCCCAACAATGTCCAAAGATTCCGAGAGGAGGATGTTATTCGGTTGAAGGTCTGGATGGCGGAGGATTGGTCGACTGAGGCGGTCGTGTCGGCGGTACCCCAAACAATTTGCGAGTTTTAGGTATTTGTCGATGGCGTCGATGTGAGACTGTGGCGACATCTTTTGGTACTTGTGCACTTCACGGTAGAGTCGTTCATAGTGTAGGCGCGGCTTTGCGAACGTCTTGGTCCACTGGAGTTCTCGCTCACCAACCGCAACAAAAGGGCCATTCGAGTTGCACCCTGGAACGTTAGACGGGGAGGGGGGGATGTGGTTCGCAGCATACGACTTACAAGGTCCACGGTCGCACTCGAGCGAATCTCTTCCTTTGTGCCACCAGCTGTAATGAGCCATCGGGCCTATGCAGAACTCATGCCCCTGACTCTGAAAGGGGACGGACTGCGACCTTTCATGCCGAGCCAGGTCATTTGGGAAGTAAATGCTCCCGCTGGCCGGGAGTTGCAATGAAAAGAGCCTTCGCTCCAACAGTACAATTTGCTCGACAACCTTGTGACGTTCTTTGAAGCTCAGTGAGAGCCAAACATCTCCTAGCGTCGTTCCTTCAAGTTTCTCCATGATGATGTATTCCGCACCCACGGCATTAGACGCTGTCGAAGACCATCCATACACTCTCGGGACCGGTATTTGATTCAACCGTAGGTACTCCATCGTCGCGACTTCGCTCGCGACGGTGTAGTGCCTCGGTACCGTGGACGGGTAGGGAAGTCGAGCCAGGGCCCGTCTTCCATTCCTGCAAGTCGCCTGAAGGATTCGATTGAAGCCACCCTCGGCGAACTTTTCGAGCGAAATTACATCCGCACAGCTGTCGGAGGATGCGATGGCACGGCGGAGAGCTCCAACCTCAAACTTCAGGTCCCTTTCCCTCCTTCTGAGAGGCTCATTGTAACTATGGCAATCAGCGGACGGTTCAGTATCGGCGGACGAGAGGGAATCAAAATTACATCCATCTGCCAGATGTGTATTCGAACATGGCATCCACTTTTCCTCCTTGTGACGCAGTTGCATCCGGTGATGTTGATGCGCGTCTGAGCCAGCGCTTCACAGCCTCCGCGGTGGTATGTAGTCGAGACGTCCCAGAGGCGAGCCTGAGTTTTGCTAGTGCCATGGTGACCCAGCTAAACCAACCCTTTCTTTACGATTGCCTGCGAAGCCGCGGCGAAGAGTCAAAGACATGCTCCTTAGCAGAAGGGAGATTTGGGTCATGTCCGTCCTGGAGGAATTCACTCCAACGACACCAGAAAATGAACAGGGCCCAAAAGAAGAGGCCTATCTGATGGAGCTTTTAAGACTCCGCACCTGATGTGTCGACTTGTATTGTACAAGTACCATTGCGGACCGAGCCTAGTAGAGTAGGCCTAATTTTAGCTCGAGACGCTCCCTGCCAGGCACCCGAACATGGGCTGAATATACTAGAATTAATCACTCTGCACCGGAGGAGCTATTGTTTAATCAAGGTTGGGACTCATTTCTGGCTCCAGAAGGCTTCATTTCTCAGGACTTCTTCACCTAGCCGTTCAATCAAGAAAACAACAAGTCCTTCGCTCGTTGTACCCAAAACTTGAATGGCTTCCAGCCATGGTTTTAGCTACTACAGTCCTTGGCCCTCAGAACTCATTTGATGATCCCTTTGCTTACACCAGCGGGCACTGGCTTCACCAAGACGAGACACGGCAACAAGGTCGATATGTGAAATTCGACTTTCCTCAACTGTGTCGCAAAGCCGTAGAGGCATGCGACGGTGCTAGGAATGTCCTGCGGTGAGGGAAAAAAAGAGGGAGGCTTCAATCGGGTGTTCATCTACTCCATGGACAAAGGAGCACGCGTTGCTGCGAGAATACCATTCCATGTCGCTGGCCCAAAAGGCCTAATGACACATTCAGAGGTCGCCACAATGGCATACGATAAACATGCTGTCATCTGTCGTGAAGTTTGGCTGATTGATACAATGCAGTCAAGTCCTGTATGGACATCCCTGTGCCCATCGTCCTTGATTGGAACTCGGACGAACGAAATCCAGTAGGGGCTGAATTCATGATCATGGATTGAGAGAGAGTACCGGTTCTGTCAACAAGCCTGTGAGTGGTCCTTGCGTGGATTCGCGCCGAAACTTGCGGCTGCGAGAGCACTGGACGAAAATTTAGTCAGGCCGTTGCGGTATTGCCATTCGTCCTGGCGCTGGCGCGACGATGCTGCGGCATTCCGCCAAGAACTTATTGAACTCTCACAGCGATGGTCTGAACTCGGCCTACCCGGATCATGTCCGTACCAGCCTTGCACTGAGGAGCTTGCAGTGCACAAAATTCAGTGGGAAGACGTTGAACACCGTCATAGAATCAAACTCTTCCTGTGCCAGGAAGACGGATGGATCCCAGCCGAGAGCTGGGAGTCTGCAAGAGCGGCATAAAAAGAAATGTTCAAGGTATGGATGGAAACTGCGCTTGAATCAGACGATCCAGGGATGAACGAAGCTCGAGCACGGAGATTTTGGCCGTGGATCGAACCAGATCAAGGATGTGGCATCCCTAAAAATTCAGGACACGAGGACGGATTCCTCGACAGAGAGCAGTATGCATACCTGGAGCCTCTCGTTTTTCTTTCCTTCTGAAATATGTGCTCTCTAGGGCAAGCCTGTCTCCCAACGAGATGAATGATTGTCCAGGAAGTTGTGAATGCGCAGTTTGCTCGCTTATTTCAGCCGCTGTCACCGTCGTGGCCCGGGTTCGCAGGTTTCTTTCGTCGTGGGATCGGAAAATGCTAACGCTAGAATCGGGAAGGTATGTCTTGCCCGTCTTGTGCTCAGAATACCGCCGTTCTTCTTCTCGCAGGCATTGTTCTTCCTTTCACAGGTGTGGTTCTTTCTCTCGGCGACATTACACTATCGTGGCAGACTCTTTGGTGACAAGACAACCCCAATATTCTATCTCTTGCAGATATATCTCTTCTTCTCCTAGATACGTCTCTTCTTCTCGCAGATGCTTCTCTTTCTTCAAGCAAGCGACGCAGGGGGTCTAATTCGTCGGACGATATCTGAGGATCCGCATTCAGTTCGAGAGATTGAGTATGAATGCTAAAGAGGGTCGCACCTAGAAAGAAGCTATATGTTGTGTTGGTCGCACCTCAATAACAACAACAAAGCGATTTAAAGATGCCTGCGGTGAGTCGCACTCACATGAGCTGGGCAGTTCTGGAATATTAGTCACGTGAGTGGCCCGGAACTTCGAACCAGTCGGTACGAATACGATCACGATTACGATTGTCGTTCGCTAGATACGGAGTAAAATGTACGGAATTCAACAGCTCTTGGTCAATGCTTTCGCTGTCCTTTGGTTTGCCAGATTGTCTCAAACTCATCCTCCTACGACGACGACGACACGTATTAACTCCATTTCAAGTTCACTCTCATTGCGGCTGGACCTCGGCTGAAATTTTGCGGTGCGAACAAGGAATTATTTAACGACGTGTTGACATCATTCCAACGCGCCATGGTAGAAGCCCGAAGCCCTCGACTGCCTAACGCCACACTTCATTTGTTAGGAAAGGAAAGGACAAGTGGCTGTGTCACAGAGCAACTTTCCCACACGATATGACGACAACAACGTAACTTTCTAAACAATCAGCCGACGACTTTATCAATTCCATCCATCCTTCAAATTGCATTCTTAGAGTATCTTCATCTCTCCTTGAGTGGTATGATTCTTAATGTGTAAAAGTCCGCATGTTTTTCCCTGCTTTTGCTTCTGCTTTTCGAAAGCGTCGCTATCGGCTTTTTCCTAAATTCTGATTTCGGGAACGCACAATATTCGTCTCATGTTGCTCTTACAAAGTCCCACATAAACCCTGAACACAACCTCCCAGGAGAACCGCCAACATGTTGGAAGGTCTCGTCGCCAACCTTCTCAACCGCTTCTTGGGCATGTATGTCAAGAATTTCGATCCCAAGCAGCTCAATGTCGGTATCTGGTCCGGTGATGTCAAACTACGGAATCTCGAACTTCGCCGCGAAGCCCTCGATCAGCTGCATCTACCCATCAACGTGGTCGAAGGCCGATTGGGAGAATTGACCATATCCATTCCGTGGTCCAATCTTCGCGGAAAGCCCGTCCGAGTCAACATTGAGGATGTCTTCTTACTGTCCGCCCCAAAATCAGAGGACGACTACGACGCAGAAGAGGAAGAAAAGCGTGCCGTCGCCGTCAAGCTAGAGAAACTTGAGAGCGCCGAGCTGCTCAAGGATCGCAATACCGAGGCCATGAGTCCGGAAGAGCAGCAGAAGAACCAGAGCTTTACCCAGAGTTTAGTGACGGCCATTGTCGACAATCTGCAGGTCAGTATCAAGAACATTCATCTTCGTTATGAGGATTCCATAGCCACGCCGGGCCATCCATTCGCCGTGGGTATGACCCTCAAGGAGATGAGCGCTGTGAGCACGGATGCGGAATGGCGACCGACTTTTATCCAATCCACCTCAGACACTACACATAAGCTGGCCGTGCTGAATTCTTTGGCCGTCTACTGGAACAGCGACGCAGACCTGTTCGGAACCGGCAAGGGAGGCGATGTGGGAGCCGAGGCACAGGAAATTGATAGGGACGACCTGTTACGTCGCTTCAGGGAAGGCATCGAGGACACGGGTAATTCCCAATACCTGTTGAAGCCAGTCAGCGGTCGCGCAGGCATCGAGATGGACAAGACAGGTCGGACCGACCGCCCGAAAATCAAAGCACGTCTCTTGTTTCAAGAATTGGGTTTCATTCTGGACGAGGACCAATACCGAGACGCGTTGATGCTGGTCGATCTGATGCATTATTTTATTCGTCACCATCAGTACAAGAGAGTGCAGCCGGAAAAGAGCCCGAAAGAAGATCCACGAGCGTGGCTGAAATTCGCCGGTTCGGCCGTTCTAGACAAGATCCACGATCGCAATCGAAAGTGGACCTGGGACTACTTCAGGGAACGTCGAGACATGCGTCTTCGGTACATTGACCTTTTCAAGAAGAAGAAAAAGGACCAGAAGTTGACGGAACAAGAAACCACGGATCTCGACCATCTCGAGTACGAGTTGAGCTACGAAGATCTACGATTCTGGAGGTCTTTGGCACGATCCCAGCTGCGCAAGGAGAATGTCGGGGTCAAAAAGCCTCCGCCCAAGCAAACCTGGGGCCAATGGATCTGGGGCGCCAAACCAGCAGAAACAGATGAAGACGAGGATGCTGGCATGACAGACGAACAGCGTAAGGAGCTCTACAACGCCATTGACTGGGACGAAAAGAAGGCCATTGCAGAAAGTGTCGATCTGCCTCGAGAGACCGTCAAACTCCAGTTGGAGTCGAGTTTGAGAACGGGCAGTTTCACTCTCAAGCGCGATCCTCATGGTCGAGGAAATGAAGTTCTCAAACTGGTCTTCGACAATTTCCGAGCCAAGGCGCTGCAACGACCAGATTCCATGCTTGCCGATTTGACCCTCGGCGGGTTCCGCGTCTACGACGGTACTACGGAAGGAAGTTTGTTCCCCCAGATCGTCAAGGTCAAGGGAGTCGAGGAACAGCCCAAGGACGAAGAAAGAGCCGAAGATGACGACAGTTTCGAAGACAATGACCAGACCGACGAACAGACATCAGATGCCGAGAACGTCGAAGATGGCCTGTTCCACCTGGTCTTGGAGAATCACCCACTTGATGAAAGCGCCGACACCAAGATCATGTTAAAGTTGAAAAGCCTCGAGTTCATCCACAACCCCAAATTTGTCGTGGAAATCGCAAAATTCTTCAAACCCCCCGAGCGTCACATGGAGTCGATTGGTGCCCTGCTGGAAACGGCTGGCGCGACAGTCGAGGAGATTCGACAGCAGACGAGAGCAGGTCTCGAATTTGCCTTGGAAGAGCACAAGACCATCAATGCAAATCTCGACATTCAGGCGCCCATATTTATCATCCCGGAAAGTATCACAGAAGAAAGTACACTTTGCATGATCCTGGACGCAGGTCACGTGAGCTTGAACAGCGAGCTCGTCGACAAGGACACGATGAACGAGATTCGCTCAAAACAGAAACAAAAATACACCGAGCGAGACTTCAAACAGCTCGAAGGCTTGATGTATGACAAATTCCATCTGAAGCTCGAATCTACGCAGGTTCTCATAGGGCCTGGCATTGAGGCTACAAGGGCACAACTTGAAGCCTCGGACGATTCGAAACAAATGCACATCATCGATCGTATCAACGTGGGTTTCCTACTTGAGAACTCCATCGTTCCCAAGGCGCCGGATATCACGAAGATACGGATATCCGGGACCCTACCTGTTCTGCATGCCTCGATATCAGACAAGAAATACAAAAACTTGATGAGATTGCTGGATGTTGCGGTACCCAGATTCAATTCTGGACCCGATACCAATGGAAATGACAAAACGAACGAAGTCAACAACCAACAGGACAACCTCCGGTCTAAAAGAAAGTCTGTTCAACTGTTGGAGGCCAAAGACATGCCGATCATTGACCCAGACTCCGATTCTGAAGATACGTCTCCAGAGAGTCGAGAAGTTGCCCAAGCTGAAACCCCGGATACGCCTGCAAACATACACCAGCGTAACTTCGAGATAAATTTCACCGTCGAAAAGCTGCAAGCATCACTGTACAAAGCTGACCCCGAGGGCAAAAAGCCAGATCAACTCTTGGTCGAGCTTGTGGCGGAACATTTCTTTTTCGATTTTTACCTTCGTCCGTACGACATGGTTGCCGAAGTACTCCTGCGCGCCGTAACAGTGGAAGATCATATTGAGGAGATTCCGTTGCCCGAATTCAAGCAGATAATATCTTCAAAGGGCTTCGAGGCGGAAGAGGGGAAAGACTTGCTCAATGTGAAGTTTGTCAAAGTCAACCCAGAATCGCCAGAATTCCAATCCACATACGAAGGGATAGCGACGAATCTCGACGTGTCAGTGTCCACCATCAATGTCATCGTGACCCGAAAGACATTGTTGACGCTTTTGGACTTTGTCCTGACAACGTTTGCCGGTTCTCCGAATCAGAATCAGGCACAGATTGATCAAAGCGACGACAAGATCCAAGTCCGAAATGCGCCAGAGACACCGCCTGCCAAGCAGCAGCAAGACAAGATCAGGATCAAGGCTGCATTGACCAGTATCGCTCTCATCTTGAACAACGATGGTGTACGTCTAGCGACACTGTCATTGAACTCTGGTGATGTCGGCATCTTCCTCGATGCTGGAACGATGCAAGTCAAGGCAAGATTAGGCAGCCTCTCTTTGGTCGACGATGTGAATCAAGGTGCACCTGAAGACTCGCCTCTACGTAGACTGATTGCGATTGAGGGGGACGATCTGGCTGATTTCAAGTATCAGACTTTCGACTCAGCGCGGCCCGACTATCCAGGCTATGATTCTGGCATCTTCTTGCGGTCTGGCTCTATCAAGGTCAACTTCTTGGAGGAGCCATTTCGGAAAATCATGGAATTCGGGGTCAAGTTTGGAAAGATGCAAGCCATCTTCAATGCTGCGCGGCAAGCCGCTGCAGAACAAGCAACACAAGTTCAGGAGAGTGCCCAGAAGATGCATTTCGACATTGTCATCAAGACTCCCATCGTGGTGTTCCCGAGAGCAATGGTTGATGACCGGCCTCGTGACCTGCTCACTGCCTATCTAGGTGAGATCTACGCCAACAACAAGTTTGTGGGAGTACAGGGGCAGAAGCACGGTCCCTTGGTGAACAAACTGTCGGCTGGCATCAGACATATTCGCCTGACGACCGAGTTTCACTATGGAGATGGCCAGTCACAAGAACTTGAAATGATTGACCAGGTTGACTTGGATTTCAAGATTAGATATCTGGAACACCAAGCAGAATTGGAGAGGCCTGATCTTGAGATCGATGGATCCATGTCTCCTATCAACCTGCGAGCATCCCAGGCTCAATTCAAGTTCTTGTTAGAGCTCTCCAAAACAATTCCCGCAGCATTTGCTACCGAGAACGAGTCGGAAGAGGACATCGCTGAAGAATTGCCGGCCGCAACAGCTGACACAGCAAAAGCAATCCGGAACGAGGAAACACCCAAAGAAGAAGGCGCTGTCGGCACGTACCAAGGTCCTGAGCTTGGCTCGAGTGATGAGACTTGGACCAAGTTGAATTTCGTGTTCAAGGCACCCACAATAAGTCTTGAACTCTTCTTGGCCGAGGAAGACCAACCGACCGACAACTTTGACGCTGCTAGCATTTCCAAATTCTCTCTCAATGAGACAAACGTCAAGCTGCGCATGATCAGCGATGGTGCCATGGAAGCCGAGCTCTTGGTTCACTCCTTCACCATCCGTGACAGTCGGAAGCAGGAAACTAACAAGTTCCGCAAGATAATGTCGTTGATCAACAATGACGTTCAGCAACAATTCATGGCCAGTGTCTCAATAACGGGTGGGAAAGAGCGACACATGATTGTCATGTTAACCATCGACAGCCCTCGCATCATCGTTGCTCTCGACTACGTGTTTGCCCTCCAAGCATTCGCTAACGCAGCATTCCAGTCTGACGAGCCACCTCCGATTGCGGCCCTGGACGAGTCAACTGACGATGGCAGCCCGAAGAGTCCCTCTGAAGAGTATGATGATGCACTTACCCTAGAACAAGAAGATACCGCCAGCGAGTCGTCTTCGATGACCATGTCTTTCCGAGTCAATATCGTTGATGCTCAGATCATCCTCATTGCAAATCCGACGATTTCGAATACCGAAGCAATCGTGCTCGGTACCAAGGAGGTTCTCGTTGGGAAGCAAAACGCAACAACTTTACAAGTGTCCAAGGTCGGTATGTTCTTGTGTCGGATGGATAAGTTTGAAACGAGCCGTCTGAGAATCCTGGACGACTTCAGCATCTTCGTGTCCATGGACAATCGAAGCCAAGGCGCAGATTCTTCTCTCACCTCGGTGAGCATAGAGGTAGAACCTCTTGTTCTACGTCTGTCACTGCGCGATATCTTGCTTGCCATGCAGATTGTCCAAAAGGCGTCTTCGACCTTGGCGCAGCCTAACATGCAGCAGTCTTCGGAACCCAGAAAGATCAAAGAGGTTAAAAGATCGTCTACGGCGCCCTCGACCAAACGTAGGTCCGTGGCAGGACAAACCGTCAGCACGTCGAAGATATCACCGAGATCAAAGTCGATTTCGAAATCCACTGCAGACCAGCCTCCCAAACATGATGTGGTCATGAGCAGAGAAGAACTGATCGCGACTGTGGATGGCATCAGAGTCATTCTGATCGGAGACCTGCATGAACTACCACTCTTGGACTGGAGCGTCAAGAAATTCCAGGTGGATGTTCGAGACTGGTCTGGTGCAATGGCAGCAGATACCAAGATTGACACTTTCATCAATGTCTACAATTTCTCCAAATCTGCCTGGGAACCTCTCATCGAACCATGGAAGTTAGGCTTCCATATGTCCAAAGAGCTCCATCCTGAAGTACTGTCTATGGAGCTGTACTCTCACAAGAATATGGAGCTCACAGTGACCTCGGCCACCATAGCTCTTGCGTCGAAGTCGTTCAATTTCTTGTCAACGGATGAGGACATTCTGTCCAAACCAAGAGTGGCAGATGCACCATACAGGATACGAAACTACACAGGATTTGATCTCAGGGTATGGGCCGATGAGAAGAGCGACAATGCGGCAGCAGCGAAACTAACCGATGGAGAAGAGTACGCCTGGCGTTTCGAGGACGCCACATCCATGCGTGAAACTTTGACTCCAGAAGGGAACGCAGGCTTGGTGGGGGTCAAGCTGGAGGGAAGCGGTTTTGATGCTGTCAACCGCATTCCTGTGATCCGTGAAGGCGAAACATTGTACAACTTGAAACCACGAAAAGACAGCGTGCAGCATCGCATGTTGGTCGAGGTGAAGCTTGGCTCCGACAATGTGAAATACATCACCTTCCGGTCACCCCTCCTGGTCGAAAACAAAACTCAGATACCCATTGAAATTGGCGTCTTCAGCCCAGAATTGGGCGACCTTCTCAAGATTGAGAAGATACCTCCTGGAGACGCAAAGCCGGCCCCAGTCGGAGCAGCTTTTGTGCACTCTCTTCTGATCAGACCGGATGGAGGCTTTGGCTACGGATGGTCGAATGAGCGGCTGTTCTGGAAGGACCTACTCAAGCAGTCAACGCGCACACTCACTTGTGCCGCAGAAGGCAGGGATGAGTCTCCGCCGTTCTTCTTCCAGATGCATGCATCGTATAACAGGAAAGACCCCATGACTAGAATATACCCTTATATGAGGATTCAGATCTCGGCACCGGTCGAGGTTCAGAACCTCCTTCCGTACGATTTCAAGTATCGAATCTACGACAAGAATACGAAGAAGGACTGGACGAACTTCCTCCGCAAAGGAGGCATCAGCCCAGTGCACGTGGTTGAGTTGTCTCACCTCCTCCTGCTTAGTGTCGAGCTCGAGGATACTCCTTTCAGGCAGAGCGACTTTGCCATCATCAACAGTAACACTCAAGAGGAGTTCCGAAGGGAGAAGTCGGTGCAGTTGAAGGACGAGCAAGGTGCACAACTGAAGCTCAAGCTCCACTATACGAACATGAGAGACAGTGGAGGTGCATTTAGAGTATCGATCTACAGTCCATATGTTCTCCTGAACAAGACAGGGCTCGATATGAGTGTCCAGAGCAAGGCTTTCTTCGGATCTGCGAAGGCCGCAGCGTCGCAAGGTGCTCGTACAAGCTCTGGCCATGGAAAGGCCCTGCCCATGTTGTATTCTTATGCCACTGATGACCGAAAAAACCGTTCTTTGTTAAAGATCGGCGACTCCGCCTGGAGCAAGCCGCAGAGCTTTGACGCCATCGGCAGTGCCTATGAGGTCGTTCTCCCTTCCACCTCGGCCAAGTCTGAACTCCATGTCGGAGTTTCAGTCACGGAGGGAGAAGGCAAATACAGCCTGAGCAAAGTCGTCACCATCGCGCCTCGATTCATGCTGAAGAACAAGATAGGGGAAGACATCGAGCTTCGCGAGCCGGGATCTTCGGACGTCATCAAGATGACGAACAATGACCTCGTTCCGATTTACTTCATGCGACAATGCCCAGAAAAGCAGTTCTGCATATGCTTTCCTGGAGTCAACAACCAGTGGTCATCTCCTTTCAATCTGGCCAACGTCGGCATGACTCACGTCAAACTTGCGAAGCACGGTCAGAGGCAGAAACTTGTCCGCGTGGAAATCATTCTGGAAGATGCAACCTTGTTCTTGCACTTCAGTATTGAAACGAAGCACTGGCCGTTCTCGATGCGCAACGAAAGCGACACTGAATTCTTGTTTTTCCAGGCCAATCCGAACATCGCCGAGGACGAAGAAGAAGACAAAGGTAGCGGCTGGAAACCAATCCGATACAAATTGCCTCCACGAAGTATCATGCCTTATGCTTGGGATTATCCGGCTTCGAAGAACAAAGAGCTTGTCCTGACCGCAAGAGGCAGAGAGAGATACGTCAAGTTGATGGAAATCGGCAACCTGATCCCGATCAAGTTACCTTCCGATGGCCGTGGCGGCCCTTCGAAAGTGATTGATGTCAATATCGTCGCTGATGGGCCTACACAAACGCTGGTGCTCTCGAATTACAAGCCATCGAAGTCACTCTACCGACAAAAGACGGGCGCGACCAATGCCTCACAGACTAGCTTGAATCAAGGGTTCGAGGTCAAGCAGATCGAGTCCGCACTGAACTTCAAAGCCGAGCTCAGACTCGCCGGTATTGGTGTCTCTCTCGTGAACACCAACCTGAAAGAGCTGATGTATATCACCTGGCGTGAAATCGAGTTCAAGTATGGAGAGTCCAAACTTTACCAAACCTTGAACGCCACGGTCAAATGGATCCAAATCGACAATCAGCTCTACGGCGGTATCTTCCCCATCCTGCTATATCCCAGTGTGGTTCCGAAGACTGGCAAGGAAATGGAGACCCATCCGATCTTCCACGCGATGGTCACTCGCGTCAAGGATGACTCTTACGGTGTTTTGTACATCAAGTACGCCACGCTACTGTTGCAGCAGATCACTGTCGAGGTGGATGAGGACTTTATCTTTGCAATGCTCGATTTCCTAAAAGTGCCAGGTGCATCTTGGGCGGAGGAAAAGGAAGGTAAACTATGTGATGAGGACTTGGACATCCCAGAACCGACACGAGAACACCAAGGACAAGACGTCTACTTTGAGCTCCTGCACTTGCAGCCGATACAACTGGACCTTTCGTTTGTGAGAACTGAACACATCAACGCTGAGGACAACTTTGTCAACAGCCCGTTGATGTTCTTTGTCAATGTCATGACCATGTCGATTGGCAATGTCAACGATGCGCCGATCAAGCTAAATGCGCTGCTCCTGGAGAACGCAAGAGTCTCCGTCCCAGCGCTCGTCGCCAACATTCAGAATCACTACACTCAGGAAGTGCTTCGTCAGGTTCACATCATCCTTGGATCGGCCGACTTCCTCGGTAACCCCGTCGGTCTGTTCAACAGCGTCAGTTCAGGAGTGGCGGACATCTTCTACGAGCCCTACCAGGGACTGGTGATGACCGACCGACCTCAAGAGCTGGGTCTCGGCATCGCCAAGGGCGCCAGTAGTTTTGTCAAAAAGTCCGTCTTCGGGTTCAGTGACAGCATGGCCAAATTCACCGGGTCGGTTTCGAAAGGTCTCGCGGCCGCGACCATGGACAAAGAGTTCCAGGACCAACGACGGATGTCAAAGAACCGAAACCGACCGAAACATGCACTGTACGGGGTTACCTCTGGCGGTAACGCTTTTGCTGCAAGCATGGCGAGTGGTATCGGCGGGTTGGCGCGACATCCGCTCGAAGGGGCGGAGAAGGAAGGTGCCCTTGGCTTCGTCAAAGGGGTTGGCAAGGGATTTCTCGGCCTGGCAACCAAGCCGGCGATTGGAGCATTCGACCTTGCGTCCAACGTCGCCGAGGGTGTCCGAAACACCACGACCGTATTCGATGCTGAAGGATTGGACCGTGTGCGGCTGACTCGCTTCATTGGGATGGATGGTATCGTCAGGCCATACTCACAACGCGAGGCACTCGGCCAGTTCTGGCTCAAGACAGCGGACGACGGCAAGTTCTTCAACGAGGATTACATTGCTCATCTGGAACTCGAGGGGCGCGACATGATGGTGGTTATGACGTATGATCGAATTCTCATGATCAGGACCAAGAAGCTGCGTATGGAATGGGACGTCAAATTGACCGACATCCAGACCATCAGCAAAGAGAGGACGGGGATGAGCATTGGACTCAAAGGGGGTGCCAATGGTCCATTTATTCCCGTCACTGATGAAGGAAGCCGGAATTGGTTGTACAAGCAGATTGCAATTGGTGAGTTTGGATCCCTTGTACTGTCCTTTTGCCTTGCCCCCAATGACTAACGTTTGTTTTGCTTAGCTGTCAATGCGTTCAATGACAAATATAACGCAAAAGGATGATCCAGATCGATTGATTGATATGATGGTAAGGGCGGTTGGCGCATCGACCATGTAACGGCAACAACACTTGTAACGGGTTTTTTTAGGCTGGAGATGGTTAAATCTTCGAAGGCGTCGAGCACAATCGCAGTATGCTACGCGAGGCGAGTGAGATTTTCACTCAGGTGCATTTCACTCAGGTACACCGAATGATACGATGATTAGTGTACGAGTTCTTGCGCGCTTGTTGGGTATCAACGCAGATGACCGGGGCGGGGGCAAACGAGCTGGATGGGCTGGATGGGCAAGGCAGCAACTTTCAAAGGTGATTGAGTCCTCTTTTAGAAGGAATGAGGCGTCGGCGACGAGGCCAAGTCAATGCAGGCTATGGATGTTCGCATGAAGCAAGCAGCTCACTCTTACCTTTTTAAGGCCTTTTAAGGGGAAAGACAAAGCCGGTGCGAAGGCCAAGTTTCCAACCCATAGATAAATACAAACAATTGGATGGGCTTTTTGTCGCATGTAAAGCAGGGATATCGAAAGAAGCTTCGTTGAACGCCCCCAGAAACAATTGACCCTTCTGTTGACATTCATTGACAGGTTAACACTGTACTACCGATGTCCTATCATTGTGCTGTAACGTAGGAACATTCATGCCTGGGTTTTACTCCGTACTATGGCTCGCAAAGCCTTGATTACGAAGACCTCCCAGTCATCCCCAGACATCTTCCTGCCACTTCCTGCTCCTCTTTTGCTCACCTCTCCACTTTTTGAGCCCTTCTTCGTCACAATCCTTTGCGCGTTTGATGCCGTCTCCAATCCTATTACCTACTTCTCTCGCCATGGCAGCAGATCCGCAAATATACAAGGCGGCGCCTTCTTCGAGAAGCAGCTTGACCAACTCGTTGCACCGCTCTTCCACTCGGTCTTGCACATAAGTTTTCGGTTGGCCTTCCACGCGTGAAAAAGCATGGACAATCTCTAACCTCGCGTGCGGTGAAGACTGTAACTGGCTCAATTCATCCTTGTACAATAGGTCTTGATCGGGATGGCGGCAGCCAAAGAACAAGATCGTCCGACCAACGGGCCTAGTCGAGCCGTACAAGTTCGCCAGGTGGGAGTACTCGTACAAGAATGCGCGGAACGGCGCAATACCCGAGCCTGCACAGATGAGGATCAAGGGCGTCGTGGGTGAGGCCGGGAGTTTGAACGTCGAGCGGCAGATCGAGGCGTGACAGAGGGGTTTGGCACCATCGCGATCTGCCGACAAAGGTGGTGACTGATCGACGACGTGTGGGTGAATGGGCGTTGATGGCGCCACGAAGGAAGACAGGTACGTGCGCGCCACGCCAGCAATCGCGATCTTACCATCACCCGGGAGGATGTGAGGGTTGTTTGCGACGGTAAGTGTGGCGCGACGTGGGGAGATGACGGATGAGCTGGAAATGGAATAGTATCGAGCCTTTAACGGTCGTAAGCTCTCGACGACGAAGGCACGGGGCAGACCGGTCCAGGACACGGACGAGTCCACCTCGTGGACGTGCCTGAGGAGGCGGGAGAGGGTAATGTGGTTTTTGCCGAGGAATTCGGTATAGCTGGCCTTGTCGGACCCAAGGTTTGCAAGGTAGTCTTTCGCCGTCCGTGTCGAGGCAAAGTGTGCCAGGGTGAGTACCGTTTCTCGCGAGACCGGAGCGCAAATTTCGAGGTGGTGCCGAAACAATGCTAAGAGATTGGTAGGGGAAGGAAGCGTGGTCTTCTCGACAAGGGGGTCGACAGGGTGAATTACGATCGGAGCCTTCTCTTGTCCGATCAAGCCAAGGACCTCGATGAGGGCATTTACCTCCGTTGTAGGATTTGTCGGGCGCACAGCCACATAATCTCCCGTCTTGTATTTGATCTTGGGGTGACCGGAGAGGTCGAGCTCGAGGTGGACACAGCTTCGGGCGGGCAAAGATGCCGTTGTGAGCTCTCGAGTTGAGCTGACAGGCAGTGGCACCACGGGCGAGGACGAGCGAGAGAAGGGATCTGAAGGGGCCTGGAAAAAGGGAGGCTCGCCTTGCCAGACACGATCGAGACAGATGGACTTGTCCATAACCACACTTATCGTCGGTGTATACACCGACTCGGTCTCGACCAGGCCAAGTTGCGTGCGGAGCTCGCGGATCAGCGTTGTCTTCCAATCCTCAAAGTCTTCGTGAGTCGTGCCTTTGGCATCGTCGGCTTTTCCGATGGGCAGAAACATGGTCGCACCACGGTCCTGCAACGAGGAGACAACTTGGTCCACGACCGCGTTGTAGTACTTGTAATTACTGTTCCCGCATCCAAACGCAGTGAACCTCAGGTTGGTCAGGCTAGGAAGTCCAGATTCAGACTTGAGCAGTCTGAGGAAGCCGGTCGAATTGTCAGACGGGTCCCCCTCTCCAAATGTCGACATGATGAATATCGCGTACTGAGACGGCGAGAGTTGGGCGAGGGTGTCGTGGTCGTAATCTGACACATCGGCCACGAGAACGCCCAGGTTGAGTCGATGGCTGCAGTCCCTTGCCAGCTGATGCGCGAAGCCTTCAGCGGTACCCGACTGTGATCCCCAAAATATCACCACCTGTTTCGACGTCTCGGCCAATTTCGTGGCAATGTTGCGGGGCGCCTTGGACACACCACCATTCGACGTTGCCTCACCCGCTTGCGGCCGCTCGAAGAGCTTGTAGCGGTAGGGGTCTGGTAGGTCCCAGAACGTGCCACGGCTGATACACGCCAACCCGCCGGCCAGGAGAATGACGAGAAGCAAGAGGTCATCGTATGCCGCAGTGACCAGAAATTCACGGACCGATGGCGGTTTGGATGAGAATGATGCCACTGACAGACCCATCGTTGGAGAAGTGTTTTGTGTAGCAGCTCGAATGAAGGTGATAAAATGAGATTGCGGGATAACTCCAGACCGCACGACGAGGACGTTGGCTTTTATCATCCCATTCTCAGGCTCTAAGGAGCAAGACAATCTCCATCCAGACCACATAGAACGCCAACGACTCAAAATCTGCGGAGGGTCGGTGGCGGAATCGACTGTGAACCTGGCTCGATAGGAATGTCGATGAGCTCATTTGAGAGGTCAAAACGACTCCTAGGAGCTCTGGAAGTAAGCTTGAAGCGGCATGTTCAGGTCCACGTGCAACCAACGTGTCAAGATGGACTCGGGTCGGGGGGAGGAAACATCTCGTTCTAGCAGCTCTCCCCGAGCGGAGACCTTTCCCAGTCTCGAGGTACCGTGTCCGCTGCATCACGGGCAACGTCTCGACAATTTTGTTTCATCAAGATCATCAGATCCAGGAAGTTCAGCGAAACACCCTACCCCGGACTTCGGAACAGGGTCTGCTGCCCGCAAGGAGTCGGATGGTCCGTGGGGAAAGTGGATAGGGGGGGTGAGGAGGCTTGCCGCCAACCCCGCCAGTAAGAGCGAGGTGGTTTCACGTACATTCGGGGGATGTTGCCATTTCTGTGTTTTGGGAAAGGTGCTTTGTGTTCGGGCAAAAATCCTTCCACTTTCGCATTAGATGACTTGTTTGGCTTCAAGACTTTTCAAGGCCATTCCCCGCGTGGATACCTGGTAGTTCTGGGTCCCAGGCCGAGAGCCTTTTCCTATAATGTGAGTTTGGAAATGTTCCCTCGGGACACCCAGATGAGTGTGCCTTTCAAAGGATAGTCAGCCCATTTGCAAAAGTCCCGACGTGGTCAATGTAAACCAGGGTATTTCCAGACCCGTCACCACGATCTTGTGCAAGGTCGGGGAAGCGGGCATCCCAGGTTCGCCATCGCCCAAACGCACACCGGGCGTGGAGTTTTGAATTTTGGTGTCTATCACAGGGCCACCGGAGTATATATACGGGCGATATTCCCCCTGGGTTGAAGGAGCAACTCACCTTTCGACTGCGAGCATCGCTCCCTGTACCAATAACTTCCTCAACATGTTCGACCTCGATTTCAGAGCGAACCGGTGGGCCTACTTCTTTTGCTCAGTCTCGGTCATCGGAGCGCTCGTGTTCGGCTACGACAACACCTACTACAATGGCGTCCTGGGGATGCAAACTTTCAAAAACAACTACGGAGACCACTACGACGAGAACGGAAAAAAGGCATTGAATGTGACCTTCACGTCTCTGAGTTCCTCGGCGATATACATTGGCGACGCGCTCGGTGCTCTTGTCTCGGCTCCCATCAACGACAAGTATGGACGCAAATCGACGTTCTGGGCGGCAGCAACGTGCGTCCTGGTCGGTGGCATCGCTCAGATTGCGGACACGCGTTACGAAGCTGTCATCATCGTCGGACGCATCCTCATCGGTCTCGGGATGGGACAGTGCACCGTCACTTGCCTGCTGTACATTGGCGAAGTGGCTCCACTCCAGATTCGCGGCCCGGCATTGATGACCTTCCAGCTCCTGCAATCCATCTCCCAGCTCGTGGCGTCGGCCATCACCCAAGGCACCGAATCAATGCACAATTCCCTGGCGTACAAAATTCCGATGGGTGGACTGGTCGTGCTTCCGCTCATCATGTACGTCTTCCTCCCCTTTATTCCGGAAACCCCGGTGTGGTTGCTGAGCAAAGGTCGAGTTCAAGATGCCGCCAGCGCGCTGCGCCGCGTGCACCAAGGCCAGGAGGGTTATACCCCGGAAAGAGATCTGGCTATCCTGACCGAGGCCAACGAACGAGAATTGGAGCACATGGCAGCCTCGTCGTGGTCCTCACTGGTCACGAACCCCATTGAGCGCAAGAAATTCATCTACTCCGCCGGTGCACTGTATTCCCAGCAGATTTGTGGCATCCTGTTCTTCTACAACTACGGTGTCGTTTTCGCCCAAGCCATCGGCGTCTCCCAGCCGTACACGATACAGCTCGTCACCAACATTCTGCAGATCGTCACGGTCACAGTCTCGGTGTTGTTGGGGAACAAAGTTCCTCGACGCACCAATCTGTTGGTCACGACCGTGATGATGTTTGTCGCCTTCATCGTCATCGGGGGCATCGGCACGCAACGGCAACTGACGACCGCTTCGCAATACATCATCGTGGTCTTCTCATTCGTCATCATCGTCGCATTCAACTTTGGTTTCGGACCTCTGGCGTACACGGTGGCCCGTGAAATGGCCGTCGGACCCAACCAGAACAAGATAATGTCGTTGTCGATCGTGTTCTTCTACTTTATCATCTGGCTCATGTCGTTCACGGCGCCTTATATGTACACCTCTGCTGGCTGGGGTCCGATGCTGGGGTTTTTCTACGCGGGCACGACCCTAACGTCGCTCGCCTGGGTGTGGTTCTGTGTCGGCGAGACCACTGGACGGTCGACACTGGAGCTCGCGCTTTTCTTTGAACAAGGGATCCCAGTGCGTCGTTGGAAGACCCACGTGTTTCCGTCGCTCGAAGAACTTGTTGAAGACAACAGTCAAGCTTTGGGCCGCCACGAACCCAAGAGCGCGTCGGTTGAACTAGCCGAGACCCATGGCAACACCGATCACGCCGAGCACGTCGAGGGAAAGGCTTAGGCTCGCCCGTCACAACAGATGGAGAGCTGGGAGAAGAGCTCGGGAGAAAACACAATATCAAAGCTCCTATCAAAAGCACTGGTCCTGTCACAAACAGATAAGGCTACTGACACACTATTACGAATATACATGATCTCCTACTTAGTATATACACCCAGCTCCCCCGTGTTTGTGACTACATAAAGTCCACGGAAGAGAACTCAGAGACGAATAGATTTTCAGGACATGAGAAGATTCGCTGCATTGAGAAGAGAGTCAAGCTCGAGCACGTCAGATATGACGGGGAGTGTAAAATGTTTGGATCGAGAACCTGTGGGTGTTCTGTAGACCTGTGTCTCATCAGATTCGAGATCAAGTTGACCCATCGCAATCCACACGCCCCACGACCACCATCAGTTTCATGACTTGGGGTGAATGAAAGAAGCACGAGTGAGAACATTTCCCTGTTGGGCCGGCTTCGGACCGTAGCTCTAGTCATTCGTCGTGACTTACGATCCTCGGGGAATCTAACCCCCAGCTGAAGGGAACGTTAGAGATGGGACTGCTCACCAGCCGCCCAACGTCCGATCTTGTGGGTCACGTGAACCCGTGAGCCTTGGCACTTTGAAGCATCTCTCCGGGTATGGATTAATTAGCCCAGCTTCGCGAGAGAAAATCCCACGGAGAAAGTTGCCCTTCGAATCTCTCTCCACAATCAACCATTCCACACTCGTCTGCTCCCACAGCATTCCCGTCGTCAGTTTGCCGAAACTCTATCGTCGTCTCCAGAAAGGACTTTGACCAAAATGATTTGGCCTCGTCTTGTAAACACCTTCAAGTTCTCGCGAGGCCTATAGCTCTAGTGACGAGCCTAGCCAGGCGATTCTGTCCAAACCGATGCTTCTACCACTACCTCAAGGCAATGTGAGGTCGATTGTGACGTGCCAAAGCCTATTCCCGAGGGACTCGGAATCTATCTGGCTGGATGTGTTCACCTCAGGGCCGCAGCGCACGCTGAGGGCTCTACATACGTTTCTGTCCCGAAACGGCTTTTCTCGCCGAGTTGATAGTCCGACCTATCGGGGATCTGATGTGATGCTTCTGTCTCGGCCATTGAAAGGAAAGCAGGTTCCAACACCGTGTTTCCATTTTCCAAGGGTTTAAAAGAATGTTCTGCAAATGCGTCAGACATTTACCTTTGATAAGCCATCCAGTATGTTCGGATTGCTCGTTTTTGCATGTTCCGCGGTCCTTGTCACCCTTTCGCTCATCGTTTTACCCATTGTTCACTATCTTCGGGATGCCAAGGGCCTTCGAAAATATCCGCAGTTATCGATTTGGTCCGGCATCTCTGATATACCCTTCATCATCGAAGCCCACAGAGGCTTTAGGTCTCGACGTCTCAACGAACTTCACAAAGAGTACCCCGTGGTCAGAATTGGTCCGAACTCGCTGTCATACGCTAGCCACCGCGCCATCAAAGATATCTACGGGTTCAACTCGACATGTACAAAAGACGACATGTACGATGTACTCTCAGGCACCCACCGCCACCTCGCCGACGTGACAGATAAGAAAGAGCATGCTCGCAAGCGCAAGACTCTTTCGAGCGCATACGCCATCAAAAACCTCGAGAATTGGGAATACAAAGTAGCCCGTATGACCGAGAGAATGATCGAAGCGTTTGACCGGCGGTGCACCGAGCCCCTGAAAATGAGAGAGTCTCCTAGGATGGAAGACCTCAATGTGGAATTCTGGTCGTGGGCCAATTACTTCACCGTGTCCGCCATTGCTAATATCGGACTGAGCGAAGAGCTGGGCTTCCTGGAGAAGGAAAACGATCTGATCACCTCTGAGCGCCCGGACGGGACGACCAAGACCGTATCCTTCAAAGAATGTCTCGACGCGACGCTCTGGGTAGATTCGAATCTCGTGTGGTCGTACAAATGGTATCACACAGCTGTCCGTCTGGCCGATCTCTTCTCTGCAACCTACCGGAAGAAACTCCAACACAAAAGAGACTGGGATGGCATCGTGTGGAATCGAGCCACAGCTCGTCTGAAACGCCATCAAAGAGGTGAACAGCTGGACGATTTCTTCACAGCCTTGATGCACGACAAGGGCGGCAACCCCAACCATCTCGAATGGGGGGAGATTGTGGCGGAAATCAGCATCATGATGAATGCAGGATCCGACACGACCGCCATCGCCCTCAACAATGTCATCTACTTCTTGTTGAAAAACCCTAGGTGTTTGGCGACCCTGAGACGAGAAGTCGATGCGAATCTCGACGAGAACGATGTCGTTGCCCCCTACGACAAGGTCAAGCATCTACCGTATCTGCGTGCGTGCTTGGACGAGTCTCTCCGGATCATGCCCCCGAACAGCTTTGGGCTCCCCCGTCGAACGCCCCCGGAAGGTGCCATGATCCTCGGCGAGTGGGTCCCGGGCAACACCACGGTGTCTATCTCGACATTCGTTGCACACAGGGACCCCGTCGTCTTTCCCAATCCGGAGCAATTCATTCCCGAGCGCTGGCTGGGTGAGGCTGGGAAAGAGCTGCAGCCCTACTTTATCGCGTTTTCGGCGGGATCACGGGGCTGCATCGGTCGCAACATCAGCTATTTGGAGCAATACGTCGCCCTGGCCAGCTTGCTGCACCGTTTCGAATTCGCGCTCCCGTCCGAGCATTGGCAGCCTACTAGGAGAGAGTATTTCACCTGCTCGCCCGGGCCTATGCCTTTGAAAATCTGGAGACGGGAAGAGGCCAGCGAGCACAACTCCCCACAAAATTCGGTGGGGTAGAAACGAAAATCCAAGGAAGAAAACCTGAGATGGTCCTTTTGTAGAATGTCCAGCATGCATCGTACACGAATCTATCTACTTGGAGTCACTGAGAAATGGTGCCGGAGCTGTTGCTGAGACGAGCCGAGAGATGAGGAGGCCTTTCGTGACGAACTAGACTGGCCAGGAAGAACGGTAAGTTGAGTGCGACAGTGTCTTGAGTAGTGTCTCAATTAGAAGTTACCAAATTTCACATTTTGTCTTCGTGTTGACTTCCATTGCAATACATAAACCGGGCTAGGCGGTCCTGCGATTCGACATTGCGATCCCAGACCCAAGGATGAGAAGGATTTTCTTGGACAGTGTCTCCCGTTCGATTTTGTTCCGGCTCAGTGCCCGCCGAAAGAGGGACGTTTCTCTGAGGAATCCAACCACTAACAGTCCAGCGGATTCTCGTCGGGATGACCCAAAAGTCTTCTTCGGGCAATTTATCCCGCGTGGCGTTTGGCGGAGACGGCCACAGCAAATTGGATTCTTGGGGGTATCAAGAGTGACCCCCGCCAACGAGGAGGACTTCTTTGTGCAATGATAGTGGCATGGCACTTCTTGTATCGAAGCTCTCTAACCAACAGATCCTCTCTATGACACAAAAGTGGAGAATGGACTTGCAAAGGAGTTGAAATTGACAAATGTGTCCAGTAGGCCTCTCGTCAGCGTCTGTGAAGGCTCCGTTGCCACCACGGCGATGACCCCTTCAGAAAGGGTAAAAACGAGAACTTCGGCGTGTGCTAACTGCAGATAAGTCCCTCTCGCGTGCTCTTCAAGATGATGGAGGCTTCGCTAACAGAAAGGATACAGCGCGTCATGTAAAATGTGAGTTAGGCGACTGGCCCCTTTCTTCCCTGGGTAGCTTGGGGACTAACCGAGGGCTTCTTCCCCTCAGGTGACCCCAATCATCGCGCTTGCGAGCGCTGTCGGCGACGGGGCGACACGTGTGTGCGAAGCAGACCGCTGATGATTCGATATACTCTGGTGGCTAGTGATATCGAACGGATCAGGTCTCCGCCGTTTCAAAAAAGTCCGCTTATACTCCAAAAGATCGTGAACTACCAGTGCCCTCTCTGACGCTGCCATAGAACAGCCACTAAGGTTCATCGACGAGACTGGAATTACTCAGGCCCAGTACTCCGAGCCTCATGCTCAAAAGGACCAAGACTTGCCGGAGTGGGATCCCGGCATCGATAGCGGACCAGCCACTGTGAAGGACTCCGCTACAACCACCTACTTGGGAGTCCAGCTCGATCACGATGTTGTTGGCCAGCATCAACTTTGCAGGGAGACCTGTTTGGAATCTGCCGGTATTGAAGCAATCACATCCCCTAGACCAGGATCAGATGGTAGCAACAACCACGGAGGCTCCCCTATTTCCCCGTCCATTTCCCTACGCACGCCTGCAGTGACGACGCTTGAGACCGCCGTCCCGGTCTCAACCGAAGGCGAAGAGGGTTCATATCTCTTGCGCGCGATGTTGATGCGCCACTTCATCGACCACCTGGCAGGCTGGTTTGACTTGATCGACCCCGAGAGGTTCTTTGCGTGTACGGTGCCGGAAAGAGCAAAGACCAGCGCTCAGTTGATGAACACGGTCCTCTGTGTGTCAGCGACGCATCTCCTCTGTCTTCCCTACGAACAAAGAGCCCGACATATCAGTCGGCCGGCGGTGATCAATGACGATGTAGCCATCTACTACCACAACGAATCCATCCGCCCATTCATGGCGCTGACCACAGATTCAACCGACATTCACGACGAAAACCTTCTGGCGGCTACCGTCCTCCTAAGGTGGCACGAAGAGATTGATGCCCCGCGCCGGGCAGACGACGAAGATCGAGATCTTTTTCTGCGCGTCAAGAACCTGCTCGTCACCGAGCAATTCCAGCAGGTAGGGTCGCCCATGTTGCACGGGACATCTGCACCTGCACAGCAGTCGTGGACGACATCCGGCATGACAACCGACGATGGACCAGGACTCCGGCTCTCGCCAGGGTTTTCCCGGGGCATTCGTCCACACAACCTTCGTGAAGCCTCTTTCTGGATCGCCTTCCGACAAGAGATCTACACGTGCTTCCTCAAAGAGCAGCGCTTTGAATTGTCCCTGTCCAATTGCTCCGCCTTTAGATCGTTCGACCCGGCCGAGGACACTGTGTGGGCGAACAGACTGATCGTCTTCTGTGCCGACTGCCTCGAATTTTGTTACAGCTCTGTTGAATGCCAGACCGGCAGGACAGCGACGCCCAACATCCTGAATTCTCCCATGGTGGCCACGACTGCTCGTTGGGCGGCACTCAAACAGCAGGCAGAGCAGTGGGCAGCGAGTCTTCCATCCAGCTTTGACCCGATCTACTATTCCCCGGCGAGGGATCATCCTCCTTGGTCCAACATCTTTCCCGAGCTCTGGTATCGGTCGGACTGCCACGTAATAGGCCTCCAGCACCTCGGGATCGCACAGATTCTTCTCACGGTCCACGATCCGACCCAGCCGAAGCTAGGACCAGCGGTTGCAACGAGTGCTCGCCAGATCAGCCAATCCGTACGCATGATTGTGAAGAAACTCTGCGGCATGGCCCTTGGAAATCCCAGGATACCTCCCGCAACCGGACTGGCGGGCCTGGCCATCGCGAGGGCTGGAGGACATTTTGAGAACCGACGAGAACAAGAGGCTCTTCTCGGTATGTTGGACGTGCTCCGTGTAGAGCATGGCTGGACGATTGGCAATACTGTCGAAGACTTGAAGGCTTATTGGGGAACAGCTATCAGATACGCCACCGACCGCGAATGATACATTTACAGCTGGCTTGATCACGTGAATAAAAAGCTCGACTACAGGTCACCATGGTGTCCTTTTCGATGCGTCGGGTTTACAGTGTCATCATGTCTTTAATGGTGGTCCTTAAAACGCTATGTTCATAGTCATGGCAGCGCATACCTGACTTTGGTGTGTGTCTGTCTGTGGGTGTGACTGGCTGACTGTCTGTTTGTCTGTCTCTGATTGTTGTTAACGATGCAGGCAGGACAATAATTACAACAAGGCACTCAGTCGTAATGAGACAAAGGTTCAGAAACGACCATGTTTATGATGAGAAGGTCCTTGGATAGCGGGGGCAGAGAAGAGACCCGCTAAAGGCGGCGGGGAATTTTCCATGCGGACAACTTTATCCCGACCCGCGTACTCCGTACATTACGGAGTATTATTGTTCCTCTTCCGGAGTCCTGCGCCCAATTAATGAATTTTGAGCCTTTGTCAGGCCTACGGAGCAACTACGAGCCGCAGTTTCCCAAGCTTTGTACTTGTACAGTATGACGCAGATTGGAAATTGGAGTCCAAAAAAATAGCCTTACATACGGAATACATACACTACTCGTAATACCTTCCCGCAGTACGCATTACGCAGGATGCCAACCCAGAGTTCCCGCGCCGTGTCAACTGCGCAGTGTCTGCCTTGTTGAGCTTCGACTTTTCCCACTTCTGCCCATAGACTTGACATCTACTGGTTGAAGGGCCTTTTTTTCTTTCACAAAAGCACACCGTCCAACCTTGCCATCAATGACAGGGTAACTTCACTTGTGCTTTGGCGAGAAGGATTTCCATCCTGCACAATTTCACCGGCCTTTGTTTCCAACGCGCGATAGTGTCTGAAAAAAAAGGCCAAATCTCGCATCTCGCATCTCACATCTCGCCAGCGAATCGCACGTGTCAAGCGTTTCCCCTCTTCTCCGTCCTCTCACCACGAGCATTTCAGATCGTTCAACCCAATTCCCTGGCCAGCCACGCCTTGTCTGTGCTTGCGCATCACGTCGACAGCCATGCCCAAACCAAAGTCGGTTCAGTTCCAGCATCGGAGAAATGCCAACGGGACTGGCGACCGCCGTCGAACGCCGTCGAGCTCCAGCGAATCCGCATCAGACCCCCCGAGTCCTACAAAAGAAGCCGCAGGCTCCAAGAACAATGGCACAATACTCAAGGGAGAGAAGCCTCGGGTAGAGCCATCCGAGTATGAAAAGAAAAAGGCGACCTTCATCACACGTACAATATGGACTTTGGCCATGATAGGAGGCTTCTTCGGTGCCATGTTCGCCGGACATGTGTACGTCTTGATGATCATCACCATGGTTCAAATTGTTTCTTTCAAAGAGGTCATTGCAATTGCACAAGTTCCGGCGAAACAGAGGGATCTCCCTTTGACCCGATCGCTCAACTGGTACTTCCTCGCTGTGACAATGTACTTTCTCTACGGCGAAAGCGTCATTTACTATTTCAAGCATATTCTGCTGGTGGACAAGGTCTTGCTTCCCTTCGCTACGCATCACCGTTTCATCAGTTTCATGATGTACATCTTTGGTAAGTACTGCACCTATGAAGAGAGCGCCTTGAAGACTGACCTCTGCAGGTTTTGTCTTCTTCGTGGCGTCCTTGAAAAAGGGTCACTACCGCTTTCAATTCACCCAATTCGCCTGGACTCACATGGCGTTGTACTTGATCAACGTACAAGCGCATTTCATGATGAACAATGTCTTTGAGGGAATGATTTGGTTCTTCCTGCCAGCTTCCCTGGTCATCACCAACGACATCTTCGCCTACATTTGTGGCATAACCTTTGGACGTACCCAACTCATCAAAATTTCTCCTAAGAAGACAGTCGAGGGGTTTGTCGGAGCCTGGATCTGCACCATCATTTTCGGCTTCGGACTCACCAACATCCTGATGCGCTACAAATACTTCATCTGCCCCGTCAATGATCTTGGTTCAAACATCTACACGGGTCTTGAATGCACTCCAAATCCAGTATTCACACCCCGCCCATACGACTTGGCCCCATGGACCGGTCTGAACTACACCGTCTGGATCGCCGACATGCAGTTCCACATCCTGGTTTTTGCAACCTTTGCGTCCCTTATAGCGCCGTTCGGTGGATTCTTCGCGTCGGGTCTCAAGAGAACCTTTAAGATCAAGGACTTTGGCGACAGTATCCCAGGTCATGGAGGCATGACCGACCGGATGGACTGTCAGTTTATCATGGGCTTCTTTGCCTACATGTACTACCAGAGTTTTATTGCTGTTTACAAGACCAGCGTTGGTAGCGTCATCGAATCCGCCATTGTCGGCCTGACCCCCGAAGAACAAGTCGAAGTCGTCAAGGGGTTGGGCAAATACTTGTACAATCAAGGCATTGTTCCCGAAGAGGTCAGTACACAACCCCATTCCTACTACGCGCCTGGCCATGCTCACGCTGCAGATAGGTGCTCAAATGTCTCACAACTCAACTGTCCAAAAGATAAAGTGCTGCCTCGACGACTGCGCACAAGAGTGGCTTTATTAATTTTCTTTATAACATTCGATCGGACAATATCCGTGTACTCCAAACTTGATCTCATGAGCTAGCATTGCGGTGGAGTCCTGGGCTCCCGACGGTAGCAGACTTGCCATCACCATGGGAATTGTGAAAGTTCTTTGACTAGCTAGATGATGAAATTGATGCTGGTGGGCCGACCAGAGCACGACTCGGGATTGGCGTGCTGGTGGTGTTATCAACGGGCGCGAAAGTGGTTGATGGTCGCACATGTTGCGCGTACGTTAGGTAGTTTCTCGTCGTGCTCGGCGACGATGGCATGTGCTGTGGTGGAGGCGCCAAAAAGTTGAACGTGGCTTTGGGGTGGTAATGACAATATGACTTCTTTGATTACTCGTAGCAATCATGTTCGGTGGCTCAACTCTGACCCCTTCCTCTACCGCGAGGCCCTCCTCCACCTCGACCGCGACCACGTCCTCGATCTCCTCGGTCTCCTCGATCTCCTCGGCCCCCTTGGTCGCCGCCACGATGGTGGGGGCCACCGCGACCACCTCGTTGACCATCGTAACCGGCGTGGTGGCGATGTTGTTGTTGTTGCTGCTGCTGCTGTTCCCGGGCGAGATCGACGATTTCTTCGGGGACCCGTAGATATTTGATCTAAAAAGATGTTACAAATCCAAAACTCGGTCGACCGACACGAGAAAAAGTTGCAGGTAGGTAGGTGGGTGGGTGGGGTAAGAGTACTCACGTTGTTGCCTCTGATGTAGACCTCCGGTAGCCTCCAAAACCTGTCACCCTCGGGGCTGGTCTGGACGACCTCCTTGAGGGTCAAGTTCATCCACGTGTCGCAATTCACCAGGTGACCGTTCAGGGTCTCGCCGTTCTTGAGCTCGACGAGCATCGGATGACCCTGCGCCGCCGTGAGGAGGCCCAAGGGAAGCTAGACACGGGTATGAGTAAAAAAGTGACGATGATGATGTTGTTGTTTTGTTGTTTTTCCCCCGTTCACTTACCATGGTTTTTTTTTTCGCAAAGCTGTCCAGCAAATGTGGTTGTCAAAACTCTAGTGTGATCAAAAAAACCGAGAACCGACGATCAAAAAAGGAAAAAAAAGGACTGGATCTTGGAGGGTCGCCTTTTAGAAATACAAAAAGATGTCGATGAGAAACGAGTCTTGGTGGTGACATGGACATTTCAAGAGACCTTGACACTTTTAATTGGATGATGCCAAGGATTTTGGGAGAAAACTACTCGCCGCTTTGGATCGTCCTCCCCCCCTCTCCCTCCCCGCTTCTGGCCTAGAGGTGATGCCGCCCTATTGTCTCGAGCACCGCAACTACAAGTTGAAAATAAAAACAAGGACATCATCGATTGGACCCCAGTGATGATGATGATGATGATGATGATGATGATGTTCGCGGGGGGGGGATCAGATCAGATATACTTCTTCACTGATGACTTGCAAGTTGATCGCAGGGGATTATTGCCACGTACAATGAAACCGCTCTATCCCCCGTCGAGGCTTTCGATACTACAGGCGCATATCCCATTGAAAATTTGACCTTCTTCACGGATTTTGTAGAAATGGTTGTTGTTGTTGTTGTTGTTCAATTCTCCATCGATTAAATCCTCGTTTTGAGGCCAATCGTGGTGTTTTTGGTCGTCATCTACCACCCGCGTCTACCAACCCTTCCGCCTCGATGACAACCTCGATCCTCTCTCCTCAACACTCCTCACCGCGTCGATCAAATTGTTGTCGCCCTGTGGAAATGTTTGTCCCATTCATGTCTAATGGCTAATTGCTAGGTTCTTCAGATCCTTCTCCGTTCTCTCACCTTCTACGCAGGTGCGCCCAACTCTTGAATCGGCCTGTCCTTTTTGAATCGCCCAGACGTTCTCCATGGGTTTGAGATCCGGTGAGTACACAGAGACCATTCGAGTCGAGATGTTGCAACTTGTCAAACCATTTCTCGGTGGACATTGACTTTATGGATGGAAGCATTGTCGAGCGTCAAGATACGGTCTGATTCCCAACACCTAGGTATCTGATCGTCCGAGTACTTGAATATCAAATCCACCACCGAGACCCCTTTTTCTTCCTTTGATTGAGAATCTCACACCATGACAACGAGACCCGAACGTTCTTTGATCTATAGAGGCCCCGACCATGATAGAAAGATCCTCTCTTCCTTCGAGATGAGGCACCATCATCTTCTCATGCCACCTTTTGTTGCGGCGTTCGAGAAAGACCCAAGTTGGGTGTCTCCCCAGAGCCTCGTTCCAAGGAGCATTCGTCGCCAAAAAAAAAATAAATCACTCTTTCCCACTCATCGGCGCGCCAATCCTCCTGCCGGTAACTCGGTAATCTGTACTCCGTGACCGAGTAAGAAAGGACTTTTTCACTCGTACTCCTGGTACCAGGACGAGACACTTCCCAAATCATCCGGCGAGAGACTTGGAGCTTTCCGGTCGCCAGCCCTGGCGAACAAAACAAACCACTTGCCTTTTTCTGCCCTTGCATTTTTTTCCCCTCGACCGGACATGGGTCCTGCACTGACGTATCGACGGGCGTTTGTCACGCGAGTTCTTTCGTCGCTCGTTGAAGAGACTTCAAACCAACCTTGTTGCAACCCCGATGACGGGAAACGAGGACACGGGTTGGTTCGACGCGGTGCCCACGTTTGATGACATGGTGAGAGGGTCGGGGGTGTGTATGACCTTACGCGTTGGTTGATGTTGAAACTCGTTACTGTACATTTGGGCACCAGGTAGGGTAGCCATTTATGTACCCTGTACCCTGTATGGATAACGAGCGAGATACGAGTACGAGAAAACCGAAGACTTCCTAGCACGAGTACTCACCGTACTGGGGTTTGACGACATGGGAAAGAGTACACTCGTCTCTCCTTTTGATAACTGTAGACTTCTCCGAGGACGCGCGGCAGGACATTTTTTTGTTGTCGTACGGAGTACGCGATGCTTTTAGCGTTGAAACGGTCCCAAAAAATGTTTATTTGGTGGCGGCGACGGGTGGTTCGTCATCCTTTGACCGTAAAAAGGTAATATAGCCTCCAGTGCCCTGGATTAGGAGATTGGGATTGGGTGGTTTAATTTTACCTAGGCACAAATGTACCAAAGCTGGCTGGGGCCCTTTTATTATTAGCTGTTGCTCTGTGCGCCGTTTGGGGATCATCATAGCACACAATAGGAAAGGAGTACGGGGGCAACTAGCATTGAAACAATGCTGTGCTTGACTTTTCAAGGTACTCCGTACAGTACGGAGTACTTTGTCCAATAATAGTATACTGTATGCAGTAACCAACACCAAAGAATACTGCTGCCTACAAAGTACCAAAACAAGGCACCTTCTCTCCCATTTCCTTCTTGAGTAAAGACTGAAAAGCGCATGACCTTGTGGCGAACGAACTGAAAGTCCGTAATGTCGTGCTCCGTATAACCCACTGAGTCCTTTCTCAATGCATTGAGCTAGCTATTGTAGACTCCATGTGTTCCAAAATATTCGTGCGTCGTGACTCGGTCTTTCTGGCCACGCGACCAGCGCCGGCCGTCGATATCATGGCACGCATCGTACTTCAAGTGTCGCGTGACCACGTAACAATAAGTTGAGATCGTCCGGAAACCAAAATCCGATGTTTCATCGAATACATCAACCCTCCACATCGAGGTCGTGATTCGAAACTTCGGCTCTCTAATCGTGTTTGCTCGTATAGTGACTGTCTGTACTCCGTGTGCGCTAAGTGTTAAGCCTGGTGGATCGATACCTCCTATCGTAAGCTCTGCTGCCAGTAAAGATATCCTGATTCGTGATACGGGTCTTTTGTTCAAATCTCCCCAGTCATGCAGCTAGCAGGTGGACACGGAAATTATGAGTCGAATGAGCGACTCGACCCATCCTGGCGATAGGTGTACTGTAGGTCTGCAATGTGATGAGACCTCAATCCTGCCCCTTTGACCAATGCTTACACAACCCGAACAGGGAACGGCATACTTTGCCAAATTCGGCCACCGCATCGAATGAACGCCAACTTCCCTGTGCTCGGTGCCAGACTCTGGCAGCAGGATCGGTCACAGGTTTCGAACCCATGTTGCCGTATCGGCCACGTCCTGGGCTGAATCCTGTAATGGGAAGGATCAGGACGTCTTCAACCAGTTTACTGCGTCCGCCGTCATCTAGTCCCGTCAGAGCGTTCCAGCGCAGTCCTGCCTGGCCCTTCAACCAAGACTTCGTGGCGATTGTCACCGCTTGAGGACCAGTGAGTGCCAGCGGGCCGATGTGGTGCAATTGTTTGATAGCCGAGGGGGTCGTAATCGTGCCGTTATTCTGTGCGGCGATCTCGCCCAACCAGTGGGTCAAGATATCCATAAAGTGTAGAAGTACGGGATGTGCTGGCGCAGATGCCAACGCCCATTGTGTAAGCTGGAGGGGGAACGTGTAGCCCATGCGCCAATAGTCGTCCGACATGGGAGGACAATCTGCTTCGAGACCGAATATCAATCCGACCGGGGTGGTGGAATTGAATGTCTTGTTCGTCATAGGATCAGTCCATGGTGCAACATCATCAGGAGTGACCCAGTATTTAGGTTGTCGCAATGGTTGAGTGTCAATGTCGGCGTACTATGAGATGTCAGTACACTGATGGCATAGCATGATAAGTGTTGCAATGGCATACAACGCCCCCAAACCATTTAACTACCAGAATCCGAAAGATATCCGTTCGCTCAACGTTGGCTGGTAGGTTGACAAAGGTTTCAACAAAGTCGGGTTCAAATTCGTGGAGAAATTGCATAATGCCGTCGTCCTCCCAGAAGAAGTAGGCCATTTCGTCGCGAACTACGTGTTGCAGCCAGCTCTCGACACTATTTCGAAGGAGATCGCTCCATTTGTTCGCATAACGAGTCTTCCAAGTCTGATGAAGAATAAGGGGAATCGCCGAGTTGTGCATCTTGCGATGCTTGCTGGCGTTGGCAGCATGAGAGGCTAAGAGCGCTGCATCGACGATATTTTCCGGTTGAATGTTTGGAGCTGGCAACCAGTGTGGTGGGATGTACCATGCTGTCAATGATTAGCAGCTACTCGATCCGGCCAGTATAAAAGCCTCAGGGATTAGAATGGGAAAGTTAATTCGCCGCGCGCCTCGACGACAGGACAACTCACTACCTCCAGTTCCATTGAAACTGTGCACATGCTTGTACAGCAATGGGTGGTCTTGCTGCAATTGCGCCGAGGTAACCTTTCGTGGTCCATGATTTCTCACAGGCAGGAAATACCAAAAGAAGAAAATTGAAAATAAAACAGAAGGAAATATTCTGCGCGAGGAGAGGCACGCGACTCTCATGTTGGGAACTGCACACACGGCATCAAGGAGAAGTTCGGAGAAGGAAAACGGTTACGCAAAGTTGAGCAGAAAGGAAAAGGTGTGTGAAAGGACAGCTCAAACAAGGTTTGGCCAGAACCGGCCGCCAACCTTTAGCAGCAGAGCAGGGTTAAACCCAAGGCGCTGTCATAGGATCCTGGACATTCGGGGCAGCCTCAGAGCATGAGAGTCGTCACTGTGGCTGTTCAATCGATTTGCACCAAGGCAGACTCCAACCAGAATGGGGAAAGGTTCCTGTACACCGTATAATCTGGTTGAAGGGGTCTCGTAAATTGAGGTGGACGAGGCGACGACGAAGTCTACTGTAGTCCAGTCACTTTTGCAGGTGGTGTCATCCCGTCGTTGGAGACGCGTGTATGATTTCGACCACAATGATTGGGTCGACGGCAAATCTGTTACCAAACCGCCTTTGGTGGGGTGAATTCCAAGCTCGAGCTCGAGTGTTGGGAGAATCCCGCACCTCGAGGATGGGAAATCTTGTCACGGCTATTGCGCTCGGCGTGGCGACCGAGAGCACCAGCTTCTGGAAGGAACAGGTGGTGTCGATATCGAGCAAGGCTGGTTACATTTGTGCCTTTGGTGATGGACAGAAGAACAGATGAAGAAGAGTAGCGTAAATGAGAGGAAAGAGCAGATGCGTGTCAGATTTAGGTCCCATCACGTGATGATGTTCTGCTTATGTCACGTTGGCCATGGTCACGTTCCTCCAGGCACTCCGAACGGTCATTACAGTAGGTGTGAAAGTGGGCTGGAACAACGACGAGACTCATGTGCAGCAAACGTCCTTCAGCTGGCACTTTCATTGAGATTCTACCAGTATATATTCCCGGCCCACATTATGCACCAGCAATTCATGAATCTGACGTCTTGATATCGTCTGAAATGGACGTTCGAGAGCCTTACTTATGCAAAACAACATCTATCGACCGAATCCGAACCACCCTCGTTTTGCTGGCTTCTGTTCTTGCTTCTGTCCCGGCGTGGCAGACGCATCTTCTTCAGCGGACCTTCCATTGGTGGCTGCCAGTTCACTTTCGAGTGCCGCTTTCTGGCTGGGGTATACAATATAATTCCAAGCAATATCGAAGAAAAGCGGCTTAACAGGTACGGGTCGGAGTCGAGGAGGGTAGTTGACGAGATTAGTCAGGTCAACATTCTCGACGTACTCATTCCGGCCAAGGCGTTCAATCAGCGGAGCAGGCTTGATCGCTTCTCCGATCGTTTGGACTGTAGTAGGTTGCGACGACTTTGTAAGGGCTTTGAGATCGGCGAGCGCACGATACTGCGTAATCAGTTTTGTAAGAGTGGAGATTGAGCGCTCAAGATTTGATGAGAAGACATCGAGTCTAGGTGGCATGTTGGTGGCAACGTCTTCCTTCAGGACGGGCGAGGCTGATTGGGCGAGCTCGAGAGATTTCGCATACAGTGCGAGCGCGTTGACAATCTGCGACTTGATCGCTTGCGAACGACCAATGGCGAGACACTTCAGAGCCCGGAAGTAGGCTCGCTTCGCGTCGAGTTCCGTAACGAAGGCCGTGTCCGCTATGACACCAGGGAGTTCTTTAACGGCGTCAAGACTTTGCAGAATCAAGTCATAGAGAGCCACACGCTCGCGAAGGCGTGAGAGCTTGCGCCCGGAGCTTTCTTCCTTGCCCTCACGAATTTTGCCGTCTTTGCGAGCTTTGGAAGGGCGTTTTGATTTCTCAGACTCGAAAGTCAGGCCATCGTCTATGCCGCAGAGCACTCGATTGCGACCGATGCGCCATTCAATAACGGCATAATTTACGGCCGTGCGTGTGACCTGGAGAGATTGCATCCGTGAGTCACCAGGTTCGACTCCTTCAGCTGCAAGCTCATCAATCGCGGTCTTTGTCGCATCCGCAGCATCCTGTCGAGCTGTAATGACTTCTTCGTAGGCCGTCGCAAGGTCTTTGGCATTGAGGCTTCCATCGCAATATGATTTGTAAGCCGATGACAGACTGCCTTCTTTCTCCTGAGAAAGCCCTAATGCTTGTGAGATGTTGGCATCTTCCAGCTTGACGTTGCGTCCGCGCCAGGAGATTGAGGTAGGCACTTCCTTCGGGCCAGTACTGCTCGGAGCAGCGTCGGTAGCCGAGACAAATGCTTGAGGATTGATATTTTCCAGTTCCTTACGAAGAGCGCCGTCACTGCTGGGGAAGTTCTCAATGGCCATCTCGTTGACTGCTTTGGTGCGCGGCATCTTCATCTGATGCGCAGCATATCTTATGCTCGGCTCAACGATACCCGACAGTAGATCTTTGAAGGTATCCGTCTTCGAACTTCCTGCCAGCGCAGAGTATACCATGTATGTGAGCGAATAAGCTTCAACGCATGCCTGCCATCGTCCTCTTTCAAACTCGAGAGTACCTCGAAGCATAGATAGGTAGGCTCGAGCCTCTAGGTCATGCATTTCTGATGCACCGGTCGCGTTTCGATCTTGTAGAATGTTGACAAGGTTGTCGGCGTACATGATGGCTCTTCTCAGTCTCGACACGATCTGGCGTTTTGTTGAACCTGGCATCGGCTTCTGGGTGTTTTCTGCAGATTGTGACGACTTCATAGTCATGGCACTCGCCCAGGCGCGCTCGGAACTCGCAAGGAGGAGTTGAACCCATCTAAAGCCAGGTCAATGATCTGTCTTTGTAAGTGACACCTTTTATCTGCTTACTCTGCATTCTTTGCAACATTTTCGACGGTGACTTGAGATTTTGGTGTGTATTTTCGGCCACGGTTCGCAGCTCCCAGTCGTCTGCGTAGATTATGGATTTTGCGTGTGGCTTGAGCATGATACGTATTGTAATCACCTCCCAGAAGGGCACGGTCTCTTTCTGAGACTATTGAGCTGGTGATGTCCATGATGGGATAAAGAGAGTGTGCGCAGGTATTGGAGGGGCTCGTTGTTGTGTATCATGATACAGTAACAAGTGTGTGCGTCGGCGAACTAAAGGCCGAGCCTTTTGTGCCTGCGCCGCTTCAAATGGAGACGTCGATGATTCTCCATCTCCATCTCAGTCTTTCACAACAACCAATTCTTTTGCCGTACTCTCTCTTTTCGCCGACTCGGTTACTGAGCGTGTTTTCTTTGTTTCTTTGCCTCGGAGCATCTCTCATCCACGATATTATGCATTGACTATCCTCCGCGGCACGAAATCGTCAGAACGATTCCTCATTCTACCCATCTCCAAAAAAAAGTCGCATGACATCTAGCAAATAGCTATACCACCGCTACCTCATCCTTCTGTCTGACTATCCTCGAGTTCCCGACCGTTCCATGCTAGAGCGTACGTCGCAATGCATTGAGCCAGCCTCTCAACTTTTCTTGCGAGCCATCGACCCTCCGATCAGATCAAGCCGACCTCTTGGTCAGGCTTTTTGGAGGAACAGAGGCAATGACCTCGTAGCGTCGGCCTGGTGGCCTTTGTATCTTCGGGACATTCGGTCGAGATATCAAGAACAAGATGGTCTTTGGTCACCTGCCAAAGCTCCGTTCCCAATAGCACACCACACAGGAAAATCTCGGTCCCTTGCTTCTCGTCCCACCAAGCATAATGCATTCTCTGTCCGATCAGTCGCCGCCGCGACTCCTAACAGAGGCTATACAAACAATGCACAGCTAGCGCCACCGATGCATGAGTTCGTGCATGGGGAAGGTCGTCCAGAGGACAGCATCCTGTACCTGACGGACCGATCATCGAGAAAACCGCATATCACCTCGAGCAAGACCGACACCGAGGTCGAGGAAGAGCTTGCTATACTCTTGGCCGGCGCGCCAATCTCGGACCCAGCGCTCCAGGAGTTTAGCCCTGGCGATGTTGTCTTTGCGCTCTTTCAACGTCTCCATAATCCAGCGGCATATGCGAGTGCTGTTTTTCAATTTCTTGCTCAGTCACTTCCTCCACGAAATCCTGAGGCTCGACTGACTAAAGGGGTACATGAAGCTTTTAATGCCATTCCATTGTCAAAGAGAACTGCTCGGGACTATACCACTGCTGTGAAAGTCAGCTTGAAGGTGGATGACTTCCGTCTGGTCCAGAAAATCAATGCGGAGGCGACAAGCCGGGACTTGAACCACGAATGCAGTCCGTTCCTGCTTCTACACTTCGTAACAAATATGCTATGGAGGAACGCTGTGGAGATCTGGACCGCTTCTTATACGACTCGAGGAGCTGATCATCACATGGACTCTCTAGTGTCCCAGGCGAGCGACTACAAAGATCTGCCTTCTGCTATTGACAAGATGGCTTCAGCCATCCTAGAGCGTTCGCCTGTGCTGATGCGATTTTCAGGCAAGCTACGAAGCATTGCTCGAAAGTTGTTGCATGTGCTATTGCGAAATGGTCGCCTCATGAGTTTGATTACACCTTCTGGACTTCTCGAAATATTGAACAACTATAAACTCTTGGAACAGTTGCAGCCTTGGATGCACCTCGAGCTTCTCAACACACTGCTTAAATCTGCAAAGCGTCCAAACAAAAGCGGCCTTGCAACTCTAGTATATCGAAATCTTCGACTGAACTTCCCGGACTACAAGCCACCGCCTTCTGCTTATGGCGCATTACTGTCTGTGCACGCTGATGAAGCCTCTTCTTTTCGGGATTATCAATATTACCTACGAGAATTTACCCATGTTCATGGAGCCGCAGATAAAAAGTCGTACCAAAAGGTGTTAACCGCCTTGGCTCGACAGGGCGACGTTGTGGGAGTCAAAACGATCTTTGGGCAGCTTTGTCAAGCTCATCCGCGTCCGCAAGAGATTGAGTTTTATACGCCCCTCATCTATGTATACGCTCGACTGGGTGATGTCGAAAATGCTGAGAGAGAGTTCAAGAGGCTGAAGACATGGGGTATAGAACCGAACACATATTGTTGGAACATGTTACTCTATGCTCACACCAGATCTCGCCACCCTAAAACATCGTTCGACTGTTTTGGAGACATGCAAGCCCGAGGTGTCCGTCCGGACAAGTATACATTCGGAACCCTGATGAGTACCGTTTCGAGAAGTGGCGACACTGAACAAGTCCTCAGCATGATTGAACAAGTTCAACAGCTCGACACCAAAGGTGATTACGAAATGATGTCAGCTTTGATTCACTCATACTGTCTGAACGGCCAAGCAGATACAGCAGAGAGGCTCGCTGAAGCAACATCAAAAGCAGGATACGAGGGAAGCCCTGTGAAAATGTGGAACTATATCCTAAGGCACTACGCTTTTCGTCGCGACTCCAATGCATGCCTCCGAGTGCAGCATCGCATGCAGGCTCTGGGAATCAAGCCCGACGATATGACTTATGCTGCCTTGATGACAGCCCTCGTGGCGCTTGGCAAGACTAAAGATGCTGCTCAAATTCTCAGACGACTGAATCTCAGTCAGGCCCTCACGGCGAACCCATTTCACTATTCCATCATCCTACATGGGTTTGCCCTGGAGGGAAATCGCGATATGGCCACCGTCATATACCAAGAAATGCTGCAAAGATTCCCGAACTTGGGTGGAAGCCCGCATCTTGCTATGCTTCACATGGAAAGCCATCGCAGCCCGGAAGCAAAGCAGTCTCCTCAATTATCCATCGATTTTCTGGCTGGAATCCTTCAGACGATTACCACTGCAGATCGTGCCAGCAAACTACCTCAACCTGGGCTCCGTCGGCGCAGACCAGTCGATGCATTGCCATCTGTTTACTTCGAACATCTCGTCGGTGTTTTACTGGCCAAGGGCCGTGTTGAACAAGCAGACAAACTTCTTCGGAGATTCGAATCTCTTGCTGGTTTGTCATTCCTCGATCTCGACGTCAATTTTCTAGACTCGAAAGAGTTGCTTGTTTCACGTCTCCGCGTAGCTGCTCAAGGCTATGATTGGCAAGGAGTGGAAACTATCTGGCTAAAGATTCTTCAAGGCGCTATCCAGTCTGCCAGCAAGGGAAAGACTATCAGGACCCAGCCATCGTCTGTTGGCGTCGAATTCTTACAATCCGAGTCTGGTTCGGAGTTTAGTTCAATGATTCCTGACTTTGCCTCAGGAGCATCTTCAAGTGACGAAAGCAAAAAGCTGCTCAGCTCCCTCTCCTCGAACATTCTCCGCTCCCAAAGATTTGTTCTGAAAGATGCCATCAATATCTACCTTGGAGCTCTGGACTTTCAGAACCGGCACAACTATGCCGTCACGACTGTGGAACTACTTGAGAAGGCTGGGTTCTCCTTGACCAACAACAACTGGAATGTCTACATTCAGACATTGACACGATCTCGAGATTGGCGGCATTGGGTAGAAGCATTCCGAATCTTTGAGGAAAGAATGTATGCGTCTGCTCCAGCATGGCGATTGCTCGTTCGTGGAAAAGCTCTGATCTCGAACGAGTCCGACTCACCACAGGCTAGGGCGAAGAAGGTTGTACGTCGAAAAGACGCAGAAAGGCTCGACATCGATCTACCTATGCCGACATACCTGACAGCTGTTTGTCTCGCTACCGTACTAAAGAAATCCGGTGTTCGGACCCGCTTAGGTGACGACGCACTCATGCTGGAGCTGTCGACTGCTGCCCCCGACACCTACCGCTATATACGTCGCATTCCGAGACTCAAGGACAAATTCCAGGGTGCTCTCCTTCGTGATTTCAAGATTGCTGGAGATATTCCAAAACGGCCTCGTGACTCTGCATCACCAGATCGGTCCGGGGTGCTAGGCAGCCTCTCGCCACTTGACCATGTCCCGGTCGGGGAGCTTGCCAACCTGGATGAGATCGTTGGCGGACGGAAGCATGATCGAGACGAAGATGTCCCACAAGCCGAGCGGATCGAAGGACAAGTTGACAGATCATCTCGGTTCATCGACGGGGAAGATCGTTATGAGAACGACCTCGAGTATCAGGAACGCATCTACCAACACGAAACACGCCTCCTCAGCACCATGGACGCCATCCGTCGCGATGCATCGAGCCCTCGGGTCATCAGTGACTCTTGGTTTGGTCAGCCAGCTAGTACTACTACCACGACGACTACCACCGACAGTGCGACACGTTCGACCGCACTGAGAGATACAGGCCTCCCACCGGGAGCTCTACTCAACCCCTATTATTCGAGCCTGGAGAGGCGCGCGGCGACCGAAAAGAAGTTGCGTCAAGCACTCGACAGGTCATTGCAGGACGCAGGTGGACAAAGGCCTCCGAGGGCCGTGCGTGCTCGAAATACCCAGGTTCCATCTCGCGGCGATTCGAAAGGGTCTCGTCGGCCTCGGGCGTTCGACCCTGGCCCGACAACGACGGCCAAGCCTTCGACGAGTACCGCCACCACCACCACCCCTTTGCGGCTTCGCAAGAACCATCGTGTCCTGGAACAACTTCCCAGGGTCGAGAAATTGCCGCCGTGGGACCGACGCGTCAAAGCCGCGTGGCATGGGAGGCCGAAGAGGAGGTGGAAAAAGGATGAGGAAGCCGAAAAGGCTGGTGGAATAGATGAAGAAGAAGAAGAAGAGTCTTGAAAGAACGTTCTACACTTGTACAAAATCCATGAATTGTTACTGTCCATGAATTGTCAATAGGGTGTTTCACAGCGTCCGTCAATCCGCTCAACCGGTGTCCATGATCGACTCGTGATTTGTGCGTAGCCTTAGAAATACCAAGAGCACGTCACTACTACGCGAAATCAAAAAGCAGACGCCAATGATGTTTGTGGAGGGATGGAGAGTTTTCACGTGAGCATGAGTGTGCTCGATATCATTTCTGGATCATGAACCGTCATTTCTATCCCTGTGTGCTATGAATACAACCGTCATCACCAGCATAATGAATAACTCAACAACTTTGCCAGTCCTGGCTCGAGTCCGAGTCCGAGTCCGAGTCGTCCTCAGAAGTCGTTGCCGGCTCCTCGACCAAAGGCATAACAGAAGACGCTCCGCCGATTCCGCGCCATCGTCTGAGACAATCGGCGCACCGACCACCTCCGTTGATTCTCGTTTCTCGTGTTCCTCGACAACGAGAACTGTAGCATTCCCGGACCGTGACACGTCTGTGTCCGCAACTGAACGTCTGAATGACTTTTTCGCACATTGCCCCCGCCCCTGTCGATCTTCGAGGAAACCGGGTTTGAGAGAAAGGGTCGAAGGTTTTGTTATGTGCGTGCGTGTGTATGCAAGGGAGAGGGAGAGAGGCAGGCTCGTCGTCAAGAGAGGGACTTGAAAGGTCGTTTTTCGAACAATAACAATCGATATTGGAAGCACTCCTTTGCTGCCTTGTTGTCGTTCTGAAGATGAAAGTCGTGCTCGAGGATGGTGCGAGAGGAACATGTTTCCGTCCAGGAAAACTGTCGACATATATAGTTGATACACGGACGTCAGTTAAGACGCTTCGCCGGCGTTGTGCATGTAATAGCAGCAGCAGCAGCAGCAGCATTCTCATCATCATCACCGCCGCCGCCGCCGCGGCCGTCACCCCCGTCACGATCGCCCTCACCGGCACGGTCACCGTCACCACCGTTTGATGCCGGCTCGGTGCCAGTCAACCACTCCACAATGTCTTTCAATTTGGGCCCCAATATCCGTTCCGCGTGAACGTCTCCCGGTTTTCCAGATTCGGAGGTTTCGTAGGTGAAGTCCCTTGACCCCATCGTGTGCAATTCACCATCCTCGTCACGGAACTTTTGTGGGTGACTTTTCTCGCACCACGCACATCGTATACCCGAGGGCGTGTAGACCGTCCTGAGCCGGAAATCCTTGCAGTCTTGCCACTGGTGGCACTTGTGGAGTTGGGTACGGATGTGACAACAGGGGTAATCCACGATCCAGTATTGGCACATTTTGGCCGTCGCGGTCTTTGGGGGGGGAGGGGGTTTGGTGGGAGGGACGGACTGATTCGACGGTGTGGGTCGACGACGGTGGCAAGAGGGTGAATGAAGTTGGGAGTTTGAAGAAACGTCGTTAAACGTCGTTATGGTTTGCAAGCCGAGGCTACAAAGTCGATCGACGTGACAGATCGATACTGAGGTAATGTATAGAACAGCGTTAGTGATGCGCCGTGGGTTTTGCGTTGATGAATGAGCATTGTCCAGGTTGAAGGGAAGTGATTCGTCTTATAGCAAGGAAAACGGCAGTGGGACGTGTAGAGGCGGAAGGTGCAAACATCCAGATTCTGTTGGCAACTTCCCAACCAAGAGCAATCGGGCCAACGTCGAGCAATCAAGGAGAGATTCTTCATCATCGAGAGGGAGCATCTCTGTCAATCGATCGGTCCATCGTCAGCTCGTCTATGCTACAATCTACTATTCCCGATTTCCTTGCTCTACCTCTGGTCTGACCCTGACCAGCATGTACCACGCTTGAGCTCTTTGGTCAAGGTCTTTGTCGCTGAGAGTCGAGGCCCAGCGGACGGATCAAAGCAAACGAGGACGGATCAAAGCAAAAAAGGCGCAAGAGGCAGATATTCAGCTGCTTTGACCCCATTTAGTCTCCATCCTCAACGCGTCCTCTACCCCGGAAACTAGGAAAAGCCTCAATGAGCTCATCAGCCTCATCCGGCGTGACACTTTCTGCGAGCATACTAGTAGCCTTGGCTGCTGTATCATCGGGGATGAGCATACCAACATAAGGACCTTCCGAAAATGCCAATCTCGTAAGGGCCACGCGATGCTTGTGCACGCCGCCGTTGATGACGGACAACTTCTCCTGCAGGTCGATTTGAGGGCCGTGTAGTTCTAGCACGTGGAATAGCAACTGCACACCCTTGTTGACAAGCGCAGCGTGTAGAGCAGATGACGGCGTCTGGTCGTACATTGCTGACAATTCGTCGTGCAAGCTCCGTACTATTCTTCCGATGGCGCTGGGATGCTCCGCAACAAGCAAACTCCCATGTGAAAATGGCGAAGGGATGGTGGTCACCTGGAGAAGAAGGTCCAAAACGTCAAGGCGTAAATGGCAAATTGAGGCGCGGGTATTTGCTGGCTGGCCTTCGTCGACTTTGGGCGATTCCCACAGAAGGTAGCAGATGCGGTTGATGATATGTTGTTCAATCTGGTTCTGCTGATCATCGACACAGATACTGCCGAACGTGTCGGAGAAGATGCTCGTCCCCAACAATCGAAGCATGAGCCTGATGTCTGAAACCGGCTGCCAGGCATTAAGCATCATCAAGACAAATGCAGGATGAATCAAACGCCAGAAGAGAGAGAGTAGATCTGTCTCATCCGAGATTATGTATGCCATCGCTAGCATAAGGTCCAGGCAGGCCGTTCCGTCGATATCGTCGTTCAAAACAGCCTTGGGGGTCTGTCGAAATTTTCCAAACGTCGAGTGGTTCACAGGAGAATGCTCGACACGTTTTTCGGCGTTGATAGCCACCGTTGATTGAATGAGAGGTACAAGTGAGTTGATTATTCCGGAGTCTATTGCCTCCGCTCCTATATGAAAGTCGATGATGCGGCTCGCAACCTCAACAAGTAGTGGGATGGGTTTGTAATATTCTGCCTTGATTGACTTTGACCACAGATCAATGAAAAGTTGCAACATGTCGCTGGGAATACGATCACCCTTGAGGTTAGCTGTACCCTCAAGGAGAATGGTAGCGAAAGTCTTCGAACCAGAAGGCAAAGAAAAGTTGGTCATGGCTTCCACAAGTGTGATCTTTGTTCCCTTGACTCGATACTTGAGAATAGATTGAAGGAACTGTAAGTGTCGAGTTGATTGCTTGTTCTTCCGGATCATGGAGATACGAAGCTCTTCAGATGATGCCAGCTTTGGAGCTTTTGTAGGTGGCCCGCTTGGAGGGGCAGCAGCAGTTGGCCTCAGTGCCAAAGGCTTGACAGGACTAGGCACATCTGCCTTTCGCTTTCGCTTGTTTGCTGCTGTGGGAGTCGTAGGCTTGGTCCGACGAGCAGATTTGGAAGGGGAGACCATCATGACATCGTCGTCATCAAATCCATCTCCAAGAGAACTTGCCATGCCACGTCTAGAAGTTGCCGTACCACTGGCATCCTTGACGGCCGCTGGCTTTTCTGTCAAACGCGCCTTCAGAGACTGAGCTTCCTGGACTTCTCGGTTGTGGTCTTGTTGTAGGAACTGATAACGAGTGGTTAGATTCTTGTTCTTCTCGACCATGGCGCTGATGGCCGCATTGTGTTTCCCAGCCTCTTCTGTCAGAGACTTCTTTAGGGCATCGATTTGACGATCCAGGATCTTCTTCTCCCTGACGAAATTGGTACGAAGAATCAATATTTCTCCCTTCTGTGTGGTGACTTGATCTCGCGTCCGTCGAAGTTCTTTTGCAAGCTCGTCTCTCTCCATGTTCACTTTGTCATTACTAGCACGGCCATGTATATTCTGCCGCCATGGTTCTATTTGCACCGTCTCACTTGGCTGCATTGTTGGACCATCTTGAGCCCTTCGCTGGGCTTGTGTTGATTGGACTGCATGCTCCTCCAATTCTTGGAGGGCAGACTCTGAGAGACCTTCAAAGACGTCATCGTAGAGATACGCGTCGTCCTCGCGGTCGTCCATGTTGAGAGTAGGGTCAACGTTGACCTTCTACAAGAAAGAGGCTTGTCAAAAAAGAGACTGTTGAGATCCTAATCATGTGACTACGGTTGCTGGTTGTTTGCACTAGTCCTATTCGGGAACTGCCTCGGCCTGCGCGCACACAACACAACAGCTTACGTTAGTTAACTAACTACCATGCTAACCCTCTATAGGCTAATCTGTCACGTGTCTGGTAAGTTGCCTGTCTCATTCACCCGAGTACGTCACCTCCTTTTCACCTGGTACTGCAACCATGGCAGATTCTAGTCCTCCAACGACGCCGAGCTGTCGTCGGCTTACTCACGATCAAGGATGAGTTATTCTCCTCATGAGACAACTGGTTATGCCAATATGTGTATATTACAACGCGCTGTTCAATACCTATTAAAACAAGTAATTCACTTCGCAATATCGCAACGAAGAAAAATCTTCTTGTCTATCTAAGGCAGAGATAGATAGAGTCGAACAGTTTATTATTAACTCACGTTTGAACCGTCGAATATTATATTTACAGATTGCAGAGACTTTAGCTTGATGATAAATGAGAAAGATACACTGTCTATTTAGGACGCCCTTCACTCACATGACCATTCTTCATCACGCACCAATTGACTAATATATCTTGAACAAGCTCGAGAGCATTTTACATGGACAAAATAACAATGGGGTCGAGTTTCATGGAGTGACGAGACATGGATAACTGCCGAAAGGACATTGTCGAGTTTGGGTTACTCGACGTGATGGAGAGGCACCCGATCTAACCTGTGTTGTTGAGTGTCGACGACGCATAAAAGGTTTCAAGATTTGGGCCTGTCTTAATGGCAATCAACCAGATTCTCATCTATTCTGAGAGAAATCGACTCAAAGACCTGTTCGGAGCGAATCCTTACACTCATTGAGGGTTGGATCAAGTACTCGATGCGAGAATGTACATTACGACCTCAATATTTAGTTTAGGTCTTCTTCGCAATGAATTCTATCAATCCATACGCACAGGTGTGACCAAAGTCTTCTCACCAGTTACGAAGTACAGAGCAAACACATCCAAAATAACTCAGACCCTGACCATTCATGATCTGTGCATTTCCTCGCGCGAGTCAAGAAGTCAGTCACTGATCTTTTCAGTCCCAAGGCCTGTGAGAGGAATGTCGACATGGTCTAGCACATCCAACAACACTGTGTGTATCGTCGCCTGTGAACCTCGAACTCGGAGGTACTTCTTGCACGTAGAGACTCTTTTAAGGATTACGCTGCGAGGCTCGCAGCGCTTCGCTTCCCTGACCTCTGTCAAGGTCCTTGTTCCCTTGTGACCTTCTGTAGACAACTGTCGCTTAGTCACTCTTACTACTTAACACTCGTACAGAGGCACTTCGCGATATTCATAGGGTGTCAGATTAATTCCGTACCTTGGTCTTTATGTTACATTCATTGCTCACGCTGCGCGCGCAGCGACGCCATTATTCTCGCAGAACTTGATTGATTTTATGCATGTCTATCTACTTGTTGCTCCTGACGCTGCAGGAAAAGCAGAGACATTCACACCTCTCGCGTACTCGTAAACAATACCTCAAAGTGTGTCCTCCCCTCCAGTACCGCACAGTACATCTGAGCGCGCCATCTCAATAGCCGCAGTCATGCGACCCTCGCCATGTCATCAAACGTGGGCATCGCGCTGAACCAACCCATGTCCTCGGTCCCGACGGTCTCGAAGGCGCGCTTCGCGTCCTCGTGCCGGACCTTGATGGTTTCCTGGTCCCGTCCCCGGGCGGCGGCGTCGGCGGCGAGTTGACTCTGGCAGCACTTTTCGGCCGACATGAACCAAAACACGGCGGATTCGACCGTGCGCCCGACGGTCAACAGACCGTGGTTCTGGAGGATGACGAGCTTGTTCTCCGGTCCGAGGGCGTCGGCGACGGCCTGCCCCGGGCCCAGTTCCAACGCGGAGCCGGTGAAGTCGGACTGAACGGATTGATGCTGCGTCGAACCGAAGACAGAAAACAAAAAGTCATTATCGAATCTCAAAAGTCGGAACATGTGAAAAAACAAAGGGAGAAGAGATTGCGCAAAGGGTGGAAGAGAAAGGAAAAAAGCAAAAGGGACGTTGTTTCTCTCTCACATTGTAAAAGACACACGAATCTTGTGTGATTATGTCGAGTTTACGACCCAGAGCCGAAAACGCCCTGCCGTAAATGGTGTGCGAGTGTGCGACGCATGTCGCTTCCGGACGGGCCGTGTGTACTGTGTGTTGTGTACCAAGTAAGAACAGGTAAGCGTCGCGGGGGGAATACAATCCGTTCGTCGTCCCCTCTCCCACGGGTGACCAGGTATGTGTGTACAAGAACAAACACTTACCGGCATGATGAATCATGAATGCACCAGTGTTCAAACGCCTGACCGGACCCCCTGCGACGACGGTGCCTTGAGAATTGACGAGGATCAAATCACTCGCTTGCAACCTCGCCCACGACACGCCAAAGGGGTTCACCCAGAAACAGGTCGGGTCGACCGGGTCCTTGACGGTGATGTGGCCCGCGACGCCCTCGTCGTACCCGTACTTCGCAAAGATCCGGAAGGCCAGTGCGAGTCTACCCTTGAGATGGGCACGGTACTCGTGAGGGTCTTGAAACGTCGGTGGGCTGGGGATGTCCCAGGGGACGGAGACTGCGTTGTTGGTCTTGTCATCTTTGCGATCGCGATTGCCAGAGGAGGACGAATCTTGTTTGACGGTATTGTCATCGTCGTCATGGTCGGAAAGACGCAATACTTGAGGTGCTGCGGTTGTCGAGGTTTGTGTTGTTGACACGGGAGCAGACATCGTGTGTGAGTGTGTGTTTGCTGTTGACAGGTGAGATGGAACAGTGTTTCTCAGTTGCAAAAAAAAAGAGAAAACCGAACTGGCGCGTGCAGATATAAGACAACACAGTCCGATAACATCAGAGAGAGAGATGTCCTTCGGTGGTGCAGTCAAGGGGAATAGATATACCGTCTTCTCACTCCCCTCCATTCGACCCTGTCAGTTCACCGTCGCGATACTCGTACATGCAATGGTCATTCAGATTTCTCCACTTCTGGGACTTGACCTGAAGGCAAGTCGGGGCAATGGGAGGGCTGTATGGAGTGAGCGTTTGATGCTGACCACCCATCGATCGGAGACACAGGTCCACGGCCATGATGAGCGACAAGGGGGGGAGATGGCACGGATGCATGTAAAGAATAAGTGTTACTGGAGGAAGATCGAAATCATGTCCCGAGCCCGTTCAAGAGTGCACGAAGAAACGAGCCAATCGTCGTGTTGTCGACGCGAACGAATCAGAAAGGAGCAGCCAGCCGTTCCGCAGCAAACGAGTTTCGCTTATCAGCGGCATTCGGGTATGGTACTGTACCACAAACGGAAGGCGTCGAGACGATTGTTAGATCAAGTGTCATTGGCATTGGCATTCGAGAGAGAGAGTCTGAGTTCCAGCTTTAATCAATACTAGAAGGTATTGCAAAGATCGATTGGTCATGACGTGTACTATCGGATTTCAAACTCGGCCTGGTCATGGTGCCAATGACTTCCCTCGGTAGTCGTTGGACAGAGATAGGAAGCCTATGGGATAGTATGGGAAATCAAGAAATTTATCGCATGAATTGGTAAACTTGTCCCGTTCTACATAGTACTGACATGACTATACGCAAAGTCTCCCACCACCATGGTAGCAACACTACTGTCAACAACCTGACCCAAAACTTTATCAATCATGCCTGTATGTCCTTGTCAACGGCGCTCGGCTGTTTCTCGTTCCCGTGCGTTGCTCGCTCTTGCGCATCTACCATTCGATGCTTATAACCCTGCATGGTCTCCAGAGAGCCAAATGCGTAGTCGATTTCCTCCAGTGTTCTTGACTTGGTCTCGACGAGCATAAAGTATGCTAGAACATCAACCTGATCAGTATCCGCGACCATGAACGAAAGCAACTTTCGGCACAAACTCACCAAATGGCAGAGCGAGAAAGTTGAAGATGATGTAGAGAATGAAGATCTTCCACCCGGTATTCGCAATGGCAATGGGTCCAGTGAACAGAGTCAAGAAGGTGAATATCCACGACGTCGTAGCCCCGATGCCCTCTCCGACGTGCCGCAAATGACTGGGGAGCACTTCGGCCGGGTAGAGCCAACTGATTGGGAGCATGCCAAACCCGAAGCCAAAGTAGAAGATGATCAGCATGATCATTCCAGCCCATCCGGCGGCTTGAGATCCGAAGCTGATACAAATGGTGAAGCCCGTCATTCTAACAAGTAAAACGAGTCAGTCAAGTTCTCTCGGTTACGCAAGCAAATTGTAACACGGTGTGGTCATACCCTAGCGTGCAAAAGATTGTGCCGACGTATAGTGTGATTTTCCTGCCGAACCTCTCGATGGTGAGTGTACTTGCCAGCACGAACAAGGCCCAAACGGTTTGAATGATGCCTGATACCATGGCGGCCTTCATGGCATCAAAACCAAGGTTGAGCTGAAACATCCTAGCAGAGTATGCCACAATCTTCATGACAGGGTCAGTATGAGTCGGTGGGTCAACGATTTGAAAGAGTCAATCTTACGATATTGAGGCCACTTAATTCCTGAAGCATGCTAATGAGTATGACCAGGCGAAGGCGCTTTCCGATCTTGAACTCGGTCGTGTCGTAGAATATAGCTTTGACGCATGTAACAACCCATCTCCAGCCCTGGAACTCGTTCGCAGCTTCGATTTCTGCTTCGACCTTGAGACTTGCTCGCGTTCGGAGGACAATATCCGCATCCTCTGGGACGTCGTATATTCGCGCAATGACGTTGTCACCATCTTCGTCTCGCCCATGAGCATAAAGCCAGCGAGGTGACTCTGGTAGGAAGGGAATGGTGGCCTGGAGCAAGTACGTCAACAAACGCCCTGCTTTGGACCATATCCATTGGTGCAGGAGATCCTCACCATGGTAACGAGACAAAACGCCGCTTGGAAGGCAACCGGAAAGCGCCAAGTATACTCGGGGTTCGTCGAGTGTTTGATGATGCCGTAGTCAAACCAATCCGCGAGTGCGATGCCTAGCTGGACTCGGAATCAGTCCGTTATGCGTCATCCAACTTCAAAGAATACGTCCACTCACAACCCCACACACAAACAACAAGCATATGACCTGTCCACGACGATGTGCTTTGGCAACCTCCGCCAGCAGAACAGGTACCGAACTGGTCATCAATCCGATCCCCAGACCGGAAATGAACCTTCCAACGAGCATCTGCGCCAGACTGAACGAAGCAGCTTGTAATGCAGCACCGATAACCATGAGAACACAACCCATGAAAATGAGGAATCGGCGCCCGGTCGTGAAGCCGACATAGACTGCCAGGAGGCTCCCAAAGACTGCACCCACACTGAAGAAGGAGAGGACCCAGCCAATGATCAGCGTATCCGTACTCTGTGGCTCGTCAGCGGCGCTTCCGCGGAAAACAAGAACAAACAGTAGTCATACACCGATGGCAGCTAAGAATGCCGGCTGCGTCGATAAAGTGCCCAACACTGCTTGGTCGAACCCAAACATCATGAAACCTATTCCACAAGACAAAAGGTATGCTAGGAGAAGACTGTTACCCCGGAGGGACGTGGCTCCACGGACATTGAAATGGTACATGGTTGAAAATCAGCGCGGAGACGCTGGAGCGGAAGGTGGTTGTGTAGGGGATTGAGGGAGGGAACAAGAAGATTCAGAGAAAAAGAAGGCAGAGCGAGGATAAATACCTTTGGCTCTTACCGAACAGTCTGCGCTCAGAGTTCCGTAATTCCATCCTTATCTTGGAATTGAATGCGGTTGTCTCTTGTCAAGATACACCTTCGGTTCATGACGGCTTTCAAATTCAACTGGCTAGGGTACGAGTGTTGACGGGATGCTAGCCTCATCTTGGACTTCGAGTGGCCGTGTTCATTGCCTCGACTTGTGGGCACGCGAAAGAGAAAGAGATAACGAGGGGCGCCAGACGTATGGGACCTCGAGTTTCCTGCGGTCTAGAGATGGAGCTATCCTTCGTCCGCCATGTTCATGATCGGGCGAGAAACAAATGGGTCCTTGGTCTGGATCTACCTTGTTTGATCCTTGATTGATCGAGTGAATCGCAGGGCAATGGACGTTTGAAGGATGTTGATATTGGACGAATGGTGATTGGACCGCATGGAGGACGATGTGATTGGTCGACGGCAATCCCACTCACAGCAAACCTCGTATTTCATGGTCAGTAAGCTCAGTGACCGACTTCTCAACTCGCGCAAGGACATGCACAGATCTTGAAAGGCCCAGACGCCAGCTATCTACCTTCTATCCTCGCCAATCGCCGCCTTCGTGATCATCAAGTATCACAACTTGTGGTAGGTCAATCCTCGCCCGGATCAAGGACACTTCGTCTCTCCAAGGACCGCGCTGAAGGCCGTGACATCTTCTCGGACCCTGCGGAGTAGCGCGTGCCCTGCTTATCGACAAGGAACCAAGCCCAAGAGATCTGTTACCATCATTGGAGGCTCCCAATCGTCCAACGAGCTAGCCTTGGACGAGAAAGAATCGCCTCCCTACAACTTCGTCCTGAGTGACTCGATATCCAAAACGCTTTCAATGACTGGGCAAGGATGACTACGTCCGCTCACTCTCAAGATGGTCTCTCGCGAAGTCTACTCTTATCCTCCGGCTTATAACCACCTTAGAGCATCCGCTCTCGAAACCTCACTGCAACATGAGTCCCTGCAAGATCGAGTGCCTATCGCACGGCTGCACAGAGCTACGTCGAAAGTCAAACACCGGCGACTGCGCACAGGATGCTTGACCTGCAAGAAACGGAGATTGAAATGCGATGAAAGCAAACCGGCATGCCTACAGTGTCGACGGACGCATCTGGAATGCGAAGGGACCTTTTACGCATCGAACAGGTCTCGAAATGGGATCATGATAGCCCCAGCGGTCTCTTCGTCCTCAGGGGATGCCACCACCCCAAGTTGTGAGAGTCCCCCGGTCGAGAATAATACACCATCAACCGACAGTGCCTGGTCGAATCCCGAAGAAGACAATAGCCTTCTAGTCATGGATGATACACCATCGCCGTTCTCGGAGACCATTGGTGTTTTTGACCTGATGGCTCCTGCTACTACTACTACTACTCCTCCTCCTCCTCCTCCATCACAACATCCGGTGCCTACAATGATGACACCTCTCCGATACACTTTGCAAGGTCGCGAATTGGACAACTATCTGAGCAGGGTGTTCTTCGAAAGACTCTGCTCGGAGATGATCCACACGATGCTTCCAGGACCGTTGAACCCCGTTAATGATGCTCTTCGGCCACTGACGCAGTCGTCCACGACGGTGGGCCGCTGCGTGCACGCCTTATCAAGCCTATATCTCGCCGCACTCCACCCAGAATCTCACAGTCTCAGCGAGGCTCTTCAGCTCAAGGGCCAAGCCATTGCGTTGCTGGCCAGAGATGTCTCGGAGGTCCGGCACTCCCGATCAGACTCCATCCTGGCAGCCACTTTGCTCTTGTACATGTGCGAAGAGATGTCACAGAGGTGGGACCAATCAAGCAAGGACCACCTGACGTATCTGAACGGAGCGCGGAGACTGATTCAGCATCGGTTCTTCGACCTCGAGCCTGTCGGTGGGTCGTTGAGTAGTAGTCCCTCCGCGGTTGTCCTTCCGCCGCACAGACACACGAGCGCAACAAAACACAGAGACGAAACCGAAGAGACGTCCGATACGTGGATTACTCGCGTCCTCGTCAAGGTCTTCATCTGGAACGACATGTTTACGACGTTGAGCCTGCCCTTTTCCGAGTACGCCGCCTCGTTTACGCTTCAAGCTCTGCGCCTGACGGACGTGTTGAACCGCAAGGACGACCTCAACCCTTTTTTGTTCGGCTGGGCGCGTGACATTTTTTGGTTGATGAGCGACGTCATGAGCTTCGCTCAACAGCTCTACCGGACGCTTGACGACAGTCGGTCCTCCTCCACGCAGACCACCGCCACCGCCTCAGTTGCCGTTCGCGTCCAGATGCTCGGTCGAGCGTCTCGTCTGGAGCGCAGTCTGCAGACGTACGCCGCAAGTTCGGGTCGATCGAAACTCTACATGGGTTTCCACCGTCCGTCCGATTCTCACCTGGACGACTGTTCTATCACGGTGGAGTGTTATCGACGTGCCGCCCTTCTTTATCTCTATCAGCTCATGCCCGTGATGGCTTCGGATGACGCCATGGAGGAACTGGCCACGTCGATACTCGACCTTGAGTTGTCCGTGAGCCCTTCCTCGCCTAGCGTGGCCTTTCATTTGTGGATTTTGGTGGTCGCCGGGTCCCAGATGAAACCGGTGGAGGAAGTTGAAGAAGGTATGGAGCTGGATTACAGATTTGCGGTTCTACGTCGCTTGGAGATGCTGGAGAGTATACACCCTTGCACCGGCACCTGCAAGGCCAAACATATCATAATGGAGGTATGAGCGTACCCCTCCCTACCCGTTTCACTGCCTCCCATTCCTACTCTTATTCGTGGTTTCTTTCCTAACACGTTAACAGGTCTGGCGGCGTCGAGATCAGGCCCAGATGCAAGGTCACTGTTTGAAGGATCTGAAATGGCAATGGACGAGTATTCTTCGGGACATGGGACAATCTATTTCATTCACCTGACTCGAAAAGAAACAGAAAAGAAGACTTGATCGCCTCCTACTGGAACGAGGTCTTGCACTGCGCAGTGGTCATCATCCTGTCTTGAGCAGTCGAGATTTTGATGATCTACCTAGTCCTTTTTTTTAACCTGGCTTCCTCCAAAGGGTTTATGGGTTTCTCTTCTCTCACAGAGCCAACCAATCCTTCTTTCCGACGTCGACCCCGTTCATCCTCAGGAGGTCATAGACGGTGACGGCGTGAAAGTAAAAGTTTGGCAACGCAAACCCGGTCACGTAACTGAGACCGGTGTAGTTGCGGTCGCGGACCGTCAACTCGACCCCTTCCTTGTCGTCGAACGATTCGCGCTTGACGCTCTCCAGAAAGGCGATGGTCTTGGTGATCCGGGCGTGCAACTCCGGAAAGGTCTTTTCGTCGTCGGCCCAGGCTTCGTTGGGCACGCCGCCCACGCGCACCGCGAGGAACTTGGCCGTGTTGCTGGCCGTCTGGACCTGGAACGGCAGCGGATTCATGTCCGGTGCGATGCGTGCCTCGAGGAGGGTCGAGTGCGGGAGGCCCTTGGCGTCGAGGTGCGATTCACCTTTTTTGAGAATGGCCGCGAGTTGTTTGAGTGTGCCGATGATGGGAACCACGGCGGTGTCGTAAAGAGTTAATTTGGACATTTTGATGTTTATTTCGATGATAGACTTGATTGATCTTTTCAAAAAGGGGTCTTGGGGATCTTTTGACGCCGTTGATCGATGGGTGTGCTTGTTTTGTGGTTTTGTGGTTTCGTCGGTTGCGATGCTATGTGCGATATGATATATAACCCGGGCTGTCGGCTAAGAAGAGCTTTCAAGTACCTCCTAGGAAGGGTTGGGGGGGGACTAGGTGCTTAAAGTGTTCCCGCACTCCGCAGACATTAATAAATACTAGTAAACATTGGGCGGTCGAAATGTCGGAACAAGTCAGTTTAGGTCCAAGTCATTGAGGGTGGAGAGACAAGGTCAAAGAACAAGCTGTGTATTTGTAAGCTGCCCGGATCAAAAGGTCCACTTTCACTTTTGATGAGGAAACATCAACAATACTCCCGACTCCGTATGTCTCAGGAGTAGCGGTCGACGACCATAAGCAGTCATAACTACCAGGTATGTACAAACGTAGATGATGAGGCTCAGCAGCGCCAGGAACCTCGTCCTTAACTTACATACCAAGGGGTCAAGTAAAAGCTCCTTCTACCATGATACTCCGTACAATCCTCGGTACTTGTCAATCTGAAATGCCAGCAGGAATCCCAGTCAATTCTTCTTTTCCGAATGTGAAATGGCAACCTTTTGATCCTCCGAACCCACGCCGGGCTCCATGGTGGTAGAACCCAACCCGTCCTCTGCAGCGGCCAATCTGTCATCAAGGGCCCTTCGTTGCTCCTCGCTCAAATGACTAATGTCCACAGCGACCTCGTCACCAAACTTTGCCGCAATCTCCTCCAGCGTCAGGTTCTTCGTTTCCGGTAGGTAATAAGCCAGGAACGGCACGCCGACGAGAGGGACAATGATAAAGACGAGGTAATACTTCCATCCGATCTTCTGGAACGCCGTCGGCGCCACTTCCGTGTACAGCAGCGTGGACGCGAAGAGAGAAGCAACTGACAACCCCAACCCCTGTGCACGAATGCTGGTGGGGAAGATTTCTGCGCAGTACACGTAGCTGCCGGCGTCGAGACTTCCGCCATCTGGTAAAACCACGATCGTCAGCGTTGATGTTCACAAAGGAGACCGACCAAGGGGAGGCCGGAAGGTGGGGATTGTCAATGGGTTCTTACAGAAGGTGACAAAGAGGTAAAGAAACAGCACGCCCATTGCGTTGCCGGCACGGTTGCTGGACCCTGCGAAATTCGCGACCATGGCTGTCTCGATGATCATCATCACACCACACCCAATCAGACCGACCGTGATGATGCGGATTCTGCCCAGTTTGTCAAGGAGGAGGGAATTGATAAAGTTCATAAAAGCCGCCCAGGTGTCGTAGACGGCGTAGAGTAGCAGCGGAGTCCAGCCGGTCAGGTTGAGGTTGTTCAAGAGAAGAATCAAGTAATTGTTCTAGAGCCACATGTCAATAAATTGGGCCTAAGTTATACACAAACATAGACACAAATAGCCAAGAGTATACACGTACCACAACAAGCACGCCAGTGGACTGGGCGAGGAACCTGTAGAATGTCAATCAGTAAGCTGCCGAGATTTATGATATGGTGCAGGTAGCCGTACTGTACAAACATGCCGCAAAGAACTCTTTTGCGATACGATGGCTTCAACATCAAACCCCACAAGCTGGTGTTGCCGATCGAGCTCTCAAGTTCGATCTGCTTCGAGATCTGGTAAAACTCTTCTCTGGCCGCCATATCGGTATGCGCTGCGCCGCCAGTATGAAGTCGCTTCAAAATCTCCAGGGCCTCGGTATTACGTCCTTGCGAGATGAGCCATCTGGGTGACTCCGGTAGCCATGGAGATCCGAGAAGGAGGATAGCTGGTGCTACAACTTGCAAGCACAGACATAGTCTCCATTGCACAGAAGGGTTCTTGACAAAGAAGCACCAAAGACCTGTCCAGCCAGCGCCGGCCTGTTCAATCATCCAATCAGCCCAGCGAACAGTGACGCGACCCCCAGAATACTCACGTAGCCACAAACGACCAAAAAGCCATGTGATCCGACCATTCTGCCTCGTTGCTTTGCTGGAGATAACTCGGACTGATACAAAGGAACAGCAACGTCGATTGCTCCTACTCCGAGACCATTGAGGAATCTCCCAACCAAGAACATGGCGATATGGACAGCGGCTCCCTGGAGAATCGCAGATATGATGGCCACCACGCAGAGGACCTGAATAGTTGGACGTCGACCGAACTTGTTGATCGACCAGTGTAGACATAGACTACCGATCAGACCACCTCCTGCGTAGAGTCCATTTGCAGCTGAGTACGGTGTCAGACAGTTACTCGTATGAGTTTCAGTCCAAGAGAAGATGTCCACGTACCTCCAATGTACTGATTGCCTCTTGTGGCGTGAGGTCCGTCGAGGGATATGTCAAAGTAATCAAAGAATGAAGGCAGACCAAACACTGTTCCGACAATAGCAGAATTGAAGCCATAGGTGAAGGAGCCCAAAGCAGCAAAGAAGACGACCATAAAATTGTATCTGTTACCCTTGGCGTTCAACACTGCCGTGCCCTCGGCCTTTCCATGATGATTTTGAGATAGCATGGCGCTTAGGTCGGAGTAAAGTGATGAGAACAGTCAAAGAGAGAGACAAGGGAGGGAGAGGGTATCACAAGCCTTGCATAGAAGCAGGGGTGGGCCACCTTGGCTCTTTATAGGACGTACTGAGAAACGAGCAAAAAAGCTTGATCATGCTTGGTGCTCACAAGACGAGACAAGTGGCGGGGTGGTCCGATTCCACGAGTCTGGAGAGAAGGAGACCCCCTTGGGACAGGCTAAGATGCATCTGGATATCATGTCAATTATCAAACCCTCAAGACCGAAAATGAGTCCAATTTTGGAATATATTCGCAGACAAAGGTGGAGTCGGGACTCTGAAAGGTCTACTATTCCGTGGTTAAGCTGTCCCTGTCCACCAATGCGAGCCTACAGACGACGCCGGCTCGTCTACCCGTCGACATTGGGGGAGACACGGAGTACAGTATCCATCGTTCGGACTAGGGGCGCCGGGTCGAATGGCGATCTAGATCAGCGATAAACGTTGAGCCTGCCCACTCGTACAAGTACGAGAACGGTGAAAGTGGGAGAATTGTCACCGAATCGAGGGTGACCAGGTTCGATGAACCGAGGACCAGAACAATCAAAATCCTTCCAGATCCAGATTAGCCCAGAACAAAAGGCGTGCTATGATACCAGGATCATGTCAATCCCTATCGAATCTGAGCACATCTGCTGCTCATCGTGGACAAAAGGGTTGCCCAATTCAGTACGAGTATTCGTGCAGAGAGTAATCGTATCCTTGGGATCTCATAGTCCGCGGAACCGCGTCGTCAAAGCAACGACCTCGGATTGATGTCGCGGCGTAAAGTCATAACAATGAGAGATCGATTTGGCCTCTGTCGCCACAACCCCGGAGTACAGTCTCCAGAGACGTCATGATACGGAGATTCTGTTCTTGACCTGGGCATTGTCGTGGATATGTCCATGGGTCAAGTTAAGCTCAACCAAGACTCGGAAAGTAGATGACTTGTGATGCCCGACCAAAGGAGCTTTAGGGCGGCGTCAAGCTTCGTCCAAACTAGGACATAATCCCATCTCCGGAGAGACGTCAACGTTGATCTCGGCCACATGCTCGACTTCGCTCTCTCACAATAACTATCTCTTCTTCAAGCATGCGCTTTTTTGGTTCTCAGATCCTCCACATAATGTCCCGGTAACCTCATAGTGCCTCTATTCATCAGTGTCGCCATTGTCACAATGCTGCGACTGCATCCCTCAACATGCCTCGCGCACGCCAGATCGTATTCCGCATCTTCTACAGCACCTCTTTCACCGTCGTCTTCCTCCTGCTGACCGTCGTGATATGCGTCACCCCGGCCGACGCCCTCTATGAGTCCTACAAGCGCAACCGCCTGCTCGACATCTTTTTGATGGCAGGCGATTATGTCGTGACTGCGCTGATCGCATCGCTCATCTACGCATCGCGGATATACACGAATCGCTCGATTCTCAAGGATATCCCCAAGACGTTCATGCCTATCGAAAAGGAGGATCTACCTGGCCGGCGTGTGCACAAGCTGATTCAAAATTGTCTCGAACGCAGCGCCGTCATAGCATACCACGCCCGACCGAGGAGTACGTGGCTTCAACATGACGTTCATGCGCTCGGCCCCGTGACGAGGACAGGCTCTCTCGGGCTTGCCAGCACGGATGAAACTCCAGAGCCGACATGGGGCAAGATTGAACATCCAGGATGGTGCTCACCCGCTGCGACCGAACACCCTGGACTCGAGTACGCGACCGTCATCGACGAGTTGATTGACCTGATCGAGGCGAAGGCTGTGAGTCTGGCGCCTGTTGATCCTTCGGCCGAGACGGGACCCGACGGTATGCCACTGCCGGATCCGAGGGTCATTGCCGAACTCACGCGTCTCGAGACGATGGGTATGCGCCAGTACCTGCGGCACCTGATCGAAATCGGCGTCGTACCCGACACCAGTTTGACCGTTGCTTTTCTAGCCACGTACGAACGAGCGAGGTTCTCGTCACGACCGCTTTCGGACGACGATTTTCAAAGCCTGATGCGCATGTTTGCCGAGTTATTGCGCAATATGGCTCCGGTAGAGTTGGACATGCTCGATATTGATTCTGTATATTCAGCATCTGTGGCCGCATCAGAGTTCGAAGCTGCGAGTCTGATCCACCATCACCCCCAGAGAGACCACGACCCGCGTCGTCGCCTGTCAGACTCCACAGCTCCCTCTGCGGCGTCGACATTCTCAGAGTACGGTTCTGTCCGACGCCACCCACATCCACCGCGTCGCGTCTCCGAAGATTCCGCACCCTCGTTGTCCTCTCTGGATCGCAAGTATCCCGACGAAGAGACCGAAGATGACGAACAAATGGAAGACAGTCGGTCGCTGCGCACCGCACCTACCAGGGCGACATCCGCTCGCTCCAGACTACGCCTCGACTCGAGGTCGCGAATGGTATCTGCGCGTTCGAGACAGAACCTGAGCTTACGAAGCACCCGTTCTAGTGGTTCACTGCGGTCAAGAGGGTCAGACAGATCGGGTCCGAGCCCTCGCCGCACCCGCACCCGCTCTTCGAATGGGAGTGTCATCCGATTGACCCGACCTGATGACCACTCGGATATGCCGTTCATGATACGAGTGCCAACTACTGAGACGCAATGATATGTTTGGATTGGTCTTTACAAAAGTTTGGAATAAAAAATAATAATTTAGGGCAAAATAATCGTTGGCCTTGGTTACGATTGCGGGAAACCGCCTCATGACCTCTCGGACCCTTTGGATATGAATATATTATAGTTGGACTTGTGTAGCGGTATGAGTATGGGTGTGTACTTAAAGAATGCAAAAATGGTAATGTTTAGCGCCGGCCACGAAGAGAAGGGCACATACGGCAGCAGAAGGATATCGATGAGCGAGTAGTTTGATTTTTCTCAGTACTTACAGCTTTTGACGTCCTTGCCTCTCCTTGCCTATGAACCCCAAACAATAACACGAGTATCGCTACTCGTGCTCCGTACGAAATGAAATCAAAGACACCACACATAGTCTCTTGAGCTACCTACCTTACCGGTCCATTTGACCGGGCGTCCTATTCCAACCCAGCCTATTCAAACTCAACGTCAATCGACCGTCTGTGTTGAGTGTGTGCTCCGTGACCAGCTAGGCGATGTCAAATCTTGAAATGTTGGGCCCAAGGCTGACGCCTACCAGCCCCAACCCGGCCAGGCCACAAAAGGCGGTAAACATGCCCTGAAAAGGTCGTACACATATGCATTCAAGACGTCGGCCAGTCGCGGCATCGTCGTCCCCCTCCGGTTGTAAACTTCCAAGACTCCTTCGCAAACGCCTACGGGTTACTTGGGATGTCCTTTGGCAGGTCGAGATCTTGAGGCTTGATCTTGTTATAGTAGAATGAAGCTCTTCCGGATTGTCTGGCCAGCATTCAGGCCGATATAAGAGAATCGACATCCCTAATTCGATAGCGTAGGCCGCAGAGGATTTGTCCAGAAATCTTGTCGTCAACAGCAGACATCCGCAGATTGGGTATGCAACAGCAGAAGAGTTCTCGAACATTGGCAGCCAAGGAGAGTCTGGGCTTACCCTGGTTGTATAGCCATGTCGAGAAACCCAACTGTACGAGCTATCCAATGGATAGCAGGCAGCCGCAGTGACTACGCCAAAGGAGCATGCCGGAACTCGATACTGTCAATGCCCTCCTGGTCGACAAAGACCGAGCAAGGAATCCATTCTTGATATTTGTAGGGGTAGACATCCTGAGTAGCTCAACTCTCGCTCAGGCATTGATACTGTCAATATAATCGAAATACGTATTGTGATTTCCTGGCAGACATCTTTTCTTTCGCCTGGGGGAACGGGGTTTGGGTGTAGGACAGACGCCAGGAGCATTGCTGGAGCACACTCGAGGTCGGTGATGCTCTCCTGGTCGATAACGATTGAATTCCATGCCTGATACTTGTCGGGGCAGACATACTGTATGATCGACTCTCGGGAGGCATGATCAATATAATCAAAGGCATATATCAATCCCCGTAGGGGTCCATACCGTGTGAGAGGCTTTGCTGCATTAGTGTTGGCAATGTTGCTCTTGCAAAACCCCTGTATATTGTCTTGCCGAGACCGGGGTGCGCATCGAGCGGTCGCAGGCTCCCAAAACGTGACGGCCTTGGCCATGGCCCTGAGTTGGCCATCGGAGTATTGACCCGTTGATAGTGGCATGTGTATATGGTACCCGCATGACGCATCCCGACGTAGCTCGAAACTGTTGTTGAGAGCCGCCCAAAACTTATCGATGGGTAACACCTATCTTGAATGTGCTTTTCCGAAACAGAGCCATCCAAGGTTGCGTTCCACACGTTGTAATTAGGGCTTTCATCAGACCCTTGATGGTACACACTGCATAATAGTCCAGCGGCTGACAGGATGGTAGCAATGTGGTCAAGAAGAGAGAGGTTGAAATCGCGTGTGACACGTGTAGGAGCATCGAAATCTGGTATTGGAATTGAGGTCGGCCTCATCAACTCGAACTCGGCACTGAAACAGAACGGAAGATAGTCGCGGGCAATAGCCCGGCTTGTCGAGGGAGGACCGGGGAGGGCAGAGGAGAATGGTTCGCTCTCAAGTATTCATGTCAAGACCGCCGAGAGAAGGAAGAAAAGGAATTCTCATTGCCATCGGAGCGGACGCCAGCTCGACGTTGAGTGTGTGTAGTGTTTGAAAGGGAGATCGAGAGCGAGAATGGGAGGCCATCGTGACGGCGTTTTCGATCCAGAAGTGCTTGTAGTCTGTATTGTTTCTGTGATTGATCTTGGACAGACAGAGGGAAGGAAAACGTAGCAATGACGGAAACTACGAAGAAGTGATCGTGGTATGGCTGTCCCTAAGGAGAGAGGAAAGGAAGAGAGGAAAAGAAGGACGGATGCAGAGTATACGAATAGCATGTGAAAGATAAACAACAGGAGCCGCAGGCGGGAAATACGAGTACGAGCGACTTCCATCCTTGGCAACGTCCCATAACATCATTCGAGTCATACGGTTGACAACCTTTGATAGAAAACACCTTTTGTCTCACATTTTGCTTACAGTAAGTTGCAAGACTTTTGGTACAAAGTAAAAGAGCGACCAGCGAAGACTCATACACGAGTGGCTTTGTATGTTTTGTGAACAAAGAGGTCACCAAATTCTTTAGAACTTTCTGCTTGCTTTTTTTTTGCTGCAACCTCTCGACCAAGATATCGGATTGAATGGTCAACCAACTAGAAGAGCCGAGCAATACTCCTCCTTGCTTTTAAAGTGCCCAAGTACGATATAGAGCTTGTGCTGAGAAGGCCTTTTTTCGATTGAGCAAGAACAAGTCTTGATCATGTCTCAGTTTTCTTCAGAAGGTTTGAGTAGCAGGCGTCAGTCGAGGCCTGGAAGAGAATAACAGAGTCAGTTCCCCAGCACATAAAGGTAGGTTCATCTTTCCCCTACTTTTTTCATGAACCTCGAGCTTCACGTACATGAGATCAATTCAGCGTATATCACCTCAAAATTCTAGAGGAGAAGCAGAAGCAGAAGCAGAAACCCGAATTACATTCCGAATCACACCGTCTATCAAAAAATTCCACACGACTCGATATACATACGAAAGTCATGGATATCCTTGCCGAACTCGAGAGTATGGCCGTCAATGTCGCAACGGCAGCAGCAGAAGAAGAGACCATCCCCGACGTTGACGTCGAGAGATGGCAGAAGCTATTTGGCTTCACAATTTCAGAGGCCCGTGCAGCACTCGAGACGTACCGGCGAGACCTCTTCAGGACCAAGATCTCCGACGAGCTTTGGGATACGGTCGGATCAGACAAGCAGGCCGAGGGTTACGACCGCGAGGCCTATGAATATTCCCTCACACGACCTCGACGACACGACTCGTCCGGACGGTACGACGAAAAGGGGTCGTACATTGTCCAACTCACCGGCCCTCTCCATTCACCAGAGATACTCCAACGGGCCGCCACGCTGAACCGTGTCCCTACGCCGATCGGTGGTGTAGGAGAGTGTGGACAAGCGGAATTTTGTGAGATCGATGGAGCGGCAAAGGCTCGACTCCTCTCGTGGGCACGAAAGTACCACTGCGGCTTTCAGCCCACCATCATCCGCCTTTCCAAGGCCAAGAAGGAGCTGTCCGAGATCACCCAGGCACCCACGCTCGGGAACAACCTCCTCACACTACCTCAGCACCGCCCCGACGACGTCGGCGTCGAGCCGACCCCGTCCCCGGGTCAGTATCCGGTCTGGTACTTTTTCTACGGCACGCTGGCCGATCCAGACGTGCTGTCTCGACAACTGGGACTCGAAGAAGCACCGCACTACGTTCCGGCCAAAGTTTCCGGGGGCCGCGTTCGGACCTGGGCGGCGAAATACAAGGCACTGGTCGACGCGCCCGGCGAGGAAGTGCCTGGCAGTGCGTTCCTCGTCCAATCTGCTTCTCAAGAGGATGCCTTGAGGTTCTACGAAACCGACAAGTATGAGGTCGTGAGGTGCAAGATCACGACGCAAACCGAGGTGTTGGACGGCCTTACCTTTCGCTTCGATGGCAGCGAGGACGACTTGGATCAGATTCACTAGTTTAGATATGGGATATGGTAGGACATGGGTCAGGCGCGGTTCCTTACTGTGCTATGTGTTTGTTATGTACATAGGTGCCAGTCAGTTGGGGGCTTCAGCGAAGGGGGAAGTTGTCCTGGGTGGCATAAGTCACTCATAGCCCCTGAAAGAACTCTACCCTTTCTTTTTTCCATCAATCTTGCTCTATGATCATCCAGTTGTGAACAACAATGACATTATTATGCAAGAAATTTGTCGATGCTAATGTTAGAGAAATCAAAGCAGCTAAGGGAGTACTGGCCGGGCTCACTCCCGGATGCATATATTTCGTATAGTAGATATGACAAGGAGTCCCATAGCCTGACTGGCAAAACATCACCCGCATTGAAAACCGCACCAACATAATTGTTAGTGTCTCGTCTGGACGCAGGAGAAACGTTTGGTTTATCGAGCCAGGTGACGACCGACGATGGGAGATCATGAAGATGGGGAAGGAGAAGAAGAGGCGAGAAGAGGCCTGCAAAAGCACCCCGTGTTCAATCACGTCAAGGGTGTGTCTCAGAATTGCATGTAGTATTAAGGACATTGCTACATACGGAATAGCAAAGGCAGCCCATTTGATTAGGTACTGTAGGTAAAAGGGGGGGTGTGGCTTCCCGAAATGCGTGTTGACTGCATTATTCTTCCCACGGGGCGCATAATTTCGCTCAGTTGTCACTCCTTGGTGTGTGTGTGTGTGTGTGTGTGTGTGTGTGTGTGTGTGTGTGTGTGTGTGTGTGTGTGTGTGTGTGTGTGTGTGTGTATGTATTCTCTAACCTCCGCAATCTGTGGAGAGAGAGAGAGACGGCGATGGTGGCACAATCTCGCTCCTACCCAAGACTGCGATGGATCCGAGATGAAGAAAAAGAAAAGGTACAGTAAGAAACTCTACGTCCGGCGATGCACTTGATTGCTGGGTCATCAGATGGGGTGTACTGTAGTATCTAGTCGGCGCCTACACCCTACAGTAATCCTGTGTACAGTACTGTAACCGGGTGGTTCTAATGCGCACCGGACTTGCAGCTGAAGTCCCTTCTGGTGAACCCCCATACAGTATTCCCCCCCCCCTCCCCATCATCTCGGCAAGAGACATGGCCCTAAGCGTTAGTGATTGTTTGGCTCCTCACCTGTTGCATGTTCTGCTACGCTGAGACACCACGCGCCCATGCTTTCTACAGTAGCTCGAGGTTAGTTGGGAATGCCTAACCTGAGCTGGTGGAAGAGGCGCTGTCATGACACTGTGTGTGTGTGTACCAAGGTAGTTAGTTTTCTGGCAGTCACAATTTATGATTGTCGCTCTCGCACAGACTAAGGGCCCCAGATTTTCCACCCCCGCATATATCACGTTGGCGGCGAAAAAAAAAAGAAAAGTGGACGACGAGGACCCGAAAATTTGCTCAGGCGTCAAGGTATGGTGGGTTTCGTTGCTACGTTAATGCAGGACCCGGTCCAGTCGAAGGAAATAATGCAAGGGGAGAAAAGGTAATGCTTTACCAGGCCTGTCGGCTGAAGAATAATCAATATGCGAGCATCCTGGCCAGGCAAACGAATGACTGGTGGGTTGTGCACAGTGTTGATGGTGTTCAGCTCTTTACAGGGATTGCCATGCAGCCCAGGCAACGTTGACTTATCCTGTTGACCCCCTTGATGGCCTAGCCAGAGTTTCGCGGTCGACCGAGGCGCCTGACCATGTCGGCCTGGTACAGTTGCTGGGGGTAGTGTCGAGGCATGTACCCCGTGGACTGCAACCTTTTCGCACAAATGTCACTTGACAAAACGTGTGGTTGGCAGCCATCAGCACCTTTTGCATGGTTACTCGGTGTCTTGAGGAAAACTTTGCCGGCACCGGTTTGTGACAAGGCGAGGTGTGCATGTAACCCCTAGTGAGTCTGCTACTGCAGCCTCGCAAGCAGGGCTTTTTGCAAACCCAAGTCTGGGTCATATGAGAAGCACAAAGTGACCCATATCGAGGCTGGTACCCACCACCACAAATGTTGATGGTGCCTATGCTTAGGAAGTGATGATTCAATCCAGCTAACTTCTGTTGGGGTAGGTGTAATGTTTCGTGGCAGCAGCTTCGTTTCGGCCTTGTCCGATTCTTGTGTTCAGAGACAGAGTGCCTCGATATATTCAGAAGTATTATCCATGTAGTTTGCATGCATCTTGTACACAGAGTGTACCCAGCCAGTAAGTACTCTGTAAGTTGCTTTGAGATCTCTGGCATAAGTTAACATCTACAAATCCTTGCACAAGCCAATGCCATTGTTGTCCGCAACTGGATGTCATAGGCCAGTATTGACGGAAAAGGGAGTCAAGTTCTCTGAGGATAATGACATTGCCTTTCAATCTGCATCTACTTCTTCCACCTACTGAAGCTGTCGTGGCCTGATGATGGGTTTGTTATCGATGCATGACGAAGATTCAGCTTTGCGGGAGGTATTGAGCTCAAATTCTAGAACAGCAGTAGCCCTAGCATGTTGGAAGTGGTATGAGTTGAGAATGATTGTACAAATACTAGAGGCTGACGCAAGTTACAAAGTACTTGATGGTACAGATAAGCCGTCCAACTTCTGGACCTGACTATGCCTCAATGCTTAGAGCACATCGCTTGTTTGGGCCTCAAAGGCAGCTCGTACGTCCCTCCGCGAGATGGTAACGGTATCAATCCGCATCACAGGATCTCGATGAAAGATCTGCTCTGTCGACAGCCTGTTCTCATCCAATTGTCCATAGTTCCTCCAAACCTCCAGAACCATCGTTGTGAGATTCCCCCGGCCCTTTTTCATGCGCATTCGATGATCGGTCTCGCAGAAAGAACACTTGAACACTTCTGACATCTCCGAGTCCAATGCCATGCTTCCGAGGGCTCGCTTGAGGGTTTTCGATATGTCGTCAAGGGTTCCTACAGTTGCCCTTACATGTAAGCACATGTTTGATAGAGTTATACGATCTATCATCATGGCCGCTTCCCGTCCCGATCCTACCTCGACCTCCGTTCGACTGGCCAGTAGAAATTGACCGTCCACCACTCGTGCCTCGTTCGTGTGAAAAACGCCGGTGTCATCGAGACCGCTCACGTTGCAAAATGACAACGGCAAGCCGTGGTCAGGCCCACGCATGTGGGCCTGACAAATCAAGTCGACCACCTCTCGACGCACATAAAGGTACCTCTTTTCCCCTCCACGACGGATCCACTGACCATATGACAGTCGTACATCCGACGAGGCATGGTGATTTTCGCGCGGACATCCGTACCCGGAGAACTCCCTGACTCGCCAGAGGTACAAAAGTCCACAGGACCGGCACGTCAGGTATTTGGGTTGGTCCAGTTCCAGGAGCCTTAGAAATCGGACCTTGGTGGTCTTGTCGACACCACCACCACTACCACTAGGCGTCAAGTCGAGGTAGCAATGATTCAGGAGAAGGCAACGAAGTTGTCGACAGGAGAGACTCAGTAGGATCTGTGACCCTCGGTCCAGAAAGCTCGCAACATTGAGAATCATCTCATTGGGAAGATTGAGGAGGAGCGGAGGGTGGTGGTGGTTGTGGTCATAATGCTCTGTTTGCTCTGCGGTGCCCGTGTCTTGCTTTTTCCCCCGTGGCCCACGTTTTCGTTAGTTCATTTTCCATGTTCAAAACTTTAGGGGAACAAATGTAGCCCTTGGGTTGCATCCCGAGGAGAAAGACACTTACGGATGGAGGTCCCGAAGGACTCTGTTTCCGTACAGAGGAGAGAAATGGACGTAGCGGAAAGAACCACCTGCGTCGAGACCCAGTTCGATCTGCCATTTCTGTCAGCGAATCTCAGCCTGCGGTTTGTCTTGATGCGAAGACCGAGAATATAGCCGTAGGTCGTCAACCCCAAGTCTCGTCTCCTTTTGCAGAGGAAAATCGACGATACTATCCTAACACGCCTAACCTTGAACGCGCAATGCCAGGAATAATACCAAGAAGAGGGTGTTGAGGTAGAGTGAGAAGGCGCTGAAGAGAGAGGGGGATGAGCCCCGAGAACCACGCATTTTGGGAGATCACTTTACCCAGGCAGACACGAAGTATTCTGAGTGCCCAGAACTCTTTATATGCCAAGACTAGTTGTAATGGTTGGGAGAGACCCGCGTCGGGGCATATGCTGTAGTCTCGATAACGTCTCGAATACGTCTAGACACTTGATTGTGATGTCTAGATAAGATATAGTGACACAGAAAAAAAGGTGCCTATTGTAATATGTTGTACAGTATGTTCTGTTCAAGTGTACTAGTACAAGATATGTCTTATGACGATAACTTCAAGAAAGGAGACTTACAACACTGGAGACTAGCTGATGTACAGTACGAAGACTTCATCCTTCCTCGACACAAATCAAAAAGCACGTGATAGGCAGGGAGATTTACCCCGTGCAGATACCCGTCCTCCGTACTCGTACATGGTATGCAAGCAAGTTGGACCCGGAGTCCGAAGTACCTGGTACCTCCGGTACTTTGTCCTTGACCAGGTGCCGCGTGGTCTTGTGGTGAAAGCAGTGGATTAGACGAGAGATCTGTGGGCCATGTTCGAAGAAACCGGAATAGTCTTTGCTCGTGGGCATGATCGGCCTCCTCCTCGTCCCCTGCACGAGCTCTTTTTACGGCAATAAAGGCATTCAGTTCATACACTGTACCGTTTGCGCCTCGGCCGGTGAGCCCACGTTCCTTCGAATCGAGATCGTTTTGGTTTCAGTCTTTTTAATGGGCAAAAGGCCTGTGTGACAAACGCCCGTTGATACATTAATGCAGGACCCAGTTCAGTCGAGGAAATGATGCATAGGGAGAAAAGGCAACGGTTTGTTTGCCAGGCCTGACGAACGAAAAAACGAGCCATACGGCCACACCTTCCAATGTCATCGAAGAGTGACTGTTCGAATCTCGGGGTCTCAGATCTACAGCACCCGAAAATTGTCCAGGCACCTGACTGCCTTCCGGGACGCTTCTCCAGTATGTCGAAATCCACCCTTCAGCCTCTCCGGTGATCGAATCCAAACCTGTCCGTGCAAGCGCTCAGGAGGCAGCCAGAAGCATGGAACTTACTCCGTAGGTGACACTGGAACGGACGGGCCCTTGATGCTGCCTAGACAAAAGCAATTCTTTCCAGGGTGCTTGATGAGGAAAGGATCCCTGATGTGCGTTGTAGCGAGCCATAGACCAAGCGGCTATGCAGGTGGTGCGCGCTATTTCCCGTCTCTTGCCTCTGCCATTTCCTCGAATATTACTCCGGAGTGCTTGGTATGAGTCCTGTGCACGGTTCATGGAACTGACGGCAAGGAACGGTACGAGTACTGATCATCGAGCCTGGTCTGTGATGCTCATCTTGAAATCAGGCACATTCTTCGATGGACCGTAGAGTTTCACAATCCCGCAAGATAGCCCTGTCAACTGTGTTCTGTCAATAGGCCGTCAAGCAAAGCAAAGAAACCAGCTGATCTCTTGTCAATGTGATAACTCTGTAGCATATACTTTGGATCACAATGTGGCTGGAAGTTAACCCTCCACCAGATCCGTACCTGCTTTTGCCCACAACGTGAACGACAGAATTTGCAAGGGCCAGATGGCAGCATTCGAATGCATCCATAACGACTTTGTCGTTGCCAGGGTACAAGATATCCGTTCGCGAGTATCGAGGATATGCTTAGGACCGCTCTCAAAGCGGAAAGGACAAGATACTTGAAGTGGGTCGGAGATCCTCGTAACATGTCAGCACAGAAGCAACGTTATGCGGCATGAGCAAAAGGAACGTGCAGACATGCAGCAAGGGCCACATCGATCAAGGTGTTGTGGTTCAATGCAGGTCTTCTTGCGACACTGCAACATTGGTCATTCTGGAGTCCCGAGCCTCTTGGGCCCAAGGGACATGTGAGAAGTAAAGATACCTATGTAGATAACTCTGTCTGAAATCTCTCTTGCACTCTTGCACTCTTGTGAAAAGATAAGAAATTCAAAGTCAAGTGTCGTATGGTCGGATGAAGATAAACAAAAGAAAGATAGAAGCGGGTGAAGAAGCAGAGAGTGCTGTGCTCCGCCGACGGTACAAGCTCTCACATCAAGTTCGATGCAGTCGAGCCCTGATTCTCAAGGACCATTCCCCGTCCCGTCCATTCCCATTCCCTGAACCCCTTGCAAGCATATAATCAAGTCCATAACAATCCTTGAGTTGGGGTGATGACCCAACCCAAGGCAACGCCCAACAAGGTCTTCAATCCGAGATCACATGCATAACGGTCCAGCCATCTAACGCTTCACGCAATAACACCAGTCAATTCCAATCTGATGCATGTCTCCCTGCTCAAATGCTTCATCAACCCACTCAAGTGCTCGTGTTGTGTAAATAAGAAAGGAGAAACGCCAAAGAATGCTTTTTTTTGAATGTGCCCAGTGCCCTGATCCATCAAGTTCAACAAAGAGGAGGTTGAAGAGGTTCGCCAGCGGCCATCATCGTGTCGTGTTCCCGTACAGTCGTATACAATGTCAAATGTCGTAGTGTGTAGAAAGGGTATCATGTATTAATTGCTCTGCATAGAGACTCGGCGTCGAAGAGTTCTTGTCTGATCGAATGATCCCACATAGTCTTTCAAGTCGTTCTGTGCTTGCTCAGAGATCTTGGGAGAGTGTGGTCGGGACGTCGTGGAAGACGAGGACAGTGAGTTTGAGGAGTTTGTTCGGTGTACGGAGAAATCGTAGGCAGGTGGAAGGAAGAAGCCGGTAGTTGAAATGGTCATGGAAGGTCGTTGTTTGGCGGTGGTGTAACTGGATGAAGACGAACTCGTCGAGTCAGCCAGAGTGAAGTGGTCAAGCTGGGTGAGACGACAGGCCGAGGAACAGAAGGCGGTGCCGTTGGTTTGTCTGTCGCAGGACAAGCAGAAGTCTCCGAGCAAGAAATCCATGGCTGTTCAACGGTGGTTTGAAGTGAAACAATAGAAGTAGGTAGGTAGGTAGATAGGTAGCAAAGTAGAGGAGGAGATTCTGTATGTTGATGGTAGATGACTGGGATATATGTTGAGAGGCGTATTCCAGGCGACAGATACTATTGCCTTGAGGTGGCAGTGAGGGTGTGGACGGGAAGTCAATGGAGAGGTCACGCAGGCAGAATATATCTCATCGACGCTGACGGCTGATATATGTTTGATGGAGGTGTGGGTGGAACCTCTCGAGGCTCAAGTGTGAATTGCAGAAGTGAAGAATTGTCGTGTCGAAGGAAGAGAAAATGGTATCTGGACCAGATGAGAGATTGTTTGTGATGGAGGGAAGGGAAACGGTTGTTTAGATAAAAGGAAGTTGTTTGACTCGTTTACTCCGTACTGGGAGGACGAAGATGAGCATGGAGGGATTGTCGACTTCGCCGCAGACAGGCCTATCACTAGGCCTGCTAGGGCCCTGCTAGGCCCCAAAAACTAACCATACCTAGCCTGTTCCAGCTCAGACCCCCGCTTTCTGCTGAAGAGTTGCTTTGTGCTCCCTATGCCATCCTTTTTTTTGGCCTCAACCAGCCTAAAGACGCCCTAGAGACGCCCCTGCCTCTCTCCACCCTCCCACACAATCCACCAACACATCCCTGCCTCTCATCATATGATTAGCCTGTCGTTGTCTGACTCCTCATTCTTCACGACTTGTGCTCGACACCCCCCCGGTCATGCTCTTATGCAGCTAAGCAAGAATCTTCATGTCGCCAAAGCCAGGGCCTGACCAAAGCCCCAATCCTCTCTTACCTGGGCCGCCCACGCAATCAAGGCACCGCCCAATCATGCCTGCTTTTCAGGCCGACGCTTACCTGGCCACTCAAAGCTCAAACGGTGGATTTCAGGGTCATGGAGAAAGCTCGTGCCAGAGTGTGCCCTGCAAAAGACTGACTGCCACGAAGTCCATCTGGATCCTGGCCAGCCAAGCCGTCTCGTCTGGAGGCAGAAACGCTACTCGGCAGTCCTCATGCTGTACGAGGCCAACGAGTACGAGTAGCAAACTATCAGGCACGCTTCGTGCCCTGAAACACTTGATTGGTTTTAAATTTCCGTGTTTTGAAGCAATTCCCAGCGGCAATAGTGGTTTCTCATCGCTGACCATGGGCTCTGACGGGCCATTCTCCGACGAGCGTCAGTAAGGTCATCACCTTTTGTGCGAGCCGCCATCGGAAAGTCTCTCAAGCAATAATCGGCGCCAGCGCGAGTACGAATTATTATCAGTGACCTATTTCCTGGCCATGTGGAAGAGTGGCAGAGTCCAGACAGCGTCCAACAAGACGCCTCCCGTTCTTTTGTTTGGGGCTACACCTGTCAAGGCTTCCTGGTCTGAGCCTTGATTCGCCAACCAAGCCACTATCTTCCCACACCATCAAATTTTCGTTCCAGGGTGTGCAGCACCTCATGCACATGGTCCCCAAGCTTCGCTGATCTGAGTTCGAGGTGCGTGGGATGCCAGGCTTCTGTGAATGGCTCAATCACACCACAAGTGGCCTGCGGCAGGATTGGCCACCTGCAATGCATTGACAGATTTTTCTCCGTGGTGAGGCACTTTTCACACCTGTCAATCTGCGCAATGACATCGGGAAGAACGCGACAAAGACTGATCATTTTCGTGGTCACCATACTCGTCCTCTGCACGAAAACATCATCAAGCGACACGGCAGTTGTCCATGGGTCGTAGACTTCGTTCTGGAATGTAACAGACTCGAGTGGGCTTCTTTGCGGACGACGTCAGTGTACGACTTTGCTTCTCTATCGCACTTCTCCATGGCAGCACACGCACCATCCAGTCAAGATGTCGATTGCTGCCAGGTCATGCCCAACCTGGTCAAGATCACTTACCTTGACTTCGTGCTGATCGCCCTTAGGGTGATACCAGAGGGCATTAGGGAGGGGCCGTCCGGGCTCCTCATGTTTTGGTGCAGTAGTGTCCGAGTTCCTTGCGCTATTTTGCAGCGGGGTACGATGCTTTCCACTCAGCTGCTCCTTGACGTGGTTGTGCGACAGAGAAGTGTTCAGACACACAAGGGACTCGGATCAGTCGGGCGGCAAACTGCTTTTGCTTTCCTCGTACGAAGTACCAGTGGTTCATATCGCCATCCAATTACCCTGTGGCCATTCAACTGCTGCTGAACAGGCCTGCTGGAGCCATGAAATCGAAGTAACGCTTCGGCTCGATGACGGACTCAGCCGTTCGTCGCGCAGCACGGGTCACAGCTCCACCACTAGAGTGAACTACAGTATCTCGCCACTTGATTCAGGATGCTCCAACAACTGGAGCAAGCCTGACAATGATTGCTTTGGCACGGAGTGTACACCTCATTAACAAATGCTCGCCGCTGGCTCAAGCCAACAATTTCGCCAACGTCGTCGATCGCAGTGCGAGAAGCTCGGGCACCCTGAATGTCCAGACTACAAATCAAACAATGCATTATTTTGCCTTAGCTCTACAAGCAACAATACTTAATCGTTCTAACATGACCTATCCAACCCGCGCCGTCATTGTACTACCCGAACAAGGTCCGACATCCTATAGCCTCGACTCTTGTGAGCGACAGCAATTTCTACCCCGCCCATGCTTTCCTTCGAGCTAATCTGTAGCCAACCCCAGACTATTGTTATGCCTAACAAGAACTTATAGCGCTGTTCGCTTCACAAATGGAAGAGGATCATTATTACAGGTAGCCAGTACCAGATCCTCATATTATCAACCCTTCCTGGACGGCACTCACAAATGGACCGATGCCCCCATTATTGATCTACTCGTGGCTCAATGTCTATCAAGCTAATCCCGCTGCCAGTTGTCGATCGTGGTGCAAACCACTGCCTGTGCACTAGAAGCCACAGTCACACCCTATCGCACAGGGTGCTTGGGCGGAGCAGCCATATCCCATGTCTTGCACACCAATTGGCATGTCTGCTGCCGCACTATCCGGAGCGTCTCAAGCCACATCTACTGTAGGTGCCTTTGAAGTCTGAGTTGACCCTTTGATCATTTGTGCCAAGAGGGCCAAACTACTTGGTCGAATTGCGACAAACCCCACGCTATTGACAGTCTCCTAGCACGGATCGACGAACGGCGTTTTTTTAATCCGTCAGCGACCACACCAGATGCGGGCGATGGTTATCGGTGCGATACATTTAGCGGCGAGCACTGAAATTGGAGGGGACCATGCATATGTACAGCAATCTACGAGCTGGCTCGTTTCTGAAGCCTACTGTAAGAGGCTTGCGCTACGCGCTCATCCTCCTGACCACAACGGATGATTGCGCACTAAGCCATATCTGCTTCAAGCGACCATTCATGCTAAGCTTCAAACGGTACCCGTCAGTCTTGCCTGACATGCTTACATATGTCAAGTCTCAGATCATCAGGAGGTAGGTGTGAAGTTCAGAGAGGTAATGTCGGGAAGCTAATGCAGATATCATTGGATGGAGTTTTTGACAACTGCGTCGACATACATGGTCGACATCTCCCTGAAGGGAACTGTGTACTCTGTACACCGCGTTCGTCCCCTTTTTTCAGAGACGCACTGAGGAACGAAGGCAAGTCTATCCATTCCGCGTGAGGGTTGTCATCTGACCCGAAGCGATACACAATGCCATATGAGTCAGCCGCCATCATCACCACTTATCACTACACGACACTCCAGGACCTCTCTCATACGCAGTGTAGGTGAACTATACGACGGGAACTAATTACTGACGAGGCCCGAGCCCTTGCTGTTATGCTCATCATCATACCTCATCATTAGTATGGCGGCTTACCATTGTTGTCATCGGAACCACAGAGTAACGACCTCGCTTCATCCCGTGCCAGACGGGCATCAAAAGGCCAGGGCCGCATTTCGGACCTTCCCCCTGTCGACCATAGCCTTAGTGCTGATTATTTTCTCCTAGCGAGCTTTCGGTGCACCTCCGAATGCCCAGATGCAGATATGAGTCTGCTACAAAGAGAGGAAGCGCTCCCGAGAGAGCGCCCCTGGAATCATATTGATTTCGTGTCTACACCCAGCCCTACGAGGACATTATGTACCCCTTGCAGACAAGGTATGGTCACGCGCGAGCGTAAGGACGGTGTCATTCGCTTCGTTTGAGATGTCTAGTCAGCGTAACACCAGGGCCGACAAGGGCCGGCGCATCAGATCCGGCTCGAGATCGACGTTGGTCAGGATATCAGCTTATGCCCCGAAACCGGCTTGTCATCTCAGCATGCGCACAGAACGCACTGTCCCTTTCCTTTCTATTTTTGGTATTCGCACGAGTATCTTCTTTCAGGGCTGCCTGAAGAAGGTCAAGTAGCGACAAGGAAGTCATATGATTCTTCTACGAGAATGTCACCAAAGGGCGTGGCCGCCTAAGAGCGACTTGTGGTTCTGCTGCAGGACCAAAACGCCCCCTCCCTTGAGTCGACGGCTACAGAGCAGGACTTGGTCGGTAGTCGTGGCTACCTCAGTTTCGTTCTGGCGCTATCCCCCTAAAATCTGTGTGATGTCTCCTTTACGATAATGCAGGGCCCAACAACAGAAGGAGATCTAACAATTGCGCCATCTCGTACTCCGTACCACCATCAGGAATCCCCCTGCCAAGTCTTGAACGTCGAACGCTACTGTATCCCTTGAGCGGTTCTTCAACAATCGAGAATCACCCTTCCAGCTCTACGCTTCTGCTCCCTTTCGAACTCGAGGTTGACTTTAGTCGCGAATGGCTCTCGGTGTCTGTGCAATTGCTTCTATCTTTGCTTTCATGCACCTCAACTCTCGTGGCGGCTGAAATACTCTGGGAGGAACATTCTCAAGAACGAAGGTATCGGTTTGATTCTAGCTCCAACACGTTCACCAAGACGGAGATACGTTCCTGGAAAGACATCAACGGTATCGTGCAATCACCCTGGCGGTCGGCGAATGTTTAATGAATGAATTCGTATCCTTGGAATTCGTTGCTGCGAGGACGACCATTCCTGTCCCGAGGCCAATTCGACTCGAAAACCTCGATGGCTGCCTCTCGTTGACCACTGAACTCATCGACGATGTCCAATTCGATCTGCTCCCGCGGCAGCTTCAATCAGTCTCCTATCTCGACGACTATGTTCGATACCATGTCCTTCCACAGCTACAAGGTCTAAATCCAGACACTCTGGGTACGAGGACCGGTGTAATCATCCCACCGCGCCGGGTCTTCGATCACGACCCTAAGAATTGGTATACTCAAGAACAGCATCTCACTTGAGAGTGCCAATTACACCTCTGTCGCTGATAAACAAGAGCCACATGCAGATTCTTCATTCCGCAAAAAATGACTCGTCCCACCAAACTCTCACAGGAAGTTCGACATACAGCAGGTACTGAGCCTAGAGTTTCTCTCGGTTTTCATTTCGACGTCATGGTACCATCGGTCCACTTCAATTCTCTTCATGAAGCTGTCATAAGAAAGCCCTCCTTGAATCTGAAGCGGTCAACTTCGTTCTGGATCTTGCGCCTCTGTCGTACGGTGAGAAGCTGGCACGGTCAAGAGGGAAGGAGGAGATGGAAAAGTTTACACGTTATTCAAACTCATGGAACGGCTCGCGAAGGTCCAAATCGGGCCCTCCGCACCAAATCCCGATCCTGATCTGTAAATGTCCTTTTGGATGTCATTTGCGGGTACATGGTATCAGAGCTGGGCCTTCCGTTTCATTGGGCATTGACTTCGGCTCGATGTTCTGCTACTTGCTGGATTTCGATGTGGATGATATGAGGGGATCGATGAAAGAATATTGAGGTTTCGTCGGCGTCAAATCGGCCTCAAAGTCTCAATGAAAGTCAGTCAATCTCTGTATACCATTATTTAGACCTATGATTGAGTAAAACATGGACTCCTAAACGTCTGAGATGCTCGTGCATAGGGGCCTGAGGGATAGTTGACCCTTGACAGAGGCCGTGTATCTACATGTTAAACATGGTACATCTGAACGCGTTCTCTTTATCACGCATACAAGGCAACATTCGACGCTTAGGTGGTTAGCGTGTCTGCCCCATTTCCACACTTTACTGTTTCATTGGTAGCGGATATTGTAGGTTATGGATTATACATTCAAATTTTCACACAACAAATGCGACAGGTTCACGGTTGCTATTATTTCACAATGGTGACTCACAGACCTTCGACAGCGCAATTGGTCTAGTGGTATGATTCTCGCTTAGGGACAACTCTAAGTCTAAGAAAATGCGAGAGGTCCCAGGTTCGATCCCTGGATTGCGCCCATTTTTTTCCTCTTTTCTTTTTTTTGTTTCTTTTTGTTTGGGAGAGGAGGAGGGCGATTGGTTTTGAAACTGGCAACGGCCTGGTGAGATCGCACGTGTGTGAGCGCCAAGATATTATCACAACTCTGGACGAACAAGTTGGGGGGCATTGAGTCTCTGCGGTTCCTTCCTCCATCAATGGGAGGACAAAAAAATGCATCCCCTCCGAGCCAGCACCGCACCGACGAACGAACCTCGGGGAGGATGGCAAAAACGTTCCTTTCTCCTCTGGGAGGACCGCTGGTACTTCTGGTGGACTTCTGGCCCAACGTCGTCCATTGTGTCGTGAGATTGTCAATCAATTTTTGGGCCACGTCTGCCCGGATGGCAAGTGGTTCTCGCCTCGTCACTAACCGCAGTCATGGATCAGACCGGACCGCCTTCTAGATCACGGGCGCCCATGGGGCTTGAGAGGTTTCTTTATCGACGGGGAAACCACAGCGAGCTCCTCGCCTCCATCGATCGCTCCGAAAGATCCCAGTCACCCTTGTACCTAGAGTTATTACCCACGCTCGAACCGCAAACACTCCTCCCACGTCCTCCCATCCGAAGCATGCTCGACGTGGACGACCCTAAACTGGGAAAGTGGACGTGACTCGATCGCAGGCATAGGAGTTGGAAATCCACAAGCCTCTGCCTCTTGCTCTCCCTCCTTTACCTCCCTACCACTGCCGGGAAACTCCCCCCCAAAAAAAGGCTGCAAGTGCAGTCAAGAAGTGACAAGACAAGTCGGCCACAGGGAAATGCCATTGGTGAGAGTGGAAAATTTTGGACAGGGTGGGAGCGTCGGTTCCAAAACCAAGACGGCAAGACAAAGGCAGAGGCAGAGGCCAAGGGGGGAAAAGTAGAGGCGTATACCCTCTTCAACAACCGCGCCGGGAGATCATATCTTGTCGTCGGAGGGGCCTTTAATGGCATGGAGCAATCGCAATGCGATGAGAAAAGAAGTACACCAGACAGGGAATGTATAATAATGATGATATTGGAGCTCACCCTCCCTACCACAATTGAAACAACGTTACTCTACGCCCCATTTCAACCTCTGTAATCGTGGTGGTTCATAGCCCGAGTGTCTGACTGATTCCCAATCCAAAGACAGCGCGGCTAGAGTCACGAGCAAAGGGGAAAGAGGTCACTATGACTGACGAGGTACATTACATGGGGGGACTTTTGTCCTTTTGCAAAAAGGTCACCGTTCGCTCTCAGCCTTGCCAGCAAACCACCATGTGTCTTTTCTTTTTGTTGGATTGGAACACTCTGTACAGACTCGATAGACCTAGAAGCAGGAGGAGGACCGCAGTCCTGGTCCCGTAGCAGAAGAGTCCTCCTCCAAGATCAAACAGCATTCGAGTCTCTCTCTCACACATGGCATCGGCACGGTGACTCCGCCGCGACCATAAAATCGTTCGAGTGCAACCCATCAGACTCGACTGTGCGAGTATGCCACTCCCGTCGAGACTTTCAGGACCTCGACCACTCCGACGCGCCATCGTCACCGAACCTGCCTGCCTGCCTTTCGCGAGACCGCGGCGGAGGGGGTGCCTACGATGTAAGCTCGTCGTCGGCGGGATCGACAAGTTCGAGTACTTTTGGAAGGGCGAGGAAGAAGAAGAAGAAGACGACGACGACGACCGAACAACAACATGGCCCGAGGGGGGGATCAAGGTCAGCACGTAGCCACAGAAGGCCGTCGACCCCTTGCAAGTCGTCCTCACGCGCCGGGTCAAGGATGATGAACGCTACGAGACGCTTCGAGTTGGAATTCTACTCTCATTCAGGTGAGTGTCTATCTAGCAGGCTCTGACAAAACCACAGCCCGACGGTCACCAATCTGAAGAATTTGACTTACCGGCTGTGTCCAGACGAACAAATTCCACCACCGTTCCCCGGATCTCGCCCAGCAGGGCACGTACCGAAAAGGTCAGACTCGGAACCATCCTTTACAACGATCCGAACCTGGATAGACAAATGCGAGTCTCAGCATGACCTGTGCCACATGCCCCAAACACCGAACGAAATGCCAGCGAGGCTGGTTTGTGTCGGCGAAGACGGCGACGACCCGAGAACGATGCCTGACACACGAAATAGCAACCACAAGATCCGCAGCATTGAGTCATTCGTGGGAATCCAGAGAGTCGAGCAAAAAGCCCGTCCCAAAGACAAACAGTGACAACATACACAGCAGAAAGGATGGCATTCCGTGGCAAGAGCTGACAAAGGCGTTTGAAGACGGCATCATAACCACCAGGCGTCTGGGATTGGGATATATCTGGATAGATGCAATGTGCATCGTGCAAGACGACAAGGAGGGCTGGATACTCGAATCGAGCAGAATGGCCCTCAATTACCAAAACGCTCATGTCGTGATAGCTGCCACGAGATCCCATACTGGCGACGACGGTTGCTTCTTCCGAACGATCAACAAGCCACAAAGTCAGCCTGCCAGACGCCGGAGGCAAAAACCACACCGTGTATGTCAAGAAGCAAATCTCGCATCGTGACTTTGCCGAAACTCGCCACGTTCAGCACCATGCCGTTGTTTGCCAGAGCGTGGGTGTTTCAAGGACGCTGCTTGGCGACAAGAGCTGTGATTGAAAGTAGTAAGGATAGTGTACCCGACCGACGACGGACAGGATTGGCATCAAAGGATAGTTCAAGACGTATTGGCGCGTGCGAGAGAATCGGAAGGATAGGTGGACGCTCAGAACACCTCCCAAGAAACCAATTCTTTTTGGATTTTATGATTGTGTCATTGAGGACGCGTTTCCCAGTGGATTCTTGAGAGGTGAGTGTTGTTCGATATTGTATTCTCGGGTGTGAGACCGATTGGAAGACGCTACTCTGGCGTAATAAACTGGAAAGAAATTACTGTTGAGTAGGACAAAAAGTTCTCAAATGAAACACAAGGAGGTATTCGTAAATCAGTAATAATCATTCTAAACGGCGTCAGTGAAAGCTTCAGAAATGTCACAAGACAGTTGGACCAACCTTTTGGCTTACAGCCCCATTTCCATCCTCAATATTCCAAGCACTAATTTGAAACGCGTGCAAAGCAAGTGCAATTTCAAGGTCCCATGATAAAGCTCGCTTGAAGCCCTAGCTAGCTGATATCGAGGTATTCTCAAGTCCACGAAACCAACCCGAATCTCGGCGGTGGAGACGAGCCTATCGAAGCACCTTTGCCTTGACGAGACCTCCAGGATGGGACCGAGTGTGTCAAGTCAGAGTTCGATCGAGGGCTCGGAAACAATTAAAGTATCCCATATTCCAGGATTTCCATCAGCACAGAGCAAATCAATATTACACAATGTCTTGTTTTTTGAGCCAGATGCGGCGATCAGGTCAAGAGATCGGCAACGTTCATCGGCATCTCGTCGATTTGAGTCGAGTAGTAGAGCTCAATGTCTCGTAGGATACGTACATCTTCGCTGGTGACGAAATTGATGGCGACGCCCTTGCGACCAAAACGACCACTGCGACCAATTCTGTGAATGTAGTTCTCTCGGTTGCTGGGAAGGTCGTAGTTGATGACGAGACTGACTTGTTGAACATCGATGCCGCGAGCCCAGACGTCAGTACTAATCAATACTCGACTGTTGCCTTGTCTGAAATCGGACATGATACTGTCTCGTTCCTTTTGTGGCATTTCTCCGTGCATACTACTGACGGTAAAGTTGGCCTCTCGCATCTTATCCGTCAGCCAATCAACCTTGCGTCGAGTGTTGCAGAAAATCACAGCCTGTGTGATTGTCAAAGTATCATAGAGATCGCAGAGGGTATCAAACTTCCACTCCTCTTTCTCAACCGCAATGAAGTACTGTTTGAGACCTTCGAGGGTGAGTTCGTCACGCTTGACGAGAATTCTGACAGGATCCGTCATGAACTTTGTGGTCATGTCGAGAACATCGTACGGGAGTGTGGCAGAAACAACGACGACTTGTGTTGCGGGTGGCAGATACCGGTAGACATCATAGATCTGCTCTCTGAAGCCTCTGTTGAGAAGTTCGTCTGCTTCGTCGAGGACGAGCATTTTGATGTGTCTGGTTCGGAGATGTCTTCGTCGAATCATGTCTGCGACTCTGCCAGGTGTGCCAGATACGACATGTTGGCCGTAGTCGAGCTTTCTGATATCTTCGCCAACGTTCGTTCCTCCGATACATGCGTGACACTGGACGTTCATGTAATCTCCCAAAGCCATGACGACGCTTTGGATCTGGGTGGCCAGCTCTCGAGTAGGGGACAACACCAATGCTTCTCAAAATCAGCGTGGCAACACATGAGTAGTGCGCAGTTACGTACCTTGTGTCTCGCGCACTGCCGTTTCCAGCACTTGTAGAATACTGATTGAGAATGTCGCAGTTTTGCCGGTACCTGATTGCGCCTGCGCGATAGTATCTCTTCCTTTGCAGATTTGGACAATGGCTCGTGATTGCACGGCGGAGGGTGACTCGTATCCGTAGGCATAGATTCCGCGAAGGAGGTTTTCCTTGAGGTGCATGTCCTCAAAGGTGGGAGCGACCGTCACTTCTTTGGACGTCGAAAACTCCATGCGTTCTGTGTTTCGCGTGAGTATAGATCGGAGGCGGGAAAATCGCTTGACACGTACCATCCGCATTTCTGTCGATACTTTCAGCCATATTGAGTCGATTTCTTCAGGGATCGATATGCTGTGTTGAGGGATTTGACGAAATCTCTCGTCTTGTTTAGTTGGAATTAAACAAAAATGCGATACCCAGAAATTGACTGATGCTGCCGCCGCTTTTGAAATCTTTTTTTCGCCACACCTTCCATATTCGGCATGTATTATTCCGAGTGTTTTTCTGCCTAATTGGGACTCCATTCCATGATCTGGTACCTTGAAGGACCAACCTGCGTGCTGCAAGAGTACAGGACGTGGCAGCTTCTGTATATCTATTGAAAACTACAGGAGAATGTTCCGCAACGTGAATCTATCCCGTGACCATCCGTCTCGATCCGTAATTTCAATCAGGAAGGTCATGACAAGTCTCGACGTCGCCTTTCACAATATGGCCTTCATCATTATCGATTGAGACTTATTCGAGAGTATGAGCCTCAACTCGAAAATGTACGGTATGGAGAGTTCGAGTTCTTTTCCATGGTCTGTCCAATCAGGGACCGACATTTCATACACAGATACGACCATTTCTCGGATACCCACGAATTCATCCTTCGAATGCCTCCCCGTAAGTATGAGGTTGTCAATTCACGACTCGACCGTCTTGTGCAAGAAAGAATTGAACAACTCTATGTCAAACATCAAGTGGAGTGCCCATTTGAACAGTTAAAAATGTCAGATATCAAAACCGACCAGGATGATGTGCTCATTCCGGATGACCAGATCATGTGCCTCGAACGCAAAACAGCCAGGCCTGGTCATCACAGAGGTGGTTAATTCAACAAGCGGTTCAAGGACCTAGAAAAGAAAGCATTTCGTCTTCATCATGGCGGGGAAAAGGGAGAGGTACGTCAGGTCGTTACAGTGAAAACTCCAAAAAGGCTCACAGGGTGGATCTTCACCATCTCCTGCGAAATCGTAAAACAGCTCTGTGCCAAACTTATCGGCGATACACTTCTCCTCCGCTACCGACCATGACCTTGGACTTTTGACAGAAGATAAGCAACCGACGCTTAATCCCTGTCTAGGCGCCAGAACTGAAATGAAAAGGAGAAACGGGAGAAGAGCCAATGATTTGAGGGCACGACGAAGTCTGTGAAACAAAATCATTTGGCCCGGGTTGAAGAGTGAGAAGCTTCGAGAGAAGCAAAGGGAGAGAGATAGAGATGCTGGTCTTCTTTCAAAAGTCGTTTGCCTGGAGTTTCGGTCTTGTGGGTATGAAGGATATCAAGTAGCAAACAACAGGTATTATGGCTCCGTGGGATGAAAAAAAAGGACAATCATCTCGACTCAGGAACCAAAAGTCTCTTCTCATTCGCTCGGCTCTACTTTTCCGACTTGGTCTGAGAGTTCCTTCGATCTAAACCATTCCAGGTAAACCCATGATGTTTTTTTTGGGGTTGGATGTTGTCATGACGTATCATTCGGATATTTCTTCCTCTTCGTTTCTTTCCTTCATGGGGCCTTACAGTATTGATGAATGATGATGATGATGATGGGCTCAACGGTCGCGTGCTGAACCTTCGAGATGGATCGTCAAAGGGCCCAGTGATTTCGTATCCATTCTATTTGTGTGTGTCGTAGTGACGTATATTTTACCTGTCCTTGAGATCTTTGGAATATTAAAATATTAATGGTTATTTTCCAATTCCTCAAGAGTGTAACTTTTGATATACTCAAAAAATCACCCATTATATACTAAAAGAGAACGAGAAAAAAAGGTTGAAAAGGTTTACAGTCCTTGATTCTTCGAGAATACACCACACACACACACACACACACACAGTCCCCCAAACAAAATGTCCGAATCAACATTCCACGTCACGAGCGAAGACGTCCGTAAGATGGAAGCAAAAGAATCAAAGTTCCATGACGGCAAGACACCCAAGGATTCTGATGCTTCTGCCATGAAGGTATGTCACTTTGCGTTGTCCTTTTTTCCCTTTTGTTTCTTGTTTGCGTGTAGCCAATTACTAAAATCCATTCGACAGCAAATACTTTCCGAACAAGAAAGCAAAGAGGCCGAAATCGACCGGGTCAAGGCCGGTCTCCCTCTACCCGAACAACCCGTCGGCGGGGCGAGCGCGGACCTACAATCCGCGGATCAACGCACCGTCAACGTCGGCAGCGGTGGCGTCAACGTCAAGTTGGGCACTCAGTCGTCGGAAGGTCTGAGGGTACCGGCCACGGCGGAGAGCAGCGTGAGGACCGACGGCGCTGAGTGGAAGAAGGAAACCGCCCCATGAACGATGCCTACGAGTTTTTGGTGCGAGTACTTTTGAACGTACGTCTGATGAACCTTTTCTTTGGATCCCATGCCCTCTACGTGGGAGTTTTTTCGAAAAGAAAAGAGACAGTCTTGACGATGATGGTAGTGGCAGTGGCACAATGAATGCTCCAGCTGCTTCCTCGGTTCCTTGTTAATATCCCGGTAGTAGAACCCTCAAAAATGCAATCAAAAGACTTGGAAAAATAAAGACAAGAACATCTGATAAGAAATGTGTCATTTCACATTACGAGCCCCATCATCACTCGTAATCGTGGTGCTGAGCATGTTTGATTTTGTTCCGAAGCGCATTTTTCCCCCATGTCCTTCGTCCTCCTCATCATACTCTCGTAGCGAGCTTGTTTTCCTACACCTTTTGATCCGAGATATCGTACAAACCCAGCTGGGTACAGTTATCCACTGGAATCTTCGACTCATGTGTATCTCAACGATCGACTCTCGAATATGTATCGTACAAAATCAGCTGGTATCATCTGGAATCTGCGGTCCATGCGTATATCTCATCGCTTGACTCTCGAACATATTGTTTGATGTTGATACAGAAAAAGCGTAGGCGTCGATGCGGCACTCACACCTTGTCCTTTTTCCTCTCGACTCGTGTCAATCTCGACCTCGGCATTGTGCCAGTTCAAGGTCAAGCTTTCTCTTTAGGTATCAACCCTCTCAGACTGAGGTCGTACACGACATCCTCCACCTTTTTGACGCTGTACTTGATCCCGTCCGTCCGTCGTCTGAGGATGTCGTTCTTAAGATTCAACAGCTGAAACCCAGCGTGGACATCTTTGATGAACTTGGAGATTTGCAGCGGTCTCGCGTAGTCTCCCAAGGTGACCGCATTAGGCGCCAGGCGCGCGAGTTCTTCGATGGTGGTGGTCAGGGCGAGAAGGTAATCTTCGATCGTGATGTGGAATTGATCTTCGTCTTTGAGGTTGACCGGCACTGTACAGTCACAAGTCAGTCTGGCACGCGCACTCCCGACGTACTGTTATGCAAGAATATCCAAAACGTACCACCTAGTCTTTGCCCGACCTGTTCAACCGTCACCAGTTGTCCCGACCGTAGCCAATCTGCAATCTGTATGCTGCCGATGACACTCTGTACGTCGTTCCGCCACAGGCTGTTCCATTTGTAGAAGGGGTATTTCGACGCCGACTGCGCCAGATCTTTGACCGTCGAGGCTTGCTGCGCCAGTGCGTCGTAGGCCGGGGTCAGGACGGACCGTTCTAGCTCGGACGTCGGTGTGTTGTGGATGCGCGAGAGGATGGATTGTGTCAGGCGGCCTTGCTTGGTGAGAGTGTCCACAAAGGCTTTGAGCTCATCGCGTATCGAGGATTCTTGGTCGATTTTGGCCTGTAGGGACGTGAAAATTGCTGGGTCGACGTGGGCGGTGGGCGATGTTGTTGTGGTTGAGGATGTGGGCGGCGCAGGCGCAGGCGTGGTCATTGTCGTGTCGTTTGACATTGTATGAGCGGTTCAGGAGATGGAGAGAGTGTATACAGAGTAAGTCCCAGACCGATCGTCGAGTTGTGGTTCAAAGGATTGGAACTTTGAGAATTAACAATGTTTGCTGCGGCCGGCGTGCGCATGTTATTTTCCTTACGGAGTACAAGACAAGACTCCAAACCCCCAAGAATTTTTTCCGCAGTCGTGTTTTACATCATTTGCGGCGATTGTCTGGAACTTTTTTGAGCTTTACGAGTACGAGGAGGAATTCATATTGCAAGAAACATGTTATCATGTATTGTATGGGTAGAAGTAGCTGTATCTATGCTCAGCTCGTAGTTTGTGTGAAGGCTGTTACCATAAAAGACTGGCGAGCCTCGCGAGGCTGTTGATTCAGGGTTGTATTCTTAAAAATTCATAAGAGAATATCCAAACTCTTCTCCAAGGTCTTGCTCAAGGCAAAAAACAATGATGAAAAGGTGGTTGTTCGCATCGCAAGGCGGCAGTGTAAGGCCTCGGACACGGTGCTAGAGACTCATGCGCAAGCACAGAGGAGCCTCACAGCGAGATCCAGAAATAAGAATAATCAGTGATTCATTCCGTAGAATGATTTCAGAGATTAAACTGAAAAGAACAGATACTACACTTGATCTAAGCCAAAAGGCAAAGCTGTACAAAGTATTAGCGTAAGTTCTAAAAAGCGAAAGTTGGAGGAACTGACAGAGCTATCAAAAGGAAAAAGAAAAAAGAAGAAGAATTCGTCAAACTTGGGGGGGAGCGAGATACTTATAGAATTCTTGCAGACCGCCTTTGAGCAAACATTGAATGACTATGGGCCCTCATTGAATGAACATGGGTCACTGGCTGGAGCCTTCAATGATTTCTGCCAGGTAAAAGTGAATGGTTATGGAGCCAATAGTGAAGTAAGATCACAAGGCAACGGGGAGGCAGACCCAGTGACAGAGGGGCAGACCGACTGAGGGACAGGTGAATGAAAAATGAGTGGAAAGCAGAAGGAAAATAAGTGGGAAAAGGCTGCAGGGAGGTCCATTTCCAATCAAATTTTCAAGACGAGGGCAAAATAAGACTCCGCTCTGGCACTTTTGTTGTCATTGGGTCTCAAGAACGAAGTCAGTGTTACTCCGTACTCCGTACGTCCTCCCATCATGCCTTAATTATTTTACTCTGTTCTGTACGAATCTCTTGTACGCTGTACCGAGTACGGAATTCATGTGACTTCTTACTGTACACCCCTAGGCCTGTTTGGGAAATACCTCGGCTTGCTCAGACAACAACTGCGCCGCTGGCATCAACGCTTTCCAAAGTGCCATGATACTCCATACTAAATTCTATCATTTCAAACGTACAGTCGCGACAATTTCATACTCCCTGCTTACCTTGGGTATTCATTGTACATGGAAGAGACGAGAGGAGATCATTCTGTAATGTATGCCAACACCGACACGGGAGAAACATCGATGCCATTCCAGCAAAGACCGCCCCGGGCTCGGCTCAACAACGCCTTGTTGCTCGTTCGATGATCCTATGTAATACTCCATACCTACCTAATTATTGCGGGACTTTTTTTTTCTTTCGTTCTTTCCAATGTCCACGGGTATGTACGAGTCAAGTGTATGGACAACAACGGAGGAGTATGGTATGACGATTGAGCAAAAAAAAATCAACGGGCATCATATCCATGCTAGACGATTGATTGCACGACGAGAAGCTCTTGTGCGGCATACCATTATCAGCACAAGGTATGTTTGCAGAATGTGTCGTAGAGGGCGAACCACCACTGAGAACTTGCAACACGCCCCATGTAGAAACCAGATTGGTCCCTCCTCTGAGAGGCAATGCGTACCATCTTCTCTTGTACTGTACATCTTTTTTGATGCTCTCTTCCATGGGCATGGAGCGCATTCTATCTGAATCCTGGCCTCTACCAACACGGGTTCTCTTCTCCCTCATACATAGAGCTAGTCCTCCTTCGCCTCCGGGTTCTCCCTTCTCCCTCAAGGCTGAGCTGGTCCTCTTCTCCCTTGTGTGAAGTTAGTCCGAGTGGTGGTTGTCGCATTCGGGAAAGAAAATCTCACATGCCTCAAACCATGGACTCAATTCCGCAAAAATAAACAGTTACAGTAATCATCACGGTCACGTACCTTGGGTACCCAAGGTAGGTTTACCATTGGTTATGGACTCGAGCAGGAAGAATGCCTGACTGGCTACTTTCGATCGACCTGGCAACGTTCTTTCGTCTCCCGAACCATACTGTGCCCGTGTTGGTACACGAAGGAACCTCTTATTACATACATACATACATCATCCTGCAAAATAAAACTCGTTTCAACGCCTGCGTTTTTAACAATCTAGACCATGTTTTTGTTCGAACCTCAATCAAAACCCTGTACGTTTATGCATTGTGCATTACCACCTGTACCTTATCATTCTATACTGCTGAAACCGGCAGCGGCCCTTTTGATATTCATACAATCCGTATCACAAGTCCTGTCTCAGCGTCGACACGCGTCCAACTCTGTTTGGATCTCCCCGTCCGAGTTAAAGCCCAAGTTCATTCGTGCTGAGTTCCACCTCGTCCAATTCACTGGCATATGCCAAATACTCTTGCGTCGGACCAGTTCCTTGCAAAGCATGTGGCCGTGCGATCCAGTCTTTGCTCACTCATAGGTTCGACGATCCTTCTCTCGAACACGCCGGCCGAAACCGATTTCAAGACCTACTACGTGGCACAGACATTTGTCATCAAGCGTGATACACAGGCAAGAGCGGTTTCGCAGTCTCACTAGCCAGGGATAGGTCGCTCCAGCAGTCAAACCCCTCCCAAGTCGGTAAAAATGGCGTTCCCAAAAAAGAGTTGCGCGACCATCACTTCTTCTCGTAACGATTGGGTGATATGGCAAGTACAACAGCCAGACTGGCGACAATAAGAGCCCCAGCGATAGTGCCGACAATGAAGATACTCCCGCGACTTGCCGGGAACTTCCCTCGAATGATCCAGTGCTGAGATTCAAAGTATCGATGGAAGCCTATGAATAAAATAACAATCGAAATGCCCAAGAACGTAGCACCGAGAGGCTTGCCTACATGTCGAAGTCTGGCAGCCTGATCCTCGTTGACCTGAGAGGCCATCGACTCATCCCTCCGAACGACCTGACGCCCATTTGCGTCGGGCGCCGGCAGAAGAAGGACCTGGTCGAGCAACGTCGGCCCCAGTGTCGGGACTGGCGGTGGTGGTGCGGCATTCGCGGCAAGTTGCTGAAGATATGGAATCAGTTCTGCAGGAACTGCTTGTCCGATCATCGGCGAGAAGGGCATCTGTTCGCTGGTCGTCGTCATCATCATGGCAGGTGTCGTTTCTTGGGACGACTTTGCGATCGATGAGTTGAGACGAAAGAGCTGTGTGATTGCGATGCCGATACTGGCAAACGCTAAGCTGGTCCGTAGCCAGGCTAGAAATGTCCTCTCGAGCGCCAGATGGTCTCTCGCGACCGAGCCTTTGTTTTCCAGCGAGATGGAGCCGTATTTCTCTACCATTCTCTTCAGCCAGCCCGGCTTGCCCTCCTCGTTTCCATTTTGGTCTTGCTGTGCGCTGTCTTCTGGCGTCGCCGCTGCTGGCAACGGATCTCTCGACTCTGTGTTATAGCGCCGATCAGACTGGCCGTCTACGGTGCGGATCGGGGTCACTTCGTCGGAATCGCCCGAAGTCCGAGGATAACGCGGCATGGGAGGCGGCGAGTGACCTTTCTTGGTCCCTTCCGAGAATCGAACGCTCGAGGATCGACTGATGGCGGGGTGCGCGGGCTGGACAGGACGGCTTTGGTCTGCCTCGGAATTCGCAGAGGTCAAGGAGGAGGACGGAGAGGAGGAGAGTGGTTCTGGAGATCCATTTTGCTGGCGGTCGTGAGAAGACATGGGTATAAAACCTACATGCGCCTAGCGAGATCTTGATAAGGGGGATTTAGGTCAAGTCGGTCGCACAATGCCTGGGTGTCGTTTGTCGTGAATCCGGGTACATCTACTCCAGAACACCTCGTGTGATTGGAGAGTGTTCACGGAGGAAGCCCAGAACAGCCTACGAAAGGGCTCTGGGCGTCAGCCACGGACAGCCGTTACAGGTGAAATCAGAGTCGATCGTATGGTTTAGAGTAGATTTGGATGGCTTCATACACCCTCGAAATTGCGTGATAGTTACGGATGCAGCATAGAGCATTTTTGGAGTTGTCGAACTACTGTAAGTTCGAGGAAGTACTAGGCTAAACTCAGGTATTGTACCTTCCCAAGGTACTTCCCCACGCTTACCTAAGGTAAGAGGTACCTACGTCGGCAGGCAGAATTCATGGAGTTGACGAATATCAGACTCTCCTATGGGTTGGTTTGTATGTACAGAGCAACCAAGAGTCTGATTCTTTTGAGCTGATGAGGCCTTTTTGAGTTTCTGGAGAACCCAGAGACAATATCATGGACGTACTTCTACAAGTCCGAGGACAAACAGCGGCAACTTTCCAGAAAAGGTGAGTCGGGAAGAATATATATTCATCTACATGGTTCTACTGCGACACTGCACCCCTCAAGACTATCACAATTCATCTGTGCTGGAATGAACTCGTACGGACCCTCCAGAAAGAGTCAATATCTCATGTTCATCATATCCCAGGAACGCCATTATCCGAAGTATATTGAGGTTGCACGCTTTGTCTTTGATATACTTTCTCTGTAGCGTTTGCTTCGAGAATGTTTCGGCCGTTTCAGACCAAGTATTCGTTGGAACTGGTGAAGACTCGAACATCTTGAACGTTTGTGATCCCCTTGATATCAACCGTTTTCCGCACGGAGAGCTAAAACTCGTGTGACAGTTTGACGATATCAAAACCACAGACGCCTTTGGCAATATCTCAACCCCTTACAACGGTCTGATCTTTGATGGTTTCTATGCCTTTGACCCGTCCGATGCTGGTCTCAAGGGTATCATCTGGCCAGGAGACACAAACTGTGCCGTGTCCAAACCGAATGCTTTGTACGGCACAAGGGAGAATTTCAAGTCGAACACCCCCAGCGACGACAAGTCCCTCCACTCTCGGTCTGATCGGAAACCGTCATTTCGACACCAAGACGAAGCCGGTGGCACTTTTACAGTCCACACCTTGAAAATCAAACCGCTGGATCTCCCGCTTGGGTTGGTCACCATTCACCTGAAAGGTATTCGGGCCGACTCCTCGACTTTGGCATGGGAAGTGGACTTTCCAGCCGGTTATCACGATGTGTTGGATGTTCGACTGCAAGAATTCAGTGGGAGGGTCTGGGATGGGCTGGAGAGGTTGGAGATCTGGGCCGATTTTCATTACAACGACCTTGACATGGATTGGGAGTTTTGTGTCGATGATGTTGATGTGGAGTTGGAGTAGATCCGTTCGTTGCGATGTGCGTTTTTATCATACGACTTTCAATACTGCAACGAATGCCTCTATCGTCATCTTCCCATTCTCCAAATCATCCTGCATGCACACAATCCTCTCCACTGTCTCATCATATTTGTCTAATTCCGCTAGCTTCCGTTCCGTGAACTCTCTTGCCTCCTTTCCGTGGTGGCCCTCCTCCAGCTCCTTCCACCGCTCCCGCTCAAGGCGCACCTGAAGTTGCGCGAAGGGTAGGCTGTCTGGGTGATTGAACCCCCACGACAGCAACATGTGCAGCCACATGCTCCCCGACTTCTCGGAGTGCCTCCCCAATCGAGATAGCTCCATGGTTTGCTGGCCCGGTGTCCGCGCCTCCTCTTCATCGAGCACGGTCTTGAACACGTCCAGGTTCCGCAGATACCTCCCCAAAAATCTAGGGGCCTCTTCTTTGTTAAGGAAGGTGTCGTAGTTGTTGAGCCGGTCTTGCAATAGCCACCAGGGGGCCAAAGAGCTGCGCCGGGCCGGCGTACGACCATTCGAGGTCCACGACCCCGACCACAGTGAGGTCGTCTGCGCTCCGAACGATAAGGTTAGTGAGGCCGGGATCGTCACAGACGAGCTTATAGGGACCAGAGGCGTAGCCAGGTTCGACAAGCTTCGGGGCGACGGACTGGAGAGCTAGAAAAGCAGCATATTTGGCCTGGGTGACGGTGGGACCGCCACCTGAGTTGGGCTGGCGTTGGAATTGCTCCCAGTCTTGGTTGACCAGATGGCAGAAGTAATCAGCAGTATCAGCGAAGCCTTTGGTACGGTCGCCTGAAGAACAATCATAGAATCAGTTGTTTGTTTCTTTCTCATGCAAGCGAGAGTATTGCCGCTAGCATGGCAGATATAAAACCAGGGAGAAAGGGGAAAAAAGGCCAAACTAAAAATTAAAAAGGCCATACCGAAAGTGTTGACACCTCCGGTTTGCAGAATGTCGTGCGCCTTGAAAGTCAGGGGTCGGACAGGAGCGTTGAATACGGTCACGGGGGTCGGGAGGCTACCGAGCGTAGGAAAGTCGATCTGGAAAATATGGAGGAGGATACGGGCGAACTGTCGGGAGAGGAACTCGACATCATCATCGCAAATGTCATCTCTGAGCCATCTGGTGTCGTGCTGCTGCTCTCGCAGTAGGGTGTTGACGCTGGCCCCCTCGACGAAATCCATCACGACATAGGGTCCCAGGCCGAGCGGATTAGCAGCTGTCAGCCCCCAGGCAATGACGCCCGGTACGGGGACATTCTTGTCGCGGAGGAGGCTCAGTGCCTCCACCTCCATTGCAACCTTCTCGTCGGCGTACTCGTCGCAGACGCTGCCGACGATGGGCATACGGAGCAGCCAGGTGGTGCCGTCGCAAAAGCGTAACCTCTGGCACAAGTTGTACGAACCGTTGAGGGCCTTGCAATCCAGCCTACACCCGAGCTTTTTGGGATGCAAGGACGACATCCAGCTCGTCATGTGGCCTGCAACGCGAGCTTGGTTGACACGCTCGATCCAGAGCCGCTTCCGGACGTCGTGAATGACTTCGATGGGGTTGTTGATGTCCATAAAGTCGAGCGAGATGAGCGCCGGGGTCAAGCATAAGTGATCTTCTAGTTCGACAGAGCTATGGCCGGTAAAAGGGGCCTGACCAGGGATGACTTCAATTCTTGCGTTGTGAGAACAATTTTGATACACTTCAGTCACGCGTTCCCAAGCAAAGCCCATTGAGGCCGGCATCCCTGTTGGATCTTTTGCGGCAAGATGTAATCAGTTTGCCGCAGATCCAATAGATGCTCACTATCGTCGCGCACATCGTTTTGATTGGATGGCTGTTCGAGTTCGGTACGACATACACCCTTCTGTCAATACCATTCTAGGAGGGAATGATTCTCAGTGCGATTACTTGACAATGTCGTAACAGATTGGATTTCCGGGCCATAAAGAGAAGACGTGGCACCGCATTGTTTGCACGCAACAGTGGTTCTCATTTTACTGATTTGTATGGTTCGTGATGTCCTCCACAACCACCTTGATGGAAGCATACACGTCGCCGACAGAGCCATCAGCATCGATCTTTTGCTAGTTAGCCCGGCGAAAACCCTGTCTGCGGCCTACATACTCTCCGAAATGGCCCCTGGCTTTGGAGATGATTTTTCAATTTCCAAGTTCCCATGAGAGAATGTTTGTAGACGGGAAACAGACTCAACGTTCGCAAGCATTGAAGGCACTATCACAGTGACCGCTTCATGCCATCCGCATACTTTATGCGGCGTGTGAGCAGATACCGAGCAAGCTCGAAGAATAGCTCCACTGATAAGGGCGAAAAGGACCGGTCCCAGCCTTAAGTGAGAAGACAACCTGGAGGCGAAGGAGGATCGATTCGTTCACCACATACTCCGTACAGGTTAGACGGTTCTTTTTTTCATCCCACACCTGGCTGGACCCAATATGCAACCATGGTTGGAATTTGATCTCATTTCGGCTGTGAGATCATGTACGGAGTACACTGGATGTGTACTCGGTATTGTTTTCCGTACCTTTCGTAGAAGAAGAGGAGTCGACAACAAGAGGTAAAAGAAAAAAAAAGTGAGCTGATGATTGATTGACACGTCATCACACTGACGAACAACTATCTGTTGGCGTCAACGTGGACAAGATTGATGAAATTACTCCGTAACAACTCCATAGTAATAATCCGTTAGTAGTATGCTTGTAGGGAGTACTCCGTACATATTATTAGCACTGTAAAGTCGTACGCGTGAGTCCCTGCGGTCCCTTGGAGGTCTCGTCGTGTGCTTTGATCGGCAAGATACTACCTACAGTACGTACCTCACATGTTGTACAATACAACACAGGAGTGCGTCACTCGTAGATTGGCAAGTCGTGTGCTTCGTCAGCTCCCAAGGCTCAAACCCCGCAGTCTAGGATGGCAACAAGACTTTGAGGCGATTGGCAAAGTGGTCTGTTCAGGTCTGGGTCGAATTAATTCTCGGCGACCGTACGGCGATGGAGACGGTTGCAATCCCATACTTACGTACGGGGTAGGTATCGTACAATACCCAGGTGCTAGTTGGTCAACAAGAGTCCGAGCAAGATGATTGTACTCCGTACATGGAGATGGTCAATGGTTTTGTCGACATTCACATATTCCCCTTACTCGTACAGGATCAACTTCCAGAAGCTCCGTCCAAACACGTGGAAAGTTGAGCCTACAGTACTACAATATCTCTGTGATAGACACTGGGGCTGTACATGATGCATACAGAGTAGGCTTTTTTTGTTCCGGATTTCACACGTGTGGTTGCTGTTGTTGTCGTTGTCGTCGTCGAGTGGGGCATTGTTAAAATTGAGGTCCGCCGTGGTGGCCAAGGAAACCAATCGACCAGACCATACGGGGCTACCTTTGCGCTGCGGAGAAGGGTTTAACTGGACTGTTCTTTTCTTTGTGCTTTTCTTGTTTTTTCCCTTGTCTGTGGGACCGACATCTAAAGGGACTGGTATGAGCGTTCTCCGAGACTGACATTTTCTTTGTGTCTTGATGAAAAATGAAGAAACAAGCTTCAAGGGGGAATACGAGGCTCTGGCTCGGGAAATTGCCCGCTTCTGCAAGTCATTCCGGAGCCAAAAGTCCAATCCAAGTTTTCCCTTGTTGATAACTTACGCATCGGAGGTCTGTGACGGAGCAGTTCATGTACCTGCTGGGCCACTCGAGGGTGGTGGTTTGGAGTTCGTTTGTGTCAAAGTATTTGCATGGTCCAAATTGCAGGAGGTCGAATGGTGAAACTGAAGTGGCCCCATCAAAAGGAGGGCTGAAGACTACAACAAGCCTTTTAGCACGGACGCCAATCGAGTGTTTGGTTGGTGATAATCGATAACACGCTACTCGTCAGGGAGGAGGGGATGAGTCTGGGCTACTCCGTAAGTTACTCCTGACTTGTACCTAAAAGGTGCGCGTCGGAAGCGGACCAACAAAAGACGCGCTGTCGACCGCTACAGTAGATCTCTCCAACTGCCAGATCTCTCCGCATGACGAAGATGTTGAGGCAGCCTTGTTCATCAGGAAGCCACCATTGTTATTGTTGTATGCAGTCTCGTCGCAAGAGAAAGATGTCTTCTTGTGTGCAGTCTCGTCACGAGAGAAAGATGGCTTGTTCACCTGGAAACCATCATTGATATCTGGCTGGCAAGTCTGCCGAAGGCTCAACAGTGGTTTTCCAAATCCGCTCACCGACCATCTTACCATTTCGACTACGAAAAAAACAAACCTTTCCACTGCCACCACCACCACCACCACCACCACCTCATCATGGCTGCCGCTAATCCTCTCGGTCCACAGCCAGACTTTCAGCTTATCGCAAACGAAATTCTTAAGATTGCGAACACACCTGCGATAGCTGGCGGCCAAGAGATCTTGAACGAGATGAGAGCAATACGAGAGCAGTCCGCTAGAATGGAGATCGCTCTTCAAGAAAGCATTGCGAACGTTCGACGAGAGGTTGGCAATGTTCAACGAGACGTTGGCAACGTTCGACGAGATCTCATGACAATGATGCGTGTGTCGTATGTACCGATTCCAAACGCTCGTACATGACTATACTAAATCTATACAGGAATCATAACAACGCAGCCCGAGTTCAGAATGCCCATATGGAGAATCGCACACCCAATCTATCACCCTTCTTGAATCCCGTCACTGGTGAAGGCATCCCTTATTTTCCTCTAACGGTGGATGAACTCGAAGGCCTGAATCGACGTCGCCTTAGAGGACTTTTGCAGCAGCTAGACATTCAGTACAGACCTCGTGAAAACCAGGAGGCTCTGATGCGGATGCTTAGAGCACACATTGGCTTGAGAGCCACCAGAACTCCAAGCCCTCACGAGAGAAAGAGATGAACGGCATTGTAACGAAGAGTAATGAAACAATCCGTATGAGTTTATGAGATATGACTGGGCTCTAAAGCGAATGCTTAGAGCACACATTGACTTGAGAGCGATCAGGGCTCCAACACCTCCATGAGAGAGAGAGAGAGAGCGCCTGCGAAGAGTGCTTAGACAAGTTGGGGCATAAAAGTTAGCGACAGGTATTACGCACACCTATCTTTGCATTACGCACAAGGCTACCTATATCTTTGGGGTGCTCCCCAAATGTCATTCTTTAATATCAATATGATTAAATGGTAACCGATAAACTTCAAGTAAGTCAAGAGACACTTTTACGGACAATGAGAATGACAAGCACCGAGACACCAACAAGGACAATAATAACTATTAAATCATTACTCTCAGTCGCGTGCTTCTCGCAAAGATATCTCTATAGCGAATGACGATTAAAGGTGCTCCATTAGTAAGTATAGCCTTGTGCGTAATGCAGAGGTAGGCGTGCGAATACCTATCGTCAACTTGACTTGGGTGCATGATGATGGTGTGTGCATGAGCCACACGATCCAAGCATCGACAGCTATGACGGGCTGAGTGACAGCATCGACACAGCTGATGTGAGGAATTTTGGCCCGATGGATTGTGTGTGCGACTAGGTTACGGATTTGTTGTTTGCTACGCCCATCGGGTCACACAGAGGTCAATGGACGGCGGCATGATGCAATGAGGATGGAATGCTACACATCCCTTTCCTGTAGAAACTGCCTCTGTGCACCCAGCCATGGCACGTATCCAGCCAATGATGGAACGAAATCTCAGCCTGCTCAGTCGGTGTAGGTGGCGTCCAGAGATCACTGGATCCAGCGAGGCTCAGGGGCGTCCTCCGGATACTGACAGGACGGGTACTCGTAGCAGGTGTACTCGTAAGTGCCAGCCATGATCTTCATTGCAGGTTTGATCAGAAAGTCTCGTTCTCTTTCATGATCTTCATCAATAACCAAGGTTGCACGAGGAGTCTCCAAGCTGACTGCACCTACGGAGTATGGATCGAGATCTCGCAAGCTGTGATATGTACGGTGCACTGGGCAGAGTACGAATCACAAGCACTCACAATGAGATTTTGGGGCTCAATTGGAACTTCCCCGTCGTTCATGGCTCGTAGGCGTAGTCGTATCTTGTTCTACGAAGAAGTACTACCCTCATTACCCCTTTGTGGACGCGAGATTTGGCTTGGGACAAGCGAGTGTCTATCTACTTGTATCCCCCGTGCGGATCAAGTACGGAGTATTCGTCTCCAGTCGTTGTGCAATCACTGTTCTGCATGTTTTGGTGTAGATGTTTCGTCAGCCTCTCTTTCGCCAGTCGCAACACTCTCGCTTCTTTGGTAATTGCAAGGAGACGAACGACGACGACCATGGGACAGACAAGGCGGCTATAGACGGACTAGCTCACAGCGCGATTCATTGTATGTACAAGTACCTCGTACGTGTGAAGGCGGAACCCAATGACGGGGCTTCAAGGGAAGGGAGACAATGTTAGTTGACGATCGAGGGTGGAGTGCAATCTCTTTGATGGGACGCGGGCCCCTGTTAGTGGCAGGGCTTCCCTGCGCTGGGCCCGTGGTTTAGGCGTAATTGACCACTGCTGGCCTCTCCTGGCCCCTGTACCAGCCGTCGCACTAGGCCTGTTCCTGAAATTCCTAAGACGCAGACGCTACCAACATCCATCACTTGTCCCAGTCCAAGCGGCCGCAGCCAAATGCCCAGGCTGTCGCCCAGCAGTCCTGTCTTTCCTCCTCCCTCCTTCTGTATCTTGGAATTGCCCTGTTCTTTTCTGAGAGTCCTGTCCAGTTCTTCATCAACTTCCTCCCTCGCCCTCAGTTGGCTCACGTTCCTTACCAGAGAGACATTTCTCTCGTGCCATTCATTTCACTGCTCTTCACTGCCAACGCTTCCTCACACGACGCGCCTTCAACCTCACGGACTTGCAAACCCCTTCCGTTCAGCATTCCAGCATTGGTCATATGAGTCTTCGGCTTTGTATGTTGGCCCCCCTGATCGCGAACGGGTGTCTGGCTCATCCTGCCTGTTCCTGTTGTCGTGTTCTTTGTTGTTGGCCGCGAGGGTCAATGAAAGCGAGACAAAGAAAGAAAGCTGACAGTTATCCAGACACGTCTTCCCTCGTATCCAGTAACCCCGACTGAACTTCCACTTGATCAAGTCCCAAAGCAGTCTTCGATAGACTAGTCACATTGAAGGTCCCACGACAATCGCTCACTATGAAAGTCACCTCTGTTGCCTTGACGGCAGCCTCTGCCACGGTCGCCCTCGCGCAACCTCACAACCACGGACACCGACACTTCCACAAGCACGAAGCACGCGATGTTTCCACCGTCACCAGCTGGGCTCCTGGTCCTACTGAATATGCATATATGTTGAATGGACAGCCAATCTCTGCCGAAGAAGTTTGCAGTGGTATTGAAGACAACGAGCTCAAATTTGTGGACGGCCAGGATCCAGGTGTCTGCTCATCTTCGACCGCCGCTTCAAGCACCTGGATGGCCTGGACCAGCTCGACGACGGCTTCCAGCTCCAGCACGACAAGCGCCGCCAGCGCCGCCACTACTACCTCTGTCGCCGCGGCAAGCAGCACCCCAGCAGAATTCTGGGCAGCACCTTCTTCCAGCTCTGGCTGGAGTGCTCCTAGTTCCGCTCCTAGTTCCGCAAGTGGCGGCGGCTGGGGCTCACAGCCTTCTCAAGGTTCTTGGGGTGCTCCCTCATCTGGCGGCTCTGGTGTCAACTCAGACTTCCCAGATGGAACACTCTCTTGCTCCGACTTCCCGTCCCAATACGGTGCCGTTCAACTTCCCTACCTGGGTCTTGGTGGCTGGAGTGGTCTGCAAAATCCCAACATCGTTGGTGGTGTCGTCGGCAAAATAGTTACTGGTATCTCTGGACAATCTTGCACAGAAGGCATGATGTGCTCCTATGCATGCCCGCCAGGCTACCAAAAGTCTCAATGGCCTCCCAACCTCCAAGGCTCATCCGGCGAATCGGTTGGTGGTCTCCAGTGCCAGGGTGGAAAGCTACACTTGACCAACTCGGCACTCTCCAGCAAACTTTGCATTCCTGGTGTTGGTGGTGTTCAAGCACAAAACAATGCCGGCGGCGTGGTTGCCATCTGCCGAACAGATTATCCTGGTACCGAGTCTGAAACTGTTCCAGTCGAACTACAACCCGGCGAGACTGAGGCCTTGACCGTTCCTGACGCCTCAACCTACTATACCTGGCAAGGGAAGTCGACCTCGGCACAATATTACCTCAACCCTATTGGATACCCAGCTTCGCAAGCTTGCCAGTGGGGATCTCCAGGTACTCCTCTGGGTAACTACGCGCCGATCAACTTTGGCGTTGGAGCCAAGGATGGCACCACCTGGCTGTCAATCTTCCAAAACTCTCCAACCACCAGCGCTCAATATCAAGGAACCGTGGAGTTGCAAGGCAACCTGTCAGGATCTTGCAAGTACTCGAATGGACAGTACTGCGGAGCTACTGGATGCAATTCACAGGGTTGCACTGTAAGTTTTTTTACCCGATTTCAAGTCTCATGAATATGTTACTAACATGACAACTAGGTCTCGATCATTTCGGGCACTGCAACTTATGTCATTTCCAGCTAGGCTTCTAATGCACGCCGCGACCATTTGTACATGAAACGATAACAGTTTGCTTTCGACCTGCATATTACGCCGGCGTTGACGTCAGGTTTCTCATATGTGTTCTTTCCTCGCCTTCCATCGTTGCATGATCGGACCTTTCTTTTGTCTTCCGGGCCTCTACAGCTTTCGACTTGATTTCAACTATGTCGTTGCTTTTTTTGGGTTCCTCAACCTGCGGTCTGAGGGTTCCGGATGCATCGCCAAGTCAGCAAAGATCAGGACGAACGGTTGGGCGGGGAAAACTTTTGTTAATATATATGAATGGGAACTTGAGTGGCTTTTTACAACTTTCCGTATCAATGCCTCTTTTGACACTTGGTGTGAGATACTGAGAGCTACCTTGAGAGTTGAAAGGAGAAAGGCTTGGATTTGCAGAATTCGAGATATTAAACATGGGATTTCCAAGTCGGACTGTGGTCTACTCGGGTTAGGTAGTCAATTGACGGGGAAAGTCTTCTTCATTCGTGTTGTATCATGCTGTAGCTGTAGCGTCTTTGTTAATCGCAATCACAAGAGGGGTTCCATGCTTTGAATGTTTTGGTTGTTGGTCTGGGTTTTTTTGGTGCACCTAGGTATTGTCGTGGGCGACTATCTACCAAGTACTTTCGCGTTTTCAATGCCGCCATACTCGACGGCGAATCTTGACCTCTCCCTTGAACCTACAGTAAAGCCATCTCGATGTTTGACCAGAGTCATAATTAAGCCACTCTGAGCTGTGGCTGTGCGATTCTGAGCTTGGCTGCAAAGGCGCCTCCCTGATTAACGTGAAGCACAGCCCCGAGCTGCAAAGACTCCCACGAGTTGACCCCTTAGGTTCTCAGTTTCCGATGTTTCACATGTTCGGGACAAGCCAGTATTTGCAGTCCAGACCGTTTCTGACTGTTGACAATCTCATAACTCCGGGTTTGAGCTCTTCAAATGTGTGACCGAGGCTGCAGTTTGAACTACTTTTCGATTGCTTTCACGGCTGTACCTGTCTTTCGGCCAATGTTGACTTGTCTTGAACCCTCGACATGCCGCCACAGCCAGGGGATCAAACAAATGAGACGGAAGAGGAATGCAAATGGGAAGAACCGACACGAGAGGTCGAGGAAGAAGACGATAACATGCTGATACACCTGGAATGGGGTCGGCTGAGAAGGGAATTTCAGAGTATCTCGAAAATGAGAGACCTGCCATCGAAGTCATCGTCGCTCGACACCTGAACTTGAGATCAAACCAGACGTGCAGAGTCGCAGAAAGATCCCAGTGGCTGGACCAGGGGACGTACAACCTCTGTGTCCCCGTCTTCGTCAGCAACTGGCGAGCGCGACGGGTACTGCTCAGGTGCCCTTTCCCCCACCGGCTGGGGGGGTCTACACACGACCGCACTCATGGAAGAGAAGATCCGTTGTGAAGCAGCTTCATTTGCCCATCTGTCACGGAACCACCCTCGCGTTCCCATTCCACACCTGTGGGGCTTTGGGCTCCCAGGCGGTCTGCACGTGAGTCGAAATATCCCTGTTTTTGATCACCATTGACGTACTCACGGTTGATAGTTTTCACCTCTGGAGCACGCGCCCTGGTACCAGCGAGCCTTGACGTCTCTGAAACATTGCTGGTCATGGGTCGTCCGAAGACCGTATTTCCGGCCATTCGTCCCCTGTCAAAGTCCTGTCTCGTTGAAGAGCGGCTATTTGGTGATGGAGTTCTTCGAGGAAGAGCGAGGTCGAATGCTCTCTGCGGTAGAGCGCCCCACCGCAGAACACCGGACAAACCTTTTGCGGAGTTTGGGGAGGATCCTTCTCGACTTGTCGCGCCCGCTTCCCAAGATAGGCTCCTACACCGTTCACGACTCTGGAGAAGTGAGCCTTAGTAATTGACCATTGACAAGGGGCCTGGCCGTACTCGAAAATGCGGGTGTCCCGACGCAAATCTCGCGAGAACTACTGTTACTCATCTACCGACTCGTACCTTCTTGACCTTCTAAACTGCCACGATCAGCGATTGATACATCAACCAAATGCGGCCCGCAGTAAACTCGACTTGGAAGGTCAGGTGGCTACCGTCGTGGCTCTACGGGCTCTGTACTCGAGATTCAGGAATACGCCGTTACAGCGAAAGGTGCCCATCTTTCAATTCACGGCTTTCCACGAAAGCAACTTTTTCGTGGACGAAAAATATCACATTACGGGTATCGTGGACCTTGAGTGGAGCTGTGTCTTGCCCATGGAAATGCAACATCCACCCTTCTGGCTCTCTGGACACGAGCTCGACGATCTTGACGGAGACGGGACACCAGAGAACGAACAGAAGTTCGCGAGGGCCTGCGAAGAATTCCTCCAGATTCTCGAAGAAGAAGATGATGAGGTGGAAATTTTCTCAATTCGCCCTCGTGATTATGCTCAGGCAATGAGAGACTCTCTTCGGAGAAAACAGCACTGGTACTGGACCGCGGTGAGAATCCCGCCGATCGCGTACAACATATTCATCAACAAAATACAACCTCTTTTTTCGTTTGCTCACTCGGAAGATGACGCCGGCATGTTCCAGGATGTTGTGGCCAAATACTGGAGAGTCGAAGCCATGGCGTTTTTCGAGCAAAAACGCCTTGAATGGAACGACTATCTTCATCAGTTGCGATCCATGCGGAATCTTTCAATCAACATACCGGTCCGAGTCCTTTTTCCTATTTCTTCGATCTGGCTTCATTGCGCGCAGCTCTGTTCGCTTTGCGTTTGTTCTTGGCCTCGCCGGATGTTTTGACCAAAAGTTCTTCTGTTCCAGAAGGTTGGGGCTTGTTTTCAAACTTTGGCGGAGCGGATGGTAAACAGTATGATGTGGAAAGTCCTTTTATAAACCCTCCTCTGAGCTTGCTGACGCGGCGAAGGAGGTATCTGCTGATTGGTGCCATATTTGGCACGAATGCTGCGATGCGATGCACTTATCGATGTTTGCTGTGCTCGGTGCCGCGAATCGGTGTAGGCAAGCTGCATGCAGATGAATGGAGCTGACAACACACCCATTGCTTCATCTCTGGCCGGGGCATCCCTTCCCATACCAAGATTTTCCCAACCCTGCCGTTCATCACTGCCTCGCAAGACCATGCCAGTACCAGTATTCAAACTTGAGTTGCAAGATCCAGTGCATCTATGTCGAAAGGAGGTCGGGACCACCATCTAGTAAGCATATCCAGATACTCGCTACTCCGTACGACGTAGATATCTTTGGTGATCCTTTCACTTCTTCCTCATTTTGGCCAACTTCAGCCTTCTGAGGCTGCTGCCAACGCATCGTTTAACAGTGTATCACAGCATGGTCAAGGTTGGTTGCCACAAACAGCAAGACAAATGCTTATGAATCAGTGGTAAGCCAAGCTGCGGAGAATTCCAGCAAACCACTTGAAGAAGAGCAAGATCAAATCAAGTTTAGAGCGCCCCAAGTCGCTTGTCTCTGTCCAGCGCGTGCACCAAGAACGTGGCCACAAAGAACTACGAGTGTGGCGATCGGATCATCGAAAATGTGAGGTTTACGCGCTGCAAAGAGACGGACCATGCGGGCCACAAGGTCACGGTCGGCCAGGTGGGCTCGAGCAGAGCCGACTCATGAAGCTCCTCTGAATTTCGACATGAATATGCTCGAAATCATAGTGTCTAGTATTTCTAACTTTCTGAGAAAGGAAACCAGAAGATTCGACCAGAGTTGAGGATGTTGGAAGCGGAGGGGAAGGCCCGGCGAGGGAGAAAAGGAGAGGGACTGACGGTACGCAGCGTGTGTAACATTTTGGGTCGTCTCACAGTCACAAAGTGTCTCTCGAGAGGAAATCTAAAGAGTATCTTGTACACGGATACAGAGTATATGTGCTGATTCTCCACAAACAACAGTTTTTGGAGTGACTTGTCGTGGTACGAGTATTGTAGTCCCACAGGATGACCGATAGTCCAAGAATGCCCTCACCAGTACCGAGTAAATACTACAGAGCAGTTCGTCCTCATCCGTGGCTACGTCTCCTTCTACAGTCCTCTGAAGAATTCTTGGCTGCCTGACACACTCTCAGCATCTGATTGGTCAATCTTGCACCGAGGTCCAAATACCCTTCGGAAGGACTTTCACTCAACGCATCCCAAGATATTTTTGGAGTCACAACCGCAACACCCAGAATACTTAGGGCGATCATCAAGTCGATGCATCCAACCTTGGTCAAAACGACAGGATACAAGTTGATCGTCGAGAAGAAGATTCTCGACAGTTTAGGAGAGCATCCGAGGATTGTCAAGTATGCCTTGACGTCTCCAACTGCTGACTTTGGCCCTGAAGGCGCATGAAAACTTACGGAAATCGCCTCCGGTACGCTTTTGCAGATCCACGGAAGTATGAGCTAGCGCATCAGGTTTGAAGGAAAGCAGGATGATTCATATGAACGAGATTTCGAAGCCATTGTTGCTCCATGCTATGCGATACTCTTCCTCCTTCAGCCAGCCTTCTTCCCTTGTCAACCCTTCCAACAACGACAAATCAGGCGATGGACTCTCATTCGCTGATAGCTCCAAGTCGCCGGCTGTCTGCGCTCCCAAAGCATCGACGGCCTTCTTCAGCTGCTCGAACGAGGTGAACCGTATCCGAGACCAGCAAGCCTCGATTACTTCCTGATACATTCTCGCCGAGTCTGAATAGGGATATTTGCCCTTCTGGAGATCTTCTCGAATACGACGGACGTCGGCGGCACTTTTGGCCTCCCCGAAAACATCAATCCCGGTGGCTAGAAAGTACATACAGTTTGCCACATTGAACAGGTCTTCGAGAAGTTGATATTCAAAATCATCGTCGTTTTTTGGAATGGCCGAGCCAAAGTCGAATATCTTGAGCCTATTGTCATGGCCGACACCAACGTTGGATATTGTTACATCTCCATGAAGGTATCCGAGATCTTCTTCCATGAATGACAAGACACCGATGAGCTCGAGAATCCAGCTTTCACGAAGGCGCTTCGTCGAGTTCTTCCGAGATTCCTCTAATGGATTGACTCTTTCGAGGACGATGCAGTCTGGCTTGCTGCTGGACTGAAATCCGGTTACAATGTTTGGGTGAGGATGCTTCGACAGTAATTCATAGATCCGACACTCTCGCTGGAAACATTCGAAGCTATTCAGAGATAGCCATAGATGATCTTGCTGTTCCTCGACGGTACAGCCATCGCCCACGGGATACTGAAACGGTACTTTGACCACGGAGCCATCATCAAGTTCATACACTATTCCCTGTGAAGGCCCCGAGCTCAGGCACTTCAGAGAAGTTAGCTTGTAAGGGTTGAACCACGTGTTGTCAGGCATTGAGAAAGAGGGCCTGCCATCTGAGAAACTGATCAAAGAAGAAGTCAACCTGCGAGACAATGAAGGAAGTCTACCATTAGGTGTTCACTCTTCGGTGTGCAAGGCTGTGAACGCAGGGGGCAGGTATGCCGAGTGGAGTAACTTGACCGTAACTATAGTAACAACGGAGTACTTGTATTGTTTACGTGCTCCGTAACTAACTAACGGGGTACGGAGAACATCTCCGCAAATCCGGAGTTCACATTTCAACGCACGCAAGGCACAGGGAGATTTCAAGCCGAATTTGGCGGTCATGTGGACAGTACAAGATAAGAGCCCTGCCTTCTCCTAAGAAAAGCACAATGTGTAGGTATTGGTGGACTGTACCCCCGTACTCTGCTGCGCCTTCGCTTAGACAGCACCAATCCATTCAACTAGTCCTTAAAAGATCTAGCATGCTAGAACTCATCGCAGCTAGGCAGGTCGGGCGATGCTCATTACTTTTCTTTTTTAACTCTCTTGGCGGTTGTAAATGCTTCGTTTTATTGTTGAAGCTGAGGCAGTGACCACTTCCCGTGCCGTTTTGTAGCATTTAGAGCCAAACTTGTGGCTGCCACCTCGTATTTACAATGCTACTATTGAATCAATGATGCCCCCCCATGCCACGACTTCGCATGGCCCTTCCGTCTTCGTGAATTCTAGCCGATGTTGTTTCCTCATGCCTGGGTAGGTACTTATTGCTACTTATCTCGACCACAGGACACTCTTTTCCATCTTTACAGACTCCCGTGTCTTCGTGTCTTCGATTGCACTTCTTGCACGGTTCCATCTCAAGCCTCACTCCGATAAATCAAGATGTCGAATTCAACGCCAGACGTCGCCATAATCGGTGCCGGCTTGGGCGGGCTTGCCCTCGCACTGTCCCTACACGCCCACAATATCCCCTGTACTCTCTACGAGACCCGACCGGCACCTTCGGCCGATGCGTCCAAGCAGATCTCCTACTTCACCCCGAATGGCGATGGAGGCTACCTCGCTCTTGCGCCCAATGCCTTGCGTGTGCTTGACCGACTCGGAGCGTATGAGGGTGTTCGAGATGGAGGCTTCAACTACGACGAGATACACATGCAGAGTGCTCGGAGTATGAAACTGATTGGGACCGTGAGAAGCCACGCAGAAGGCAAGGAAGGCTATCGGAGCGTGAGGGTAGGTCGGGGCTTGGTGAGAAGGATCCTGCTTGACAAGGCCGAGGAGCGCGGCGTGAAGATTGTATTTGGGGCAAAGCTGGTTGATCTGAAAGAAACAAAGGACGGTGTCGACTTACAATTTGGCGATGAAACGTTGGTGACGGCCACGTTGGTCGTCGGTGCCGACGGCATGCATTCCAAAGTGCGTGATGCCGTCGAGCCAGGCGCGACACCCAGGTATTCCGGTCAAACTGGCGTTGGCGGCCCTGTCTCCACGAAGCAACTCGGCGAACTGAAGGATGGACTGCACATGCCTTGTATGTTGCTAGGCCGAGGTAACTCGTTTGCCTTTATGCCCTGCACGAACGATGGTGGTACGGTTTCTGTCTTTGCCACGATGCAGATCCCCGATCGAAGTCGCGAAGAGTGGGCTACGTTCATGCACGACAAGGTGACGTTGAAGAAGTTGCTCACCGACAGACACTCTAAAGGAACCGAATGGCCGCCGGCGGTGGTCAAGGCATGCCAGGAAATCGACCAAAACCAAATATCCGCTTGGCCAACCTACAGGCTACCTCCTTTGAGCAAGTACACATCGGGAGGTGGAAGGGTGGTCATCATCGGAGATGCCGCACACGGTATCCCCCCTCATGCCGGCCAAGGAGCAGGTATGGCCTTTGAAGACGCCGCCACCCTCGCCGACAAGATAGCTGCCGGCCGCGACGGCGGTCTCGAACCTTTGCTGGCGGAATGGCAGGGACACCGAATGGAACGCATCAAGCGCGTGATTGATCTGACGGCTCAATCAGGTGCAGCTCGTCGAGCATCACCCACCGTCTTTCACCAGGTCATCAAGGAATGGCTCATGGCTGCTTATCTTTGGTGGAACGATGGGGCCTCGGGCATGGACTGGCTCTATGGCTACGACACCAAGGCTCTTTGATCAAGGCCTGCCGACCATCCCTGGTTTTCCACTGCTCAGGTCGTTGCTTGACTGCTGGTGTATTACTACTGCTGGTTCCCTTGCTGGTCGATTAGCGATGCTTATTACATACTGATGTTCAATGACACGTCACGTCGTTACTTTACATTTTCTCAGTCGTTACTTTACATTTTCTGCTGTGTCGCCAAGTTCATGCTTCATCACACACCACACGAAGAGTATATACCATCGTCGTCACATGGGCCTTTATTTTACACCATCTATTGTACACAGGCAACGGTGCTGGTCATGGCTCGGATCATATGCGGCTGTTGGTGTGAAAATTCGACGTGCTCACGCGCGCATGTCGACCCGCGTCTGACGTTTGTCGCGGCTCGTGGTGGGATGTGTGGATGACGTTGCGAGGACGGTGAGGTTCACGGAGAGGGATAGAGACGGGGTGGGCTCGAGGACGGTGGATCTGGAGGCGGTTGATGTTGACGAACCCTTCCTCCAGACGGCTCAGCCACCCTGCCGAGGGCACGACGACAAAAGGAACGACTACACAGCCCACCAGGTGAACCAGAAAGCATTAGAAGATACTCGAGTGGCAACAGGCCGAGGTTGACCTGAGAGTACATATTCTGCAAGACACTCCATAACCACTTGATCGTCTCTGACGGCCGGCTCTGTCGGGATCAGTGTCACCTAGTACCTTCCGCGGCCGGTCTAGCTTGCCTCCGAGGTCTGCCATCTTCAATTGGGCGGTGTGAAGGTGTATTAGATTGCACATGGTTTGCAACTGTCGTTGGCTGCCGAGAGATCGTATGCTCGTCACCGTGACGCCCGGTTGAGCAGGGCGCCGCCGTGGGTGGCATAGCAGCCTGCCTTGATTACTCCACAGTGGCATGTCTCGTGCATTTGGCAGTCGTTTGCTCGGCAACGACTTCATCGACAACGACTTCATCGGGAGAAGTATCAGACTCGTCTTCTTGGAGCACCGACAAGGACGTACGGCTGTTTGTGAACGCGGTGGACGGAGGATCCGCAGGTGCGCGTCGGGCTATCTGATTTGCGAGATCGATGAAACCGTCTCGATCGGTTTTGGCCCGATCCCGGATATGGCGGAATCCGGCTGCCCCTCTTCTGAAAGTATCGATGTCGCTGGTCATGTCAAATCCCTTGAGCTGTGTCATATGACACTCGGGTGATTCTCCAGGGGCTTTGGGCGCAGTCAGATGGTGACCATATAGTTTCAATGTACTCGTCCCTTGATGGTAAGTGGCTGAGTAACTGTAGGCGTTGCCGTCGTATTCTGCTTCCACCGACTTGTAATTCTGTAGATAGTGCATTGCTCTGGCGCCGATCGCCCCATTGTGACAGGCTTGTCGCTTCGCGACGTCGGCACGACCACCCTCACTCTTTCCCTCGAGGAAAAAGTTTGGCACCGCCGGTAGAGAGGTGTTGGTACTTGGGACAATCTGCTCTCCGAGGTCGCGGCGTACACACCGATCGATTTGTTGAGGATAAGCGCCGTCATACAAGTCAGGTCGGGGTTCGGGTAGGTCGTCGGCGAGCGGCTTCAGGTGGTTGAATTGACGGTCGGCCGCGTAATAATGGTTTCTCCTCGATTCACCAGCAATGGTGGACATGATCTCGGCCCGTACAGTCGCTTCGTCGCCTGCTCTGTTACAAAGTCTTGTAAACATTGTAAAGTCCTCGCTACCGAACCGCGAAGAAGACAAGGAAGCTCGAGGCTTGGTCATAGCGTTTCTGATATCTTGGGCATTATTGGGTCGCGAATTCTCATCACGAGGATAGATACCGGCGTCGATCAAGTTCTGCCCGAAATTGGGATCGTAAGAGGACTTGGTCTTCTTGCGGCTTGCACCACTGCCACTTGATGCCGATGCACGCTTTCGGCTGGAACTGGATCCACTCATGGTGTCGTCCCCGTCCGTCAGAATGGCAAACTACCAGAGCGGTCCATTAGTCTGGGGTTCGAATGTAGGCACACGAACACAACTCACCCCTCGAAGATGGGTTAGGTTAGGTCCGCCGTGTCGTGCGAATCGCTTCACGCTTTTGGTCCCTGGGCCCGATGAGGAGTCGATGCTGGAACACAGCGTCGACAGTAGTTGTCGGGCTCTGGAAGCCCGGCGGTCGAACTCCCTCAATGCTCCTCGAGTCAGATGGACCTTAGAGAGTCTGTTCCAGAAGCTGGGGGTACGGTGGCCGCCAACGACTCCCGCTTCTAATGTGCGTTTCTTTCTTTTCGCCGACGGCGGGTCCTCAGGCGAGTCGTTCGATCGAGGTTCGCTAGAGTATCGTCGCCGCTTCTTCGACGGAGGGTTGTCGTGGACGGCGCACATGGTGCGTGAAATGGGACGGTTGAGGAAGAGGGTGAGGAAAAAGTCGGCCGCGATGGCCGGAGGTAGGGGTCGTGTTTCGACTGCAGACCGTGTCCCAGACGGCGCTTTGAAGCATCCATCAATTGGCCGATGTCCGAGCATTCAGCGCCCGGAAGTTTCATGTGGTGGGAGTGGTTGCAAGCATGATTGGATACGAGGCGCGCGATATCAGGCTGCGAAGTCGTCTGGCGTAGGAACAGCCATCGAGGGTCAAAGCCGGGGTCCATTGGAGAGGAAGGTTAGCCGAGTAAGGCGTCACTTTTGGTTGTGAGGTCGAGTGTACGGAAAACATGTTGTAGTTTCTCTGATGCTCACCCTGCAATGGACGACCCGTTCATTCGACATTTCCTCGAAATACGCCTGGGTGGGAGATACCAAATTTGTCAACGGATAGGCTCAGGCTCGTTTGGAAAAGTGTACATTGGTGGGGCTTGTCGTCAAAGACCCACGATGAAACCATACTGATAACGGATTCATATAGGGCACGATGTTTCTACAGATGATGTGGTCGCCATCAAACTTGAGCACTCTTCAATTTCACCCTCACACCTACGCCAAGAGATCGATATATATGAGGAGTTGATAGGACAACCCGGCATCCCTCGAATGTTCTGGCATGGCTACCACTGTGATTTTCAGGCTTTAGTGTTTGAACTATTGGGTCCTAATCTGGAGGACCTCTTGCGCTATTGTGATGACAAGTTCTCACTCAAGACCACGTTGATGTTGATGGATCAACTCCTCCATCGAATTGAAAGTCTCCACGTGGCGGGATACCTCCATCGCGACATCAAGCCTGAGAACTTCCTCCTAGGCACTGGTAAGCAGGGCAACATTGTGTACATGACTGATTTTGGACTCGCCACCTATCGGAGGGATTCACACCGAGTCTTGAGTCACAAGCCTGCGACCAGCCCCCAGATTTCCTTGGTCGGCACCTGCCGCTATGCCAGCATCAACGGCCACTTGAACGTGGGTAAGTGCCGTGAATGTATTTCATGGTTGACTCGACGGCTAATCCTGGGCCACATGCAGCTCCGTCACGGCGTGACGACCTTGAATCGCTGGGGTACATGGCCTTGTATTTTCTTCTGGGGTCGCTTCCCTGGCAAGGTCTAAAGGCACCCAGTCAGCAGGAAAAATACGGGCTTGTTTTCGAGCGAAAGAAGACAATCAATGTGGCCGAACTGTGCCATGGCCTGCCTTCGGAGTTTGCCACCTACATGAGTTACATTCGTGGAATGAGTGACCAGGGCCAGCCAGATTACAAGTATCTCCGGAGCTTATTCGGTCGCCTCTTTCGCAGCAAAGGTTTCGAGTATGACAATGTGTTTGATTGGACGATTCGAGAGTTTGAAAAACAGTCAAAAAAGGGCCAGCAACGTCCTGTGCCCTGCTCTGACATTGGGGAGCAGAAGATGCAGCGGGCCCCTGCAGGCAGACGTGACCGAAAGAAGCGTCGAAGAAGGGCCGATGCGAAGGAATCATAGATGGACAAGGCCTTCGACTGGACTACTCGGAAATTCCAAAGGCTGGAGCCTGGCGCTCAAGAGTCTCTTACATCGAAAGATGTGGACGAGAAGCAAGGATCGTGGTGGAGTCCAGGTTGTGACAATGGCAACTCATTGAAAGAGGAGATGATACTGTATTCTCCAATATGGTGATGGAGAGGACGGTAGATGTTTGCGATGAAGGCGCCGCCAAGTTCTGCAATTAGCTCTGGAGCAAAGTCATCAAAACTGCTGCTCCCTTTGTCGCGTTTTCCAGGCTGACTCGTCCTCTGGGTCCAGCGATTGACATCAACTAGCGATTGGCGACTAACGTGCCGAGATCCTCCACCATTCGCATGTGAGAGAACACACCACGCTTACATGCCGGCCGCGAAGCGGGAGGGTGGTTGGTGTTAGAACACGACCTCAAACCGTCAAATGCCTGACCGGCCAGAATGAAGGTCAGTGTGCGACCAATTCCCGTTCAGCTTACCGCACGCGTCAATTAATGTGTCTGCAAACATATTCTTGAGGGTAGTTGCCGTGGTAATGTACTTCTCCGTCAACAACGATACAAGCACCTGCATTTTCGGTTCTTGGTTGGCTACACGAAGTAGCTGCTGTCGAATGGAAATATACGAGATGAATTTCTGCAAACAACGAGTGAAATTGATCATGGAAGCTTCTATCCCATCAGAGGGCAGTTTAGCTCCTTCAGTTGTTGTAGCAGATTTCTTACCATGGACAATGATATGCGGAAGTAGGTTTTCTCTGTTGTATAAGCGGTACATAGCTGACGCACAACAGGCACCTGAGGGTCTACGCGGCGACATTCAATCGACAATGGGAGCAGATCTCTGAGCCTCAGGCTCATCCGCGAAAGGAGAAAAGGCTCCAGATAACTGAGGAACGAACGCACCAAGCTGACCTTCAGGAGGATCTCGAAGAACAAAAAGCAGTCGTCCTATCGTAGACTCATCAGCTGCATCTCGCAGAATCGAGAGCTGAGCAAGGTACAACAGGGAGAACGGCCGACTCTGTCAATGTCGCACCATGTGGTTGGGTTCTTCGAGTGACAATGCAGCTCCGTTGATATCAGCAAGTTGAAAACGAAGACGCCCCCTCCTTTGTCAACGCCACGACGAGAGCAAGAAGTTTGTGGCGTACCACTTGCGGAACCTAAGAATACCCCACGGATCGAGCAAGGCGAAATATACTGCGACCATGAAAACTCTGAACATATCGCGCTCATGAATCGTTCGTCGACTGGATTCAGCACTGGAACACCCATCATAACCCAGACATCCAAAACGAAGTTCAAATATGCAGACCATTGCTAAACGCGACGGTAAACCAACGAAAGGGTTTTGCCACGAGTGAAGCCCCGGAACGCCAGAAGTGTCAACTACGTCCAGCAATAGGCAGAACCGAGGCAACCAACCAGGTGCCACTGAGCAGACTGGATCGGGCTTCTTCAGGCGAGCATGCCGCTTTGCCACGGATTTATCGCGCCCTTCGTCGGCATCAGCTCACTTGGTGTCCCGAGGGAGCGGAAGCGTGCAGAACTCGATCACATCTTGGGCCCTGGCCAGAGAAAACCGTGGTACCTTCAATGGTTGTCGGGGGCTGTAGGCTCCTCAGGGCGTTGTTAATTTTTCTACCTCAAGTGCTCATTCCGAAGTTGCGACGTTGTCAGGCGGATTTCTCGGCCCCGACTCTACAAGGGTTAGTCCTTTGTTTTTGTTCTTTGATGTTTTGTACAAGTACAAAAGTCACTATGATAAGTGACTAATAGCCTCCTATGTTTACACTTGAAAATGGTGATGCGCCGTGATTGGCCTGACGATTGCCGATGGCTGTCGGCTTTTGATGCTGATGCACATCGGGTCTTCTGTAGAACCAGATACATATACTGGCTCAATCTCTGCCATTATCTTACGTCGGGAACCATCTCGTGCTCCCAGACGCTCTTCACCGATCATGGTTCTCCTGGAAGGACGCCAACTCTCATCCAGCGTTCTTACGCTGACATGCCTCGGTTTCCTTCTCATCGGATAGTAAGTGCCCTTCCTTCGCAATGGTACGCTACAGCTACATACCTTGCTGATCAGACGATTCATCAGTGATAATGGCCTGTTCGGCGGATTCGTCAACGGTGCTGCATTCAACGATACCTTTCATACCCCAAGCCCCACCATCATCGGCCTCATTGTTGCTATATATGAAGGTAGATCAAGCAATCGAAAGACGTAGAGATGCTGTTGTGCTGACAGTCACCCGCCAGTGGGATGTTTCCTCGGTTCAGTACTTACTTCCTTCTTTGGGGAAGCCCTCGGACGCAGAAGGAGTATTGCCATCGGGTCCATCATAATGATCGTGGGAGCCATCCTTCAAGCCACGGCTTTCTCCCGAGTGCATCTGATCATTGCCCGTGTGGTATCTGGCGTGGGGATGGGCTTTATCAACAGCACGGTCCCAGTCTTCCAATCAGAATATTCTCCCAAGGCCAGCCGCGGACTTTACGTCTGCATGCAGCTATCTACGCTCAATTTCGGCATTTTTCTGGCCTACTGGATCGATTATGCCTTCTCAACACACACTTCGAGCTACGCATGGAGAATCCCCTGTATACTCCAGTGTATATTTCTGCTCCCTATGCTCCTCATCGTGGCCATGGTCCCCGAGACTCCGCGGTGGCTGGCCAGCCATGATCGTGGCGACGAGTCGCTCATGGTGCTGCAAAGGCTTCACCGCCACCGGATGTCTGACGCCAACATTCGCCTCTTGCATGCAGACATTCTGCAGACGGTGGAGGTCGAAAAGAGCATCGGTACCGGCAAATGGATCGACCTGATCAAAAATGACAGTATCCAAAGTCGCCGGAGATTCTTGATCGCCTGCGGGATTCAAGCTTTCCAGCAATTGGGAGGCATCAACGCGGTCATCTATTACTCGGGCACGCTGTTCGAAAAGAGTCTGGGCTTCAGCCAGCATATGTCGGCTCTGATGTCGGGCTTCCTGCAGACCTGGTTCTTCCTGGCTTCGTTCATCCCTTGGCCCCTCATTGATCGCGTCGGCCGTCGCCCACTTCTTCTCTCCATGATCTCACTCATGGCCGTGGTGATGGGGGTCCAGTCAGGCTTGATTTATCAAGTTCAGTTCAACACGCCGTCCGCCAAAGCGGCTGGTCGCGCAGCTGCTGCGATGCTCTTTGTCTTCCAGGGAGCATTCACTGTAGGGTTCCAGGCTACCGTATGGGTCTACCCTACTGAGATTCTGCCTCTTCGTCTCCGCCAACGTGGCTCCTCCGTCTCTACAGCCTGTAACTGGATTTTCAACTATATGATCGTCCAGATCACCCCTATCGCCATTAGCAATATTGGATATCGCACTTATATCATCTTCGCCATTCTAAACGGTTGGTTATTACCCCTTCTCAAGTGGGAAACCAGTCTCTTCTGAGGGCCTGTTGTTTTCCATTTCTCCCCAGCCCCTGGACCGGATTTAGCATACTAACATTCATAATAGCCTGTTGGGTTCCCATCATCTATTTCTTCTTCCCCGAAACCAAAGGCTTCGAGTTGGAAGACGTTGACCGTTTATTTGCCAGGGAAGGCAGCGTCACTGCGCGGCGTATGTCGAGACCCATATCAGTTGATTTGGATCGGTCTTTTGAAGACAGCCAGATGGAAATAGCGATAGGCAAGACTGATCCCAAATTCCAAGAGATGGAGGAAGTCGCGTAAGGAAGACCCCCGGATCCATGGAGTCTGCTTGTAAAGTTTTCGGACTCTCTTTGACTCAAAAATGGCCGTGATAGGGACACGCTTGACCAACCGATGTTGAGTTGACAACGAGATATCGGCCACGAGTTTCAGGTAAAATCTCTTGATGGGCATCTACCTTGTAGCACTTGCACTGGTATTGGTGCCTTTTGCCGATAATGAATTCTTACCACGCTAAAAGTCATGGATATCTTCCTGGGCATTTGAGCCGAGCAACCTATTCCCTCTCTGCCCTATTCTACTATCGGAGAAACAAACAGAAGGTACAGTCCCTCCAAGGAATGGATATTACTTCGTCTCAATGGACAAAACAATCTGACACATCCCCATTTTGTTTTTGTTCTCGGCTGTTCAAGTCCTCTGCTGCCCTGCTCATCGCGTAAGGCGAACCCATCGTCAAACTTAAAGGGGATGGTAGCCACTTTGTCGTCAATAGCCGACGTGAAGCACTCCTGACCAGGAAGAAGATTACCAGAACCTTGCATATATCAGTCGATATCCGAAGCTGCAAGTCGCAGAGATGGTGGAGACGGTGGGAGCGTCGAGGCGACGAACGCGATGCTGGACGGTCATTCATTCTCTTCTCCCATCCTTTTCTGAGCTCATGTGTCCGAACAATAGAATCGAAGCAGAGTGTCCTTGTCTCATTTTGGGGAGTGTTCCGTTGAAGCTTGATGGTCGACTGTGGCACTGTGCATACGGGTCAAAGTACGCGAACTCCGAACTGACCAACTCGGGAGTTCTTTCCTCTCGTCATTGTCTTCCGTAGAGTACCTTGTTCATGCTTATCACGGACTGAACGCATAGGTAGAACTTGCCCGATGTCGGTGCAGCAATGCTCTCAATGTACGTAGCATTAAAGCAAGGTTCATCTGGGGCCCCGCAGGATGAGGTTCAATAACCGACCACGTATCGACATGTCGGCTATTGAATCATCTTGAGGCCTTTCTTTTACCCGCATTATCCTTGCTCGTAATGGAAAGAATCTACCTGCCTGGCGAGTACACGGACCCTGGGAATGTACTACGAGCTCTCCGAAGAACATATAATCTTCAGTACGAAGGATGAGTCCACAGACAGAACCCTCCTTTATTCAACATCACCCTTTATTTTCCAACATTGTGGGAAAAGACGCATCATTCCAACTGCTGTGCGAGTCTGAACTTCCGCTTTTCCACGAAGCATGCGTCTTTGACCAGCGAGAACATGGCATCTTCGTCACCTCCAACCAGCTGAACAACGATGCCGGTCACGAGTGCCCCGACACCAACGACAAGCACGTCAAGCTCTTGTGCATTCGTGACAATTCTGTCGGAAAGGCCGAGGTCGAAGAAATCTCTTTCCCGGGGAGCGAACGCGCCATGCTCAACGGCGGCGTCAATTTCGGTCCCGATTCCATCCTCCTCTGTGCGCAGGGGTCCAAGGACCCCTCGGACCTCAGCGGGATCATCTCGCTCACCACCTCACCGCACGCACACGAGGCACCGCGGGTGTTGGTGAACACGTTCCACGGCATTCCCTTCAACTCGGTGAACGACGTCGTCGTCTCGCCGACCGACGGGTCGATCTGGTTCACCGACCCCAGCTACGGGCACGCCCAAGGCATCCGCGGCGCGCCGCAGCTACCCAACCAGGTCTATCGCTACGAGCCTCACACCAAGGCAGTCCGCGCGGTCGCGGATGGCTTTGTCCGGCCCAACGGCCTGTGCTTCTCTCCGGATCTGCGGACCCTGTACGTGACCGACACGGGCGCCATCCACGGCTCGCCCGACGTGCCCGTCGACCTGAGCGGGCCCTCGCACATCTACGCCTTCGATGTCGTGCACGCCGTCGCCGACGGTTCTCTGCCCGAGGAGCCGTTCCTCGCGAACAAGAGACTGTTCGCGTACGCCCCCGGCCGGTTCCCTGACGGGATCAAATGTGACCTGGAGGGCAACGTGTATGCCGGTTGCGGCGACGGCATCGAGGTGTGGAACAAGGCCGGCGTACAGATTGGAACCATGGCCATTCCGGGAGGGGTCGCCAATTTTTGCTTCGGACGAGGAGGAGTAATCTACGCCTGCAATGAAACTCGGCTGTGGAAGATCTCCCTGGGTGATACTGTCAAGGGGGCTTTGTTGGGTATTTGATCGCTTTCGCGCGGTATGTTCACCGTCATGGCCTGTCAGCCGGCGAACTTCTGTCACTCCTACCACCATTCTTCTGCGAACCCATACTTGATAACCATGTAGCGTTACGATCGTAGTATGATATGATCTCTCGTGATTGAGTCGGCGATCTGCTGTGTCCCACAGCAATCTTACCTCCCGTATCTTCTGGGCTCATCTGCCATGTATGGAATCACCGGCCATCGTCAATCACAGCTTGCTATGCTATGCGCTATGCGGCCTGTCACCAAGCCAGAGTCCCGTAACATGAAGCCTCTTGAATTTTGCCTACAGAGTTTGACGCTAGACGACTAGGACTGGTACATATTTTTCTGTCGTGCCGACTTTCCGGTTTTGAGCCCACAACACGCAATACAATTATGGGCCTTGGTAGAGATTACCATGAACCTATTGGTTCAGTGGTCCATCCATTCAAGCCTTTTAGCGCGACTCTTGACTGTTGCTTAACCAAACCTTTTGGTGAGGTCTCTACCTTATGGAGAGAAAGAATCCCCTAGTCGAAGATGGGTTCAGGAGGACGCGTGGCGACTGCTTTCATGATTCGATTGTGCTGTAGAGACCTGAACGAGAGTATATGACTCCCAGTCTCTGTGTTCCGAAATGTGAAGCATCTCAAATGTGAAGAGGAGAGGAGAAAAGGATGTCTATTCTGCATATCTCGTTTATTGATTCTGTGCTCCAAACTGGTCCTCGCGGTCGTCTCTGCTCGTGAAGATCTGGAAGGGCTCTTCCCGAATTCCGTCAAACACCAACTTCGTTCTTCTCCCGCGTCTTCTCTACGTACCCATTTGGAGGATGGGAACCCCAGTTGGAGCCCCACGCTAAGCCGATGCTCAAGCCTGATTTATTCACGCCGGAGGGGATCCGTCCGCCTATCAATAACTCGGGGGAGAAGCTTTATTCCGCATGTTAATGTTGCTCGGGGGGAAAATTCTTTATCCGCCAACTAGAATACCCGTCGTGACTCGGACCGAATAGAACAATACGATAAACGTAGTAAAGGCTGGCGGATGCCGTGCTATAAAGGTTCGAGGGAAAAATTCATCCTCCGACTTATCGTCGCCTTCACCCATCTTCTCCCGTACCACCTCTCGATACAGCTCGACAAGCCGGCTCCATGAAGCTCTTCTATGCTTCCTTCTCGCAATACGTCTACTATGCGTTGCCAATCTTCCTGGCCGGATTCACCTACGGCTGGGAGAATGCCTCGATGGGAGGTATCTTGGCGATGCCACGTATGTGCTCCGTGGCCGATGCCAGTCTGTTCACGAGGGAAGAATGGCTAACGTGCGTACCCAGAATTCCTCGACTATTTCAACAACCCATCTGCTTTTCGACAAGGAGTGTTGACCGCCGGTCTTCAAGCTGGAGAATTCGGAGGCTCACTCATCTTTGGTCTTCTCGTCCCCGACCGATTCGGTCGACGCATCACGATACTCAGCGCAATTGCCGTGTACCTTGTCGGCCAGGCAATTGTTGTGTCGTCGACAACGCAGGCGCAATTCATCGTTGGTCGCGTCATCAACGGTCTTGGAGCAGGAGCTTTTTTCCAGACCATTTCTCTGTATGGCATTCATCTCTCTACATCTACAAAGGAGAACAAGTGGTTTCGACTAACACCGATGTCTAGGTTCACCGCCGAGATCAGCCCCAAGCAGATTAGAGGACAGTTGACCTCGTTCCTGAATACTGGACTCGGCTTGGGCCTGCTCGTCGCATATTGGGTGCAGTACGGTACCGCTGGAATATCTGGCAATGCATCGTGGAGGGTGCCTTTGGGTCTGCAACTGGTTCCCGCCTTTATCGTCGGGGTCATGGTCATATTTCGACCGGAAACTCCCAGATACCTCGTCCGCCACGATCGCCAAGACGAGGCGCTGGAGGTTCTGGCAAAGCTGCGCTCCAAGGGCGTCAGGGAAGACCCGCTCGTCCAAGCCGAGCTTCAAGAAATTCGTGTTATTGTCGAATTCGAGAAACAGACGCCGACTCCGTCGTACGGGGCCATACTTTTTTCCAAGCGATACCGGCGCCGGACGGCGATTGGCATGGGAGTCCAATTTCTCCAACAAGCCACCGGGGTCAATGTGTGTCTTTACTATGCCAGCAAGGTCTTTGCTCAAACCGGAAGGACCGCGACTTCGGCCACTTTGCTCGCCAACGGGATCAACAGCGCCCTAAACTTCGCATCGAGCGCATCCCTGACGGTGCTGACCGATTGGTATGGCCGGCGCCTGCCTTTGATTCTGGGGCCTTTCCTGATGGGCATCTGCTTCATCCTCGTGGGGACGATCCTCAAAGAGTATGGGTCCCCTCATTTTGACAAGACGACCCAGGCGGTCCAATTCAACTTTCAGAATGCCAGCGCAGGCAATGCCGCCATCGCGTTCATGTTTCTCTACAACGTCGCGTTCGGCGGCCTCTACTCTTCGGTCCCGTGGACCTATCCGAATGAAGTGTTCTCGGTCGACGCAAGAGCCCGTGGCACGGCGTTGTCAACGTCGACGAACTGGTTCGTCAATTTCTGGCTATCTCTGTACGCTCCTCAGGCGTTGAACAAAGGCTCCTGGAGGGTGTACATTGGCTTCGCCGTCATCAACTTTTTCTGTTCCGTCGTGGCCTACCTCTTCTTCCCGGAAACGGCGGGTCGATCGCTCGAGGAGATTGACCTCCTCTTTCTACCTTCTCGGTCCGTCTGGGTCACCCGTGATCGCCAGGCACGGAGCAAAGACAGGCTCATCGAGCACGATTTTTCGGCTGGCGCTGAGTCTGTCGGACATGACCTGGAAGTTGCCC